GTTGATTATTGTGGGCAGACGACGGAAGGGGGGACGGTGGATAAATGGACGCAGAGATTCAGGTTGTACTCAGTCGACGATTACTGTTATAACATAATAATTCAATATTTGGATTGGATTAGAAACGGAAGACAATTTTTTATGGCATGAAAGTTGCTCAGTCAGTCACTCTGTCAGTGGGGTTGTGTTGTTGTGATTACAATATGAGATGAGATGTTGCAATGAGAAATAATTTGCCAGCAAGGGTCAGCAGATCATTCAGAACGGGTTTTTGTGCATGTGTGTATGTAAAATTATATGGATATAGATATGGACGTATGTGTACGTATGTGTGTAATATGGATGTGGACGTACCTGACCTGTTCACAAAATATGCATAGTAATAAGTTAAAGTAAAAGTTTTGGTAAAACAGGTTATTATTATTGAACTGCCAACCCAAACTAAACCTAAAACTTGCTGCGACCCCTGAGCAATAAGCATGAAAATCAAAGCTGTCTTCCTTCATCTCCTTATACGCCAATAACCAATTATTACCCTTTTCCACTGCGACTTTTTGACGAGACGACAGTTGTGGATGGGGTCCATCCATAGCGGCACAAATGTTGTACATAAATCCCTCCTAACCCTTAAATTACCTAAGCCGTGTACTCCTGGTGTAAAAATAAGTTGTCCCTGTTTTAGGGTATCAAGGACTCCGATGGAGCAGGGGATTGATGACCACTGCGCACTGTGAATGTCCACCATATGTGAACAGATTCGATGGGAATTAGACGACTTGGACAAACACGTTTGAACGCGAGGCGAGACGCATTTCTTCGATGCATTACATGATCATCCTTTACTTATTGGATTCTTGTTTCTTGCTTCATTTCGTTTTTTTGTAACAATATTTATTGTGAAAAGTGCAAGTGAATCCTATCAACAGGTTAGCAATAGATATGTGGGGATGCGTGCAGTGTAGTAAAAAGAAGGAAATATGTACATACACGTATGTACGTACATAAAAAGTATGCATTTATGTATAAGGGATCAATTTTTGTTTGCGATATGTAAGATGACACCATCAAACTCCTCTGAACACAGGACATGCATAATAATACTCAAATAACGCAACACCACAGAGCACCCTGCAAGATAAGCCACGAGGATGTGAGGAAAGATGTAAATGTTTTTTGGGGAGCCCCTCTTCTTTAAACCTAAAACTTGACAAGGAAGAAGAAGAAGAAGAGAAAGTGAGAGTGCTGTCGACTAATAAGCAGGATGATCTTCCCCAAAGGTTACAAGTTACATCTGACCATCGGCTTATATATACTTACCAGCGTCGTTCAATGACCAAACGATGCAAACTTCACCCAAAGTTTTGGTTCTAATCAAAGCAAACCACAGGGTCAGCAACTTCTTTGTTTCAATTTGCTCTCAGATTTTGTCTCAGATACTTCTTCTTCTTCCTCTGTCCTCCTGTCCTCCTCTTCCACTCAAAAAATAGCTCTTTCACGCCAAAACCCCAACCAAAGTCAAACTCTCTTTATGTCGAAAAACATACGGGTTTCTCCTCCATATTATGGAAACAATTTTACAACTGTCTCGTCGCATGGCACATAATTCGTCGTCTCCCCCTTCCTCCATGGACATGAAGTACTCGCCCACAGAATCACTTAAACTTTCAAACCGCGACAACAAGCGGATCGAGAGAAGGAAACCGAACTGGACAGAGGCAGAAAATGTCTTCCTTCTCGATCAGTTTGGCATTCACAGAGAAATATTGACGTGCAAGGCGACGGACGCCAGCACGAATTTGAAAAAGCAAGAAATCTGGAGGCTGATTTGCCAAAACTTGAACACACACAACACGTTGGTGAGACGGACTCCAGCGGAAGTGCGGCGGAAATGGAAAAACTTGGTCACAGCGGCCAAGAAGGAGGTGTGGGAAATGCGTCACCAAATCCATCTCAGTGGTGGATCGGGTTCGAATGGGAGAAAGATATCGGAACTCAGCCAGCGAGTGTTGCAACTTCATTCCAGTGGTGGATTTTCTAGTGCCAATCCGAATGGGTTGTATGGGACGTTGCTAAGTGCGGGGTTAATTGGGCCCCCAACTCCAGTGGGTGGAGGTGGAGGGAGTGGGGACAAGTATGGATCTTCCTCGAAATATGACGATGACAAGTCCTATATCCCAGCCCATTTTACCCCAATTATCACCCTGAGTGAAAGCAATAACAATCATATTAGTTTGTTGGGATCGGGGAATCATTCCGGTCACTCGGGCGAACCACCCTCTCCGCTCAGTGAGGATGACGACGACGAGTCGAGCGACTCCAGAAATGCGGCAGAATTCATGTCCGACTCTGGAATTATTTATGAGCAGGAAGGGATTGATTTGAGGGTGAATGTGTCCACACGACAAAACGGTGGAGGTAGTAGTAATAGTGTCATCCACCATCACAACGGGATTAATGGGAGGAACAGACATCTCATCATAAAAAACAGTGACCCCGGTGACGACGATGAAGACGATGAAGACGACGTAGAAGTCGAGGACATGTCCCTTATCAGATTCGCGAGTCATTTAGGACTCAGGGAAAAGTTTGGCAAGAGTTCGCCCGTCCCGATTAATCCCTTCATTACGAGTGCTCTTCTCAACAATAATAACAACAACAACAGCATCAATAAGAGCAACAACATTGTCAACCATAATCTCCACGACTTTGAGAGAAGTGATCGGGACAGAGGCGAGGGAGGCTACAACATTCGCCAATCCATCCAACCTAGAAATGTCACCAAAGATGTCGCCGTCGTTGCGAATGGACCTGCGAATAGAAAATCCTCTGAAAGCACGGAAGAAATTAGTACCCGCCCATCCAATAATAATATCGCTTCACTCAATGGTGACCTTATCGATGCCACGCTGCGTCTGAGAAATCACTTCCTCTCCACCCTGAAGGAATCGGATCATCTCAGCAGCTTGTACAAAGAACGACTCGAACTGCAGATTGAAGTGTTAAAGCTGAGGAAACAGAAATTGAATCAAGAATTGGAAGCGAAACAAAATCGCTCGTCCTCGAACAAGGGAGGAGTCGCAAACAACCGAGTGATAAGGCACAACAGCAGAGTTCGAGCTGCAATTGCACAAGAACGTCGCAACCGGAATCGACTCAACCCGTATTTTAGATTAAAGCCAAAAAATACCTGGATGAATTTTGCTGCCAGAGAAAAACTCTTGGAAGACGGGATTGAGGGTGTGAGTGATGTTAATGTGCCAAAAACGGTGGAAATTGTTCCGAACGGTGTTGTGAACGGTAATGCCAGCGACAGCAGTAGTGACCAGGAAGGCGGAAAGCATTGACTTGCCACAATTACATCCAATGTTTAAAATTTACTGGTATTTCATTCATGTCGTGCGTATCGATGTTTAGGAGCTTATGTTAAGTTTGTCAGATAAGCAGGTTTCTCTGTTTCCTATTTAAAATCCCAACTGAAAAAGTTGACGTAGTATTACTCGAGTATTTATGGAAGGTATATTAGAAAGAACGCCATGTATTGTTTGTATTTTTTGTCATAATTTTTATGGTCCTTTCTTTATTTACATACACTATTATTCTTTTGTAGTTCTTAACGTATTTCGGTTTGTTAAATCATTACTGCAAATAATACAATTTCATGCAATGCGTGCGTGATGTTACATCATGCCAAAAAGTAATTCATTCCATAGCTATAAATAAATAGATGCAAACTTTTTTTTACCAGTCAGTATGTACATAAACCTACGTAAATCTTTGAATGCTTAAGTCTCTTCGTTGTCTGTAATTCAATATATTTTCAGCATATTTTATATTCAGTATATTTTTGTATTTTACGAAGTGCCGACACTTGGTTGTGGATAAAACAATAAGGAAATATTTAAGGGAAATATTTAAAATAAATCAACTCAAATAAATAAATACAATTCGTCAAATAAATCTGACTCCTTCATTCTAAACTAATCCTAAATTTGATCAACTTACATATCTCACTTGCATTTACATGTATGTACATATGCATGTGTGCAGGTGTATATCAATTTGTCGCATCTTGGTAAATAAATAAATAATTAAGCAAACTATGTACTCGTTATATTTGTATACTTAAAACTTATTTGACATCTGTTCGTCAATATTCAATGATTACACTTTTTCCGGACATTCGAGGGCTTTTGCCACGGTTGACGGTGTTCATTTGGGTTTCTCGCCATGACCTATGCAAATCCTCTCAAACTTTTTCGATGGATTTTATCATATGGAAGATTTCTTCTTGATTAATACCCTTAACCGTCCAATTCATTGGGCAAGGTTGTGGGGCATTTATACCTCAGCCAGTATCTTGAATTTTTTGGTACAATATGAGTAGATCTTTACAGCGTTAACAGTTTCATGATCCTCAATTCATGAAACATGGTGCTGACTTTCGTGAATTTAGCTCGAGAAATTTCTCAAAAATTTTTGTACAGTTATTTTTTTACCATTCTTGTATTTGATTTGAGACAATTTGTAGTTATTACGTTTTGAAACCTAAAAAGCATAGGCTAAGGATAAGTTATGGTCGATTTTTTTCTGTACATTTTTTCATTCGAAGACTCTTCCTTCGCTCTTTTCACGGGTTTTCTGCTACCCCACTGGTCGACAAATTTATTTTTTAAACTCACATTTCATCATTCATCGGATGCCTTGTATGTTAGTTACTTTTAGGTGGATTCTAGGAGTAATTTTTCTCTCAAAAAAATACATTTTCATAATACTTTTGGCAAACCCGATTTCTCACTTGTTTTGATTTTTTTGCTTTCGTCATTTTCGAACGAGATAACTGAATTTAGTTTTCTGAAACAGAAGTTCCTTTTCATGCACTTTATTAAGCTCCGATAAAGCGTATTAAGTAGAATTATAGTGGACGCCCTATGATTTGAGATTGAGTAATTGAGATTCATATTGGTGCGACTGTCTCGCACGCATAGAAATCTTCTTCAGCGGTCCGGCAGGTTGATGTAAACTCTCACGTGCAAAAACATCACAAATCACAACTCATAATATTTTTTTTAAATCATAATAACTCAATACTTTCGAGTCAGAAATATTAAATTACTAATTGGAAATAAATCAGTAGGACCACTTAGTTTTGGTCTACTAAACTTTACTGAGCAGCGGGATAACAGCGTGCAGTGATGAAAGTTAAGGTGCTTTCGCGGAACCCGGACCGATATTCACGGGAGACGTCGTTGGACATTCACAAGCTCCCTCGAAACTACGACCCTGCCCTCCACCCCTTCGAAGCCCAACGAGAGTACACCCGCGCCCTCAACGCCGTCAAGTTGGAGAGGGTATTCGCCAAACCCTTCCTTGCCTCCCTCGATGGCCACTCCGACATGGTGGCCCTTCTCCAGAAACACCCCACCCAGCTCTCCTCTCTCTTCTCCGCAGCCGCAGACGGAGTGGTGAGGAGTGAACTTCATTTTTTTACTCTGTGGCGTGCCGTGCGATGAGACATAAGTAATTATTTTGTTTTCTTTTACAGATTAAGCAGTGGAACATTCCACTTCGCACTTGCACGAGGACGATTCAAGGTCATGAAGGGTATGTGCGAGGGATGACTTTCACACCTGACGGAGAAACGTTGATCTCTGTGGGGGACGATAAAAATATCAGATTTTGGGACGTCAATCCATTGCTCAACTCTCCTGAAGCGACAACAGAAGCGGTGGTGGCAAAACACAGCATAATTACTAAAGTATGTATATGTACATTGTTTTGTTAATCTTGAATTGAATTTGGTCGAGTTCGTCTTACAATTATTTGTCTTTGAATTCGTAGTATGTCGTAGCTGGAGTTAGCCATCATGCCAAGAAACCTTTATTCGCAACATGTGGGGATTCCTGCTTATTGTGGGAGGGCGAGAGGAACGAACCCATACATAAGTACGACTGGGGTGTCGACACTTTGAGTGCTATCAAGTTTAATCCCACACAAACCAATGTCTTAGGTGTGTTATTAGCTAATATTACCCATGCACATAATTATAGCATTATGAAGACCACATATTCACTCTAACTGGTTCTATTTTATAGGAGCCTGTGCAAATGATCGAAGTATTATTTTGTACGATATTCGTGGAGGCAGCCCCATCCGAAAGGCTGTGTTGGGCTTGAGGTCAAACGCTATAGCTTGGAACCCGATGGAACCATTTGTCTTCGTTGTGGCCAATGAGGACTACAAGTAATTTATACCTATGAATCAGTAGTTAGATTTGCTTAGAGTTATTTTAAATGCAATTTTAATTTCCTTATTTAGCTCGTACATGTTTGATATGCGGCGTTTAAAAAAACCCTTAAACATATTTATGGACCATGTCAGCGCCGTCATTGATGTTGACTTTAGTCCCACCGGGAAAGAAATTGTGACTGGAAGCTATGATAAAACCATACGCATTTTTGAAGTTGAAAAAGTACAATAAGCCATGTTTGTTAATTATGTAAGGAGTAATATGTGCAATTTATGTTTCTAATAATACTCTAACCAACACAGGGTCGTTCCAGAGAAGTCTACCACACAAAAAGAATGCAACGACTCACGTCTGTTTTGTGGACCATGGACAATAAATATATAATTTCTGGTTCTGATGAAATGAACATCCGTTTATGGAAAGCTAGAGCTTGGGAAAAGCTAGGAGTGGTGGGTGCTATTTTGTACTATCATAGACTAAATTTGTATTATTGAGTACTTGATTGGCTATAAATATTCAGAACACGCGAACGACAGGCTTATTATTTATTATAAACAAGCTCATTAATTGATGAACAAACAAACTTTCTGTTTTGCAGATGAGAACTCGTGAAAGGGACGCTATGAATTATAATGAAGCATTAAAGGAAAAATTTGCCCACTTCCCTCAAGTAAAGCGAATCTCGCGACATCGTCAAGTCCCAAAACATGTGTATCAAGCCAAGAAGGAGCTCGTCACTATCAAGGATTCCAAGAAGCGAAAGTATGTCTATTTCATTACATATAATTTCAAAATTATACTCGAGAACATTGACTTATATACTCCTCTGCAGGGAGGGGAATCGCCGTGCTCATACCAAACCGGGAACTGTACCATTCGTTCCAGAAAGACAGAAAACAATCTTATCCGAACAGGAGTAGACGAACAGAATCCGGAGACTACAGTTATTTTCATCGTTTTGACCTTATTTGTCGCGTTAACATTTTTACAGATAAAATGTATACTTTGTATAAAATAATAAAACAAGTTTCCATAAATAATTTTTACGGTTTGTGTGAACAATGGGACCGACTGCTCATTTGCACAACCATCTATCGCCAGTGAAAATCCTTGCCATAGCTTTGCTTCCGACAACGAGTTGTAGAGAGAGCCAGCTGTTGCTGAGTGTGTAACTCATTTTTTCCAGTCTCCCTTCATCCAGCAGTCAGACAGCAGACAGGAGATGCAGAATCATTTTGTACACGAGCTGAGCTAAATAAAATGTCAATTTAATTAAATAATATCACACCTCATCATACAGATAAGTGTTGAGATCGGAGGAGACAGGCTAATAGAGTGGTGGTAGGGATTTTTCTATATCGACGGCCTGTGGAGTGGGTGGCCCATTTTCTACACAAAAAAAGACAAGTAACAATGGCTGGAAGTTCACGGTCAGTACTTCAAGTAGTAATTATTAGATCAAAATTTGATCATCAAATACAGCTTTGTATTTGATCCGTTCGGATCATTATTTTATTTATTTTATTTCAGTTGCAGTTATTTTAGTTTGACTAATAACACTAAATTAAAAGTTCTAGTTATAGTAGTTGGGGTATTTTTCTCATACTGTCTTTCGAAAATATTATATAATAAGTAATGCACACATCATTGTGCAACACTGATGTGTGGGTCAATCTTGGAGTTACGAATTAGTTGAATCAGTGTAGGTAACTGAGTTTTAATTTTTTATAGCAATGGACACACGACGATGGGTAAGGTCAGTGAATATGGACCACCTTACGTGGCTTATGTTGGCAACATGCCCTCCCATCTTGTTCAAGGAGATATTGATCGCGTCTTTAAAGGGCTTAAGGTATGTTAGCAAAGTTATAATTGTTCATTTCACAGTTAATTAATGTTTATTTGGATACCATCGAATTATACAGACAAGAAATGTACGACTTGTGTATGACAAAGAAACGGACCGTTTTAAGGGATTTTGTTACGTGGAGTTTGATGATGCGGAAACTCTGGCAAAAGCTCTCGAGTATGACGGCGCCATCGTGGATACACAAAGGATTAGAGTAAAGTTTCAACCACTTATTACCTTGTGAAGGAAAATCAAAATAACTCAAGATTTGCATACAATGTCATTTCAGGTTGATATTGCTGATAACCAGAAAAGCAACTCAGGACGTCGCTCTGCATCGACTGGCCCACCATCAAATCGAAATAATAATAATGTCCGGTCTATGAATCATCGAAATGATGACGCACGTCGAGGCGGAGGCTATGGAGATAGCGGATTCAGGGGAAACTCGACTAGCCATCATCGTGAACATCGTCAAGAACGAGTTGAAGGAAGATCTGGTTATGGAGGTGACCCATCTCCAAACTATCGAAATGGCAACAACAACAACAACTATGGATCTCGATATGCTCGAGATGCTCCACCACCTCAATCGCAGTACCACCAACGTGGCTCTGGGGATGGATATTCTTCTCGAGCCTCAGGAGGAGGGCGTGATGGGTGGAGTTCTTCTGGACAATCTTTGTCCGAAACTAGAGGGCCATATCCACGGTCCCCACCGTCACGGCATCATCAACATTACTCGAACCGCAATGGTGGCAACAACGGCGGTTCGTCTGTCGCTGGCGAATATCGAGGTGGTGGGCCACTCAAGGGTCCCATCCATCACAGAGGAGGTGGGAGTGCAAGTCGAAGAGAATCTAAAGAATCTATCTCCGACATTGAACCAATTCCGGAAGGTACGCTTTATTAACTACTTGGAGTACAGTATTTCCACACTACAACCTGCCTAATAACTATTAAATTAATCGCAATAAATCTGAGTAACAGGACGGCCTCGATTGAAATTGGCACCGAGGACAGTGCCTGATCCGTTGAATTCGGTGGAGACAAACTTGCGGAATGCGTCCATCTTTGGAGATGCTCGACCCCGGGAAGAGAACCTACAAAAAAAACTATCTGCAACGGATGCTGTGGGACATCATCACATCTCACCAAGAAATGATTCAACTCCTACCTGAAAGAGTGACCACAAGCAAGCTACGCGTGGGACGGACATAACCATAGGACGCGTACAACAACAATTCTTTCGTCTTTTGTTTTCTTTTAGATCTTATAATTATAGTTCTTTACATACTACGAGTTCATGATGATGAAATAGATTGACATTAATTTAATATGTATTTTGATCATTTCCATTTCAATTTTTCTACATGTTGGACTCGACGGGGCGTTAGGATTTTTGGAAGCATTTCATAGTTGTCTTTTCTTATAAAAATAGTAAAAAAAAATACCACCATCATCAAATGATAACGTAGAAACACACAATTATTTATTTATTACTCTAAACTGTTACTGTAAGACTACTATATATAATATAGTACAAGTTATAATAAATGCAGCAGAATTAAGGCTTTAATTGTCTCCTATTTAATGTACTAGTAAATACAATACATACATCAAGTACATGAAACTAAGTAATCATACTTTGCATCACATCACGTCTCTCTCCTTTTTACTTTTCATCCTCCCAACAAGCATCGTAGATAGACTCATCGACGTCCTTCTTACTTTCTTCCAAATCATTATACATTATATAATAAACACATAAACTGTTGTCTCACTAGCCTGTGTCCTCCTTTTCATCATCTACTGAAACTGCATGGACATAAAATTTAATTACTGACTGTGAGGAAATGTAGAAATTTACCGTTTATATAACGTATTACTATGTTTAAAATGCAAATCATTATAAGTATTTAAAACATGAGAGACTGAAAAAAAACTAGTCAGTCAACGTACAAAACATGACACGCAAGAAGCTTTATGCATAAGGTAGCATAAGGATTAATTGTTAGTTATTACTGATAATGTTTTAGCGATACAAAAGGTAATTGAAGAAATCAAGGAACTTATTAGATAATTACAACATTGGAACAATAAGAGCACCTTTGTTTTCTCTTTGAGTGTACCTTCCCCTCACTTTCACTCGTCTTCCAACATCTCAAATCTCTTTGCAGCATTATGTCACATACTTTTAGTTGGTAGTAGATATTTAATTTAATACAAGTGCATATAATTTACATAAAGAACACAACACATAAAAATTATAACTGTTGCTGTTACAACTTATCATCACTAAACATCGTGACTACCTTACATATACACTTATCTTAAGTTTTAGTTTAAGTTTTTCACTTTCTCCATGTAGATTTACTCTACTTTCTTCTACTCATACTACTACTGTGCTACAACTACTACGTCGCCTCCATCGGCTATGCACCTTATCAATACATACAATTATGCATTATAATATGTTTATGTATTCGTTCATTTGTAGCAATATTATTTATATTATTATGGGCATACTTATACTGATATCGTCATTTATAATTAGTTAGCAAGACTATCAGAGTGTATCGGGGCTGTCTACGTACGTCTCTAATTTTCTTTCTTACATAGATACTTGAGTTTTATTACATATTTATTACGTGAAATATGAATTGCACCATAAAACGTGACGCGAGTATGGCATGCATAGATGAATCAGGGCCATTCCGCAAACTATTCATGTATGTAAATATGTGTATAATTCTTGCTAGTATGTAGTTAATTACTTGCGTTGTTTGGCCTTTAAGTGTTCGGGTGTACTTAATACAGAAATATATGTCAATCATTACCCGTACCGACTACTACACACACGTGAACAGTAGCTAAGAAAGTACTGAAATGGCAGAATACTTATTTATTTTATGCGTTGCACAAAGAAAGCTTAACTTGTGGGTCTTTCTCTCTATGCTGATATTATATGATTCTGAATTCAACAGCCTTTTTATAAAGAAAAAGAAAGAGATTGGTTGGCAAAACTGTCAAAAACTGTAAATTTTGTTTGTACATGGTTTCATAATACGTCTCCAAATTGGACCGATGATTAATTGTTTGCCTACGCGTAATTTTCCTTTTTGATTTAGCTACTTGAAAAAATGTTCAATTTTAGAATTTTCAGATATTCAATAATTATAAAATAGACTCTGTTTTTCTTTAACCGAGAGGAAGTTCTCATTCATGATATCATTTGGTTGCAATTTGGAAACTGACAGCATAGCAGTCGTAGCAGTCTCTTTGGGTACTTTTGATTATTGACTTGGTTTCACATATGGCACACCCGCCACCACGCCCCCATTTTCTTCAAAGTGGGGGTGTCGTGACGTGTGGGTGGCTGGCTTACATGGTTCCTCATATCGTCACCAAGACCATAATGCAGGTCTCGATGACGATGAGTGAGTGGGTTAGTTAGTTATTCTCGATGTATCAAAGTTTTTAGCTATTAGTTGGTGTTAGTAGTGGTACTCGGTAGATACAAAAGTAGAGACTCTCGTCGCTTTTTATCAGTTTGGGTTTGGTTAGTTTTTGTTCATTCTCATATTTCTTTGAAACACAGGGTGAGCGAATAATAGTCAAAGTCAGAATGGAATATTCTACATATTCGAAAAATATGAGCGGCGACTAATTATGATGAAATGCAACGTGGAAAGCGACAGTATGGTAGATACAACATACAACACGCATAGCGAACGAGAAGAGAATATTACAAATATTTAGAAAAATTATAGATTTTTTTACTGTATTGCATTGGAATTTGGTTCCATTATTGTTTAACTCAAACACCTCAGTTATATAAATGACTCAACTAAAAAGAACTTTCTTTCCACTGTTATAAACGAACCTAAAGCCACTTTATGTATATGTATACTATCATCCCGGTACATGCATACATTTTGCATGTTCGTATAAATAATCACTCAACATATTGCACCTAAAAAATTAAATCTCACTTTGCCTCGTCTGAAATTATCTATTAGGTGAAAACGCCTTTGATACCCTACGTATATTTTTCTTACACGTACATACATAATACTTAACAGCTTTCTCCGCCTCTCCGTTGAACAACCACGTGGCTACACATATCATTGCAAATTTGTGTCAATTTGATATCCTCGTCGTTATTATTGTTACAAAATCTGCATATTCGCGCATTAAACTTTAATATATTTACGAAAACACTGTTTTTTTAATTACTTTCCCTTTCTCCTACTTCAAAAATATTGCTATTTATTAGCTAGGGTAATGTTCAAATTGTTCTCCTTTTGTCATGGACTACTTTCTCTTTGCATAATATGTATTAACACAACTTCTTTGCCACACGAGGATTGGCTCCAATTAATAATATTTTGCAAGCATTCTTATGCATGTTCAACTTCTCAATTGATTCTACAGTTTTTGTATGTGAATATGTTGTATGTGTAGTGATTCCTCTCCTATTAACAGTATTTACGATTATTTTCCAGCAGTCTCAATTCGTTTTTTACTCCATCGAATTTTGAAGAAATTTAAATTTTGATTCGTGTTAGTAGAACGTACTGAATTTAGCATATTTTTATGTATACCCCACTTTTCGAATATCAAAATATTTTTCGCCATTTCCCAAGTACTAAAATTTTTGAATACTTTTTTTCCTAGTATGTCCTCGTTTTGTATCTGGCTGTGCTGCCGTGGTACGTATATGTAATAATTAAGTTTGACAGGATTTTGAAAGAGTTTTGTTTCTGATAAGTCGAAGGATGATGATGGATGAATGAATACTCAATGTTGAACAGATTTTTATGTTGCGGTTGTTCCTCTAAAATTGTGTAACAGTTTGTTCACTATAATGCTCTCTCATTTCAGCGTTTTTAGAAGCCATTCGTTTCCCGATGATACTGATGACTAGGGTAACTTTAAGATGACGATTTGCATGTATTTTCTCATCGTGTAAAATGCATGAATGTAATAATAGACGTGTATAAGATGACACGGGTGTTGGTTGAAGACAAATTTAAGTAAATTCTTTGGAGATTGCTCACGCCTATACTTGAGCTTCTGTCCTACTTCAGAAGCTTCCCAGCTCGCTCGTTAGCAGTTTTGATCCTCCCCTCGTTGGAAGCCGCCTGTCGTGGAAAATGATAATTTCTTAAAAAATCGTCAAACTCCAATCCTAGGTTTGTACGCTCACCTTAAGGTTAACGCGGTCCAATTGTCTGTTCTGGTTCTCTATTTCCGACCCCATATCGATAGCCATGTTTCGAAGATTTCCTACCATGGTGGATACCTGTTAAGACACGCATATGTAAGAACAATTGTTAGGAAATAATATCAGGACTTGACAAAATTGATAATCCAAAAATGTCCTGAATTTGTTGCTTTCTGATCTCCTCCCAAAAAAATTCTAATCCTTTTCCAGAGAAATCTCTGAATATTGTATGGTCACCAACCTGGCCCATATTCCCCTCCATTTCCTCTTCACGAGCGTCGTTGGTGATTTTGGCCACATAACCTCCGTAGGCCGGTATCCCTGCCCCGTCACACACGCGGACGGGTTGGCTGTTACACACCTTCCCATCCTCGTTCCCCTTCCACGTCTTGTCATCTTCTTTGAAATCCTTCCCCCTAAAAAAACATTTATTATTTAACATGTTCTTAGTTAGCTTTAGAAATATATAGAAAACCGAGAGGTAGAATTGCTTATCGGTAGGCTTACTTGTGGCACGGAAGAACGCAGAGCCCTATGGAAGCGCGAAGAACAAAATGGCGTATTACATATGAACATTATCACAGTACCATACACGATTTTAAATAATACAAATTTTGTCCATGTAATTGCAATAAAAATAGTAATTCACTCACCACAGCATTTCTCCATTCCCTGCAAATTCTTCTCCGCTTCTCGCATGTCTTCGTTGATCTGGATCATGCCAGCCTCAATGTGATCTAGCTGTTCTCCCTGATCGTCCAACGCTACGAGGGTGCGAATCCCAGCTTCCTTGCTCTATGTACAAACATTAGAATTATGTAAGACTTGTCCTTTTCAGGGGTGGATAATAGGTATCACGGCAACCTCACCTCTTCACAGAGGGCCAGCATTCGCCGAGTGCTATCCAAAGACTATAGAGAGATAAAGGAGAAAGTCAATAATTATTAGCACTTCGATTGACTTTGAAATTAGGTAAAACAATAAAATGAGCAAGGTCAGTTAACGACGCTCGTACCTCATCCGTGATCTGGTTTGCTTTGAGCTGGATGCCCTCCAGTTCCGACATGGGTTCCGGTTCAGGGGGTGGCGGAGGCATTTTGACAAGTTCCTCTTAATTACTACTTGCACAAAAACAAATGTAGAAGGGAGAGAAAGCTATTGCGCGATGATTTCCTCGAAAAAGTGATATGTTTATCCGATTGGTTTCTTGAAGACTTTCGTCAAGAACTGTGTATGGGCGCTGTGAGTAAAATAAACACGTATTATCTGATCCCCTTGTCGAAAATATAATTGAGATGGTGGGTAGGTTAAAAAAATTGAGAATGAACGAGTGAGTGATGAGAACAAGTAGTTGAGGGCTGTGAGGAGTCGTCTTGAGCTGCTTTCTCCAGGCTGGGAAGGGAGGTGAGAGAGATAGAGCGAGAAAGCGAGAGGTGGGCAGCGAAAGTGGGTTACGTCAAAGTAAGGCCAAGAGAGTCGTCGTTGTAGTCGTCGTCGTCATCAGACGAGCAGGACTGGCTAGAAGCTCCTCAAACCATCGATCCGCTCCGACTCCAACCAAACCTCCTCTCCCAACCACCGTCCAGAAACTTGGTGAAAGTTGGGTTGGAGAAAGCCGTGCTTATGGAGTCACTTATCTCACGAAGCGGTTTGTGGGGCATGGATGGATGTGTGGCGTGCGTGACGACATCATATCATCGCACGACTCAGAGGATGCGAATAAATGATGACCTCTTGCTTCTTGGCTTGAGCGTGGTGGAGCTATTTACATGCACGAAACATAAGAAATAAAGAAGAAAGTGCCGGATGCACGATTATCATACATTTATTGCCCTGGTGCACGTACATGGCTTGAGGACACCATTTCCTGTGCATTAGTATCTTTCCCACAAGGAGCTAATGATGATTTCTCTTTTCAAGATATAATTTTTTATATTTACATCAGACCTACAATACTTAAAAGTAACAAAAGAAGAAAGAGATATTGTCAGTTGGGTGAAATTTGATGGGACATGAAGTACATCTACATACGCTGTAAATAGCTCAGGATCAGAAAAAAGTCTCACTTTCCCGAAGATAAAGTCTCAAGTTGGACACTCATGCTCAAACGATGTGAGAGCTTTCTCATGCGCCCCCTTCCCAGCTTGAGCAGGAATCCATCTGCCTCCCGCCACGGCTTAGATTGCGTTTGCTTTCCTCTCCTAAAGCGATTTCTACTTTTGGCTGATAAGTTTTGAAATTGCTAGTTTATTTTTAAAAGCTCTTCAACGGTATTAGCAAGGAAAACAATTGATTTTATTGTTAAACACGTGAGCTTTCGAACAAACACTCTGTTCATCTCCACACAATTATAATTTTACTTAAAACAGTGTATTTTTAATTTAAACAGCCTGTTTTTTTTAAAAAGGACAACATGATGATGCTGGATCCAAATGGTCGCCCTCGAAGGGCTTTAGCAGGTAACTTATACACACATGCACAGGTATTTTTATTCATATCTAAATTTCAAAATATTAACATTTACAGAAGATCAAAATGTAAAGAGTGCAAGGAACAAGTTTAAGAATGTGTTGAAACACATGGTTCAAGATAACTTTCTCCAGGACGAGGAAAGCGATTCAGAAAATGATGAAAATCGACTGTAAGTTTTATTAAACAGTATCAACACAACTATAAATAGACTAAATTCGGATTGAAGCTGAATTTATTATATTTATTTTATTTGGAAATAATTTCAGCATGTCCACGGGTCAACTTGGTGGAGGACTGAATCGTTTGAGTGGATATAGATACGGCTCGCCTTCGAAGAAACAGAAAAGATCCGGATCTCCAAGCGACATGCCGTCAAAACCACAAGCCTCCTTCGTTATGAAGTTGTTTGACAGGGGGGTAGACCTCGCCCAATTTGACGAGTCCACCCCACTGTACCCAATTTGTCGAGCTTGGATGCAAAATAAGCCACACCAGTAAGGAAAAAGATAAATAGTGCTTCAAATATTAAAGATACAGTTTCAAGATTGATGAATTCAATTGATATATTTTTCCCTATTAGACGACAACCGAAACGAGAGGACGATGTTGAGTCAAACCTTTCAGAGCTAGAGTATCAAGGGGAGACGGAAGAAGTTTATCGATTATCGGCTCCAGAACCACTACCGTATGATGAGTATGGCAACTTGATCAGGGTTAGAGTTCCACCCCCCTTGCCGCGAGAAGGAGATGATTTTGACATCAACTATGTAAAGGAAATCACTATATAAGGTTGGTTATGTAGTGATTATAATTGACAATTACTAATTTGTCAGGAGGACGAGAACGCACCCTCTCCGGCATACTTGTTCCAAACACATCTCGATCGATGGAACTTGATTCGACAACGATGGAAGGAGGCGAGCGCGTACAACGAGAAGAGATTTGATGCTAGCTTCTCTGTATTAAGACAAATTCATGAACGGTAAACATTATCTCAATTCTCATCTTGGGCTTATACAAATCTAATTTATTCACTGTGCCGAACTTTATTAATTCATTATTATAATCTATCTGCAGTGTGACCCACCAACAGCAACAGACTCAAATTCAGACCTCTCAGCAGCAGCAACAACAGTAATAATAATGCTGATATGCTATGCACTCATTTCAACTTTGACGTGCCGACATTTTAACATGTGTTTTTGCAATTTATTTCTCAGAATTCCAAATAAACAAAGATAGGTACACTAAGTCTAAATGACCATTAAATAAGGGAATAGAAGTTTTTGCGTAATGATTTGAAAGCATTGCATTGGCATTTTTTCTGACATTTGATAAGTTATTAAATAACACTGTATTGTTTAATATAAATTTGATTGAACCTAATAATTCCGATTCAATGCGGATACTTTCCTATAAAATTACGATGTATGTATGCACACTGTATAAATTTTCTTATATTTTATCAATAATAAAAAAAACGTTATTCTTGTGGAAATTCCCGTGTTCACCCCGCAAACCCAGCCTTTTGTCTACACTTTCTAAGGATGGCTCTTTGAAGAAATTGTCGTCGCGAAAGTTGTCTCACAGTTCGGAGATATTGATCCAGGTCCATCTGTTCTCGTCGAAAGGCTTCGCTTAAGTAGTAAATTGTGTCTTCGAGAGCAGCCTCCTCTGCCACCGTGTTCACAATTCTGCAATTATAAAAATTACATCATGTTAAAACAAAACAAAGTAAACTAATGAGGATAGTAAGCAATTAAATTATAAATTAATTTGTAAATATTACTGCTTGTATAGTGGAGCTGGAGCTTGAATTGCATCATCAATATTAGCCGTATTATCTTCCGTCGTTGATTTCAGGATTTTTTCATCCAGAGCAGCGCACTCCTTCTGGCACGACTCGATATTTCTTTCCAACACGGTTTTCTCATCGCTCAATCGCTTCATCATTATTTCCAATTTTTGCTGACCATCTCGAAGCTGTGTCCCCGTCTGAAAGGAAATAAGTAAAAAATACAATTCTCTTAGCATAAAAGGTCTATCGTCTTAAATTTTTTTGACTATAATGAGGGGTACGCATATGTATATTATACTGTTTTAATAATTTCGGTGGATAGGTAGGCATCCTCCAGTCTTCGTCGGACTTTCTCTTCTCCAGCAGAGATGAGGCTGGGTCTAAAGTTGAAAGTTGGCGTGGCTGCTGCAGATTGGGACTGTTGTGGGGGTTGGGCTATTGCCCCTCCAGACATAGGCATAGGCATCGGCATTCCTCCCATCGGCGGGTACGGCGAGTAGGATTGTTGTGGGTAGGGAGTGGGGTAAGGAGGCAGAGGTTGCTGCATCGAGGGTAGCGCCTGCTGTTGCGCCTGTGGAATAGCATAAACTGGAGGCTGTTCTTGAAACGTCATAATTAGCACTTGGATCAGGCACATGAGATCTGAAGTGTTCTATATTTAAAAATGAAAAGGCAAGACACAAAAAACGTTAGTACAAATAAAAGTTAAACCGTGATTTGAAAGTTGAAATTATTTAAATATCGTTGTTACATGTTTCCAATCGTGCAAATATGGGAGATAGACTTTTCCATTGTGGTCCACGTGTCGCGAGACCTTTATTCTCATATCTACCGTGGGACTCACGTAAACCATGGGGGCGTTGAAGGGGTGTGTATCCAAGAGCCAGAGGGTAACGGGAATGTGGTACGTGCTTCCTGTCACAATAAATATAACTCGTGATAAATGCTTAAATATATCTACGACACGACAATAAAAAACCAATACGAACCTCTATAAATTACAGGGATTGTTCCTTTCAGAGCAACCAGCACCTTTGTTGCTCCATTGTTGAATACTAATCGCAAAACAAGATTTTATTGGAAATAGTATTTAATCCGGAGGATTATGGCATTTAAATTATAAAGTCGTTCACAAGTACAAAGCATATAGTATTAAGGAAAAGGGTTATTTAAAAATATCACAATTTTTCAAATTATTACCAAATGTGTCTGTAATTGGCTTTAATCCTTTATAGTGATTTATCGTCTCTAATACCATTTTTCGAGTTTTATCAGCATCTCGATACTACAATTCCGTGAAAAAAAATAATGTTAGTTTATTTCTTTGGTTGGTTTAATGAATTGTCGGTCTAACATACTTTAGGGACTTGTTAATGTTTCTTCTTTACCTTAGCACTTGCTAGAGCCGTCCGCAGGAAGCTGTCGTCGTTCGCCATGATGGAAAATTATGTTCTATTTTAGACAGATTAATTAAATGCTGAGTATTCTCCACTCATGGGTCATGGAGCCAGAGTTGATGTTGTGGTGAGTGAGCAAGAGGCAGCTGAGTATTTTTGTGACTCACCGCTCGCTTTGCTTTCACCCTGTTCAATTTTGTTAGCATGCGAGGCTCAGCTCAGAGTGCACTTTCACTTTGATTATTATATTCACCTTTCCCTCGTGCTCATCTGCGGGTCATGTCACGTCCTATTATTTCTACGTCTTCCATGCCTCACCTCAACATCTGCAGCTCAAGTTGAGCTGCTCAACCATCAAGCTTTTACGAAACTGCACTATGTTTTGACAGCTAATTTCCATACGATGTGTAAAAATACACGAACCAGTAAATTAATAATCATTGATTAGTTCATGTTATTAAAAAGTCGTTATATGACCTTGGTCATTCCCATTACATATACGACATACGACTACTATACAGCTACTCGGGCCATGAAATGAGCATATATTTCTGCTGCCACACAGCCAGTGCCGTTGTATGTAAGGACTGTAGAACAAGTTTTGCATCATGTGTTGTATGTGTGCTAAAACGACTAGACAAAAAATAATAATCTGCAAGTCATACATTTGACTGGGTATATCTGCTGAATTCTGACTCATCGTCACCTGTCGGACATTTTTAAGTCGACAACGCTTTGTAACATGTTGCATCAGAGTCAGTCACATCAGGTTAGTATTGACCATCAACAACTAGGAGACTTGTCTATTTACCTATTCACCGCTGCAACTACCTACAACCGGTGGGAATACACTATAATTCTGCATATAATACGAAACGCTCAAATGTCTCTTTTTATTTCAGCTCAAGTGGTCTACTCGAATGATAGGACCGTGTTATCAGTAATCACAAACAATTATTATCAAACCATATAAAGGAGATTAATTGGTCGTGGTGGTGATGTCTTCGATTTCATCATCATCATCGTTATTGTCACCCGTTGACGAGCATAACGGCACGCGACCTCAGAAGCAGGAGGGGACCACCAGCGTACACCCAGCCGACGAGACATTGAAGTTAGGCGTAGAAGAAATGCCAATGCCGATGGACTCTCAAGAAGCCCTCCAAGGCTTCGTCGAAGTGTGTGACAACACGAACGAGGACGCCATCAACGTGGCAATGAAAGAGGCCAACGCTAACACCACGCCCAGCAGTAGCAGTCCAGGGGGCGAGGACGGGGTCGTGAGAGAAGGGTGAGTTCCGATTTCGACTCGTGGTATACAAAGAAAGTCAGTGATTGGTATTGGGAATTACAGGTGGTATAAGCGCTATTGTCGATGGGTGCCCACATCTTCCGTCCTTCTTGAACAAGCGGAAAAAAGAGTATTGTCCTGTAAGTTCCTACCCTCTTTTTTAAAAAGCGACAATTATAATTACAAATTATTGCATAATGTGCATACGTATTTGTATAATACTGATGTACGTAAGTAATATGAACTACGAACTGACTAATTTTTCCTATTGTATTATCTGTCACCCAGACGTGAAGACGGTATATGAGGGCCGTCGGGTTGACATTGGTGCTGGGGAGAAAAGGTGCAAGTGGTCCTTGTGGGGCAAGCCGGAAGATCGAAAGGTTTGGACACTGGTTTTCAACAAGACGGCGGAAAAAACGCCGATCGTGATCATTCATGGGCTGTGTGCCTCCGCGGGTCTCTGGTCCCTCAACATTGACGCTTTGGCTGAAGGGAGGCCCCTCTACGCCATCGATCTAATCGGATTTGGTCGGAGCTCAAGGCCCAGATTTTCTACGGATGCTATGGAGGCTGAGCAACAGCACGTGGAGGCGATTGAGGCATGGAGGAAGGAAATGAACTTGGACCGATTCGTCCTCCTGGGCCACAGCATGGGAGGCTTCATCTCTGCCTCTTACGCCCTCAAATACCCGGAACGCGTTGCACATTTAGGTTTCATATTTTGTTATTTTGTGTCTACCAATAAACACATGGTCACATAGAGGATTTAATATTTATATGATTGTTTTATATTCTGGATAATAGTTTTGGCTGATCCATGGGGATTCCCAGCAAAGCCGGACAACATGGAAAGCATCCTGCCTGCGAAGAAATCAATCGGGGTCAGGGTGGCAACCACCATCGGGCCTTATATTAATCCCCTAGGCCTTGTCCGTGCGGCAGGTCCCATGGGTCCTGGCCTGATTGCTAAAGTCCGACCTGACCTGGTTTCCAAGTTCCAAGCCTTGAATCAAGACGGAGTAGCCAATATTGCAGAGTACATTTATCATTGCAACGCGCAGAATCCGACAGGGGAGGAAGCATTTCGAACGATGATGAACCTCTTCGGCTGGGCTAAGAACCCAATGTGTAACAGGATCCATGAGTTGAACTCTGCTATGCCTATGACCCTAATGTATGGCGACAATACTTGGCTCCCGCAAATCCCAGAAGATGATGTAAAGCAGATGCGACCCGGAGAAACTCACACGGAAGTTCACGTAAGAGTTGTGAAAGTTTTTTTTAGCAAATCCTTCGTTAAGACTTGAGGTATTAATAAATAAGTTCTGACTATTTGTTTGTTCAAACATGCAGATTGTCCCTCACGCCGGCCACCACCTATATGCTGACAATCAGAATGTTTTCAACTCCATTGTGAATAAGGCGGCTTCAATTGCGGACAAGTTGTTTCACCCTCACAGATTTCCAGTAGAATCAAATTCTAAAATAATGAATTAAGTTGTTGTGTGACAATTTCTGTAAGAAATTATTCTGAAATTTTATCAACATTTGGGACCGTTATAAAACTTCACTCAAAATCGTTAATAAATACACAATTCTTCAATTAAGTTCTAACGCAAAATTTTCTGTAAGTTTTCGGCCTCTCCATGCGTATCTTACAATTAGTCTTATCTAACCCTCAATATCCCTACGCTCCAATGACTCAATGGAATCTCTGACACTTTGTGGAAGCAATATGCTTTCCTGAAATTCATTTTTGAATTCGGACAGGGCACAGGCATACCAAAAGAGGCGGACTGACTCGTTCCAAATAGCGATGGACGTAGAGGGAGAGTTCAGTTGGACTATATTTGTTAAAAGAATAAACAAAATTCATTCTTAAGGACTGATTGTTCATCATCTTCAACAGTACGCAAGCAGCGGCACTCACCTTGAAACCATTCCATTTTGTCCAACAATTGGCGTTTAATTTTGCCGAGGCGGCGGATGGAAATATGAGTCAGAAGGTTTAACCACTTGAAACTGATTCGACTGAAGCTGCTAAACAGTTTGATGGTGACCACGTCCCAGTTTAAACTCTTAATAAGAGCCATTTCCTCCAAGTTTGTGTTGTCTGGTCGCAGGATACGCTGCAAGTACTTGCAAATTTCTCTCCGATGATCCTTCGAAGAGAGAACGCAGCAGATAAAATCTGTTGAAAGGGATGAAGCTTCAAGTTGCATCCTCTCATCACCTCCCAAGCCACCATTCATTCTCCTCATCTTGTGTCTTGTTTTGCCTTCTAACGCCATTGTATTCAGATTTGGCTGCACACAGCTCAGAAAACGCAGGATGAGTTGGATTTGCTCAGAATCTAAACTTCCTCCTTGAATCAGTTCTAAGTAAATTGAAGAAATATTGCTTATCAAGGCCAACGTCCAACGAGAACAACGAGGGCAGTCATTCACTACTATTCAAATTATTATAAAATTGGTAAAGCCACAATAAAATCATACCATTAATCAAATTTTCAAATCGTGCCATCCGTTCTGCATCCACTAGTCCAAGTTGTGCGGCCAGACAAAAGAGGTTGAGATTGATCGTTGTGACGGCTTGTTTGTTGGAATCGTGAATGGATACGAATGGTAAATTTGAGAAAAAATGCTTCTTCAAGTCTGCCCCCTTCGTAGCACCAACGAGTTGAATCTATAATGGGAAATATTATCAGAAGATAAAAACTATTATACAATATCTTTCTCACTTCTCACATTTTCATTTCCACGTACAAACACAAAAGAAAAATCAAATTAAAGCTAAATTCACACGATCAACGTACAAAGTCATTCCTCGACTTGTCACTTTTATCACGATCGTCCATCATGGAACTGGAGGATCCGGCAACCTTGGTCTGAGTGGCGATAGCTGGCATTACGATTTGGACCATGACATTCACAATAATTTTTAACGTGTCCACACAAGCCGGAGATAGGTTGACCGAAGAACTCGTCATCATGGAGTTGGAGTTCTTGGCGGATGAAACCTCAGGAAGACGACGACCTGTTGGATCCAAGAATCTGCCTTGTTTTCCATCTCTCAGCTTCTTCGTCTTCTCCTTATCGCTTCCTGTTCATCATAAAAGGATATCATGTTTCAAGCTCAAATGTCAGTTGTATAAATATATGTATGCATATACTACGATATATACTACGACTACAAGTGAGTGAATCGATGAATTCCTGACACCTCATTTGCATTCTGCATCTCAAATCACTTCCACTCGTAGTTCTCTCCAAATCATTCATGCATTCATTCAGAAAAGAAGATTGAGGTGATAGAGTGAGAAGGAAGGAGGGTGGTTAGGTAGCTCCTTTTTTTAAAAAAGAGACGACCATAAAAAGCGTTGACTGAACTTTAGACTGACTGGCTTAGTAATTCATGGCATGTAATCCAGAACAGAATTATTTGATGAGTATGTATATTTAATAAATATATGCGTAGATATATTTAAATTTCCAAGCACCTGGTGGCGGTAACTGTGAGGTTAACATGGAGTCCAGTCGAGAAGCCTAGCATAAAATAGAATGAGTGAGTGGATGAATTGACAGCGTTTCACGACCGCTCACGACACGAAACAATAGATTGCTGACGATGAGAAGGAAAGATGACGAAATGCTTGTTGCAACATAATATGCATCGTTTCAGATACGTCCCTCACTCGCATCCGTCCAAGGAAAGACAAGAATGGAATGCGGATTTATGAATGAATATTTGCAATCCAGTCTTGCGATGAAACAGTGCGATTGATGTTAAGCCCCCTATCTCCATGAATAACTATCAATATACAATTGTTGATATGGGTATCCAATAATGTATAGGACAAGGCAGAAAGGAGGAAGACATTCATGCACTGCACAAATACACAAGCTCACAAAACAGTAGGATTTTGATCATTTGACTATGTGTGTATTTATGAAGAAATATTGAGCTTGCCTTTCACACCACTTGGTAACTTCAAGGTGTTGGAAGCCAGTACCAGCGACGAAGCAGCAGGGGCCGAAGGACAACTCTCAATCCAAGTTTCCGTCAAGCAAGATAGACAAGATTGGGCAAATATAGGCCAGAATCCATTCTCTCCGTCTTGTAGGGAGCCAGTAACGTTATGATTTCGTACAGGGGAGCTTCCTTCACTCATGATTTCAGAGAGGGAGGGGGAGCTCGTTGCTTCAGCAGTCGTGGGGGTAGTGCTACCGTATCCACAAGAGTACAACAGTTGTCTAGTTGGGTTATTGGATGTGGCAGAAGAATAAGATATCATTTCGTGCTGGCCAACAAATCCAGCCGTAATGTCAGTGTTGGGGGAGAATATGTCAATCTTCTCTTCTGTCGTCGCCAAATTTCTATCCAAGTTAAACCGGGGACGCACATAATTTTCATTTCCCTCACTGCTAAATGTCAGTTGTTGAGCCTGGCAATGGATTTCCCCCATTTTCTGCACATATTTTTCCCTCCTTAACTGAAGGCAGGTGTCGATGAGGACAAAAACCTTGAGCCGCTCTTGAACTTGATCTTTCCTCCCAGATATTTCTACCCTGAGGTGACTGCCCGTCGTCGTCCCCGCTAACGGGGTTTGTTGATCTCCTGCTGCTGAGGTTGTTGCTGCCGATGAAATGAGGCTGAGGAACGAGGGCAGCAGTGTTTGCCCTGACAGGGCCACAAGGTTTGGAAAGTAGCCAACAAGCAGGTGGAAAAAAGGGAGGGTGGAGTAACGGACGGTGGGGTTCAAGTGGGTCAGAGTGCACTGTAGATGAGTGAGGAGCAGGTTCCAGTAGGGTTGAATCTCATGTTCCTCAATCTAGTACAGTTGATGTAATAATAGTTTCATGATCTTCTTGGTTGATTAATACTTAAATATTACAAGCTAATAATTAAGTTTGGTACTTGAGATGCATTTGTAACATAAAAATTGTGTTTGTCAAAATTATTACCCTTTGGAAAATAGCCTCAGCGACCTTAAGGTTCTCTCTCCTCACAATCCCCTCCAGATCGGACGTGAGGGCTGCAACACGTTCCAGAATCTTGTCCAAGTTCCGTTTCAAAAATATTAAATTATTCTGTCCCGTGACAATCTCCAGCAGGCCGAGTAGTGCATCCTTTCTCAAGTTTGTGTTGTGGTGATGAAGGGTAGATAGCAGTTCCTGTTTAGACCCAGTAAATTTATTCATCCATAATGTGATTTGAATAATTTCTAACAATCATGGTTGGATAATAGACAATTTCAAATTTATAATAATTTCTTAAATACCGACAAAGTTTGATGTCTTCTCGTAATGGCGACATCTTCATGTTGGTTGGGTGCGCTTGTCAGCTGTTCTCGAATGACGATCCTTTTAACTCGCAATGTAGGGTTCACAACGTTGGCTGCCTTGCCCAATTTCTTTTTGACCCCACCCCCCTTCAATTGTGTCTTGGCCTTTTCGGCTCGATTCAACTTCTTGTGTCGACCGGATTTTCCCATCGTCTCTGTTTCTTTGCTCTATGTGCAGTCAACAACGTCCCTTCGTGGGAGACCTTCAGGATGCACAAAAACTTTAGTAATTTTCTCTATATGCACAAAATAACGTATTTTCTAATTCACTTGCATAAAAATTAAAAAATATTTGGAAAAGAGAAATGAAATAAATCAAGTGAGCACATGTCCTGCTGGTTCTCCGCCCAGCCAACTTGTATTTTGGGGCACTTTGCACCTTGTACACATCTCGCTCTCTCACTTTCTCCTCGAGCTTCGTGTTTCTCTGAAGCTGGTTTGAGCTGTTTAAATTTTCCACAAATTGCGCAGTCGAACCGAATCATATCTGCAAAATGATGTCACAAGGTCACAAATGTCTTGAGATAAATAAATAAAAACTGCATTTTTTAGCCCTGCACCGCACGGGTTGGCGTTATGCGAACCTTGTGAACAATCAATCCTTGTTCATTTGGCGATATCGAGTAAACACAGGGCGGCTATGACACCACACTTACTCATCGCATCAAATGTGCAACTAGTAAATAATTTGCATGATCAATAACACGATATTCGCCTGTAGACCTCTCTAACATTTATATGTATCCCCATACGACACAGGGTCGCAGATATTTCCATTTGAATACAATCTGATTTGAATGGTCACTGAAATTTCAGAGGAATTGTTGACGACGTGTGTGTGTGTGTCGCAATATGTGTGCTAATAATGTAATGTACACATCATATATTCACACTTTTGTACCAGAAAATGTTGGCAAAATATGTGTGCGAGGACCACGTCATTTCATGGATATCAAGAACTCTAATGCTTAATGATATACGAGATCGTGTCCTCCTGAACCAAATCTGCACATGTGTATGTATATCCACATGACATCAACTCTTATTTAGCTGTATGTATACATCTTTGTTCATCATCACTATCACTCAGGAGGAATTATGTACCAAACGACCATTAATTTATATTTCACGCTGTGTGGCAAGTTGCGGGGTCGTTCTACTACTTAACTGATGCATGGATGAATTAGTATAGATGGATTCATTAGTGAGAGGTCAGGTCAGGTCACATCAACAGCCACCACCAACCACGACAGTTTACATACCTACATTTTCTCCGATCGAGAGTGGTTCGTTGGTGATAAATAAATACAATGCATGCGTGTGTGAATCATGGCTACCAAATTAACAAGAGGACAACCATGTCACAGCTTCAGTAATTCTCGAACGGGTATTACATATGTATACTCATCTGTGAAATTATGCACAAAATAACCCGCAACCACAAATCTTTCGCTAAAATTTACCGAGGGCCATTACAAATACACTTATCTTACACAGTCTTAGGATTAGTAACTAATTTTATATTTTTTTGATTCTGCACAATTCAGTTACTCAAATTAAAAATGTCGGTACGTGCACTTATCTTGCTTCTCTGCACAAATGAGCTACATCATACACATATAAATAATATATACATATAAATGTATCATATATGTACATTACATAGAAGCATATATATATGTATGTAAATATATACATATAAGTACATATACATGTGTATACATAAGATACATCTGCATAAGTATATATATATAAATATATATAGCTACATACATATTTATACACAATGAACTCCCAACACTCTGAATGTGCCGAGTAGATCGAAAACCATATTCGACTATTTTTATGCCAAGCAAATTTTACTTGGCATAAAGCTTATGGTTTGTACATTGGAGTACACGGTCATCCTTACACTGTATGGAAAGTATGATTGTGCGGATCGATGTAGAGTGGCAAAAGTGCATTTAATTTAGGTACTTCATCAGCAGAAGATTGAGCAAAACAGCTATTTTTACCATTTACGCCTGGGCATAAAACATGATCAGCATGAATGCTCACTCAACGGACATTAAATAAGTACATGAATTAAGGAAGCTGTAGATTTGATAATCCAACAATTTTATAAGATACCAGTTTTATGTGTTTGTTTAGCTAAATGTCACGTTCGTCAACTACTTACGTACTTTACTCCTCGCAGAAGCAGTAAGTACATTATTATATTTATTAAAATATCGGTTTGTCCAGAGGAATGCATTTACGTGTGTGTGTGTGAAATTAAAACATGGTTTGCATTTCCGTTGTTCATGTCTCACAAATTATTTATATATTTATAATTTGGCTATTATTAGTACTCGTACAAAAATGACATCCTGTTTGTAATTGCAAAAACAAGCAGCACGGAGACTCCTTACTACGTCAGTCAATTGGTACATGTTTTTTGTGACCTGCAGGCAGGATATCGTATTCGACGCCTCATTTACATAAGTATTATTAGTTTATATATATGAATTCTCAGCCGTAATCCTCCAGCCATAAAAAAGGGGTGAAACATGACCAGAGGTCTTATCGTCGTTCAAAACTTGAGAATGGTGGAACAATAAGAATAGGAATTTGTGTAATATAAATAAGTAATAGTGGTTAAGTGCTGGAGTGAAATGGTGGTGACACTGACGTCGTCTCATCTCCTTCAGATCGTATCAAGGAGATTAGGTCTCATTTCACTCTTTCGTTGTATTCGGCGTCTCATCTTCCTCCCTCGCCACGTATTTATTTACGACACTTCACACCATCCAATATGCTCGTATTCAAATGTGTGCTGTATGAGTGGGTGTGGGCCGGGGAAGGTGTGGATTGCTTTCAGTCAGCTTGCAATTGCAATCCAGATAATAATCTCGCTCCAAAATATTGTCGTCCCTCAGTTCATGCAAATCATTTCCGGGAAAGAAAAGTGCATAATAATACGAATCAATGGATGCAATGAGGCAAATGCATACAGATATTCGCAAAATTGACGCATCGATTCTTGGAATGGATGCACAATAATATTTGTGTGATTCGATTCTTGAATTACACAAGTCTAAATAATCGTACCTCACCTCATAATGAGCTGAATAAAGCATGTTTAGATATGTAGAGGTTGCATTTCATATGTCTCCCCAAGCTAAGGATAAGCATGAAGTGTTCACTTTGACTCGATACTGTTTCTATGCATCGATTTGCATGTGCAGTTGCTGTATGCAGTGGTGGTGAGAAAAGGATTCTGGCCAAATGAATGGAATGAAGCAGTTAATTATTATTTTTAAATTGCAAGTTGGGCTGACGGATTCCCATGCACGAAATTCGACGTCGTTCCTTCATTAATCCGGTCACCACCCTTTGAGCCAGGTTGTAGATTTATAGCCACCATCTCGCACCGTACATGATAGTAATTGCAGTTTGCTCCAAAAATGCCTATCAACTAAAGAGTTTATTGCAAAGCTTTGATGATATTTGGTATATGGATATTAATATTATCGATACCCGCATGGATACATGGATGCACAAATGTACCTTGGTTTTACATAACCCCATGTACACCATGAAATATTATTCGTCGTCACATCACATATTGTAAACATTTGTCCCAGAAATTATGCATGCAGTCATAATTGGACTGGGCCTGGAAGTTTTGCACATATACAAATGCACAACAAGCCAACTTTTCAAGCTCGACGGCGACATGTGCACCTTCGATTCTTCATTTATTGTCAGCCTATTTCTCAATCCTTCACATCAATATGAAAATATGGAAATCCGTTTCTTTTTATGTACTTCTTGGAAGGAATCGTATAAAATTTCACATCGCTGCTTCATACATCCCAGCAGAAAGAGAGACCGGAAATCCTTAATGTCCTAGTACCATTGGAGTATTTATATGCATGTATGCATGTAGGGGCAAAAGAAGTAGCGCTGGCTGTTGAATATTTGCTTATCTAATGATAAGGTTAGAAACTAATCTTAATTATTACATAGGCAAATTGTGGTGGCGTGTATGTATGCAAGTAATGAGTGCACATATCTATCTTGGTATGCAACAAGTGCACTGTGCATGTGTAATCTTGTCCTCTTCGTACATCATAAATATGTGTCACCCCAAATTGCAAAGATGCAAGATAAGGATTTTGAAGCCAAGGATGTTGGTTGACTTGGAATTGAAATTCAACCGGAAAACGACGATGTAAATCAAACGCACAAACATATTAAAATTGGTTAGGTGGAATGGGGATTCAGCAGAATTGAAGATCAAGGACAAACTCTATGCAGTGGTTGAGAGAATGAGAAAAACATGCCAAAAAATCAGAGATCTTCAACAGATAAGACTTATGTACATCGGTATTATATAACATTATTATTATATTTACATTCTTGGCCACTTTTAATTTGATATAAATTTCAATATTGCTCCCTGAAGAAGATAGAAACTTGCTGTTGAAAGCTTGGAGCAATCACACAATTGGTTGGATAGTTTCAAATTTTACTAAAATGTACGTAGATTGTTGTCGGATTGAAATCCAGTCCACCCAAATTATTTAAGATCGATCCGATCGGGCCGAATCGAACCTCGGCACATAGGTGAATAATAGAAAAGAAACTATAAACTGTATGTAGGTGCATGCCAAACACTAAAACATGCTACTTATTTACCAGTATAATGTGAATCTGTGATAATGGAATTTTATCCGATCCATCCCACTGTCGATCATATAAAATGGAGATGTATCGAGTCTTCATCATACGTACATAACTGACCTACAAACAAGTGGCCCCAAAAGACAGAATATGTATCGTGAACGACGAATTTTCATTCATTCAATTGTTGTCGTAATATGTAACAACATTTATTTATTAATGATACGTGTTGGTGTTCTGGAAATTCGTCCATGCATGATGCCACTCACTAGATCCTATTTATACTCTGGGGGTTAACAGCAGCAATTAATTACATACATCGGGCGACGATATCTTCAGCTACCGTAATCCACCAGGCATTGCGTTCTGTATGGAAAGTTAAGATATAGTATGTCCAAGTTCTTTATCTTTCGCAAAAGCTGACCGATTTCTCCCATTCTCAATGATCAAGTGGAGTCAATGCACATAAAGCTATACGTAAATAAAAACCTATGCAGTGCAACTTCATATAGCCCGAGGCAGAAAATTATCGTATCTTCCAAATCCGCAATCCACCCACTCAAAATCACGGCGAAATCATGACATGCATAAAAAAATGTAGCAGATCTGTCCACGAAATTGTATCAGAGTGACGTATACAAAAAACGAAGCTAATAAAACTTTTACAATTTTAAAGACAACCATAAATTTCATAGCTTCCACGACTATTTTCGAAAACCCGTCGGGGTCACCCTATTGTGTCCCTCAAAATTTGGACGTTATAAATTCCAAATTCCAGTCTTCTACGATCATTTCTAATAATCTGCGCCAAAAACCCAACCGACATATGTGAACTAGTCCAGTTCACCGATTTTGTCCATCTTCGAACTTAATTCCTCATTTGTACACATATTACATATACCTATGCAAAGTTTAAAGTGGATCGGATAAAGTTAATCTTTAATCATATGATGAGACATATTTGCAGACTGATTCCATAAGCCTGACTCACTCTAAAAAAGTATAAACCAAAAAAAGGAGCTCATTTGCCTGACCATAAATAACCAATAGATGCATGTTCTGAATACACATACAAACACTCTCCTCAACTACGTAACTCGAGTTGCCAATTTGTCTGGTGCACAAAAATTAATGGTTTCATCATCCTGAACTTTCTCATTCATATGTATACGAATCTATATAAGCAGCATAATAAGTAGCAGCACACACACTATCGACATTAATCGACAATAACGAACATAAATTAAACTTGTGTAGATCCAGCAAAAGTTTTCTCTGCATCCACCACCACTCAGATTGGCATAAATTCAAAAAAGAAAGTTTGAGTTGCTTTGCTCTTTCTTTCATTGGCAACCACTGTGCGTCACACCTGTCATATTTGAGACCCTAGCAGCCACCTCACTCACTTTTCCTCCCACACCACACCCACCAATACCTAAATACAGCAGCTACTACGTGTGCTCAATTGTTTACTGCAAATCATTTCGTCTTTACTCCAAAAATGTCCTCAATTAGCCTCCGTTGATTGACAGGAGGACTAATGGACTGGAGCAGGAAAAGACAAAGAGGTTCCTTTCGACAAAAAGACCACCAGAAAGAAACAATATGCAATGTGTACGTATGTATAATATGCAGTGATAGGCAGCTTGATGGATAATGACTGCGGGGTGGAAGTACAAATTGCGAGAAAAGTACTGACGAAGAATGTGAAGCTTTCCCAATGACGACACACACCCGGTCACATAATGAAACATCTATTTAGATTGATGTATTGATTCTCGAACCACGTAATATCCTCCGGATGGAACAACCCCCGCGTAAAAAGGATGCCAACCATCAACAGAGATCAGTTCACATACTGTTGAAAATCCTCATCACCGTCAACCACCTTATTCCGAATTATGGCAGAGAGACCATCAAGAGAGGTATCCGCTCGTGGAAGTCGCTTACTCCATGACCCTCATCCCTATGCAAACATGTCAATCAATCCGGTACCAGAGATTCAATCGTGGAATGTTTTTCCATTTTTTTGAATCCAAATGTATGTATGCATGTATCTGTATTTATATGTACGATCCATCATCACCCCCTGAGATCCTGATATGTACATACAAACTGAATACGCTAAAAAGTTGTGAATTTCATTCTTGTGGTTTCTACACATCCTCACTTGAATAAGTATGAAACTGCAATTTGTGGATATGAAGAGTTGAGCTATATAGCTTCTTCCTCCATCCATGAATGAATGATGATGACGGTGACGAGGACGATGAATACGTAGTGAAGAGCACATTTATTGTGGGCCTTTGCATGTACATGTCTGATTAACTACAGCCGTCGACCCACCAAACGTAACTAACCCCCTTTGGTCAATATGTGACAATTCTCGTTGAAATTTTGACTCGTTCCCCACCACGACTCCTCATGCAGAAGATACTCCTCCGCTGGCGTGTGGTGGAGATATAAAAGAGTGGACAATCTCAGGAACGCAGCCAGTTTCGCTCTTGCACTCCTCTCTGGAACCCCATGCAGAATAATCGTCACCTGAAAACGGCACACCCACGTTAACCTGCAAAATCTTTCTCGCAACGTATGTACCATTGATTGTATTCTACCAAGTCGACAGAACCAAGGGAAAGCAGTGCACGTAAAGTGGCAACAAATACGAGTTTATCATTTTATGCCCGAGTTGTGGACCTGCGTATCGTCGTCTCACTGGAGCTTGGATTGGTTTGGATTGGATATATAAGGAGCCAAGTGCTGTCAAAGACATTCATCAGTTCACAAAGTCGAGCATTTACGACTACACTTTGCTCTCCTGCAGTAGCTCTTCACCACTCACTCTGCACCAGTGTCATTGGTTGCTCGAGAGCAATACTTGGTAAAAAAATAGTGTGTGAACAAAACTTGCACCTACACGAGTTATTATTGTCCAGAGAAATTGGTGTGGATTTTTTAGCCAAGGGCGAGTAAGTTTCTGAAAATGGGTTACACAGAGAACGGGAAAGTGGTGATTGTGGCGGTGGGTGTCCTGTACTATGTCCTGACCTCCTCGGTCTCCACGGGGTCACCACAACCCTTCAAGAGACGTGGGAGTAGGAGCACCCCCCTCTTATCCACCACGACGACCAACGGTATCAACCCTCTCGCGGCGGAGGGGGGCGGAGAAAAGTTTGGCAACGAAACCTATTTCAACGACATTGGGGAGATTTGCAACGCGGAGGCGGTTCTGCAGGGGGGCGGTCTTCCTGCCTCCTCGGGAGGAGGGGGGTCCACAAACCTGGCTCACCGCTGTCGCAAGTTGGACATTGGAGACATCAAGAAACATTCGCTGCTCATGATTAAGCAGGAAATTTTGAGAAAGTTGAGACTGGACGAGAGCCGACTCCCCAACATTTCCGCAGCTGGACACCCCATCCCAGCCGCTTACCTCTCAGAGTTCTTCCAGGGCCAGTACCAGGGCGACTCCCCCAACACCGAGTTCGACGATGACGAGCACGCTAAAACCGAGAAAATTATTGCCTTTGCTAAAATAGGTGAGTTTTTATTCCTACTACAGACCCAGCATTTTTGGTAGAAAGCAATTATTTTGGTGGAAAGGGCTGTCGCCCGGAAATAGTAGCTGACAGGTAGAATGCATACTGTGTACGACAGCGGGTGTAATTTATTATTTACGTACTGCAGCCAGACAAATATAATGGCATAATCATGGGAAATCATGTGTAATTGAGCATAAAATGGCAATAACCGGCATTTTGAGGTTGCTAGACAGAAGTGAGACAACGGGGGTACAAGTTAATTGCCACTCTACGCTAACCCATATCCATTTCACCCGGATTTACCCGACATGTTAATAATAAAAGCAGGCTCGAGTTTCTACCACGGGAGGAAGAATCGATTGTTGCTGAAAAATATATGTGTGGCATGCATGATATTTTTGGTTGGCATTCAGCGTACGTGTTTGCGTATATAGTACGCTGACCGGCGAGTGTTTGCTTAAAGATTTCGGGGAAAATGAAAACGACAATTTCTGTGTAGCAGGAGTTGAGGGCATAGTTGAGCGACCTGTTGCTTGGTCCGACACGGACTGACCGGCTTGACCTGGTCGTCTTTGCCTTGGATCATATCCAGAGTCAATAGTAACAGTGAGATAAGGAATTTTGAAGGTGGTTCCTCCAGGCCAGCTCTATTTATAGCAGAAAAAGAGAGAGAGATGATAAGCACTAGGATGATTGGACTGGTGATGTATGCAGTGCAAGCGTCTCTCGCCTTACTATTGTTATGCGTAAGACAGATATTTTTTAGGCCATGTAATCCGAAAATGCACATTTTATTCGTGTGGATGAGTAGAGCAAGTAGGGATGATAAAAGCAGCAGTCCATGCCTCGTCTACATGTTGAGGAGAAGATCAAAGTAAATATTAGCCCGTCTTGGAGTCTCCATCCATACGCTCTTCACCACAATAAGCTCCACATTTCATGAGCACTGCTATCAAGATGACGGTCCGGTCAATGCCAAAATCGACTTGAGGCAAGATGGACACTTTGGTGCGGACCCTTCCCTGGCGACGTTGGACAAAAGCACTGTCACTGCGGGGGAAGGAACGTGAGCCAGCTCGTGCGTGGCAACCGTTATCACCATCACTGCATTCTTCTTCTCCCACAGGCCAAGTGTCATCAACTGATTAATGTCAGCCATGTAACGAGCCAGCCAACCAACCAACTCACAACAAGGACCGTCTTTTTCGTTGCTCATCGCACTACTCTTGGATTTCTTGGTTGCAAGGCAGGAGTTGAGCCAAGTTCATCATCTCTTCACTCTGATGCCCCTGACTCTCAATGTCAAGTCGAACATGTAATGCGTGTGTGTGTATATGTTCCCCATTCCATTCCAATGATTTATTTATTCCAACCCCACAGAAAATGACGACAATAACAAGAGCATACGAGTAAAATATGATCAGGCGTTGGGTTAGGTTCCAAACAAGACTGATTTACTATGCAGATCCGGCTCAGTCCAGAAGTGGGGAAGATGAGACGGTGCAACTTTCCCACGATCCCTTCTCGCTCTCTCTCTCTCTCTCCTAATAATGCATCGCCTTATCTCGGCCCATTCAGAAATCTGACCAGCCCGTGAAAAATGACACCACGCTCGACGACATGTAGAAGCCATGTCACTCACAAGTCTCATTGTCTCATCCCCAGCATAGTTATTCTTTAGTTGAGCGACGCCTAGGCCGTTTGATGCACCACTCACTCTTCATGTGCGGATATTTTACACGGGCAGAGATACATAGACGATGATAATAATCACATAATAGCCAGCTTATGCCATCCATCCATCTAATCAAGCTCATTTATTTACTCAATTGCAAAAATGAAACGGTATACAGTCGTTTATTATGAAGTCTAGACTGGGCTGCAGACGAGCTTATAAACATACGACAACTTGCAGACTGTGTCCAACATGACAAGAGCCGCAATTTTGTATGCATGCATGATTTTTTAAATTCCGCACGACAAGTCATTTGGTTTTCCGTTGAGGATTGCATAAAAGGCGTGGGTGCATCTCTGCCAAACGGATAATTTGAATTAGTTTGAGGAAAAGAAAGTGCTCCGATGGGAGTACTTTTCATGTGACGTGTAAAAGATGGATGGGTGGATGGATGGTTAAAATACGTTCAACTTTCCTCGTCCGTCGTCAACTTGATCTTTGGCAGTGAGTGGTTCTGCTGGTCTCGCTCTCTTATTTTGGTTCCAAAGCGACTTTGGTAAACCAGTCCGTGTGGATGAGATGGATGGTGCGACCTTTGTCCCCTTTTCTTGTCTTACATTAATTTGTGCTGGAATAATAACTTGCTTGCTTTGGCTCTTTGACTATGCACGAATGGATTTAGGATTAGAGAGAGGACGTGAGCAAAAGTAGATGGACATTCATTTTTGAGCGCGGCATGAGTTGTTGTGAAAATTGATAACAACTTAATTTAATTCACTTTACTCGTCTTTTTGTCCATGGGCCCGGCCTATTATATAACAGCCTCCCACCCCACACACATTTTTTGTATCACTTTTATCATTGCATGCTCAAGCCAACAACTTTAGTGTAAATGGGGCCCATTTTTGGGTTCATATCTGTCGTCCGTATGTGCATGCGGCGGAGTTAATTTGCAGTTTATTGACTTATTCCAGCAAATATATAATACCACCAGAGTCACTCAAAGAGGAAAATAAACAGATAAATGTCAGAAGCACATTAATTAATTAATTTCAGCGATAATTTGGCATACACATTAAAGTAGCATTAGTGTTGATTTGATATTCGTTACTGTTACCTTCAAAATCACAACAAGGAAAAATGAGGTTCAATGTCACAAAACAAATATAGCATGAGACATGCAAATTTCTTCACCTTTCACCATTCCACAACAGAGCCAAAAAATATTTCAAGTTGTTCATGATTAGATTTCATAAATATGTATTGGTTGAAGTCGTCATACGCATTCAGGAATAGCGATGCATTCATGTCATGTTACACATGTAATAACTCGAATGATGGCTGCTTTTTGTATTCGACCCACTCTTCGCCATGTTCAATATTCTACCATTATTTATTGTGTGTCGTTGCAGGTCAAAAGAAAATCAACAACCATGCCATCCATCACTTTAGCTTTTCCGACAAGTTGGGGAACATGAAGATTGAGGGGGCGACCCTTCACGTCCACGTCAAGTTCCTCACTCCCAACGCGGACAAGAAGTCATATTCCATCCGCCTCATGGAAATCGTGCCCACGTTGGCCAAAGGAGACTCGCCAGTCTCCATCCAAGTCGGGTTAGTTGACAATATATCTAAACCCAAGCATAATCTGGAGGAGAAAGTAAAAAAAATGCGGACAATTTACCAATTTACTAATTCTTCCTTCCTTTCTCTGCCCTTTAAACAGGTTGTTCAAGCCCAACTCTCACACCACGTCAACCGTAACGTCAGGTGGGAGACATCGGCCGCAAACCAAGTGGATCCAGGTGGAAGTGAAGCAAGCCTTGGTGAACTGGATGGCGGAGAAGAAGTTTGGCTCCTCCAAGAAGATTGCCCTCATCATTGAAGCCGTCGAGGCCAACGGGCTCCCATCCAAGGACGTCGCGATCGAGACGGCCACCAATGACATCAACAATGTAAGAACGACTAATAAAAGAAGGCCTCGCCACCACGAGATTTTGTGTTCGCAGTCAAGTTAACTTTCGCTTTCACTTTCCCCCCCAGCAGTATCCCTTCATTGAGGTCCAAGTTTCTGAAAATGGCAAGTCCAGACCCCCACGAAACTTGGGAATGACGTGTGACGAGAACTCTCAAGAGGACAGGTGCTGTCGATATCCTCTCACCGTGGATTTTGAAGACTTTGGCTGGGACTGGATCATCGCGCCCAAAAAGTATGATGCCAACTACTGTTCCGGAAAGTGTCCCTACGCCTTTTTGCAGAGGTATCCCCACAACCACATCGTGCAGCAGGCCAATCCTTCGGGGGTTGGGGGCCCATGCTGTGCAGCCAGGAAGATGTCATCAATCTCCATGCTCTACTTCGACTCTGACTCCAACATTGTTTTCTCCGTACTTCCGGGGATGGTGGTGGACAAGTGCGGGTGCTCATAATTGCACTCAAAGTACGATATTTATTTTTAGGGTTCAGTTTATTTTCAAACCAATTTCTCAACTTTGAATTCCCTCTTTTCTTATACAACTGGCAATATTTATTTAGTTGTGCCGATCATGTTTGTTAGTTCGCCTCTATAGTATTTTCATGGGTAGCATGTACAACAATCAACACCAGAAACGATCAATATCATCATCGCAAGACGTGTGTGATACCCTGCACTGTTCATATTTTTATACTTTAGTTTGTTGTCAATTAGTACAAAAATACCATTTATTTTCGTACACACCTTTTCACACTTTTTAATTTTATTACGACTATAGTATCGCTAATTTTAGGATTCGTCTAGTTTAACACAGTTTAATGAGAGCATCCAATCACGGTGAATTGTAGTTGAAAGAGTCAAGAGTCATGCAATTGTTAACCAATCTCAAATAGCTTGTATTAATTAAGAGTAATATAGCGCATAGGATTTTTATGGCATGACTGACATATAATTTAGGAGATATTTAGATATATTTAGGATGACAGAGAGGAAGCCGAATTTTCTAGGGCTTAGTTCCAATTAAGGCAAGCAGTATAAAAAGTTGTACCGATTTATGTAACTCAAATAATGGATATTTACTACTTTTACATGCGACCCATGACACACACCAATGCCACTTGCTCATTATACCGACGACTGTGAATAACTCGTCAAGAATTATAGGACAGAGTGTTTTTTAGGGCCCCACAGTTTGAGCTAGTTTGAAGTTTGATTGCAACCACCCACTCTGGACATACCGTGATAATCAATCAAATCGTTTAGGAGTCCTACGAGATGGGCAAAGTGATTTGAGCGCAGTTTGATTCGAGGGCTTTCACCATAAACTATCCTCCACTTTTTTGTTTAGTTTAAATAGAATCGAATCCAAAAAGAGTCATTTTATAGTAATTATTCGAAGGAGTCATCACGATGACACGAGTCGACCCCCCACACAGTCATACTTACGAAGATGATATACATACATTTGTCTGCCGGCTTCACTTCGTTACTATTAATTAGGTTCATGTGTGTGGTGTTATGTTTTTGATTTATCATGATTATCATGATCATTATTACTCAACGACTCCAGCTCTGTCATAAATTAGGGAGACAATTGTCAGGCTCGAATCTCACCCGTCAGGTCCACTCGAATCGAATGGCATGTAAAGTATGGATGATTACAGTAACTCTTGTGGGGTCATAGTTCCTCTTCTCCAACCAACCAACCATCCGGCCCAGTAGCATCTAGAAATTACTAAAAATGTCAGATTCATCTAATTTGAATTCGAAATCTAAAATTGTTAAAATTCCTCAACTATCTATTTAAAGGTTGTTTTGTAGTCTACTTTTTACTAACTTAGTTTTAGATTATCATTTGCTATTGATGTACAAGTCTGACTTAAATAGTTTAAAGTGAAGCCCATTACACACATTGTCTCAATTATTTACAACCACTTGCGGTTTAATGTATGTAAATAAAATGGGTAATATAAGCCGAGCTTATTTTGTATCTCTCTCTAATAGCAAAGAATAGGGATCCAGAAACCGTGTTCAATCGTCGATATGTAAATTTTGTTATTATAAACAACATCGTTCTTGTTTTATAACTATAATTATATGATTATCACGTATGCATATTAAATCCGTAGCGTAATGGAGAGTTTGAAAGGTGTAAATATTTAGTTGTGGGCGCCTGTATGATTCTAGAAAAAAAGTGTGTAGATTTTTGAGCTGGGGTGTGACTGCGTCCAACTCCTCCCTCGACCAATTTAGAATGTTATGTACATTGCATAGCCATAATTTACTAAATATTTGTAAAATGTATGGCCAATTATCCCCCGTGAAAATACTTACACGACCCATACTTACTAGGATGCAATTCCTAGCATCATCATAATATTAGCGCGTGCACTTGTACAAAAATTGATCAAGATTGTATGTTTTATCGTTTTTGTAAGGATAGGATAGGACCTGCTGAACATGAAAAGTATACTTTGCAATTAAATTATTAAATGATAATAAGAATACGAACTGTTTGTGTGAGATTAGTAAGTTAAGAGAGAGGGAGATAACTTATGCACCCGTGAAGGGAACAGGTGACGGAGAAGATAAGGGACGAAAGGAATTCCACATAAATAGCTTACATTTTGTGATATTTCAAGTTTATATAACGTGTATGTATGTAGAATGGGAAGAAGAAAGTAGTCTCATTCTTCCCCGTATGTATATACTACTAACTTACTTAGGATTAGAGCTGATACTGCTATTATATCACAATGTTCATCAACTGAACTGAAAATAAAGAAAAGTTTTATAAAAATTAGATGACCTGTTCGAGTATTATCTGAAATGATTTGCTGGGCGGCATGAAGACCAGATTGCACAAATCCATCATATTTATGCATATTGGCATATCCTTGACTTGTGCTATGGAGTACTATGTATTTAATATTATTACTTAAATATTAATACCCCCTTCATTTGGTGCGATGCATGGTAAAACTGGACGGATACAGGTTTTCTTCGTTCTGAAATCCATTTGATGGGGCAAAAAGACGACGAGGATGAAAGAGAAAGCAACCCACGCAAGTCCCCGACTTTCTCTGCTTTATTCCTTCTGAAAAATATATAGGTCGACCATACTTATATGACAAATATGGACATAGCAATAAATAAATATAAATGCCTCCATTAAATAAGGACCACTTTAATCTTTGACAACCGAATAAACTATTATTAAGTCATTCATTTGATGTTCTGCTAAAAAACTTGGGAATATCATTCGATCATCATCAGCCATCGGTATAGTCGAATCAAGATGCACATTCATGATTACATGGAACATTATGGAACTTGAGTGCTTACAATTGTCAACGTAAATATTGCCAGCAATTTTCTCCAATCAAAAAGCACAGGAGGAAGAAATTATGCGTTGCAAAAGTAAAAGTGCAACATGAGAAAGTCAGAGTCGCATCCTCGAAATCAATTCAGAAATAAGTACTTACTGATGCATACATAAGCAGAAAACCTGCAGCTTCAGCCAGCATATTCTCGTACAATATTACTTCTATGAATTGCTTGATCTCCACAGATTACACAATTTCCACCCACCATCACCACTCCCACCCACGCCAGCCATCATAGTCGTCTATCCTACAACATGTGTGTCTGCCAAGCATTTATTCAATAGGGGATTGGGAGGATTTACGTGTACTTATGGTCTTGTCGCACCAAAATGCCATCTTGTAAAAAATTATCATGTTACACTCTGAGTGATATTGAAAATTTCAGAATATGTATGTAGCACCAAGAGAACGCCATCAAAAGGTCAGGTTACTCGATATTCCCCAATGAAATGGATTTGAATATTCTCCCTTTTTTAACTGGTACGTCTCACTCCCACCAGCACCACCACTTCCTGTCCATGAAAACATTATTTCCCATTCCACGAGGAAAAATCATGAATGAAATCCCGAGCGAGGAGTCGTAGGTCGTAGAAATGGCGAGGAGAATGCAGCAGAGTATTAACATTATGCAATAACATCCTGCATTCTACACACATACAAACATTACGTGCATTCATGAGTGATATGACGTCAATCAAAATAATTAAAGATCCACGCTATGCATATTAGTATTTATTTGGTGGCGACGAGTGCGGAACGAAAATCGTCGTCGAAAATAGTAATGCTTTTCGTGCAAATATTAATACGTGTGCAAATTTGACGCGAGCATTGTGTCATGGCTGCCACTGGTGATTTTCTTGAAGTAGAATTACTTCAACACCATCCGGGTCTCACGGATTATTGTTCAACCTCAACCTCACTCTTCCTTCATCGGGTAGACGTTGATGGATGGAGACAGCTCCAGTTTCACGTTTTATGATCTCGAATACTCTTTTTAATTCATTCTCTCTTTTATGATTGTTGAAAATGATGTTGCGCATTTAATTTCACTACAAAAATTCATTCAGAGTCGCGTCTGTTGGGTTAAGCTAAATAGAAAACTAGTGAGCGGTTAGAATCATTAATAAGTTTCTTATACCCAGTGTTTTACGTACATATGAATGAACCTGCCTTCGTTCACACGGATGCTCATAACTGCCTAAAAGTTTTAAGACGTCTACATAACTGCTCACCTATCAAGAGATAGAATAGCACTCATAAATACTATTTATAGCAGCATTATCAAGTTTACATTGCCCCCACTCCTTAGTTGAAGGTCATGGAAGGAAGTATTTCTTAACGTACAAGTACAGAAAGTTTGAATTACATTTGAATGCATATGGATTCCGTCCATAAGGGATCCGTTTGACTCTTGAGACAAAAACTGTACAGTAACAATACGTACTTATTAAGACGTACACATGTCCTCCTAATGTCGTCAGAGGTGCAGAGAACGTTGGTTGGTGTGGGTGAGACCTTGGCTCAGTAACTGGGTGACTCTTGGGAGAAACTTATGGGATTGAAGGGGCCAAGGTAATCAGAGTGGGAGCTACCTCACAACAATAGCCTTCAAGCTTAGTTTATGAAAGATGAAATTGAGAGAAACTATATATTCCATTTACTTCCGAGAACTAAAATCATCACGCCAGCCAAGAGCCATGTCAGTCATACACCTACGCATTCTTCTAGATACAAATGACGAAAAATGGCAGTGAGTGACGCTTTTGTTTATGTCTGGTTGTGGAACGGAAAAAATGAGACAAATAAAACAAACCCACCTGCGCCTTCAATTCCAGTCCGTCCTACATATGTAGCATGTCTAAGCACCCAAAATTCCAACTAATTGTGACCTCAAATATCAAAATTATACCCACAGAAGAGGTATCGATTGTTGTTTAAACTTTGCCTACTCAATTTCAGATACACATTTATATTGTGGAGTCATACAAACCACGCTTGGTTTCTCATAATGAAGCAGCTATGTAACTTGAACTGTTTCACCCACGATTATTTTTTAATCATTCATCACAAGTCACTACTCTCAACCATTCATCGGAGCTAGGGTTTGGTTCATTAAAAAAACTTCACAAGCCAGTCAACGCAACAATTTTTCATTCCACTAAAAATGAAAATGAAGGAGACAATTGAACAATTGAACATTTTTCTATTTGTCCTTCTCGTCCATGGATTCGCGACACCAGATTGGGTTGGATTTTCGAACGTGGTACTGCACCCAATCAGCCAAATCTAAACGAGAAGAGAGTTCAGTTCACCAAGAATCGACTATTTATATGACATATCGCCAGAGTATTGTGATTCGTACCAGTGACACGACTGTATATTCCCGGACGGTCCTTTCTGGCACAACCCTCACCCCAGCTCACAATACCAATTTGCAGAAATTGACCGTTAGCCTGCTTCAATGCAAGTGGACCTATTTTTGAAATGTCGGATGAGATAGGACATTCAAATTATGCGATTAATGAATAGTTTTATCCTTACCACCACTGTCACCCTGTTTTAATGGTGAAAGAAATTTGTTATCATTTTTATATATAATTCTCAACTTTAACTTCACGATAATCACGATTGCTTGACATCCAGTGCCTAAATGCTAAAGAATCGTGATTCATAATGTTGTTTTACACACAGTGCAGGAGTCGTGACTTCCGTCAGGGTATCCTGCACACAGCATTCTGTCCGAGAGTTCCGATTCCATCATTGCTGCACAGTCGTCAATAGGGAGGACAGGGACGTCCAGTTTCTGAAATTGCATACATTTCAACAAATTTCTGCATTTATTTCAATCTAAATTTAGTATGCGAACCTGCAGTAGGCGCGTTGTGGCGCCGGCCGTCTCTTCAGGCAACCCCCACCCCACGACTTTCGGAATAGTCCCATCGAAAGTGCGACGATCCCCGACCTTAATAATCGTTCGAGTAGAATTGCATCCGAATCAGAATCATATGAAAATCATAAAAGAAATAATCAAATATATTAATAAGTAATACGAAGAATTCATATTCAGATGAGATTCCTTTTATTTTATAATAAAATAATCCCACCTTTGGGAGACAGATGGGAGTGGCTTCAATAGAAGCCAAATCGACTGGGTGTGCCAGGCGAAGAAGAGCCACGTCAAAGTCATACTCCTCCGTGAACAAGGGGTGCATAATGATCTCTGCAATGTCCAGGCGAATCGTGCGTTCATCTTCATCCGTCACAGCTTTTTTGTTCCACCCAGATCCTTTTATTGACCCTTGCTCCCTAAGCGTCGTCGTATCATGCATGTACATATGTAGCAAAGTTAGTGATGTCAATATATGTAGATGCACCCTTGCCACGACCTACCCCAATTCTGCCTTATCGTTGGCAGCATCCGTTTTCGTAAAATCTAGCAGGTGAGCATGAAGTAAGACTTGGATTTGGTTCGCTGTCGTATTTGTGAACCAGAAGCAGTGAGCCGCGGTTAAAATCCATCTGAATAAGTTCAAGGCATTTCAATGAGGTGGACCTGGTGTAATTATACGGTAATACTATGCTTGTGATATTACTGCTTATTATTACGAAGCTCACCGATCATTGATGAGGGCAGATCCGCAAGTGGGTTCACGCGTCCCAGTCTCTACCACAGCACCTTGCCATGGGAATTCAAACTTTTTGGCATCCTCACCATTCACAATACGGTCATCCAGGTTCTGGATTCCACACACTGGAAAACGACGTTGGAAAATGATAGTATACTTCCCTATGCTAACTCACATTATTTGTCTCCATAAATTAATGATAAAGAAAGTTATACCGCATCGGTTATCAATCTTCTTCTTCTTGGTTTTGGAGAGGAGGTCTGCAAAGGAAGATTATCAATGATGTGCAATAATATGAGGTACATCAACATCTTTCAATACAAGTCCGTATGTGCATACCTGGGAGGACGCCCTTTCGCCCAAGCCCACATGACGCCTCACACTGCACTTTACCTCCTGAATGCCCCTTCACCGTGATGAAGAGGTCCCTCGCCCCGTATCTGTTTATATATCACTCTCTTTTACATGATCTATATTATTTATAGACCAATATTATGTTTTGTGTATACGATGCTCGGACGCCCCTCTTGTCCAACGAACTCTTGCCGCACACTCTGTGATTTCCACCCCAGCCGTCAGAAATCTCGAGGTAGCTATCCTCGCATTCCTCACCATCCTCCCCATGCAGCTGGATTGATCGACACCGGATCTCAGGCTGGCATTTGGGAGTGCCCTTTTTTGGAAAGAAAAATATCACAAATTGATTGCTATTACTCCTTAAATCCATACTGAGATCTGTCGACTTACTAATATGGTAAAATTGCAATTTTTTTGCGACCCGGCATCGATATGGACTGGGCCAGTAGTCACCAAATCGTAGACCTTGGAACATTCCCCATTGACTCCTTTTCCAGTTGCTTCACCACCTACATAAACATTTCCCACAATTCACAATTACGCGTAATGCTAATTAAAAAAACACGTCGATGCACACTATACAAACGCTCCTTTTCACCACAATACTCTACGTAGAATAGATGCAAACTTATTATACTTGTTCCGGACTCCTCCTCCCCCTCGGTCTCCTCCGATTCGCCACCCTCGTCCGCCGCGGTCTCATCCACGCCCTCGTCCGCAGCAGACTCAGCCGACTCGGACCCTTCTTCTTCCGACCTCTTGGATTTACCGGTGGGTGTGCTTCGACCAACTCTTGCTAGTCCATCCGCCTCCTCCTATTGTTTAACATGCAGTAATCCAAATCAAATCCACTCCATGATTTTTTATCATGATTCCAATAATCAAAGCAGAAATCAACGAGTTAATATGTTTTGCACAACATGCTTAAAACCCACTAGAAAAAATCTTACCAGGAGAAGAGCCCCCAGCGCAAGGATTATCAAGATGTGAAAGCACTTGGAGGTCAACATCTTCGAACCTGAAAGTGGAACAACCTCGTTCACAATAAAGTGAGGCGACTCCCTAATCAGTGACCTACGCGACAAACAATGCCCAGAAACGGGACACGATAACATACACCACAGTCCTTATAATGATGTTTGATCAACATCAACAAAAAACATTGATGCACAATAATAACCAGGAAATAAGCACTTAAATTGCAAGTTTAAAATCTATTTATTATGAATGCCGAGCTCATAAACCATTCACTTGACTGAACAAGTAAAACCAACCTAAGAGTTGAGTTAGCGACAGAGCTTAGATTAATAAAAGTGATTGAATGACTGATCATGTAAGTACTTTAAATTGTACTGGAACCTTTCGCTTAATCACCGCGACACATAATCAAAATTTAGGTTTGTTATCACGAACGTACATATTTAGATAATATTTAAACCAAACTGTTCTGGCTTCATTTCTCAGCTTTATTGGGGCCAAATTAGTGACACAGCCAAGTCCATTTATATATCTCTGTCAAATGTATTTCGATGATTCAAGGATGAGTTAAACTGGGTCACAAATTGCGACCTCGAAATGAAAGTTGCTTCCCAGTAACTTCCTATCTTTTTACCTCTTTTTAGATAAACATTTTAGATAAAGTAAGGAGTTTCTTTGGTTGGAGCATTCTCGACCATTTGGGGGAGAGAGTGGGAGAAATCGAGTGCTAGAATCTCGTCCTAGAATCCGGGATCAGACTGGCCCTAATTTCGTACTTCGTATTTCGCTATTGTTTGTAAATTCTTTCATCCACCGGGAGTTAATTTATTGCGTTCGAAAATGTGTTCAATAGCGTTGGTCATATAAATTAAAATGATAAATTCACAAATTCGTTAAAAAATATAATCTATATTTTCCAAAACGTAAACGAGAAACACATAGTACTTCTCACGTTACAAGTAATTAACATATTGGGACGAGAGAGTTTATCAATTTAGGTAATCACTATCATATTACGTGTATGGTATGAAATTGCTCGACGCTATCACTTTTGAGTACACTATCCCATCTATTTATGACAAGCTCCAACAAAAGGAGGGGCTAAAAGGTCTTCTTGATTCTCTGGGGGAAGACGGCGTCTTTAGCAGAGTTGAAGAACTGGAGAAGTCCATACTTTTTACCCCTCTTTTTGAAATAGTTGCTCACAACGTCATTGTCCGCATCCTGTCCCAAGAGGGTGGATTTTTCAGCTTGGGTAGGAAGGATGAGATCGTTGGCTGATAGGGATACAAAAAAAGAGAAAGGAACCATCCACATGCACAGAGTGAAATAAGCCATCACCTAAAGGGAAAATAAATATGTAATTAAACGCCGTGGTGGTCGGTCACTTTTGTAAATGGACTCACTTGAACAAATGGATAGAAGTTGTTGCTAAAATGGGAGAAGGCAATATAGTGGTTGACGATGACGAAGAAGAGGGTCGAGATGAAGGCAGGGGAGGAAACTCTAAAGTAGGGAAATGTTTGCATGACGTATAAATGCGCCAACTGTGCTCCCATACCGCACAGGGTCATAGGCAGAGGAAAGTCTTCAAAGAGCAAGAATCCGACAAACACACCAAAAACGATCTGCAAAAATGACAGAACAATTAATATATATGAAGAATAGGTGATGGCGATCGTTGATCGACAGTTGCTTGAAATGCTTGAAATATTTTACACATACAAAGATAAGGACTCTAATGATACGAGCTGCAGCAGAAGTGAACTCTTCCACCAACTCCGCCAAGTAATACAATCCAGATGCTAGAATAAAAGACTTACAATTACTTGCAAAGATTGGGCATGTATTACATTAATTTCTAGATATTTAAATTTCCTTATTACCCAGAGCTAAGGAAGCAAAGGCAAACTGGATGACGAGTGAAATCCAGCCTAAGGTCCACAAAAACCACATTGTTCTGAGAAGGGGATCGACCAACGCCTCATTTACATGAAGCAACTATAATTGTTGAGAATAATTAAGTCGATGTTACTCATTTTACAAAATCAAAGGAATAAAGTTTGCATTGCTGATAATGACTGGTATTGATAATTGCAAACTTAAAAATACTCACGCAATATCTATGTCCAATCAATAAAGCACTGTCATCAAACCAGTATTAGTTAATAGATACCGAGGTATAACTCTAACTAACGACAACTCTACTTGTTAAAATGATAACAGCAGACGTACTTATTTACTAAATAAATAAACTCAAAAAGTGCAGCAGTTGCAAATAATTTTGCTGCTGATCATCACTCATTTCGCAGCATTTTTGCCACCCGGTTTTACTCGATGACTATGTAAAATTAAACTATCAATGCTAATTACTTGATGTCAAAATAAATATGGTTATGCGATTTAGAAATTTATTACTATTCATCAAACAATTACATAAATTGTCAATAAGTACTGTCAATAAATAAATAACTTGAATAGGGATTTTTGGAACAAACTACCAGATAATAGATAGATTGTAAATCACGCAATAGTCTTTCAGCGCATCTCATATTTTATGATTACTGATTAAGAATCATAGTTTAGTATGAATAACAATATAAACAAATAATGACCCATCATCGTATCGTATGAGGTTTTAATTACAATAAGGTAACTCGGTTTTGTGTTCTTGGCCCTTTCGAAAACGATCGTCACTATCGACGAATCTTATGCCGACGTTTGAGGCAATTCCTTCAGTTGCTTTAATATGGTATCGTGCAGTTTCTTTTTGTCACGTTCATCCTTTTTGAGCACGGAAAGGATTTTTTTCTTATCACGGTCAGATTCGCGAATTCTGTAAATCAATAACAGAACATGTGTTACATAAATTTTAGAGGTTACATTAAGGATTATTGGATTATAAATTAAAACGTGTGTATTTATATACTTTTCTAAGACTTTAATAGCTGCTTGCGGCGTGACTCGCGGGTATTTGGAGGTAGCTTCCCCAAAATCTCGAAAATATGAAGAGAAGTCGCACTGGTTAAAAAGATCCAGGATCTGCCGAGAATCTATGAAACACTCGAGGAGTAGAGTTGGATCAAGATCTTTCACAGGTTGAGATTGTGCATACTCTGTAAAAATATTGTATCAAATAGAAATATGTTGTGCTATGCGCTGATTAATACAGTATGGAGTTTAATGTGAGGTGGGTAAAAAGGCAATAAATTAAAATATTCAGACATACGTTCGCACTGGATAAGATCCAGTTCTAGTTGTCGCAAAGCGCCCAGAGATATCTGTTTCACATCATCATCCAGCATTAAGGATGTCAGGCGTTTGTTGATATGTTGACAGGCAGCGACACACGCAGTCCTTGCTACTTTAGCCTGGTGAAAGAGATCATTAATTTATTGACTAAAATTTTAAGATAAAGATAAGTTTTTCGTACTGGCAAATTGGTAAAGGCAAGAAATATTGACTGGAGAAATGCTACAAGATCGATTATGTAGTCAGACGCCAGGCCCTGCGGCTCTGTAAGGTTCCAGTCATAATTGGCGAGTTCAAAAGTCTCATCAATTTTGATTTTAAGCTTTTCATAAATTTGTTCCTCAGCTTCGGCCCGAGCATCCTTGAACATTGACTTTCCCTGCAGCTCCGCCTTGTGGGACATGTTTTTAACGGAACCACTGAAACGACACAAGAAAAATTATGCCACATTAATTAATTAAGGGGTGAAAGCCCTTTATAAGATCGTTATGTCCGTCCGTCCGTCCGTCCGTCTGTCTGTCCGTAGCTCCGATAACTTTTGAACGAAAAGACATAGACACTTGAAATTTTGAACGTAAACTCCTAACGTCAATGGACAGGACGAGTTCGAAGATGGACACTGTGACATCGTCACCTGTGACGATGACGTCGTCACAGTGACGAAAAGTGACGAAAAAGTGTCACGTGTCAGTTTTGACATGTGACACATCATTTTTAACTATTTTTCAATGAGGAATTCGAAAATTCATGTCATTTTGCGGTTGGACGTCACCTGTGACGATGACATCGTCACGGTGACGATGACATCGTCACGGTGACGAAAAGTGACGAAAAAGTGTCACTTGTCAGTTTTGGCATGTGACACATCATTTTTAACTAATTTTCAACGAGGAATTCGAAAATTCAGGTCATTTTGTGTTTGGACGTCACCTGTGACGATGACATCGTCACGGTGACGAAAAGTGACGAAAAAGTGTCACTTGTCAGTTTTGACATGTGATACATCATTTTTAACTTTTTTCAATGTCAAATTCAATGGTGACCTCCATTTTGACCTCAGAGGTCATGTAAAGGTCATAGGACATATCTATTTCAATTTCAACTGAAATTTAACCCCGAATTCAATGGTGACCTCCATTTTGACCTCAGAGGTCATATAAAGGTCACATAAGGGTTATCAACTGTTAAATTTGACACAAATAAGACACAAAAGTCGAAAACACGTCAGAAGTGTCAATCTTAACAAATTTTCGAACAATTTGATATTCACATTGACGTATGACACTCCTTTAACCCCTTGGTTACATGCGTTGTAACGGTTTATTATTCTTTAAGTGATATTCCAAATTAATATTATTCTTGAGTGAGTTTATATATTTTCAGTAGTTTAAATTTCCTTCATAGCAAGTTACTAACCCCGTTACTTCGCTTATATATTCCTCCAAGTAAGCGTTCGTAAGTTCCAGATAGTTGGTATTTATTGTGATCTGAATAAGCTGCAGTAGTCCGATGCTATGTTTCTGAATGAGGGTGGTTAAACAGCCACTGAGGGTTATGGTGAGGAGTTGATTCGTAGACTTTCTCATCATATCGTCAACTTCGGTTTGACTGAGATTGAGCTCCTCTGTATATTTTAGAGACGCATTCACAAAGTCTTTCACTTGCTGATACACGCGAGGAACCATCAACGAGAAGGGAAATTTCCTTGGGAAGCTGGCATTTTCCAGGGAGGCGTCAATGTAAGGAAAAGTTCGAATCACATTGTCGTACTCGTTGTCATTCTGGACCTATTGTGGATGAAACGTGACTTAATAAATAGTAGAGTTAAAACTCACAACAGCATAACAGGGCCCATGCAACGTCAAACCGTTTGACCCAAGTAAATTCTTGACCAGATACTTGAATAGACGACAATCGCTAACCTGGAGTGGGTGGTAGGTGTCCTCATCAAATATTTCTCGAAAGGAGTGAACACATCGTTGCATCAGCACATCAGTGTAATGTTCTCGAATTTCTTGCAGAGTGACAGATAGTTGTGAGACGTTATATCCGTAATTCTATACATAGTAATATTTGATATATACTTCCATGCATGTGTATGAATTTACAATACATGTAACACTTTAACCAAAGAGTCTTACGCCTAGAGTATTGGAAAACAGCATGATTAGTTTTTTAATCTCCAAAATGGTTCCGGCATCTGTGCAGTACGACTAAAATGTAGGAATCAAATTATTAAAAATAATAGCTGTCTGTATAATTGTGACGTTATGCACATTTATTTATATAGCGATGTTCTTTCCTTACGGCATATGTTCGCAAAGTGTTTGCAATCTTTGGCAATGCACCAGCCCACATTTCCTCCAATATTGCCTGACTGACTAAACCGTTAGTTGTATAAAGGAGATGATTTTCAATGACAAAGAATCCAACGATTGCATTAAAATATTCCTCATATCCGTACAAACTCTCGTGTTGCTGAAGAATAATGAAATAACAAAATATTGCATTAAATCTAAGTTGAAGCATTAAATGCAATAATATAATAAGTTATTATTAATAACTAATTGTTAACGAACCATATTGCCGGTCGCCTGAAGAACCAGAATGGATTGTTCTTGACGTTGTTTACGATAGTAATTTTCAAACGTCTGTCTGTCCCCGAGAACCGTGAATATGTGAAAACAACGATACAATGGAGAAAAGTCAACTAAATCTTGGGCGCTCATTCCCTCTTCCCCGTCCAGTGTTCCATCTGTCAAGGCAGCATCGACGTCGTCCATATCGGCTAGAGAAAGGAAGAGCCAGTTAAATTAGTTGTGTCATACATAGTACAAAAAACATTAAGAAATGCTGCAAGTCCATTACAAAGTAGTATTTATTTAAATAGTTGGTGAAATTACCTAAAGCGGACTGACTAGGGGAGCCAAATAAAACTTTTCGTCCTCCTCCTTGACCTTCCCCGCTGGTGTACATAATTTGTTGCTCATTTGTCTAAATAATTATATATGTACTTGTACACACTATTATTTGTTTATAGAATAGATATTGGGTGTGCAGGCACTGTGCGCGTCGGCTTACGTGTTTCATGGCCACTTCTCCAATTTTTGAAGAATATTTTCGGACATTTTCCAGGAAATCTTTCAATTCGGACATGCTTGATTCTTGAATCTGTTTCCTAAATCTGAAACAAAATGAATGGTTAAGTGCGGTTGTTGATATGCGATTAAATTAAATCAATGTATATATAATACAATTTTTGCGTGGGCTAGTAAAGTAAAAAGGGTTTTCCTTTACTTACTTTGGAATGCATTCTCTAAAATGATTTGTGAACCGGTAGCGAGAAACTTGAGGAAGATATGTGTGCTCCAACTGTTCCAACGACTTCAATGCGGGGTAATACCTGAAATGTTTTGTTAATAATTTAATAATTAGTTCACAGATATCCATCTATCCATAAATTTTTACAAAATTGTATTACACCTTTTTTGTTCCAATTGTTCTTTCAATTTTTGATACATTTTGAACAGAGGTAAGCAAATCTCTAGCTGCTCAATCGTGGCAACAATATTTCCTTCTACTCGTTGAGCATTGGCCAAATCCTCCGCTCTCTGAAGGACACTGGTGACTTCCAACTGCAACTCGTTATCCATGGAGGATATTCTTCCCTAAATTCACACCAATTCAATTTGAATATAAGGATCATGCATTCTTGTGGACATTTGAACTAGTTAGTTAGCATCAAATATTAGCAAATGACTCACTTTAAGGTCTTGGGCCTCAGCCCGGACATTGTGGAGTTCTAATATAGAGTCTATGAACCCCTGATAGTGAACATTGCACAGTTTTTCAATGTCGCGATCATGCCCTTTGATCCGTTGTTCTAGATGGTCCAAGAATCTTTGGTGACGTCCATCTTCGATTATCGTCCTAGAACATGAAACAACGAATAACACAATTCTTATTATTCTATTTCGTAGGTTTTATTTGATTTTATTATTATGTTGTTCAATCTACCGGAACGTAGGACCCCAATAAGTGTCCAAAGCTTCTATTTCTTGGGCAAGCTGTTCATAATTTTGTGAATCGGTCATGGTTGCAGTGGTCAACCCTTCTTGATTATTGTTCCCAGAGGCGCCGGCACTAGGACCGATGTTATCAGTAGCACGGTTCATTTTGTTTTCAAAATAACTGCCCCCACATAATTAATTTGAGCATCTCCTCTGACCTGCTAAAAAATACTTCCACCCACACTCATTAAGTCCAACAAACAACAAAGACTGTACACCAAAAGAACAATAGTGAATAAATCTTAAATTAAGATTCTTAATCAACATGCGATTTTTTTAACAACGTCAATGTCAAAGTGGAACCGGCGGCGTCCCTCCCATCCAACCTGACCCGACTATGCTAGTAATTAAGTTGAGTATGAAGTGAAATAAATATTTCCTCGATTTTTCATATTTAAGCAATCTGGCAATTAAATAGATACAGATGAGTGTAGACAGATGAGGGAGTGAAAGTTATTTGAGGAACTCTCTTCCCGGTCAGTTGGTGTGTAGCGCTTTATGCTTCGGATTTGCTGCTGTCAACAGACTTGGTAAAAGAGAAAGAAGAGAAAGCACTCTATACTATTTTGTAGTAAATTAAAGGGAATAAGGCACCAAATCCCAAGATATAAAGAACTCCTCGTTGTACCGATGGAGTATTGATTGGAGAAAGCGAGGAAAGAGTCGAAGGGAGGGAGGAAATTCGTCATACTATTTTTCTCGACGCTAAACTGAAATACGAAGAAGGCAATTAAAGTGCTATGACTGAAATGCATTCGTCCTCGTCCTCGAATTCTCACCACCACCCTGCACCACAGCGCCCCAGGTCGCAGGTATTTGCTGGGGACATGATTCCACAGTTAGAACGACTAGAAAGTACATCCTCCAGAACGTCCACCCCACATTCTCACTCCCATTCTTCCCACTCTCATCATCACCAACAGCAGGTATGCATTACAATTGGACTAGTTAAATTGATTAAATGGATTGATTAATATAAAATTTATATTATAAATATCATGGATAAATAAATAAAGGCTTTTGGTCTCATGGTGTCTTTTCCATTTGCAGTTTACGAAACATCATTCAGAAATGGAGGATCTGCGAAGTCGTGTCAATCAAATGGAAAAGACGATGAAGTGGTGGTCCGACTGTACCCTTAACTGGCGAGAAAAATGGAGTCAAGTCCGAGCGGAGAGGAACAAGCTTAGAGAGGAATTGAAGCGGATAAAAGCTGGAAAACATCCTGTTGACCTCAAATCTCAAGGAACGCAGACTTGTGAGACTAATTCTTCTTCTACTGGATTTTATCATCAAACAAATAATGGAGGGGACTGGTATATGGCTGAGCAGATTATTGCCACCAAGCTACAAGACGCGTATAGGACGATTGCGATAGAACGAGAGTACGTATAAAATAAAATAATTATTATGTGGACTTAATTGGGAAAAGTATATGTACATAGTCGTCGAAATGAAAATGGTGTATCTACATATTTCTCTTTTTCCATTCGTGCATAGGGAGAAATTACACTTGCATCGGTCAATAGAACGTCTGCAGCAGGATCTCGCCGAATTTCAGACTATTTATCACGATTTACGGAGAGAAATCTATGAATTGAGAACGACTGGAGAAACTCGGAATCACAAACAAATATTAAATTCTCAACAAGCATTACACAAGGAGCAGACTCAAGGATATCAAGATATCATTAGACCCTTTCCAGAACGAAAAGGTGATGCCAGACCAACAAATGTTTCCAGACTCGCAAAATCTGACAAACATTTGCCCACAAAACCAATTAGTGGCGAGTCGCCTTCTGAGATCAACCGATCGGCAGGAGCAGGGATGAGTGTTATCCAACAGCCACCTTCACATTTGTTATCTGGTCATTCTCCTGCTAGTCACGTTGCAGCAGCTACTCCTAAAAAAGATTCTTCAGCAGTCGTCAGTTCAAGCTCAAAAAATCCGAGATCACCAATTTATGCAAATGCCAACATAGCAAAGTCACCCAAAATCATGGGCTTGAACAATCCACTTGAATCTGCTCCTCCACATGTTTCAGAACTTATACAACAACCGGCAACAACGGCTATGGTAGAAGATATAAATCTGCAGATCGTTGAGGATATTACTGCTCAGGATTCCCCTTCGGACTTTGGGGGTGCTAAGTTGAACATCATAGGAAATAAGCGTCTTGCTCAAACTTGCCAAGACTATGAAAATTTGAATGACCTTTTAAATGAACTAACATCATGTGGAGCGCAAGCTGAAATTCCATTAGTTAGACGTACAACCTCTGCTGCTGCAGAATTGTCGGTGTGTTCTACAATTTCAATGACCCACAATCTGAAAGAGCATAGCATTGAAATACTACCACCAAATACTACAAATGGTGGTGATATTGCTAAAATGGACAAAATTCCCACTGAAGTTGAAGAAATCCAAGAAGAAACACCCCTGTCATCATTCGATCATCATCATAGGAGTAAATTGGAATCCGAGACACCTAGTCGAAACCAAGTGGATTTAGTCCAAGTAAATACAAGTTCTGAGATCGGGGCGACTAGTCGTAATCATTCAGATGCGAGGGAGGAGGATAATACGACTTCCGACTTGAAAGACGGACTGCAAAATGATAAGCCTATCGTTAAAGTGGAAGCCACAGAAACTGCGTCCTCCCCTTCAGCTGATGCCGAAGATTTCCCTTCTAATAATGAGTGCCATGTTGCTTCTAGTCATAGTGACGGAACCGTTAAAGTTGAAGGGATAACTAAGAGTCTGACAAAGGAAATGCTAATACCACCCGCTTCACGAGATGAGCCCACCAACAATGAAGACCTTGTATTGAGTGACGGTGGCGATGTCAAAGGTCCTTCCGAGACTGATATCGAGGGACCAGCAGCAGCAACGACACCACGACAGGAAACTAACCAATCCAGCCCCCTTCTGAAAGAAGTTTGTTCACCGCAGTTGAACAACTGTGACGTATCTCTGGGGACGCCTGAGTCGTTGGTGTCACCATCAAACTCTGCGGGCGATGTTAAAGAACGAACCAGTGATCCTAATTCTAATGAAGAGGAACAATTGAAGAGAACAAGCAACGAACATAGGAACGTGGAGGACGATTCGGGTAACTCGGATCTTGAAAATGTTTTAGATCAGAATGATAAAGATTTTGCGACTTCCGTGTGATAAATTACTCATGCATTATTTCGCCGATAGTGAAGAGATTCAGATATGTATTATGTGTATGGGCAAGATCCTATCTGTTAAAGATCATTCACGTTTTGTCACACAAATTGCTCTCTTTAAAATGCAGAAATGGTTGCAATGCATGAAAATGATTTGTTACATAATACTGCTTATTTTGTAAAGTTGTTTTATGATTTGCAATAAGCTGCTTTTGTGCGAATTTACCTGTTGGAAATTGAAATCACGGAGAATGTCATCTTGTAATTATGCAAATTTTCACAGTCAGTGTAAGAAATTCTGGTCACAATAAATTAAAATAAAATTAAAATTCGAGACAAACTGCATTTAGTAATGCGGCATCACTGCTTTCTTTCACACCATAAATCCACTCTATTTACCCCGGCAAACACAGTCGACCCGGCAGCCAAGGGATAAAATGATGTGATTTTATTGACGTTCTACTACAATATTTTAATATCACTCAATTTGAGTCAAATCATTTGACTGATTGTTAATTTGTTATTATAGCTCCATTCTATCAACTAACTGAGACGGGGGTTTGTCGAACGAGGTTTATTTGTGTTTTACGATGGCGAAAGCGTTGAAGAAGCGGGCGCTTGCAGAATATAGCCAAACTATTCTTGTGGAGGCTGCAGCCGCCGTAGTGCAGCCACACCCCCCAAAACGTCTCCGCCTTCGGAAGCCTGCTCGAACGGATGGGGACGATGGAATCGTTCCTGCCGTGCTAGAAGAGGAGATATCCAACTTGGACCCTAGCCGATCTTCCGCTGATAACTTCAAAGCCCTCTCTAGGATTGTGTCCTTCTTCCCATCCACCAACGTATGTTTGTTGTTAATAATGCATGATTTGAAAGAAATTCGAAACTAATTATCTGATCGACATTGAATAGAGTAACTTTAGTGTTCATACTTTTTAATATAGGCGACGGCTGAAACACTTTTAATGGCCAAACTGAAGACATTGTTTCTCAAGGACAAGAATGCTGCACTGAGAGCGAAATGTTTGACAACTATGCAACTCTTAAAATTGACTCACACAGACCTTGTTGTAATAATGAGCATTATTAAATTTTTACATATAAGTATGCTGTTTAATTTTTAATAATTATACAGTTTAATTGATATTGTACAGGGGACGATCGAAGATATTATTCGTTTAATTTCTAACGAGTCATCCTCTTTGGTTATTGTCAGCGGGCTGAATGTCGCCATTAAATTAGCTACAACTTGCGAGAACCGTGGTATAAATTCTCGGCTTCTTTCGCTAGTTAGACGGGTATGAACCTTGATATTTATAATAATACTTTTTCAAATTTATATTTTATATAGTTTCAAATTGCTGAAAATTTTTCCTTCGTTCCGTTTCAGTTCATCAAATCGACGGATGCGAGAGTAAAGTGCAAGTGTCTTCAACTAATTGCCACTCTTTCAGTTGTGGATGAACCTGAAGGACTGGCTGACACTTTAAAATTTGTTCATTCCTATTCTCATAGTCATGAGCCCAGAGTTAGAAGTGCTGCATTTAAAACAATGGTGAGCGAAACTACACTGCATTAATTTTTGTACTATTTTGTCTAAATAATCCTAAGAGATTTACGTAGATACTGGATTGAACTTTGCAAACATTCTGTTGTTTTATTCAGCTTCAGCTGCATGAGAAGGGAACACACTTGGATGTGTCCATCTATAAGGACGTGTCAAAATATCTCGACGACGACTATGAGAGTGTAAGATTGGCAGCCATTCAGCTATTGTGGTCAATCAGTCAGACTAGCACAGAGCAGTGAGTATTTAATATTTCACGAACGTCAATACACACATGACTTGATTTATTAACTTGCAACATTTCTATGATGCAGCATGATACCTACCCCAAATTGCACGGGAGAAATGATGAGATTGATTGATGATGCTTTTGCAAAGATATGTCATGCCATTAATGATCCTTGCGTCCAGGTATAAATTCCTACATTGTTGTAATTAAAATGATTATTTCAACGAAATTCGATTGCTTGCTTGGGCCAGGTGCGAGTATTGGCTGCAACTCTTCTCGGAAAAATGCCACAGGTTGGACAGACTTTTTTGGACCAAACTTTGGACAAGAAATTGATGTCCGACATGAGGGTAACAATAAAAAAAAATAAAAAAACGTTGCATAACTTATGAAATCAAGTAACGTTTAATTTAATCGTGTAATTTTTGAACCACATAGAGAAAGAAATCAGCTCACGAGCGACAGTGGGAAAAAGTAAAGTCCGGAGAGTGGTCGTCGGGTAAGAAGTGGGCGGATGATGCTCCTCAAGAAGTGATGGATGCTGGGTCGGTGACGTTGATCAGCAGTGGCGCTGCTGGAGCCTTTGTGCATGGACTGGAGGATGAGTTCATGGGTATGTAACGTTGTCGTTCTTACTTTTGACCTATACCTGTGTAGATCTACTTTCTTAAGCAAAATGGGGACAACACCAGCTAAAACACGCATTCTTGTTGGTTTTTGTTCATTAGAGGTCAGGAGTGCTACTGTGGACAGTCTCTGTACGCTTGCTTTGAAGAGTCCGGATTTTTCCAACTTGACGCTCGACTTTTTAGTGGACATGTTCAACGATGAAATTGAAGAAGTGCGTCTAAAAGCCATCGACAGTTTGAGGAGCATAAGTAAACATATTGTTTTGTGGGAAGATCAGTTGGAAACCATTCTCGGTGCGCTCGAGGTGAGGCCTAATTCACTGAATCAATTATACTATGATTCACAAAGTTGGATGGAACCTAATAACCAACGGCAAGGTTAACTATCTTCTCCTGAGGCCTGTGTTTCTTGCTGTTAGACTCCATCCGCACAGTACACAACTTTATCAATCATAGTATAAAAGTTATTTCAGATAAGTCTGCCCAAAAAGTTGTATTTTGGTTTCTCAATATATTTATTCAGCATATATTCAAGAGGCAGAAGTGAAAGTTGTTTCCAAATTAATATCTTAATGTAATAATCATAAAGTAATACTAATAACATCAGTATGAATGTAGATTATACCAATTATGACAGCTCAACTGATTAAGTCATAATAACATACATAGAATTATTAATATTAAATTGCTAATTGCAGGACTCCTCGATTGATATTCGAGAAGGTCTTCACAAATTGTTGGCCGTTTGCCACTTGATGACAAAGGATTGCGTGAAGATGGTCTTGGACGCCGTGCTAGATAATTTAAAGAAATATCAGCAGGACAAGAGATCAATTTGGAAATGCCTCGAGGGCGTGGGGCTGAATCACCCCTGGGTCGTTCTTCCTCTCGTCCCCCAACTCCTTTCCATGCACCCCTTCTTTGACACTTCTGAACCCGACCCAGAGGACCCCGCATACGTTTCCGTCCTCATCCTCGTCTTCAATGCAGCAAAAGGATGCAACACTATGGCCACACTATTTGATGACAAATTGTTACGCCACTACCACTACTTGAGGGATACCCTACCCCTCCTGGTGCCAGAGTTGAATATTGGGAACGATTTGCCCAATCGTCATGTAATTGACAAGCCAACAGCGACTACAAGTAGCAGTGTAGTGGGTACTGCGCTTTCATCTTCTGCGTCGAGTAGCAGCTCTGGCAGACTTGTGCTCAATGAACTGGCAAATAAATTAAAAAGTGCTCAACAACTATCTTCAGAAATGAAGCAAAAGTTGAACAAGCTCGTTCTCAAGGATTTCAAGGTGGTGTTTAAAATATCTATCAAAGATTTTCCAATAACCTTGTTAATGTGTGTATTTCTTTCTAGAGAATTGCTCAAGTTGACAACGAAATTGCGGCTGTAGCAAAGTTTACGGCCTTGTACGTTCGAGCTCAACTGGTTTACTCCAATTGTTTGGGAAGTGCTAGCTGGACTCAACTCAGTCAAAACTCGAACAACGAGCCCTTGAAACTGCAGATCAGATCCTTCCTGCAGCTCTGCCTTAAAATGCAGTATGGATTTTCTGGGCTGACTCCACAAGAACTTGGGATTATCATGCAGCTCAAGTTGAGAGCTCTATCTTTGCAGCTGGTGTACATTGTGCGAGGGAGTAACGCGTCGGCCCTAGCGAGCTGCCAGTTCCTTCTGGAGCAAGCGGAAGTGGTTCAAAAATTCTTGGAAAGCATTGGGAGCACGATTGAGGACGATGAGTTCACGAGGGCCATGTTCCTCATGCTGGATCAAACCGATGATCCGAAACCAGGAACACTGGCCAAACTGCTCCTTCCATTGTTTGACAAACCTGTCCAATTGCTGACTTTTGCCAGTCCAGTAAGTCGTATTCAGTCGTATTATATTATATTACATGATATGCATTTGACGATAATCAACGTAACTGCAATCATATGAAATGGTGTGTATATAAAACGACTTTTGTATTAATTCCAGATAAAAATGATCAAAGCTGTAATTGTGGAACCCACAGGCGAATCTGATACTCCCATCAAATTCACGGCTGGCTTACTATTAGGAATTTCACTGGATGTTGAAATTTACAATCTGTCTGATGTTTCCAATGTTCGCGTTCAGGTATGAGAAAAATTAGTTATTTGAACATACTTTACCATTAAATTGTGATAATGATTTTTACAGGTCAAGTACCCAGACCAACAAATTCATCTATTGTGTCCTCGAAGAATTGATTTTCGTCCCAGTGGAGTTGATCAAATTCGGCTTTTGACAACCATTCGAATATCCCATCACGTAAGACTGGCAGTATTTTTATTTTGTCCCTTCAAATATTCTATTGTTTACTTACTGTGTGCTTCCCTTCATGAGGAGATATTAATTTTGTGTTCAACAGGCTTGGACCGAACCGTGCCCAGTGTCCATTGCGATAGTACTGAATTTATCTGGACCAGAATCAAATTACAATCAGAAACTGGTACCGAAAAATGACCCAACATATATCATCCAGCTCTGTGAAGAGAAACAAGTTCTAGTTGCTCCTAAGCCAGCCAAGAGAGGGCTTTGAAAAACAATTAAAAAGCTAATTAATCTACTCATCATAATTACATTTTAATAAAGTACCGCAGAATTTATTACTAGTCCTTGTCATCAAATTATTATTACAATCGGAACATATTATGTAGTTTGGAAATGGTATGAAAAGAAACGTACTTAAACAGGAAAACAATTGAGAAAAATTCAACAACTCTTCATTCTAAATAACATAAGGCATGTAACAAGTTAACTAAATATATATCAAGCAATGCTGTCCAGCCAGTCGTTGATGATTTTTCCTTCGTCCGCAAGGGCTGACCCTTCTCCAAATTCAATCTAGAATCAATTCAAAAGAGAATTTAGATAGCCTATTGACACAACTCGCAACAACGACTAATTCCTAATCAGATACCTTAATTTGACTTATTTGCTCAAAGTCAAAGTCTTTGTCCGGTCGACCAAGAATCCTTGTAGAGTCTTTGCCCCCCGTGCTAGTTAGAGTGGCAGATTTCGTCATTCGCAACGTTGTTCTGCATTTGATTTAGAATGGTAAAACGTGCTTTTATTCAGTTCTCATTTACAGCTATTTGAGCTTTTACTACTACGACTCACAATTCCTTTTCCAACTGGTTTCGAATCACTTTGGATCCCTTAGACATTGGTTGATCCTGTTTGTTTGCGAATATGAATATTGATGGACATGATGAGAGAACGGCTGAGTCTGTCAGCACTCGGTACAATACATCTGCTGCCTCGCGAATTCCTTAATTTAAAAATTATACAAAATTAGTAGCAAATGTATTACGAAGCAGAACTACTTGAGATATAATATTTTATATCTAGTACTAGGATAACCTTTATTTCCTGCTGCAGCATCCACAACACATACGATCCCTCTGACGCTAGGCTTGTTATTGTCCCAAAACTTGATCTGTACTCGGTCATGACCTGGGAGGTCTTTGACAACAAGTGCCGGTCTCCCGTTCGCAGGTAGATATTCAAGTTCGTTAGGGATTAAGCTGGTGACTGTTTGCACCGTCGGTCCTCCCAACAGCTTTGAGAACAAAACAGTCTTACCAGCCTCGCATGGCCCAACAATTAACACAGCCCGTCCACGACGACCTTTCCGAGTCCACAGATATACTAAGAAAGCATCAAATAAAACTGATGAGTAAGATCCAGCCATATTTTAATCAAAGTTGCACCATCACTGTGAGTTAAGTTTAAAAGTTTAAATGAAAAGAACTGCATAAATATGTGTGTTGTGCCACATTGGGTATACATGCATACCATTATTCATGCCACTGCCACATCATCTACATTATCAATCATGGCTTACCCAGCGTGAGAAAGATGAGTATGAAAGCAACAATGACGGGGGCGAGGGCGAGTGAGGGAGTGGGAGGAGGAGGAATGTCCCCTCCGGGAGGAGCGCGTGGTTGCTGCCGCTTGGGTGACCCCACTTTGGGATCCATCTTGTGGTGAAAGACCTCCGCTTAGAGCTGGACGAACCACCCTCAAGATTTCCTTTTGAAACCTTCCCAGGAGCAGTTAGAAATTTTTAATGATTAAAGTGAAAGTCCACTCAACAGACGGTGCCAAGCTGTGCAAAGAGAGTAAATATTTTGGATCTTTCGGCATGGGGCGAGTTGAATTCCCGGCTGCTGATGCTGATGACAATCATGATCTCGTATTCTCTGAGTTTTTTGTGCAAAACACAATTAAACATCAACAATCAGCATCAATTCACTTTCACATTGTGAATTTCACAATTACTTAACTAAATGTGAATGAATAATTCCCCTGGTCTGAACTTCGTTGGTTAATATTGGTCATGGCGAGCAGTGGCAGTAATACTCCAGTAACAACAGTGCAAGATGATGCGGCTGGTGACCATGTAAGCTAAGATTTCGGTTTTCGGCAATAACAATACCAGAAAGGTTTATGAGTAAATTTAAATGGTCATGCTAATTCGTCTACTATAGAGTAGCGAAGGTCATCAGACGGAGGAGGAGACAGAATTGGAATCAAAACCGTCGTCAGACGATGCCCGAAAGCGTCTATTTTCCAAGGAATTGCGTCACATGATGTTTGGCCTGGGGGATGACCCCAACCCATACACGGAGAGTGTCGACCTCATCGAAGACTTGGTTGTGGAATATATAGCAGAAACGGTGAGCTATATATGAGATTTAATAGACTAAATGAATGACAGTAAATTACTGTCAGTAATAACAATTCGATACAATTCGAACAAGGTTAGATTGGTTTATATTGTTATATATATTTTTAGACTCAAAGGGCAATGGATACTGGTAGGGCGGGTCGAGTTCAGGTAATGGTAATTTTAAATTCAACAATGTCTAAGAAATTATTTAATAATAGTAACTAAAAATCCTTTCACCTTTATTATCCTAGCACGGTTACTATAATACTCTGATTAATTAACTCTTGTATTTTATGTCAGTCTGTCATTACAGTGCCTATAATACACAGGTCGAGGACATTTTACACCTCGTTGGAAAAGACCCTCGAAAATATGCTCGCGTCAAAGATCTGTTAACAATGAACGAAGAGCTTAAAAAGGCCAGGAAAGCTTTTGACGAAGTCAAATATGCGGGTGTTTAATTGCGTCGTGTGTGTGGGCATACATGTGTGTGTGAACATTTTGTAATAATATTAATTATGTTTTTAAATTATCCTTAGAATAAAATTGTATGCAAATTTATTGAATGAATCGCATGTATCAACTTGACCAAGTCAACGCGGCTGACAACATCTGCACATTTATTTCGCTGGCCTTTGCAATGTGCATCAATGATCATTTTCATTCAGTTGTGCCCAGGTTCAAAACTTCACATTTAATAATTTAACCACATATTTAGCGAAATTATTATTGTTCGGTGACCAGCCATGTGGACGAGGCCCCTAAAGAAGGTGGTATTCATAGTACGTTTTCATTCAGTATTGAATTTATTTTGTTGCCACATCTGAAAAGACACCACAAATTGTGGTCCACAATAGCTAACGTAATGTATCATGTATCGCATTTTTCAACAGTTTGCGGCAAGCAAATTCCAGCTGATAAGGGGACAAAGCCTTCAAATCCAGTGCTTTAAATCGACGGTGGCGATCCCCAGCCAGGACCTTGAAGGGGTTAGCCCCTCATCAGCCAGCCAGACCGGCTTTGGGAAAATCTACGATAAGAAACCCTTCAAGTTCAGGTGCACCGAGGGGAAATCTTACTTTTGGTGTGCATGTGGACAAAGCAAGTCACAGGTTAGTACTATAAATAAAAGCTAAACAACAACCTATTGCGATGATACTTTGTATATTCTACGTAGAACTTATCTGCTCTTTTTCCAAATTTGCAGCCATTCTGCGACAAGCTTTGTAACAATACTCACTATAAAATAAGCATGCGACCAGTGAAATTCATCCCACCTGAGACAAAAGACTATTGGTTTTGTAACTGTAAGCAGACTTCAAAACGACCATTTTGTGACGGTACTCATCGAAGGGAAGATGTTATCGCCGCTGTAAAAATTTAAGCTGGGTTTAAAACCTTATTATTGATTACTTATAATTTACTAGCATAGCTAAATATATTGTTGGCCATATTCTATTGTGGTGGCAAGTCAAGCAAGTGGCAAGTCATAGTTTTAGAGTAGATAATTATTGCATAAGTCTAGTCCATATTTAAATCTGTTTTTATAATTAATAAAATCCACAATGAAGACTTCATTTAGCCCGAGCAAGTATCCTTGTAAAAAATTTTGTCAAATGATGAAACCATCCTACTACTATCTCTTCAAAATTGTATTCTGTCATTTTGCGTACATAAAATTCAACGACATCGCAACGATGTTCTGGCCCAGAACTTCTGGGTTAATTTTATGATGATTTCATGAAAACAAATTATAACGACGTAAGCGGAGGTGCATCTTGTTTACAATTCTACAGTGTGTTTCTCCTAAGTTTTTTTTCAATATTTTTTTTATTTGACCATCTTTGATAAAATCATTAAATATTCGGCAGCATATTTCACTAAAGAATTGTATATCGTTTATAGATTTACGTTATTTATGTAGTACATTATTGCTTACTATCCGCTGTTTTAGTGCTATCTGTAATTCCTTATAATGTTGATTAACAAAATTATCGGTTCCATTCACATCCAGCTACTAATATTTTAACCACTGCCTCCAAACCAGTCTTATCGCGCTGATCGAAAGCATCCAAACATGTGTCGTCGATGTCCAAGACTCCAAGAAGTTCTCCCTGCACAAATTAATCCGAATCATTCATTAAACTTATTATGTATAATATGTCTATTATGTCAATTATGTATATCTCGAAATTCAGAAATCGACAATCAACTACGCAATACTCACAGAATTCGATATAACAATTAACAATACTCCTAAATAGGTCTTTGTGCCCAAATATACTTACAGTTACATCGTGGACGAGCGGAACGACAATTTCTGAAAGTGAGTTAGAATCGCAGACAATATGTCCCGGGAATTCATGGACGTTGCGAACCACTTGCGTCTCCTTGCTTGCAGCGGCAGCCCCACAAACCCCCCTCCCAAATTTTATTTGTGTGCATGCCACCTACCAACATATGCAGAAATGTTTAGTATGTAAAATTCCATAAACTACAATTTGCATAATAAAACTTCACGCATACTTTTCCTTGAAATGGGCCTAACAATAATGTTTTTGTGTCCTGTTCATCTCTCACATAAAATCCGGACCAGTTTACTGGTTTCTCCTGGAAGAACTTAAGCGTGTTCAAACCATGGAATATCAAGGCGGACGCATTTGATAAGTTGGTAACCTGAATATAATGAAATCGTATCGCAATATAACTCCATCATAAATGATAATGGGACAAATTGTATTCAAACTAGAATTCTTAGACCTACCCAATTTCTTTGATCCTTAACGATGGCCTGAATTTGGACCAAAAGTTCCTCATAAAATTCTTCCTTCGTGGAGTTTGGATTGAAGATAAAATCGTACATTGTCGTTGAAGGTGGTTCCTAAAAACCAAAATTTGCTTAAGCACACAGAGCTGTGTATAAAAGGCTTGAGCGAATCTATATGTGCAATTAAGAGCATAAAATTAAGCCTTAATTAAACGACAGATAGATAAAGTACTAAAATGTCACGTCCCCCTCAATGTACGAGTAAAATGAAATTGATTTAGGCATGCCAAGCAATGGGTCTGCCAAACTCTGATGTTGAAAACTATTTCTCTGCATGACATGATACAGTTGGTAGACATGACATGCTGTATAAAAATTAATGCATTTAATAGTTAAAAGTTTGCATATAGTATTTGCTACATATGTATTTGCATTCTACACATTCTACATACACACATCTGTGCTACGTACAGATTTCCATACATAATATGCACATTGAGTATCCTGACATGATCCGGACTAACTAACTATTAAATTAATTTGCTCACCTAATAATAAGAACTTAACCTTCTTGCTGATCTCTAACTCACTCATCAAAAGAAAGCATTGCGAAATTTGTCGCTCTTAAACAATTTGCTGTAAACATAATATTTATGCTAATAATAGCCGTCTTTGTGTGGGTTTCACAAATATAGCATAGAAATGACAAGTTTTATTTGTTTTAGTCTTATTTTTCTTACCTGCATCGTTCTATACAGGCGTCAAATTCATCATTATTTAATATATAACCAATTTCGCCCGCATATGGGTCCCTCGCTCACCGACCCCATACGCAATGCATAAATGGTATACGTAACAATTTCAAATCAAATTTATGTGAGTTTTCATAGGATAGGAATACAGACGGATTGACATGACGATTTCATAAGCCCTGACTCGAGTTAAAACGAGAGGAAACTGTTGTCATGTTTATTTGAGAGAACTATCGTTTGATTCTGTCCATTCCGCATATTATGTGTGCAGCATTATTACTATTACAGCATAGAATAATCCTAAGGATGCACTACAAAATACAACACATCATGTAAAATACGTTCCAAATTGACTCGACCAGACTATGTAAATTAAAATGGTCAATTCTCCATGAATCTAAATTATTAATTCAAAAATGACTATACGACAGCACTTTTCACACTTCAATCAGTCCTCTGTCTCTGGATCCACTAGTCATGTCAGGCATAATAGTTTGTCCAATCTGTTTAGAAAAATTTGGAGATGTGGAAAATAATTCTGAGCAAAATTTACTTCCACATCAAAACGATTGTTCATCACCAACAAATGGTCACCTTGATCTTGATTTAACCTCAAGTTGTAACCATTCGAATTCATCCTCTTCACGGGAAACTTGTTATACGTGCTCGGCTAGGAAGTCAATACCGGAAGTCGTAATCCAAGTGACGCAATGCGGACACCTTTTCCATTCATCATGTCTGCAAAATTGGATGGACGAGGGAAAATCAGAATGTCCAACATGTCGAAGATTTATACACACCCAAAAAATAACGACTATTTACCCCCAGTTTCTAAACCCTAGCGTGCCCGCAGATGCCGAGCTGCCACCAAATATTCAGAAACAGCTAAAAAGGATCATAAGTTATTCTCTTAAAGCAATTCAAGCCTCGATCTGCTCCCTGGAGGGTCACATAAGCAATGCCAGTCGTTCAGCTCACTCGTCGAAAGTCGAACCAGGCGTATCTGTATCTTCAGCGGACCGAATTGCTGAAATTTTGAAAAGAAAAAACAAACAGGAAACGAGTTTGGAGAAAGAAATCGTTGACTTGAAGGACTCAATTGCATCGGTGACTCATAAAATGAATGAGTACGGTGACAAAGTGGGTCGGTTGACTGGAGTTGCAAAGGATAAGAAAGAACATAAAGAATTGGTGGACACTTTGGCCAAGCTCAACCGACTTGTTTCTGAAGATCAGGCCCTCAGACACACTTTGAGAAAGAGGTTGGACCAACTCAAGCCGAAATACTGCTTATCCATGTTGAACGAAGAGTGTAACCAGCTCTCGTCAGTCCTGAATTCTGTCATGTCTCAAAATTATAAAATGCATCGCGAAATTCAGATTATTATTCAGGAGTTTGACCAAATTAAAAAGAACGTCTCGGTAGCACTAGAAAATTTTTTGTGTCTTTAAAACTATGAAAAATGTTATAAAAATTTGACTACTTAACATTATACTATGTGCGTAGAATGAATACGAAATGCTGTAAAATGAAGCAGAAGTAAATCATACATTCATAAATCTCAGAAATTACAAAGTTTTGAAATCTGATGCACTTTTGTTACATGTATGTTATTTACATGCATCTCTTGTCATTTACTAGAAATTTCAGCCAATGAAATCACATGGGCAAAATTCAAGGAATAGAATATATTATATATTCTATTCCTTGAATTTTAATAAATATGTCAACTAGTGGCCAGTAATAGTTTGTATATTTACTTATCATAAAGCTAAGCACATGTGCTGACATATCAAACAACAATCCGGGGAGTTCTCTTTAAAATTATAAGACATATGTTATAAGGCACGCATATTTAGAAGTAACTTTTTAGGGTGTGATAAAGTATGAGTCACGCTGTATAACCCTTCGTCATAGTGCAAATATTTAGGATATTTTTTTCTTGGCCACTATTTAGTTTGAATAAAATGTACATACACATCATGTCCTCAGTGGGCAATGGTCATGGTGAGTGCATAGGGTTAGTAGGGGTCAAATTCCTTGGTCCTATTGAGATACTCATCCCTTATGCAAGCAGTTCCTGAAGAAAGTAGAAACGTATAAAATGGATTTCATTATAGAGACAAAACGGATCGACCCATGAATAAAAATATATTTACAATGCTTGCCATACAAACGGGGAACATGGCATGCATGATTTTATGGTCAATGTGCATCCTGCTGTCCTGCATTAATCCACTTGATAACAATATTTTTCCAATTGTGGCCACTTTGATTTGAAGAATATGCATTCAATTCACCACCAAACTGCCAATTTCCACCCATGAATGGGAGCAGTTATTAAATGCATTTTGACAATGCAAACGTCCAAAATTTGCATTGTCACATGCCAACTGATGGACAGTTTGCATGGCATTATAAAGAACAATAAACCCGCACGTGTTGAAGATAAACATCATAATTTACCCTTTATGTATATAACCATACATTACGAGTGTTGTTTATGCAGTGGCCTCCTCGACAATATTGACTGCACATTTATCTAGGTGGATAAGATAGTGGTTCAGTCATTTATTTAATTTTTAGCAGAATATACATACCTACATACACGAGTATTTTTCCGTCAATATTTTTTCCTTCTCCACTTACGTACATATTTAGGTCCTCTGACACTTGTCTTGTTCAATTGTAAATTAAATTCCTCGTCCCAGTCACCAGCGTGAGGCTAAATAAGTACGTTACATATAAGCACGCCGTTGATCTTATTTTTAACACTTAATGTGTCACAAGCTATGATAATGTTTGCTTACATACTATATGAGGAAAATGTAGTATGAGGAAAATGATAGGTTGGTCCAGGTGCATGATTGTGGTAGCATATAAGTAGCAGTCTGATTTAGGAACTTACTGTCTCATTTGATCTTCTTCACTTCCACTATTCATATAAATACTCATTTGACCTGTAGTATTGCTAAGAATTGTTCAATCGTATTCCTACGCATCACTGCAAAAATGAAGTTGAGAATAGTGTTCGTTTTTGTGGTTCTGCTAATGGCGGAAACAAATTCTGAAAACATTTTATTTTATTGGGGGGTGAGCGGGTATAGCCACCGAATTTCTGTTTGGGGGCTCATTGACAAATTAGTTGAAAAGGGTCACAAGGTCACTTTCATCTCGCCATATGAAGCCAAAGTCCCTTACTTCCACCCCAACATCACGGACATTGTGCCCATGAACCTGGCCGAAGACGTCGGTCTAATCGGGCTCGATTTCATATCAATGCGATTGCAGAACGGCGTCCAAGCAATTGACGACCTTTGGTACGAGTATTACGACAGCGGAATTCGTGGCTGCAAGTCTCTAATGCAAAATGAGCAAGTGCTGAAGTGGATAAATGAGTCCTCCTATGACCTCGTCATTCTGGATGCTTTGTACAACGATTGTGGGTACGGATTGGTGCACAAGTTTCAAGCTCCCCACATTATGTACACACCCACCACGCACTTTCCCTGGTTTAAGGATGCGTACGGCTTTCCGGATGAGAATCTTCCAGAAATGGAGTTCCATTACCCCCTCGAGATGACCTTTGTGCAGAGCATTCGAAATCTCGTGTCTGGGCTGTACTGGCAATGGAAACGACACACCGAGCTATTTCCCATTCTTGAACCTTTGCTGAGGTCTGCCTTGAAAATTCCTGATCTTCCATCCCTCCACGAAATCGAAATGAACACAAGTCTCATTTTTACCAATACGCATCCAAGTGAAGAGTTCCCACGATCTTTGCCTCCAAATGTTGTTGAAATTGGTGGAATACATTGCAGCGATGATCGAAAACCATTACCTCAGGTCTACATTTACTAACTAACTTATGCATGTGGCACAATTTCATACAGTTTCAAATTTCTTGGATTTTAAATATTTATTTACATGCTGCATGCTTTTTAGGATTTAGAGGATTTCATAGCATCTGGCGACAACGGATTTATTCTTCTCAGTTTTGGGACTTATGCTGCAATTAATAATTTACCCATCCATTTGCAGCTTGTGTTCTTCAACGCAATGAAAGCTGTGCCCAAATATCAATTTCTTGTCAAGTACAATCAAGACCGTCCAGATTGGGCTCCGAAAAATGTGCACACTTTAAAATGGGTTCAACAGCAAGATTTGATTGGTAATCATTACATGAGATACCAATTAAGCATAAGTTGGGCTGTTTCATTAAAACCAATTACTTCATTTCAGCTCACCCCAAAATTCGAGCATTTATCGGACATGGAGGACTGCTAAGCACTCAAGAAGCAATCTTTCATGGAGTTCCGATGATTATAGTGCCGCTGTTTGCCGAGCAGGATTATCAAGCAGTACGCGCCAATGATAGGGAAACTGCAATTGCGCTCGAAATTGCTGAATTAACGGAGGAAAAATTACTGAAAGCTATTTTGGAAGTCACGAGTAATCCCAAGTAAGGAATTTCTTCTCTCATTGCAATGAATACATCATCGCAAACCAGTCAATATGAAATTTAAAATGTTGGATATTTAGGTACAAAACCAACACGATGAGATTGTCCAAGTTTTTCAGGGATCGTCAAAACCAACCTTTAGAGTCTGCAATTTGGTGGGTCGAATATGTAATGAGACACAAAGACATTTCGCATCTGCGGCCCGTTGGAATCACCAAAAGCTGGTATGAGAGAAGAATGCTACACATTTGGGGATTTCTGGCCGTCTCTCTGTTATGCTTTCTTGCAATAGCAATGTATTTTATTATATCTGTTTTGAAAATGATGACGAAAGTGATAACCAAATATAAGCAAGAATAAATTTTATACGCAATAATGCCGGTAGAAAAATATACATTCCGCTAGAAGAACATATGTAAGTCCGGTCTGCTTTTATTTCAAATCAAATGCAATGCACCTGGACCAAAGGGTTCGGTATTTATTAGGTTTGCAACAATAGCAGATTCATCAAGTAAGATTTTTGTGAGTCCATTTTTCCCGTAAATCAGCGCAAGTAAGACAGCGTAGTTTTCATATTAGAACTTTGTGTTCATTATTTGTCACACGCAATCCTAGAAACTTATCGAAGGCAACAACTAGATAAGATTCATGTCTCGTGTTCTAAGAGATTCTAATGTTCTAATTTACAATTTGCACATTTTTCTGGTTACGATTTGCATTGGTATTTATGCCAAGTCCAGAAAGTTGCAGTCAGTCCAATGTTGCACTTTGCTTGCAAAATTGTTGGATAAGGTTGGTGAGGTCATTATAATGTTTATTATTTTTAAGACACAAGTCTTCTGTAAGTCCTCCATCATTTAGCAATATTTTAACACAACCCCAACCCACCGACTCGATAATAATTTTTTATTAAAGGTATTTTCTACTCGATAATTACCTTAATATGTAATTATACGTACATATACGTTCTCACATGCAAGTAGTTTATTTTAGGTACATAGTTTTCTGAAAACAATCATAGATTTATGTGAACTTTATTCTATTGAGTCATCCTATCACTGTCTGGATACATACTGTCAGACTGTGACTGACTTTTGGAATTATTTAAATTAATGAGAGCTTCTTGAGAATTCTGCAAAATAAGTAAATAAAATACTATTAATTAGTTGACTTCAAAATTTTATCATTTATTTATTTAATAATACCTGTCGCATCCTGTGAATCTGCTCCAGTGCGTGAGGAAAAAACGGTCTGACATTCGCAATTTCCATCTGGGTAAGATTATTCACCTTAGCGAAGGAAGACCCCGTTTTGATGAAACTATCAATTGCAGTTCTTATCTTTGCAATTCTATTGTCCCAAATGTCCTATAAATTATTCAAAGTACTTTTTAACATATTTAATGTAATAAAGAAGCATTAATTAGCAATCATTCCTTCATACCTTGACTAATACCTGGACCCTGTCTGAATCTGGGATGTCCTGAGAACAAGACCTGCATATGACCACCGTAACTGCCATGTAATGCTCGTTGGGCATTTTAGTGAACAGTTCGTTGGTCTTTTCTTCCTTTTTGATTGCTTCCAACGCCTGGATGTTCATCCAGTCGGGTGGGACGAGGGTGCAGCGCTCTCGTCGTCGAAAGTCAAGGGCCACCCAGAGGGGGACTCGGACGGGAAGGCCGGCCCGAAAGGGTCCCAAGTTCCCTTCCATTAAACAAATAGTGTCCAATGTGAACTTTGGCACAATTTCGACAATTTCCTTTTCAGCGAGAAACTCCAACTCGGACGGGTTCATGTTGGCGTGAAGAAAAAGCAACAGCTTGACGTTACACTCCCAGATTTCGTACACTTCCCAATTATGCAAAACAGAAAAAAACAATCAGCGATGCCAATATTATTGAAGATTAATTGGAAAATTTATTTAACCGAAAGAAAACAAATCCCATCATGAAAATGAAATTATTGGCGGTGGTGGATTCCCTCCTTGGCTGGCATATTTATTCTACACTTTGTCTCAACGTTTCAACAACTCAACATGACTTTTTTAGCCGAGTCCTGACTTATGGAACCGTCATAGGAATAGGAAAGTACTTACCTGCACTTTTAAATTTTTTTGAACGGCAAGTTGATAATATTATTTGAGTCATATCGAAAAAAGAAAAGGTCTCCGACCCCCGCCTAAACTGCACACTGTAGGTTTTTACAATTTTTACTTTCATGACAGAGCTTGTCATCGACATGCGTATGTACGTCCAAATTCCATTCAAATCAGCTCCTTAATTTGCATTATATGTTATTAATAGTGAGCCCTTTGTCTAGTTAATTTGGGAATTCCAGTCAACTAATAGACCTTCACCTTTTCTTGGCTGTTTCTTCATGTTTGAGCCATTTCTCCATTTCGTTCCATGTATGGTTGGTTGGTAGTACCAACTTGGTACTATTTTATAAGGCATGATTTTAACATGTATGTGTATAAGTATAATCATATAATAGCTATAAATAAAAACATGACACAGTTTCTATCCACCCATTCTGAATTTCAGCAAAATGATTTTCCAAGTGCAGGATAAAGATTGACGTCGCATCATTCAGTTTCAAGTCGTTCCAACAATAGTAATTTTTATCACTCAGATGGATCATTTTCCGAAATTTTATAAGCTATTTAGAGTAGCATTATTTCTATCACTGTCGAGTTGGAGTACACCAATAATGGCACAACAGCAGCAACAATTTCCATTTGGTAATATTTTTGGTGGTTTTCCTTCATTTTTTGGTGAGCCTTTGCATAAAACTATATATTTATGTAATGTACACTCACTACGACACCAATGAACCTTATATGTAAAATTTATGAATTGTGTTATTTGTGTTCAATAATCGGATATCTATTTTTTACTTTTTGATAGGACAATCCTTCCCTAATCAGTATCAATCATTCGGAAATCAAAACCCATCTTCTTCGTCACCCACCCAGTTTGATACTTCCCAAAAGCCAAGCCCAAATCAGGTCCCCAACTATAATAATTTCCTTGGAGGATTCCCCTCTTCCTGGCCTTTTGGTCAAAATGGAAACGGGGCAAATGGTGGTGGCTTATCAAATAATCCATGGCAAGCCTTATTCCCAAATAGTCCATTTAATAACCAGAATCAAAATTCTTATGAAAATAATAATAACCAAAACAATCAAGTCTCAAAACCTTCCCAAGGTCAAAATGAAGGTCAAATGAATTCCCCCCAGCAGCAGCAGCAGCAGCAATACCAGGCTTACCCATTTGGTTTTCCATTTTCATTCTTTCCTCAATACGCTCGACCTCAAGCATCAAATGAACCAAATAAAGAATCCTCCTCTTCCTCTAACCCTACAAATAATAATAATAACGACTACATTTCAAGGCCAAACACAGGTCTGGAAGGCAGTAAAATTCGTCCCTCCGGCTCTTCTGGTGACCCTGTTGAGTTGGAAGTTGTTCATTCAAAACAAGATTCAAAACACCCTTCGTTAAATTGGCCGATACGACCACCACAGACACCACCAACTTTCGAAGATGGTCCAAGTCAGCAGACTGAGGATGTTGATGGAGGGTTTCGTCGACCATCATCCGGTGGTAATAATAATGGTCCTCGCCCTGTTGAACTGGAAGTTGTGCATTCGAAACAAGATTCGAAACACCCGTCCCTCATGACTTCCACGTTGTCTCCCCCACTTCTAGAAGAAGATCCGGAGAACAATTTTGATGGGTATTCCTTGGACCCCGAAGTTGTTGACGTCCGACTTACTGACAGTTTGAGCGAAAAATCCAAAAATCAAAACAGTAAGGAAGATGAAAAAAGCATTTCTTCTGATAATGATGCTTTGCTATTTCAATGAGCGCGTCCACCCCATCATGTTTTTTATTGTACTTGCGTGATTTAACTTTTTCTTTAATAAACTTCTGTCTTTTAATTATTTAAAAATTGTTTTACTTCTTTATTTCACAATATGGAAGACAATTTGTCTTAGACAAACATGCTATATGTTTGTTGCAAATTAATAAATATGTATCATAACAAAATCATATACGATCAGGTTTGAAATTATTTTTCCATGCAAGTTTGTATATGTAATCTGCAAAAATCAGAGCTGAGACAATTGATGACAGGGATGAGATAAATCCGCAAGATTAATCTGTCTAGCATATCAAATACCATAATCATCATAGATCTGCATGCCAATCGTATTTCATATTTTCAAATTAAAATCTTATTTTACTGGGGCAGGTGGGTAACAAGGATCTATTATATTTTATTCTTGCACTAATTGTAAGTAGGAGAGTATTTTACTGAACAGAATGGAACACGCGTAACCATAAGATAAATTTAGAATATTGGAAATTCGTTTCAAATTTCAATTAACTTTCAATTCCATCCAAATCAAAACTGAATGTGATCTCAAATTCCCAATATTCCCATAATCTCAAAATCTCAACTTCGTTAGCAGCAGAGGAGCACGTAGCACTATGCACTAGAACCACATCTAACAAACCGGGCTTTGCAAATATGCAGCACCACTGCTCCCATTTTGCAGTTGATCAAATTGCAAATAAACAAAAAGAGTAGCAGGCTACTAATTTAGTTTTCTTCTGGTATTGTTTTTTGAGAAATAAGTACATACAAATGAGAGGGAAAAGCAGCAGTAATAATAATGCAAATCAAAAGTTTGGCTGTTATACCGTAACCCAAAGATTAGCAGCCGCCGAAGCGGCCAAGAGGATTCGAGAGAGTGCAGAACCCCCAGAAGATGAGCTGGAGCTGGAGGGCGACTGGCAGTCCCCCAGTTCAGAATCTGACGAGACTTGGAGCCATAAACCGGTTAGTCAACAGTTGTCGAATGGTAGCAATCGACCTTCTTGGCTAGGACGAATTTCATCGATTTCGTCAATCAGAGGACTAGGAGATAGCTTGTTCGTTGAAGTAAGTGATACAACAACGCAAAACATACAAAGTAAGAAAAAACATGTGTGATACAAGTACCGTTTCGACTTTTTGTTTTGATAATTGCAGAAGAAGAGTGACACATCATCAAACAACGACATGGACGACAATTGCAGTCAAACGAGTAAGACGACTGGAATAACACCCACCAAGAGGAGTCGGGGTCGACCTGCCAATGTTAAAATGGAGAAGGAGAGTACTACAACTGCTAAGGATGGTAACACTATCGTCACGCCAATACCAGAACATATCAAAAATGCGATACAGCTAATGCTCAGTGTTCGACATGGATTCAAGGTAGATTTGTCTATGCTAAAAATTACGTACTGAGATATTGCCCGGCCTATGCTAACTAGTTATTTATATTTTCTACAGGGGCTTCAATGGGAATTGGTGGAATCAGAGTTTCACCATGTGTATCCAAATCTCGCGAGTTTTAAACCTTCGAATCATGGGTATAAAAGTTTCGAAGAACTGTTGAAATCACCAGAAATGAAGACCAGGTGTTACGCTGCTACTCCACGAGGAACTGTTAAAGGCCACGATTTGCATTCTCGTCAAGGACGATTAAAGTATGACCCCGAAGCTGGAGTCTTGACTATTGTAATGAGAAGAAATGATCCACAGGAGCAAGAAGAAGATTCGAAAACGAATGTTGAAACAAAGATCCAGCAAATAAACCAACAAAAGACTCCAGCTATACCAAATGAAAAACAGAACTCACCAAATAATACATCTTCACAACAGGTTACAGAGACTCGACCATCTTCACGAAATTCACTTCCACAAAAAAATTCTTTAGGAGATTCAATGTCAAATGTAGGCAAACCAAAAACGAAGGTTTGCAAGCCATCGGAAACTAAAACATTGCCTGACAACTCAACAATGCAACGCACACCGTATCCTAATCCTAAAGTCACACATGCATGTGTTAACAATAATGCATCAAGTGCTGCTAACAAGGATGCAGCTATTGTTATTTCAACACCAGAATCAGTTTCAAATACTTCTGAAACAACAATTGTGCCAACCCAAGTGACTGAAATTCAAACTGATGCCCAGAAAAAGGCAGTCGAAGATTTATTGAAGATTCCGGCGTTACAAAACATAGTTAATAATATTGTCTCACAAATCTGTCAAACTAATAATAATTCCTCGCAGCCTGTAAATGAACCTACTAGTAGCACAACAACCAATCCTGAAGGACAGTTTGCACCAAATGACGGGTTCGCACAATTTTACCGCCGTGAAGAACTACCCGACAATTGGACTCGTGTAAAGACATACGAAAATTCAACGGAGCCTAACGCGTCTGAACCTTATCGCAGAAATTATTATCATGAGAGAAGTTTTGATTCTTATGATCCGAGAGAGATATCTACAAATCCTTCGCGTCTTGATTCTAGCAGACGTGGGAGACCAGGACCTGAACGTCGAAGTCGGTTTAGTAGCCACTGCAAGTTTACCACACCAAAATTTGTGTTATCGAGTTGTTTTTAGTTTTTATCAATTCCTTCTTACTTTGTTTTACTTTCAGATTCTGCTTATTCTCCCATTATTCCAAATCCAACCCAACGGGGTCGAGGATATAGTCGTTATGGATATAGGCGAAAGAATTTCCTGCATGGAAGCAACCAAGACGAACATTACCGGTCGCCGTTGAAACATTCGCACCATCCATCTCCTGAGGAAACATTTCGACCTCAGAATCCGAGAGAGCAGAATTTGGCATATTCTGTTGCTGTTCTTCAGCAGGCTGGAGCGATGGCTGATCACACCATTAGCGAAATCGCATCATCTCTCTTCGGTATCAAATATGGCCGGTCAACACCCTCGACCCCAAATCAATCGGAAGAAACAAACGGTGTCATTTAATCAATTCTGTGAAAACAATGCAATTTCTCTCTTTAACAATGTAAATTTTAGTGAATATTTTCTATTTATCTGATGCATCCTTAACCAATGGCATATTATTACACAACGTTATATAAAATTGAAACTGTAATACATATATGTATGTCATATTTAACCAACTTGATTAGTTTTAGCTTATATCGCCTGTTACAGTGAACCAAACATAATGGTTAAATATGTAAAAGCTAAAACGTATGTTATGTTTTCAGGTAACCTATTGTTAATTATACGAGCTTAATTGTCTTGTTTAAGTTAATTTTGGGCTCTTCTTAACGTAGTTTCTATTAGTTGTGGGTTTCATAGATTTATTAGGTACAAAAATGCAAAATGCAGCATAATATTTAAGTAAAAATGTAAAACATTAGTGAGTAGAGGAAAAACCTGTGAATTAATTGCTTACAATGTAATTTTTGTTAATTGAGAATGTATGCTTAACATTGGATTGAAAATGGTAGCCAATTATATTTATAACCTGTAATAATATGTAATATCTACATACATATGTACGAGTAGCCCACATCGTTGGACATGTGGCATGTATCGAGCAGAATCGGTGAATCCGGGCGGTATTTATTCATTAAATCTTTAAGCAAAGACAGACTGGACAATTTAATTTTTATCTTTTTCTAATACCATTTCGGTAAATACTAAATGTGACGATTGAACGATAAGACTCTTGTTATGATCACTTCTAAAATTAAATAAAGGACAAGTATGCAAGGATTCAAACTACTAATTAAATTATAACGCATTGAGGTAAGAAGTTGTACAAATAAATTATAACTTGAAGAAATTTTTATTTTGTCACTCATGTATCAATTTTTTGCGACAGATTTTCATGGTTGCTAGATTGCTCTAAACCCATTGCATATTCATCTACGTGAATTTGAAGAACTAATTTTGGTACTCGCAAAAATGGCTTCAGAGTCCAGTTGGTTATCATGGGTCAAAATGGAAAACCAGGAGATGATGATCACCTTTCCCATTGATCGTCACATTCGGGCAGTCGGTTGGTCACTCGCCATGATCGCTTTCGGATTCCTCATTTTGGCCTTTGACACCAGACCCATTCCGCCCAGGTTAGTCCGGTCACATGCACAAAAAGCACTGCGAATGCTAGATATGAGGTGTCTTAAATTGACTTTGCTACTTTGCCAGACGACACAGCGCTCTTCCTCTGCGGGATCGTATCGTAGGAATGGAACAACGATACTTCCTCGTCGTTCTCAATGGAATTCTTATGTACGGAGCACTGGTCTATATTTTCCAAAACGGAGGTCGGAGTTAATCAATCATTACTGTCGGTTATTCTGATTCGTCAATTGCATTTGTTAAATTAGTTCATACTTTAAATACTACACTACGATATCAGTTGTTTAAGTGTTTAGGTGTATATGCATTTGTTAAGCTTTCAAATGAACATGGGTATCTTGTCAGTCTCATATACTTGTAGAGAGTTATTACTTATTTCTAAGCCCCATTTCTTTATATTGTTACTTAATATAAAACTACATATATTGTTACAATTTCTCTAAAGTACAAATGTGTCAAATAAACAACGGTGACATATACCATATCGAATATTTTAACGTATCAGCTCTTGTTGACTTTTCATATGGCGTTTACAAAAAGGTGGTTGTGGCTTGACAAGGAAACAATTATTATCTTTGGTATATTAAAAATCATTTTGTTTTATCGACACTGCAATGTCACCAAATACACGAACATGTTGACGCCAAAATGAAAGGAAATGCTTTTGATATGCATATTCGATAAGAACGATACACTTTTTCAGGCCACCCCACCTTTTTGTTAAAGTAATTATCCTTGACTTTTGTTTGCAATCCTCCTTCACACCACAATTATGTAAATGATGATATGTATGAATCTGACATTACATTTTCCTTCATACATACATATGCTGCTGGGGAAGTAAAATTATAATATTATAGAATGATTACAAATCTCGACTTTAGAGGGTCATTGAAGGAACCCGCAGACACAATTTCGCAAAATTAGACTTATTTAACTTATATGTACTTTGAGTGTTGTGCTTATTAAAATATTATTATGGCCCGTAAGAGGAAAAGTTGTGAATACGGTAGGCATTCTTATCACGTGTATTTATTTGCAATTTTTGTTGAAATAATTGGATTAGTATGGAAGAGTCACATTTATCATCCCCTAAATTGGCGACGTTAAAGTAAATATAAATGAAAAGTCTCCCGCAGTCAAACTAAACGCTTTCTGCTGCCATATTACTTGTGAAAGTACCCACATTTATCATTCGCATGAGATGTCATTCACAGTATGCTTCCCTTCAGTATTTCACTTGTTTGTCTCATTTTATTTTCATTTCGCCTCCGCCATAAGCTCATCCAGCTCAGGCCAGGGATTAATAATACCCTCAACAAATTCAGCACTTTGGGGTCATCAATCTTCATTTCGGACGAATTTTTAGCCCGAGTCAGTGCTTATCAATGTATGTAACCATCATGTCCGTCTGTTTTCGCGACAACTCTCTTCAAACTTATCCGATTGAATTGAAAGTTGGGACACATGTAGCATGGGTCAAATGAATGAAGCTACGTTGAAGATGAGCAAAATCAGCCCAGTCCCAGTGATTGACCGAGGAGGGTCATATTGGTCGTTGATGCATAATATTCGAAATAGTCGTAGAAGGGTGTGGCAAAATAGTTGTAATTGAAGTATAGAATCGGATAATGAAGTAAAACTATAAAAAAATTAGTGGATCTAATGGAGTGACCATCCCCGATAAGCAGAATTCGTTTATTTGAAAGCTGAAATTTGACACAGATCCAAAATGGCTTCTCCTAAAAGATTATGAACTTGCGTAAATGTGAACAAAATGCAACCAGAGGGACCCTGTTTACATGAAGGGTGACACATACTGATTACTAAAGCTTGCTATATTTATCTTGGTACGGACACTGAAAATCAGTTACGAGCAACAAGTACGAGGTTAGAATTTCAAAATGTTTGAGCGACCTAAACTGGTTCTGGTAGTCAAAAAATTGGGTGCCAAATAATAGGAAATATTTAACACACATTCGACCATCGCCACCACTGGGGTGGTAACAGTAAATTAGACAAATGACACAAACTTAGAAGCAGAATCTGTCCGACTCGGGCTAAATCAAGTCTACACTGTAGGTCTATATGAACATTGAATTCTAAGTATACTAGGCAGGCACATTTCAATTGTATCCTTTATTTGAATTGGTTTGCATTCTGCATTTCTTGCCTAACAAAGTTATTAATTAGTTAAATTTGTAATAAATGAGCTGGGAGAATACTTTTGTGCTAAAATCTATTGACAGTCAACCATTAACTTACAACTGACAGACTAGAGAAGCATGCATACATATAAACATTATATACGAATCGAGCATATCCACGAGATCAAAGATACTGTTCTCGCTTTGTCCCGTATCCGTCCATGAGTGACCAGGCCATTCGTTGCGATAACTTTATCAAGGTTATTACGGGTCACAAGTCACAACAATTCATTTGTCTCCCTTCGATTCTTCCCTTATTGCAAAGGGAACGGTAAAATCATTACTTCCACTGTTTCATTGAACTGAAATGCATGTACAGATTTATTTGCATATGTACGTATTAGCAACCTGGCATAATGGATTACGTGTTTTGCAGAATTAAATTTGTTCCAAAAGTCTTTCAAAACTGTATTTTTTTCAAAATTCGACATATATAATATATTACATATGAGAAATCCATTCTCCAGCCAACTTTGTGAAATACTCTACTTGCTCATGGCTTAGATACAAGGGAATTGCCCTCACTTTTCCCTATTAGTTTCTCCTGTTTAGCAACCAACCAGACACGTGCCTGGGTGTCATCCGAAAGCCAAAAAGTCACACTTTTTCTCGTTTATTTGATCCACTCAGACCCTAGAAGACCAACCAACCAACTATTTATTTACTACATTGTTGGAGGATCCTGCTGGTACAAATCAGTTAACTTCAGTCACTCTGCGACTCATCAATCCGTCCAGAATAATGGGGGCGAGTGAAATGAAATACACAAGACAATAGGAGTCGAGTTAATGTCCCCTGCACACAACCAGCCACACCAGCAACCAGGACCATAAAAGAACATTGCTTCACTTTATTAGGTAGAACATACATGCAGCAGAGTATTCCTATTAGGGGTTAGTTGTAGGTGTTGGCAGTCGTGAATGGATGAACCCACAGTGAAAGTAGGCACACGTCCACGTATTTACTTTCCCAGCAGTGAGTGGTCGGTTTCCAGTGAAGAAAAGAAGGGACGGCAGACAGGAAATGATTTATCAGTTTCACTTTGTTGGTCCGACTTTTGTCACTGCACTCCCTTTGCCTCCCGACCATCATGCCAACCACCGAGTTCGGAGAAGGTGAGCTGCGGTTGGGTTTATCTCCGATTTATCATCACCTCCACTGGAGCTGAATGACATTAACTGGATGGGGATGTGACTCGGAATAAAAAATCAGCGGTTGACCCATTGCATTTTTGTATCATTTACACGATTTGGTCCGATGTGTGTTGTACGGTGTGCGGCGTCGAGAAGTTATCTCGCTTTCCACCTCGGAGCACTAAATGGTCATCCCAAAATGCTCGTCCGAGGTCCTCCTTGCGTGCGGAGCCAGCCAAAATCTGATTTTTTACATGCTTCTAGTGTGTAATCACGATTCGCATGTCGTGTTTGTTCCAATAAAGGTTTCATGCTCTGGCACAAGGCACAACCCAGAATATGACACGCTTAACGTTTGTGGGGTCATATGAGAATGACTCAAAATTTATAGTTTTATATGTACATACAGCTTCTAAATAGTACCGATTCACCTTTCAACTTATCATAACTTATCATACCGACAATTTGGATAAGTACATACCTATGACATATGGCATGATAATGACAGCATCTAGATATTGCTACATCAAGCTACAGTAAAAAAATCTGTTCCGTGCGCAAAAAAATAATGTATATGTTAACTACATGAGCATTAAATACGACTCGACAGTTATCTAAAGAAAAGTGCTACGCGCAAAACTGATAAGGTCGCTTATATGCTCAAAAGCGGGAGACGAATGCAAAATGTGTTTAGTCCAATAAATTCATCTTCGCGACTTCCATGTGTATTGTGCCACGTCTTGCGCGATTGAATTCCTACCTAGAACCAAAATTAGAGTAATAGTAAGTAAGTAACATTTCATAACGTGTGTCGAGAATGGAGAATAAACTTTTCTTCTTGAAATTAGTAAAGGCACACGTATTTCGATTTGAATTGATCCATTTTCAACGGGAATAGCCAAAACATATCAGTTCCACCAACCACGGTTGAAAATATGTCTGGAAATTTGGTATCTAATAATTAACATTCTGGAATTTACATGCCCTCTTGAACGTTGGATTTTTCACTTTTAAGCTTTCTGATAAAAAACCGATCACTCATTCTAGAGAGATTGACGGCCAGAGGACTGCAGAAAAATGATTTCACGTGATAAGTGAGTATTTTTGAACATGCAAGTCATGATGTCGTAAGTGTGAAATTAGTAGGTTATTGGTTTTGCCTCATACTTATGTAAATATGTGTAACTCATTACCGATGGTTATAAATGTAATAAAATAAATAACACTGCATTATGAAACGCGTATGCAATGTAAGTGATCACAGTTTATTCCATGCACGTATTCCTCGTGATTCAAGAATGTCCTTATATAATGGCGAATCAGCTTCAGTTTGAATCTGGCATCATTAGCAAGTTGATAAGATAAAATTTTGATATAAAAACGCGCTCGAAAACCCACAAAGAATTATGCTCATATTCAAATCTTCCTTCTCATTTTCAAATTCCACAACCAAAACCAAATAAAAATGGTTTCCCACCTGGCGACACTTTTTGGGTGTGCCTTTCTCGCATGCTCCGCCCTCGCAGCTTGTCCAGTTTTCATTCCAGTGGGCAATTTAGATTTGGTCGAGGTGAGTAAATTATTCAATTATTTTCAAAATTGTGTGTATGCAAATACAAATTTTGAATTTGATTATTTTCAGTACTCAGGAGACTGGAAAATCCACGGACTGCTCCGCACGTTTGGGGGAAACCCTGGAATGAGATGTCTGCACGTCGAAATGGACAGTCTTGATTGGACGACAGAACCTGTCGACGTCCACGCCATCCTTCACGGCGAATATGTGGCCACGAATGTCACCTTTGAACAAGAACTTCCTGCCGAAGTGCCCCGGCTCATCGAACCTGGAAAATGGACAATTAACATCAATGGGAGTAAGTCCGATCTTTGCTTTGCTGTCCAAGCTGACTTGGTGGGTTAAGATTAAGATATTTTGCCCGTCTTGCAGCAAACTTTGAGCACACCATCCTTCACACCGACTACAACAATTCATTGGTCATTAGCTGCGCTCCCGTCACCGATTTTGATAACGCCCTCATTGTTCTCTTCAACACTCGGACATTTGAACCCATGAATCCGACCGTCATCGATCAGTACAAGTATCTCCTTCAGAATTACTACCAAATTGACGATGAGTTCTACTACCCAATTTTCCAAAGTGAGGAATTCTGTAAGGAGCACACGCATCCATAAAAAGTCTAAAAAAAGATCCCTTAAAATCTAAAAATTTTATTATTGGGAGCGAAATTATGACAATGTTGCCAATGAGCGTGCTAAAATTTGTAGTAAACCATAAAAATTATACGTTTTGTTTTGTTCATGTAAATACATTTGCATTTCATAATAAGTAATTGCCATTGGGCGATGAAACTTGATGCTCGTGTGTTCTGAACACGGCCGACGGCAGGGCAGGCAGGGCAATTATTTGCTAAATAATTGATTTTTGAGCAAGTGATGTGATCCTCCATCCCAGGAAAAAAATTGAATGTTTCAGTATTCATTAATCGTAAATGCAAACAGGTGTTCGTGGCTTTCTACCAGAGCAGAAAACCGAACAAAGTAATAAGGGTTCATGTATCCGTACGTGGAATCATGCAACCCTGCCGGAGAAGAATTAATTGTTGGTTAGTGTCAAATGTTGAATTTTAAATGTGCATGTCACACACCATCGCCACACCGGTGGCGAGACCAACCCATCCCCGATCTTGTCATTTACTCATTTGGACGGGCGAACGACGACGACGACGACGATGGGGAGAGAGCAAGACGAGCAGAAAAATGCATGTTATGCAAATACTGACATGACTGCGAAATAAAAATTGGCAGGCAACATTTGGTGAAGCAACATCTCCATTTGCTGCTCTGCATGGTTTTAATTGCTTTAATTAAAAGCAAGTTGATTGATTTCAAATCTATCAATTTTATTAATTACAGAGTTTTATAACATTTTGTGGCTTCGGTCCTTCCTTTTGGCGTGTTTATCAGTATGTTGCAGTTACTTGTATGTATTAGTACACGTATGAACAGTAGACGCCTGCTGGTAAATACAAATCGTTGGACCAATCATACCCATCCATGAATTTACTATTTATACAGAATCTGTGTTACGGATATTCCGAACCCAAATTGTTGATTTATGAACATTCGCCATTGCGACGAGAGAAAAAGTTTGTGGGCTTCTGATTCCCATATTCCCGAATCGAATCATGGTGATTGATCATAAATTTGAAATTCACCCGTAAAATTTGTAGCCATCTTTTCAATTTTTCACACGGGTCCTTTACCAGCCATGCACCATTTGGGCTACAAATGGAGGGTCGGGTGCGACGGGTCAAAATAGAAATAAAAATGCGGATCATGCCCTTCAATTGAATACCTTTAGAGATGCAAATGAGATGAGGAGAACTGGGATGGCGGATGGATGAACGAACGAACGGTTGACCGTGCTTAAGTTCAAGTTGGATTTGTAGAGCCCTTCAACCTGGTGAAGATTTTTCGACTCGAAATTCAAGAGCGGGGGACCCTCCATCCACATTAGTGGCCCCTTATAAATACATACAACATACGGATCTACTCGTCTGTGAGGACTCTTTAGCATCACTCTCCCCTTTTCTCCGATGAGATCAGATAATTCCCGTTTTGTTGGGACGATTACATATTGCTTGTTGTGCAGAATGTTTGATTCAATGTTTCCTTCCAACACAACACGTTAGTACAATGTACACATGTATCTATGATGTAGATATGCACATAGAATGTAGAAATGGGAGGAGGTTCTAACTGTACGCATTTACTTTTTAAAATATTAGCAGATTTTTTTGTTTTCAGATCAGAATTGCATACTTGTTCAAATTAAAATGGGTTTTCATCTATCTGTGATCCAATTCTGTACACAATAATGTTTTCTCTAAGTATGTCTGAAAAATTACACATTCTACTCTTTGATTCGCTAGTATTTTATAATTCCTCTACAAATATGTCAAAAATTCTGACACGGTGACGAGGTTGGCAGTGAGTCCCTGGTGACTGAGACATGTCTAGATTTATTTATTAAACTTACATACGTTATGGTTGGGGGACTTGAGTACAAAGGTTGAACAGAACTGAATGCACACGCCCATTCCACCACAATAAAGAGAGAGACTAGAGAAATGAAATAGAGTACAAAGCACCATCCATATTTTCCCCACGTATTCCAGCACCTATATATTGCACAACAAAAATATGTATGCGAGTGTATGTAGGGCTCAGCCAACAGATCACTTTCGGTTAGATTCGACACACGTGACACTTGATTATATCCTGCCAACAACACGGTTTTAAGGGTTTGACAGGAGTTTAGGACGAAACATGTATAGATGCCCAGCACCAAGGAATCAAAAGAACACATTTCATTCAGCTTAATCCAATCCAATCCCCCCTGACATCAAAATTGGCTTTGATTCCTTCCTGGGTGTACGTGGACTTGAGGGCCAATTTAATGTATGTAGTAGCATCATAATATTCCTCATACTCTGCGCTAAGGCAGCTGCAGTGTTACGAAATACACTTTCGTTCGAGTGAGTAGCATTTCTATAAAAGTGGGGAAGTTTCATAACGTGCACAGTTTTGACTGCAGATAATCTTGACGAGAACGAGAGATTACACTCCTTCAAAAAATACACATACTCAAATATTGAATTGGATGAAGGCTAGAACCAGATTATGTATCAGACGCCACGCTAATAATATGTGCACCTTTCACAATTGCACAGTCAAGCCTTGAAGGCGTGACTAACGCCAATCAAGGTCTACCCATTATTTTGCAAATATATAAATCAATCTATAGAGTGTCAAAATTATTGCTAAATGGACATTGTAATTTTGCAAAAAACATAAACTGTCAATATGTAATATGCTTTATCCTCGTTACCCATTCCTAGATACGAAACACTGTTTTGAACATCATCCATTCGAAATCACCTCACCTCAGCCTCTCCTCCTCCTGGAAAGAGAGAGAAACGACATGCTGCTGTTGCTGTTAATGCTAATTGATTACTTTTGGATGAAGGGGTTGAGTTGATGACGGAGGAAAGGTGTTTGCAGATGCAGTTGCTGTAAAGTCACCACGTTTAGAAAAACCTCCGAGATCTGTAAATAAGTAAGTCTGCGGCCAAACGTTGGAGGAGAGGCTGAAAGGAAGAGTGCCGGAAGGGATGTGTGGAATAAGTGGGTAAAAGCCAGAGGAGAAGATCGGCAGGCTGCATCCCGAATAATATTCGCCTCATATTAAAATTGATTGTCCAAGTCAACTCACTTGTGTCAGCCCAAATGGAGATAAATGATTGGGATGATTTTTCCTCGGGGCGGGTAGAATCTCTGTTTCATCATCATCATCATCACCAGCCGAAAGGCAGATGCGGTTTGAAATGATGCTTATCATGACGGCTATTTATGACCGATGGAGAAACGATGAGGTATTTTATGAAAGATGCAAAATTTCAGACCAACTCCTGCACATCACTTCCACTATTGAAGTGTTATCTCTTTGGTAAAAAATTCAATTATTATGAGACTGACCTTCTCAGCTATAAAAAAAAACAAATAAACTTTACTTCATTTATTTACAAAGAAAGACCGACTTGGCTGGGCAAGCAATAATGTCCTTCCACCACCACCATCAGCTTCCATCCTGGTAATAAAATTAAGTGAGATGAAGTGATGGCAAAGAAATTGTCTGTTTGATCATGTTCCCTGTTACGTGTGTATCCTTATCTTGCACTCTATTGTACGTACTTATGTAGATATGCTGCAAGTAAGTCGGGAGGTTCGTTCTACGCTGTCAGCACCGAAATCGGAAGTCCATTGTCTCGTTTCCTCCGGATCTTGCCTTGTTCTGTCAACAAGGGAATGAACACCACCACCGCGGACAGCCAGGCGCGCATATATTGTGCACACCCACCAGGAATCCGTATCTATTTTAACAAATTGCTGTCATATGCATGCTCAAATAAATTATTCTAATTTCGTGTCGCTCGTTGTCGCCACAATTTTATAAAAGCTTTAAAACCCACAAGTCTGGAAAAAGTTTGAAAATTCAACTGGCTAAAACATGCATTTTGAAAGTAATGGGTGACATAATTTTCGCCGCCACGACGGACTCGCTGCTGCTGTTTACACATAATCTGTCACTTTCACAATGGCGAACTGAACCAGTCGACTAAAGATGATATGCTTTTACAAAATCTCAGTCAGCGAAAGTAAAGAACAAATTGCATTCATCTTGGAAGAAAAGGAGCAGACATGAGAAAATTGGTTTTATTTGGTGGAATTGTGTAACAGTTAGGACAGGACAAATAAAGGCTCGAGTCCAATATTTCTAATTGTATTGTATAATGAAAAAGCGGAATGGGACAAGTTTCAAACTGCATCGTACTCATTCAAGGAATCAGTCCGGTCACAGCTCTTTTGTTGTAATTGAATCCAACCTTTTTGCCCTGTTGACAAATAGTAGACGAGGCTAATGGCACTGAGGGTATCGCATCGTCGGATGATATGACTCACGCCCAAGCCAACTAGAATAACACCCATCACTAATTTAAAGAATGAAACCCCCACGGCTATTCACACATTCGTCTTTTGTATCATTTGATTTGGGTTGGACTTTTGGGTCCTTCTTTGTCCACAACTTTTTCATTCCTGGCCACAGGATGCGATGATGGGTGCTCTGTAGTTGGTATGCTCAGTGACGAGGCTAAGCTTTCACCCAAAAAGTTTGGTATTTATTTGGAGGAATTGAGGTGAGACTTTTAAGAAATGAGGAATAAAGTACAGGAAGAGGAAGTAATGATCTTTGTTGGTAAATGCCCACAAGTTTGGGGTTGGCTTTGACTCGTACACCAACCAAGTGGGGAAGGATACCTGTCACGAATAAAAGTATTTTTTGTGCTCGCTTACTGTAGTACACAGCTAGACTAGTCTAGTTAGTAATAATGATAATCAATATCATAACCCATCGTGCCTGCCAACTTTATGACATGCAAATTAGAAATAAACTCTGTTTTAGTGTATGTAATTGAGTCCATGAGAAAAAACTGGAAAGCAACATCTGATTTTGAATATCTTACGGCCATTCATATAAACTACACACGGCTCCTTTAATGATCAGTATTTATGGGTTTTATGATTGGAAATCGGCTTCTGTGACACAAACTGAGGGTGAATTTGATGATTCTTTTGCCCTTGATGAACCAGAGTCATTCTAAAACACAATCAAATCCAAGAAGAAATCCGTAAATTCCACAAAAGGTGAAGAAAGGGTTGAAGGGATCGCGTGACAGGGAAGTTGGTCAAGCTCTCATTGCGTGGACGACGATGATGATATGTATCATGAGAGGAGAAAGAAGTGCTTTTGGAATGAAAACTGCCGAGCTGCCCTGCTCCTAGAAACGTGAAAGTGCGAGTGAGTGAGCGTACTTAATGAGGGTGGTAGCGATGAGCCCCGAAGGGGAGAACTCTTTACACAAACAAAATCGAACCTAAATGACACACACACATTTTTTTCTTATTTTAGGAAATGATTGGAAAAAATGCAAAAATGATAATATGGGGCGAAGCTCCACGCCAATTTTTTCTTATTTTTAACAATGATTGATTTATTTTATAGATAACAAACTCGGTAATCGAACAGATGAATTTAATATAAAAAAAAGTACGAAACTACATGTCAACATCATTAGTATGGGTGGGGGGAGGGGGCACAACGCATCCTGGCTTCCACCCTGGAAATGGTGGCTTGACAGCCTCAGCAGAAGTAGTAGAAGAAGAAGTCGAAGCGTTCTCTTCTTTTTTCTTAGAAAATTCTGCCTTCTTGGCAGCAGCCTCTTCTTCTGAGTATTTGCATTCCCTGTAAAAGAAGCAAATTAAATTAAACCGAAAAATTTAATTTATCATTAAGCATAGAATAATAAATATGAACTTCACTTACTTTCCTGGATGGCCTCTTTCCTTGCATCGCCAACATCTCTGTTTCTTCTTTTTCTTATCTATAAAAAGATTACAACATTGAAATCTTGTTAAGTCTTGAATTTTTTTTTCATTTAATACTTACCCTTGTTTCCACCAGGCTTCCCCCCACCGGCACTACCGCCACGCTTTCCACCGCCGGAACCACCGCCACGCTTTCCACCGGAACCACCAGGAACCGACAAAGTGAAGGCACTCCCAAATGGGAGTCCAGTCACAATCACTTTATGGTTAAACTTTCCCATCTACAAATTCAAAAATAAATAAAAACTTTGCTAACCTAGCTTTAATTTTAATACTTAATCAAATTATGCAATGCTTACCTTGACCTCAAGAAACAACGCCCACCAAGAACTGGGATTGAGGAGGGAGACGAAGGACCAACAACAACACACCAACAACAACAAAAATAGAATCCAAAGTAGGCTGCTCTGTGGGTGGAGAAGATTGCTTGTAAATTACTACAAAATAAACAAATGAATAAAAAATTATAACTTCAATGATATCTTTGCTAACCTAGCTTTAATTAGCAATTAGTCAATGAATTAAATGATAAAAGCTTGCCTTCACAAAAAAGCGCCCACAAGAAAGACAGAACGTCGACAAAACAAATAGAATCCAAAGTAGGCTGCTCTGTGGGTGGAGTGGAAGATTTCTTGTAAATTACTACAATTTAAAAATGAAGAAATAATTGTTAATAAATAAATAAGTTTGCTAACCTAGCTTTATTTCTATTAATCTACGAGTAAAAATAAAAAAAGACGGCTTACCTTGGACAACGTTTGATGAGGAGCTGATGGGGAGAGGAGTTGACGACGACCACGAGTATTTGGATGCTGATTTTCTGTTAAAAATGCACCAGTAATTATTATTATCAAGTATTTATGGCTTACAAGATATTTAATTGTTAATAAAATACAAATTACCAGAAATTATCTTCGGGAGGAGAGAAGAAACGTCCACCCTGCACGTGTTTTCAGAAGAAGTGAGTGAGCGAGCAGCAGTAGTGGTGGTGGCGGGCTCTGAGAATCGATCTCTTAGTAACGTTTTGCCACCACCACTACTGCTGCTCGCTCACTCACTTCTTCTGAAAACACGTGCAGGGTGGACGTTTCTTCTCTCCTCCCGAAGATAATTTCTGGTAATTTGTATTTTATTAACAATTAAATATCTTGTAAGCCATAAATACTTGATAATAATAATTACTGGTGCATTTTTAACAGAAAATCAGCATCCAAATACTCGTGGTCGTCGTCAACTCCTCTCCCCATCAGCTCCTCATCAAACGTTGTCCAAGGTAAGCCGTCTTTTTTTATTTTTACTCGTAGATTAATAGAAATAAAGCTAGGTTAGCAAGTAAATTTATTTATGGTTAATTCTTTCTTTGTTTTCAAATTGTAGAAATTTACAAAATATCTTCCCCTCCCTCCACAGAGCAGCATACTTAGGATTCTATTTGTTTCTTCGTCGTTCTGTCTTTTCGTGAAGGCAAGGTTTTATCAATTAATTCATTGATTAATTGCTAATTAAAGCTAGGTTAGCAAAGATATTGTCTAATTAATCATTCTTCACTCCTTTTTGTAGTAATTTACAATAAATCTTCCTCGCCCCTCCCACAGAGCAGCATACTTAGGATTCTATTTGTTTGTTGTCGTGTGTCGTCTCCTTTTTACCATTGGTGTTTCTTCGTGGACTAAAGTTTGTCCAATTTATTTAATTAAATTAAAATAAAGCCAGGTTAGCAAAGATGACTGAATTTGTTTTTATTATTTTAGACAATTGGTGCAATTAAGAAGAATCTTCTCCTCCCGCAGCGCAGAGCAGCGTACTTCGGATTCTATTAGTGGTGTCCTCGTCTTCCTTCACCACCAGATTTTATTTATTTTTGTATATATTTTTAGTTTTTAGTTTATATATTTGCACTTCTGAACTGCTTTGTGCGGTTTCAAATAAAAACTGCTTTGTGCGGTTTCAAATAAAAACTGCTTTGTGCGGTTAAGTAAAACTGCTTTGTGCGGTTTTAAATAATTTTAGAATGTCTAAAATTCTTAAATATCATTCTTGGAATGCTGATGGGATCACAGAAGAAAAAATTACAAAAATGATGACTCATTGGATAAAAGATGATGCTCAGTTGATTTTTATTCAGGAAAGTAAACTTCTGGCTACTGAAGAGCAGAAAATTGCTGATTTTGTAGAACAGCATTATGGATTTGATTCCATTTTCCATTCATCAATCCAGTGGAAATCAAATCCATTAAAATCGAGCTATGGAGTCTGTGTGTTTTATAAAAACGTCAAAGTCCGACATATGGTGCTGACGTCGTCAAATCCTAACCTGCTAGTAAATCCTGAACGGATTATGAAGGTGATGGTGGATTGTGATTTGTTGGATAAAGAGATATTGTTTTTCAATATCTATTTCCCAGCAAACAATTACAAGCGTAAAAGTAGACCAGCTGAACAACAAAAATGGTTGACTACAATTAAATTTTTGTGTAGAAAACATTCAGACGAGCATTGCATTTGGCTTGGAGATTTCAATATGCAAAAATTGAAACCAAATAATAAACCAGACGGCAGGTCTAACTTGTTTGACCAACTACAGAAAATCATAAAGAAGTATGGTTTTCGAAATGTAGCAGATAAGTTGTGGAAACCAAACGTCTTTACTAGACATGCTGAACATCCTTCTAACAAAGTGAATCACATAACTTCCACTTTGGACTATGTCATCACATCGAAGTCAATACAAGACCTTCACCAAACTTGTGTTCCTTTGTATGACATGGATGTGCGTCTTAGTGACCATATAGATATTAAGTGTAGCAATAAAATTGCAACAGCTAAAGACCTTGCCATGCCATTTCTAAAAAAAATCATCATACACCCTCCAGTTATCCCTAACAACAAAGTTGGGAAGCTCAAGTGCGACAATTGTGGATATGAACCCACTGGTATACCCAGGGTTATCCGAAAAAATTTTAAACGGCACGTTGCTAAATGTAATGGCCCTAAAATAACTTTATGCACTGATTGTAACACAGAGTTCGGTAATCCTGGTAGGTTAGCACTCCACAGAGCGAGGGACTGTCCAGGGGCGCCATATGTGACAATTTGTCAAGACTGTGGTAAGGATTTCAAGTATCATAGCAACCTTGTAAAACACAGGAACCGCGTGTGCAAAGGCCAAAGTCCTGTGTGCCTGAATTGCAACAAACACTGTGGCAGTATGACTGGTTTGGCTTCACACGTCAGAGGTGGATGTTAGAGTTCTTGTTAAAAAATTATTAGTTTCTTGTACCATCCATAAATTTTTCCCAATCACTTTATGCCAATAAATAAAAAAACAACACCTACAGTGCAGACTTAATTAGCCCGAGCCAGGCTTATTACATAATTACTTATTACATAATTATATCATATCAGCATGTCATATCTTAAAGGCTTACTGCTTACAGTGTATTCTGAGCCATTCTGCAAATTTGGTCATGATTTTCCTAAGCAAAAAACACGAGTCCACTCACAGGTGTGTAATCTCAAATGTAAATCTCAATTTATTCCGGGAACCGAAACAACTGGTCAGCAGGGAGTGAAGCATAAAATAACAAGATGATGAGCCTGATAGGGTGGTCGTACACGTAGGAAATCAGAATCCTGCTCAGCTGAAATGCATAAACAGCTCGAGAGAAAAAGGGTATCAACTACATAAACGATTATTTCGATAATTTTATTGATGACGACGAGGGAACTGGCGCAGCTGCGGCTGAACCCGAGTTTTTAAACTGTCAATTTTATCCACCGAAAAAAAGTGTAAATGTTCACTCTGATTATTCATTCACAATAATTCACATTATTTAGAGGAGACCAGTTTCAGGTTCTCTCTTTTTGGGCAAAATTTGTACGTAAAAAAGTTGAATCAGGTTTACCGTGCGTTTCCTTTTTGGGAGCTCCCAATTTTACATATGCGTTTTTACATGTACATACTGACAAGGGAACCTCAACTACTGTCCCATCTCGATTTCCTTCGTAATAGCCTTAATCGACAGATAATTTAATGAAACTAAAACTTTGTCATAGAACATGCGGTGCAAAATCACGTTTTCGCGAAATATTTGGCGAAATATTTGCACCAAAACCTGCATTTTCCTAATGGTTTTAACATAGCCCCCAGCCTTTCGAATGATGAAATGAATCTTATAGAATATTGAAAAAATATTTATGTACCCGTCCGGGTACTTTCTGCCCGATCACGAATATGCAAAAAGCGATGCAGACATTTGCAAATTATTTGCAAATTGCGAAAATCGGAAAAATTTCGCAAATTTGAATTCTTCGTTCATTTAAATTGAACAAAATTAACAAATTTAGCTAATGCAAAATACTATATTCTTATTGCAAAAAATTTGCAAAAATTTGCAAAAATTGAAGTTCGCAATTTTTCATGAAAATTAGTTAAAATAACCAATGCTAGTCTATTTTTACGTATTTTTCGAAATTATTCGCGATGTTTATTTTTGCAAGTTGCAAAAAATTGCAATGTGTGGCGTGATTTTTAGTTGTTAAACAAATAAGCTTTTCCTTCATTCGTAGATGCATATGTATGTAAATGATAATTTTTTAGTTTGTATAATGAAACGATAATGAAAAATTGAAAAATTGCGTACTTCAATTTTTGCAAATTTTTGCAAATTTTTTGCAATAAAAAAATTCCATTTTACATTAGTTAAAATTTTGTTGAATTTAAAGGAACGAAGAATTCAAATTTGCGAAATTTTTCCGATTTTCGCAATTTGCAAAAAATTGGCAAATGTTTGCACCACTTTTTGCATATTCGTGATGGGGCTGAAATTACGCGGATGGGTACATAAATATTTTTTCAATATTCTATAAAGTTTATTTCATCATTCGAAACGCTGGGGCTATGTTAAAAGCATTGGGAAAATGCAGGTTTTGGTGCAGCTTTCGCCAAATATTTCGCGAAAACGTGATTTTGCACCGCATGTTCTATGACAAAGTTTTAGTTTCATTAAATTATCTGTCGATTAAGGCTATTACGAAGGAAATCGAGATGGGACAGTAGTTAAGGTTCCCTTGTGAGATTTGATTTCTTAAAGTATGCTTTCAAGTGTGATTTTAAATACCTCCTAAATTTCGCCAGCATCTCATCATTCCTTCAAATAAGACTAATGTAAATGAAATACAGTTTTTCACAATGCTGCTTCGAGTTTAGTTTGCATGGTTTGAGGTTTTATGAATGAAATGGTGCCAAAGTTGGTCAATTTTCTAATTTGGTCTCCCTAGCATGAAAATATGAAACATTGTTTGGTTGGTGGCAAGCATTTAGTTGGCTTGAATGTCAAAGGAGTTAGTGCGTAAGAAGGAAACGAGGCGACGAGCAACAAAGAGGAAGGTGAAGATTGACAATGGCTTTGAATGTCCGTGGCTAATTTTGTCGGTTTTTCTATTGTGCCCTCCTCTCGTTGTCTCCATGCTGTCTGCCACCGTCATCGTAGTGATACAAATAGTAGTTGAGACTGTGGAGAGGAATCGACGAAAGATCCACACCATTTTCGAATACGCAGATACAAATACTTTAGACGGTAGATGAATTGAATTCAAACTGTCAACCATGTTTCGCCGCTATTGTGCTGCTAATCTACGTGAAATTATTCAGGCTGTTAAATTTGGAACTTATTTTATTCTTATTTATATTAATTTTAATATGTTTTATTTATGACACTGGTTGTTGCTAATATCTATCGTAGTGGGATGGGATATAGCCAAATCTAGCATGACATGCAGCATTTCTGTGAATACGAAAGTGAGGTGTGATTTTAGACTATAAAATGTATAAGCTCTCTTCAGTTCAAGTTCTTCAAGATTTATGAACAGCGTGCAGCTTCAATGAGATGCGGTTCAACGACAACTTTAATAAATTTTGGGACACTTAATTTTATTGCTTTCTTAAATACGCATTGCACTGAGAGTGAGATTTTGAGATTCAACACGGAAAATGTGGGTTCATTCATAAATGTAGTGTAGCGATGTGAAATGGTGAATTTTATGGCACTTTTACAACGAAATAAATGAGGTGAAATGTGTGGCAGCTTCCGAATCAGAGCAACCACCCACAAACAAAATTGTGAAATCCGTTTTGTCAAAATATGAGTTGTAACACAATTTCACAACTCGGTGCACATCATCAACGCCGTAACACCAACGCTGCCCAAATCTTACAAATGACCGTATTACACTAATCCAATAGTGCTACTTAGGAACGACGCCGAGGTCTTCTACAATTCTCACTTTATTAATATTGCCTTCCTTTCGCAGGGACGTGGTGTGGATCCTAATATTTTTCATTGTTACGTCCTGTCTGAGAATTCTTGCTTGTAAAATCTATCCCAATATATAAGTAGTTTGGTCCCTGTAACCAGACAAAATGGTAGATCTTCACTAGGTATTAATTGAGCTTAACAATATTGAACAATATTTACTACGTGGCTGATTCAAAGCCTTCAAAACATGTAATGCATTAGATAACATTTACAAAAATAAAGAAATAAGATAAATGATTTTAACATACATTTCTCTAAAAGTTGCATGTTGTACTGTGCTGTCATGTAATTATGTAAATCACGAAATACGAAGATTCATCAAACGTTTACCGTTGTGCAGCAGCCATTGTGAATACCATACGAAAATAAGCGTTATAAAAATGATGGTAAAAAATGCCACCCAGTTGTTCTGTCATCCTTCTTTACTATTTATTACACAATATAATAATGTTCAAAATCATTTATGGTAATGCACCCATCGGTCGTTCCCTTGGTTGGTGGTTGATTAGCTCGTCTTGTCACCCAGAGGTTCAAATTAGAATAAAAGCGTCGAAATACGCCCACAATCTGTCCAACTTTTACCGACTCGCTGAATGCAATGCAACAATCCAATTTCGAAGCCACCAACATCGAACGAAGCCTAATTGCTCACATGCACCCTGCTAACTACGAACACACTGTATCTAGTTTAGCAGTAATGAAATCAAGTCAGTCAGTTAGGGTATATCGACACACACGATGTACAGATCGGGGGACGTTTAATATTTCACTCGATTTGCATTCGATCTCCCGTTTGACATCTATATCACAATCTGTAAGAGTGAATAACGCACATGTGTATTTCACACCAACAAATGAAATGGATCTGCTCAATTAGTATTCATCGCGTTAATAATTCATCGGACAAAGCCTAAACTATAGAAATACTAAAATTACACATATAATGTGACAGGAATGGAAAAGCAATAAAAGTCGGCCCCATTTTGGACGTTGCATATGCAGAGTAAAAATTCCATTTGTTTCCTTTGTATCGTCTGACAGGAGGGAACAAGAGGAGAATTGTTGCGTCCAAAAATGCATTGCTTTGAAATTGCCGTGTAAGAAGAGAGAATTGAAATATGAAATGTAAAATGTGAATCGGTGATATGGCAGCCCGTCCGTAACAGCAGTTTTTGGCGGTGTCGACTCATTTTCCACTTAATTAATCACTCCCCAAGCAAATAAACTGAACTCTTGTGTTGGCAGTTTCAATTCAGGGAATTAAAAATGTTGAAAAAGCTGCTGTGTCACTCAATGGTGCGACTACTTGGCTATGCTCCTCTCTTCTAGGACGCTAAATGGAGAACTACATGACAATTAAATAGCATTCTAAAAAAGTACGAGGGTTGTCCTCCTCTCTTCCATCCGCACGTTGACTTAAAATAAAATAAATGATGTGCACTCCTATCATCCTCCTTTCTTTAGCGAATGAATAAATCTCCTCGCATTATTACAACATTTTGTGCTAGGTGGTAAAAGGAGTTGGAAAATTTGAAAAAACTGCCTCTCCTCGAACCGTCCCTTCATCACCAGATTTCTTCAAACCCCACCAGCATCATTAATCTCAATCTTGTTTTTCACTCGGCTAATAAATGTATGCATTTGGCTCAAGATGAAGGCCTGAGATCGTGATCAGCTACTTTGCCTGTTCTAATCAAATTTTCTTAAAGATGTAAAGCTTTAAGTTGCCCCACAATTACTACTCGCTGACGGTACTCGCGTACGCATACACATAAATAACTACAGACTCGTATATCCATATCACTGCTGGCTGCATCTGGGTGTGTGCGATTGTTTGAAATGCATTTGTCACAAATCAAACGAGAACAGAGAAGAATTTGTAAATCATACGTGTGCATAAGAATGTATTTGTGTATAGAAAAATGCGTTTCTGATACAAATCCAATAAATACACGAGTACAACAAGCAAACATGTTTAATTCCACACGCAACCTTTTCAAGTAAACTGCTAAATAGTAAAGGTAGTAAATACCAATATGTATGTTGGTTTCACTTAATTTGACAACATGTCAAACAAATTTTACTTGTCAGGGGAAAATCTGGTTCCCCGAGTCCAATAAAGCGAGCAAAGTAAAAAAAAAAGTAAATAAAATGGACCAATGTGACAAAACAACCAAATAGTGTTGCCATAATCTTCAGTAGTCTACGTGGAATGGGATGTCGGTGAGGGAGAGAGTATGCTTGTCACTCTCTCTCCGGTCCCAATTTCTTGTCATGCCAATTGTCACCTCATGTCAACCCCACCCCAACCGCAGACAGGGTATCAAACACGACCGGACTACATCCTAATAATGGGATCAATTACAGATGAACAGTCTCTTGGGTGAAGCAGCAGAGAGCAAGGCCAGCTTAGGCTAAACTAATAACACGGGACAATAAAATGTCAATGTTCAATTTGCTTGCCCCCATTGCGAGATAACTCATACCATGCAAACGTATGTACATACAGTACTATCCGTCCTTTGGGACGCTCTTTTATCCAGGAAATAAAATGGCTGTTGGAATTTAATAGTCGAACCCGCGACACTGTTGCGCCATTACCCACCACGAATGTTTCCAGTCTGGATAAATCCTGTAAAATGCAGGTATTTAAACGTGAAAAATTACAAGTTCGGAAAGTTGTTAGAATAAAAAGAACTCTTACATATATTGAGCGGTCTAATTTTCCCAAGTCTGATGTTGCATGTTTAAATATAAACTAAAGCATGATTGTTTTACGTTTGTATTCCTTTATCAGACATGATAAAAATTTGATGCATCTTGACAAATTAAATCCGAGCGATAAATTTGTTACAAAGCAGTCAGAGTCATCTTCTCTCCTTGCATGCATTGGTGTACATATGTTCATCAATAATATATTTTGTATTATATTGCCACTGAATTTTACTAGTCGTGAAAAAAGTCATCATGAGAAACCTTGACATTCGTTTTGTGCTGTTCATCGTGGGGGTGGGGACACATTTGTCCGTAGTGCAGGGCAATATGATAAGCGTCGACTGGGATCAGGTTGACCGTTTGTTGGAAGAGTTCAGGCGAGTGAATGAAGTTCCAGGTGTGGCCTTGGCTGTTGTCGACAGTTCTGGAGATCAAACTGGGGCAAAAGGATACGGAGTTTCGGATCGTGAAGAAAATAGGCCGATGGATAATTCCACTCGATTTCTAATAGCATCCATATCCAAAGTATACAATTTCTCGCAACCACTTTGTCTACATAACCTGTGGGCATGATCTAATTTGCCCTTTATGCTTTCAGAGCTTTACAGCCGTGATCTCTTGTCGTGTGCTGAGTCTCCATTTTCCAGAACTGGGTGAAAGTGTTCTCGACACCCCCATCGCACGATTGGTTCCTGGCTTCAATCTCACACTAATCGATAGGTGAACAAATTGCACTTTACACTCTGAGACTTGTGTATAAATTTATGTATTGAATTATGAACCAAGATACCGTACCGAGCAGACGACATTTAGAGACCTGCTTTCCCACCGAACTTGTTTAAATTCTTATGGAATTGGAGTGACGGCTGGTGCATATAAATCTAGGGCAGATCGTCTCTAGTGAGTTGCTATTTAAAAAACAAACTATCGAGTTTTCAGAACTACTAATTTAGGATTGATAAAATTTTGGACAGCAGGTACAGATACATCGGGGAGAAATGTGCATTCAGATCAGGTTTCGAGTACAGCAACCCCATGGTCATTCTGGCAGGGGAAATAATTGCACATATTGTTGGAGTTCCTTTCGAAAACTTGGTTAGTCGGTAGTGATAAAGCAAATTTATTAACGGGACCATCAGTCTAATAAATTGTGCAGCGTGAGGGAGAACATTTATAGCTACATATTTAAAAGAATTTGTTGGTACACATAATCAGGCAATGGAGCTGTTGACCGAGCTTGGAATGATCGACAGTCTCATCGTTACGCCATCGGAGAACTATGAAACCTTGGAACGCATGAGTCGAGGCTATTATCGGAACCTAGATGGACAATTGGCAAAAATGAATGCTTCAGTCTACAAGTTCGAATTTTTATGCATTTTGTTACCAATTTGCATTACTTAGTAATAATATGTGTCTACATGCCGTAATCTTTGAATAATCGAGTGCAGTAGTCATTCTGGAGCTGCGTCAGGAGGAATCATCAGTACCTCTGCCGACATGGCGAGATACCTTCACTTCCATTTAAACAAAGGTCTCCTGGATGGGCAACAGATTGTCCCCACCGTAAGGTCACCAACTACGGAATTTAACTCCAAATGGCTATGCTCACCTTGTATTTAATTATTTCGTCTAATTGATCAGGAAGTTATGGAGTGGGTGTACAGGGCATCAAACTCGGTTCCCTTTCCCGGCCTTCCTTACAACGATGTGATTCAAGGAGATTTTGGCTACGGTCTCGCTCTGGACTTGGGACTATTTGGAAATTTGTTTAGAGTTGGTCATGTAGGAGACTTGTCCCCTTTCACGAGTCGAATGACCTTCTACCCTGAAGTAGGACTTGGTCTCTTCACTGCGATAAATGGTCCAGGACCGCTTCCTGCCACATCGGACCATCTTCACCTTCATAACCAGCTCACTCAACTCATCCTGGATGGAGTACAACCTTCTACATCGCGCCTCCACAAAAATAGTTGTTCCGAGCACAAATCAATCGTCCCAAAATCAGTGCGGGACCATGAGGGTCACCACCAGCGTATTCAGTCCGAAGCACTAGTTGGAGTTTATGGACATCCCTACGAAGGTAAAATCTACATAATTGAGTAGTAGATAGCGTTCATCGCATCTTATTTTGCACACATTAAAGGAGACGTGCATGTATCCATTGGTCCTGGCGGTGGGTTGGAGTTGCAGTATGGGATTTGGGGCTACGGATCACTTTTGGAAACTGATGAGACGAACGTTTATGAAATCGAATGGCGAGGAGATATTGTAGCCATTTTCCTGGCGTATTCTGGCGGTCCTCCACTGCCCTCGATTCTCTGGGATTTTAACACCCCGGACACACTAACTTACGAGGATCCTGATGGACGGATAGAATACCGCAGGAATGCCACGATAGAAACATACCCAGAAATCCCGTGGTCTCCTGATAGCTGTTTGCACTGATTACGTTTAAGAATTTCTACGAATGCCAGCAAAATACAAGCCGTTCTAGAATAGGGGTTTATTCTAAAACTAAATTATGCAAATAAACTAAATTATAAATTATTTTCAACTGCTAAACATTTTTAGAAATATTAAGGCCCCTCTACACCTACTATAGTAGGTGATACTTATTTACATTGAAGTGTCAATAATAAGTACTGGGGCAGTTGGTCTTTTATTTGCATGGGAAAATGAGGTCTCCTAAACTCACTCACAAATCAAACCGCACATCACAGTCCCAAATCACTCATTTTGCCCTATTTTTCTGGTTTATTTGCTTAACTTTATACATATTTTCTTCTTTTTCACTTTGGGACTTTTGAAATTGAATGACTTTTCTCCCTTAATTCAATTGAATGGTCTGCTGTCGTGCAGTGTGCCGTGTGAAGCGTGGGCTATATCTGCGTGTATGCATAGAGTTGCTCATTTTTCATGAAATTAATTGCGCTGTGTAAACAGAACTGACTGGTGAAACAGCACACGCACCTTCATTCTCGCGGAGGAGGAGGGTGTTTAATGGCCTTTGCACAAGGTCGGGTCACGTGTCCACCCGAGCAATTATGCAATTTCAATGAAACTCTGCCAATATTAGTTACTTCTCAGGAGGAGACGGTCCTTCGAAAGTGGGAGTAATGAGAGGGAAGCTTTTCACTCCTCAAATTAAAACCCATGAATCAGCGGTATGTCAACGGAAGTGTAAAATACTTTGAAATTTTCCCAAAATACGCACAAATTCACTCACTCAGTCATACACACGTCGGAAAACTTGATCCCTTTGCTCATAAATCACCATCGTCGTACATACATATGCGCATATTATTGGAGGCATATAATTTGTCATAATTTGTCAGCATTCTCACCTCATCCGCCTACTTCCTCCATCCAACTCCGCAAGATTCGGCCCAACAATGGCATGGCAGCGAAGAAGAGGGACACGATGCGATCATGCAGCTAAATGAAAACTACCAACAATGGACCCCGACTGGGGAAGTTTGGGTGTGACAAAAAGAGATCTTTGTTGGCCGCTTGCTATCATGTGGTCAAGGCAAAAATACGTATGAACCAGAACCACCACCAGTATTCGTACATACATAGATAAATGGTTGCACCATGCATTTATGTATTTTGAATGTTCAGTCAGTCGCTCACTCACGATGATCTCTGATCACATTATTCCACTCGGACACTTGCTACTATTTACGAACGTGTGAAAATAGTGTGGCTTTTATACCTCAATTTATACTTTGCCGTATGTATGTACATACTTCTGAATGCGTGTGTTCCTCTTAAATCCGAGTCCATTCAAATTTTATTGTGTTTACCAAATTCGCTTCCTTCTTAACTTGCTTAATTTAATCCAGCAATGAGGACTCCGACCAACCGACAAAAGTTGGATTATCTTGCGTATTTAGCTCCGGGTGCTCTGCAAAGCACGGCGTAAGTAGATGTGGAGGGGATTTGTTTGCCTTTGTGTGTTTGCAACACATTCATGACTGATGATGCGGGGTGCTCAAGGTGTCTCATTTGCATACGGCAACTTATTACACGCATCTCTACCTTCGACATAGGTGTTCAAAACAAGAAAGGGCAACTCGGGACAATGTATCGCGTTATCTTCTGAGGTCGGAAGGTGTTGCTCTCCATCCTTCCCAGTTATTGATCTTGTTGAGCTTACACGACGACTGCTCTACGAATAAGCACTAGGGCACAACAATAATAAGAAAAGGGTTCAAACTTGGGACGGATGATTGATGAGTAGAGTCCTCATTACTCATTCATCTTTTGAGTGTTTGCTACAAGATGTGTCACACATACTTGAGCTCTGGCCCAATCCAGCCAGGTCAGTCACTCGATTATTGGGTAGACTGCTTGTCGCCGTCGCTTTCGTCGTCGTCTTAACCAAAGTGGTCGAAAGGGAAAAGACCTTGCTCTCGAATTATGAGGTGACAATGCTTGAATGAGAATGTGTTTTCTTCTTACTATGAATTTGGTGTCTATATTTGGCACACAAATTATATACGAGTTGAGGATGGAATGGATGAGTTTAACTGTACAAAGATTCCCAACCTGTTGAAAGAAAAGGAGTGAGAGATTAGCGTAAAATTGAAAAGTGTAAACAGCTCCGACAACTTCTTAATGATTTGAGAAACCATTCGTTCCATTCACCATTCATTATTCTCCCATGTGGTTTGTCATCTTTGCCCGATTGTTGGTTTAGTTATGCATGAAAATAGATGAGGGTAGTTCGATATATTGTTCGTCTATGGGTTGTTAGAACTCAAGGGCGTGACACCTGGATCATGAGCAAATTAGTGAGAATCATCTATGTCTGTACGAAAATATGAGATGATTAATTGATCAGATGACAAGGTAAAGGTTAATTATCGTGTGTAAGTTGTGAATTGTCTGCTAAATGTGTATGCACAGGCCATCCTAAATATGCACTAAAATAAAACGATATGAACTGTTAATAAAGAAAAATCTGAAAAGTGAATGAAAATACAATCTGCGTTGCAAAGTTACTTAAAAAAGAAATGTAAAGTCTCATCTCTTACAGAAGGCATCATGTTCCCGTAATCCTGCCTAATCCTCCAGCAGACAAAGCAAAGCTGTTTTTACACCCAGCGTTTTGCATCTTCCTCCGAGAGAGATGATCAGAGAGAGGAGGTGTTGGTCGCAGTGTGGAAGCCACTCCTTTAGGCCTTAGCAGCTGCCAATGAACACTTGTCCAACCCCAGGGCTGTCTACTAACTCAACCACCAGAAACTCGGCAAAAAACTGCTCTCATCTCGAGTTGAGGGAAATCTCACTCAGAGCTCACTCAGTCATAGGAGAAAAGGACCAAGCTCTCAAGGATCGCTTTTAGTTGCCCTCCGACCACTTGACATCACGACTCTCGTTCTCAAGTGATCCTCTCTCTCCCTCAATTACAATAATACAAGTACCAGATACACAAACTGCGACCATCTCGTCGCCCCACGACATAATTAGCTTTGTGCTACAGTATGAATGAGAATTTGGAACAAGTCAGTTTAAAAAGTGAAGTCCATTCTGGCCCCAACAGTCCACTCGTCATAGTGGTTGACCACCAAGGGGAGGAGAAAGCCATGGAGAAAAACGTCATAAAACTCGAGTTTCCAGATGGGAAAGAGACGGTAAAAGTTAGTGAAAGTAACACTTTGAATGAAAAAGTGGTGGTGACCGCGGGTGCGAGCAGTCCGCTCAAGAAAAGAATTTCGTCACCTCTCTCAAAGCAAGTGACAAACTTTCACCTGAGCAGCAACAGCAGTGGTAATAGTAGCAACTTGAGATTCTCGTCTGGGGATGTGCAGGTTCACAACGGGTTGGACTTCACGGGTGGGACGCCGACGACGGCGGGGTTTGGGCTTATCCAAAGTGCGGCTGCAGCAAGGGCTGCCTGGCTCCTCTTGACGAACGGTGCTTCCTCCGCCGTGGGAGGAATGAGTCCTCCCGGATATCCTCCCCAAGGGGCAACTCCAAATCAGACGCACTTTCTCCCACCCGGAAACGTTACTTTCCTCCATGGATCTCAACCCTTGCAGCAGTTCGGAGGGAACACGGCCTATTGGAGAATGTGAGTTTTTCCAGTTATTATTTAGTTATTATTTTTCTGTTCGCCAAAACGTGTCAATTTTTTACTCGGACATAAATACTCGTATTTTCTTAGTCTTCCTTGAGTTTTTTCTGTTCTTCATACACGCTAAGAGATAACCCTATAAAATATAGGATACAACAACTCAGTAATTAAAGCTCACATAGCCTGACACCTCATATTCTCCATTTTTTGTTCGTCTTTTAAAAGAAGCATCAGGAACCAATAATTATATCGTACTCGTTGTACATATATGTAACCCTACACCCTAATTACTCCCGAGTTCCGACAAGTCCTCAACGTTTGATTGATGCTTTCAAAACCTAAAAATAAACGGTGGGACAAGAAGAGCCCTTAATTATTATACTTTGCTCCCATGAATAAGAACGCTTTTTTCGTCTAAAAATTAAAACGGTCTGTTTAGATTGCTCACATGCATGATGCGGGTGAATATAATGCAAGGCAAGATGCCGTTGCAAGTAATAGTGCTTGAATGGATGGGTAATTAAGAAACTGGCCGTGATAATAATTATTGCTGGTATTTCCAATCAGGTTGTTGGAGATGAGGGCCATGGGGTTGGCAACGGCAGCAGCAGCAGCTGCTGCTACTACAATTTCCGGAAGTAAATCGACCGGAAGTGGGGGATTCAGTGTCCGAGACATTCTAGACCTGCACCCAAACCCAACCTCGGCCAGCGCAAATGGACCAGAGAAGAACTCCGAGTCCGGTTCTATTCATCATCACAGTAACCACGGTCGTAATAATCATGGCACTGCCCGACATCACCATCGTTCCTCTATCGATGACCACGGTAAGCTCCACACACACCCACCTTTGCTTGTAAATTAGTTGACTTTATTCGTGAAATATACGAATTTTTATGCGTCCATATAACGTTATAAATTGTCACTGAAAGAATTCTCATTTTCCCCAAAATGTGTACTAGAATTCTCATATTTTGAGAAGCATAATTATGAACTGCGTGAATGCATATCAATCATTTTCGTATTTTCACTTTATGCATATTTCTGAAGGAGATTATTAGAGGGGAGAAAGTGAGAAAGAGTGAACTTCCCGTCACCATGCTATCATTGCCACCAGTGCGAGTTGATGGTGGTGGTGGTGAAAATAGTGCTGGGGGTGATTGAGGGTGAAAGTGGGAATGAGTGAGATTTCCCCAGGTTCAAATTTCTGAGGTTTCCTTCCGCCCCTTTCTTCTTCTTGCTTGCACACAAAGGAGTCGGATTTCGGGGGAGGGTGGGCTGGTAGTTGGGGCAGATTTGCTTATTATAATGTCGTCAGGTTAGTGAAGACAGATGAGGAGCCAATTGCCGTATTACCACCTTCCGCCCGCTCCCTTCCGTGACTCGGGCCATTACCCATCCTCACATCATCCGTCCACTAACGAAATTAAGTCTTTTCATCACTTTTCACCCTTTCTCCTACTTACCACTCCTAATATTTCTCGTAGCAGCACTAACAATGCAGTGACGCCAGTGGTCTCGCTCCGATTTTGATGAAACAAGAATAATTGCGTATCTTTACATAAATAATTAAACACATTTCGGGATTTTTCATAATTTTCAGTTTAAACGCATTTGCATTTATCTCGTGAAATGTTTGTACGGATCCATTACAATGTCTCGTTTAAACTGAAAATTATGAAAAATCCCGAAACGTGTGTTTAATTATTTATGTAAAGATATGTAGTTATTCTTGTTTCATCAAAATCGGAGCTGGCGTCATCGCATTGTAAGTAGACCCACTAGACAATGCTTACCCGAACAACATGGTTTCTCTGATTTCTCAGGATTAAGTTTCGAAATTACATAGATTTTCAAACAGTAGTTAAATCTCATTTTATCATTAAACGTTTATCCATCTCGACACTATCATTGGTGTGTACTTAAATTCACACTTGTCGTCTTTTCATTTGTCATCTGGTGTCACTTGCACAAGTTACAGATGAATTTGCATACCACATGCATCTAAATATATTTAAGCAGTAGCCAGTAATGAATGATAATTTATTTAATCGTCGTGTCCCCTGCGTAATCCTGACGGTGGTTTCACTTTCGTTTCCTTCGTTCTTTGTAAGCCTATAGTCGTTTATAAATAGTCAGATGTTTGATGTGGAAATCATAATTGCTTTTGAAAGCTGTCAAAGTATTTATCTTGAGATGATTCTCTGTGGAATTCAAGTAACACACTCTAAACGATTAGACGTACTTTGTTGCTCTGAATGGATTTGGTGTGATGCAAGCGAAACACAAAGGTATTTGCATTTTTTAATGCATGTACATATCTACATTAAGTTGTGGGCATTACTATTTTAGACAATTTTAGACAATCAATTCACATGATCCTTTTTTGAATTTCTCTTTCTTGGCACCGCTCCTTTGGCTAAATTGGAGAAAAAAGTTTACAACTGGATCAACTTCAAGATTGAAGTTTAAAAATGAGAACATAAAACTCTTTTGGACATCGATTTGTATCAAACTTTTTTGGAAGAAATCCTTCAATTCACATTTGGACTCTTTTACTTGTAAAATCAAACGTATCGAATTATTATACGCACATATGTAACAAACGGACATGTAACAAAAAATTCCACGTTATATTGTATCGCTTTCATTGTATGTCGGAATTGAAAGGAGGCAATAGGCTTAAACCAATAAGCCATTACATGGGCTCATCTCCTCTCTTTTGAAAGGATCCTCACCAGAGATTATTGAATTGGGACATAAATTCCATGATAAATCGTTCGAGATTTTTTACTCGTATGCATCCCATCGTTTTCCCCTTCCACATAATAATTCTGCTTTCGTACTGCTTACGATGCTTGATCCAGGAGGAGCTGAGTTGAGTAATAATAAATTGTGGGGGGTTTCTGCTGGCATGAACACTTCATGTAACGAAGTTAATATTATGTGCAAAAAACGCTTAATATTTTGCCAAATCTGGCTTATACATACGTACATATAAATAAATTGCTTGAACGTCGGGGTTTATGCATCCCATTATTTAACAATCCACCAGCATCGTTTTTGTCTGTTGGTCGCAGAGTTGTCAACTTCCGACATGGCTTCCGATTAAAACAATCTTGGCAAAGGGGCACTTTGCTTTGTTGTTTGTTTTCCCCCTCTCGAAATGAAAATGCGATTCACTTGATCTCAGTAATATAGCAATCATCCTGACCAATGGTGCACATTTGTATACTACTCACTTCCATCAAGTTGGCTGCAAAAGCCCGACAAAGAATTTCAATGTTTCGTATCTGATGTTTGGCTAAAACACGTTTGTCGGAAGTATTAAACTCTCAAAACTGACTTCTCATCATCAAGGATTAGCAGCAGTGGAGGCATTAGCATCGCAGTGGTCGTAAGTAGTCGTAGGTAGCCCATTGTTACAACCATTCAGTGAGCAAGGAGATTACCACAGGGAAAGAATAAAAGCAAACAATTCCGATTGTCAGAACCAATTGTGAAGCTGAAGGAAATTGTTGACTTTAAAAACTTTTAAGACTTTGACGACATCCGTTTGCGGAGATCGGAAGCTGAGTTGTGGACAATTTGGACAAAAGAGAACATTCTTTGGACGGTTGTACAAGTAGTCGGACGACAACGACGACGACGATCATCATGATGATGATGATGGCCATTCCACTGACTGACTGAGAGTGAAAAGGAACAATGACAATTGAACAAACTTTGACTTTGCGCTTAGTTCTGTTCCAGTCAGTGAACTGGATACACATTTCCACATATTATTAGTTCGTGCTGCTATAAGGGAGGCATTTTGTAACATTAAGTTTGTCCTCTTAAAGTTAATGGCAAGCTTGTCGAGAAAGATGAGATGACATGGTCCTTGATTTTTATCGGTACTTAATATTTACAAACGAACCACACACAATCCTGTCCAGAAATTAAAAGTTTACTCTGCAAGTTCTGGTTGAAGTCGTCTGATAAATTGAAACTAGAATTTTTTTAGGAATGAAAATTTCCGAAAACATTTGTTTCTTCTTTTTTATGTCATCTTTATTTATGAATACGTGTACATAAATATGCGCATAAGCTGAATCTTTGTCATCAACGTCTCTGTTTGTCTCCATGTACATACATATTTTGCGAGAGGGTTTGTGAAGGGATCCTCGTTTGGTGGATTTTGTGGTGGTGAGCTAAAGTAGTCGCTCTGACACAACGTGTACATTTTCCTCTTCCACAATGAAAGATTTCCGACTTCCGGATCCCATTTCTGAAAGGACATATTCTCTCCCATTGCATTGCGGGGTTGACTTTTCAGACAGAGATTCGCTCCGCTTGCTGAAACCGCGTTTCCTCTCCAATCCAGCCAAAATATGCTCATTGTCAAGCCTGCTACATATTTGGTCTGGAGGGTTTGGTTAGTAAGGAACGATTTGCAACGTAATAAAACAAATTGAATCAAGACAAATGCCATAAAAATATATCAAGCAAATGTTCACAGGCAGTCCGCTGACTCCTGCACTATAAAAACGGTCGAGAGTCAAGAGTCGCGTACTTTGTTGTTTCACTTTGTAAAACCACTCTGCGAGATTTGCTCGATTCCTATCTTTTTTCCACTCCAGATCCAAATCAAGTACTTACTTTTGATGAGTTGAGTTGAGTGTCCGTAATTTCATGGTGAAAAAATCAAGTAGTGCATACAAAGTGACGAAATAAGAGAATCATGCAAAATCTTCCTGATTTTATAGCTTCATAAAAAATAGATTCAACATTAATTGTTTAGAGTTGGCGAAATTAAAGAGTAGCGATGTACTTGGAGAAGATGAGAAGTGGTTGTAAAAGGTTTAGGTGGAAGTCAGGTAGGACAAGGCGAGGCGACTAAGGATCGAGGGACTCCGCCTCCCGAGAAACCGGAGAAGGAAGCAGGCGTGTCGCTTTTCCTCTACAAAAACTCTGATAAGAAATGCTTACAACGAAAAGCAGTTTCTCTGGTTGTTCTCCATCCCATTGACATCACAACAAAAACATCAATGAGGAGGATTTTATGCTCTGTTGGCGCATCTTTCTACTGTGTATGATCCTGTAACTTCTCACACCTCGAGGAGAGGTTGACTGTGCTACTTCTATATAAGCCAAATGCCTCTTATAATTATTCGGATTTAAGCAGTAATCTCATCAGCATGTTGAACTTTCTCTGCATGGAAATTACTGAACAATTCAGGGTTAGTAAGTTAAGTGGTAGCATAATTTATTAGCACTGTGAGCAGTAAGTTTCTCGTCGTCGTCATCATGATTTCAACGAAACGGAAGGAAGCACACCCGACCCGACTTGATCCAAATCATTGAATAAGTGAATCACTCTCAAATGAATGGATGGGTGCATCTTCCACTACTCGGTCCGCCTCATCTTCTCATCAATGTATTTAGTAAATGTATCTACACAGCTCATCCCATTATGCACGTACGTATGTTAGAGGGGTTGGATGAACCCTCTTAAACAAAGTACTGCTAACTACAGCAAGTCCGAAATGAAATGAAACTTTTGACAATCGTGGAAACATAGTTGCACTTTTTTTTACTGACGCTACTCAGAATAAGCATGAGAGAAAGTTGTCTCCTCTTCCAATTTCACAGGCCATTTAATATTTCCTAAATTCAACATTTATGTTTGGCTGATTTATGAATGGATGAGTGTCGGACTCCCACGGATTTACAGAATTCCTTGCGTTGAAGGCAATTCAAGGTATACAAATACGACAAGTGTCCTACAACTTGTGACTTGTTGTGTCTTGGGAAGGGCAAAAGTTCAATTTTACGTTTTTTTGATGTGTAGTAACAGAAGTACGTATGCAAGAGTAAAATGACTACATCTTGTTAGGTAGGACTGGGTAACACATTGTAATGTGTTGTGTTCCTTCAAGGGTGCAAGTTTCCTTCTACAACTGCACTGTTGTTACGGCTGCACCCATTGTCCATTGCACTAAAGAAAATGTTTACTTTTCCTGAATTGTTGGGGACACAACAGACTTCCTTCCTCTTGTCTGAATCTTGAGGATGACTGCATCTGATCATTCCCAGAGATATACATGCAAGCAACGCCTCTTCTGTAATTTTAGATGAGTAGTCTTCGTGATACTGCATACTTTTTTCACAAATAAATTTCCTTGCACGATTTTACGATTTGTTTGTAGAAACAGTGAAATATGTAAATGCATGTGAGCAAACCCTTAGGACAACCTGTGCAATTCACTATGCCGAGAGTTATAAATTTCCAATTGCGTTGCCCTCAAGGAGAGATTTGTTAAATTGCGTGGATGATAATTAGCATGATCTGAACCAATTAAGAAGGGCGAAATGGATTGCCTTTCATGATTTTCAGAAATTAGTCGCCAATGGCTAGTGCCAATCAGCTCTTTTGTATCTAGAATACTCGATATTTTTTAAATCAAACGATTTGCACGCAAACATGCAAAATAATTTTACACAAAGTAACCCAAAAGTCATGTTCATTTCTTTCTTTAATTTCAGAAGGCCATCTTCTCAGGTCCAACTCGTCCCCAGGGCCGATACTCTCCCCTGACAGCACTTCCTCCTCCGACGACAAACTTCTTCATCAAAGCCCCAACAATAATAACAACAACAACATGAACGATGCCTCAGGAGGCGGCCCCACCAACACTGCTGTCGACATCAAGGGTGCACCAATCACCAAATCCTCTAGTCACGATATTGTCCAAGCAGATTCGAGTACGACTGAAATCACACGACTTGGAGTTGGTGGTCCAGGTTTAAGTCACATGCATGGAAAGCACCACCATCATCACCATCAGTCTGGTCATTACCATCACCATCATCACAATCATGCCAAGGGTCAGGGAGGACAGTTGTCGTCTCCGAGGACGGCAGAAGACTTTCCCAAATTGCACAATCATCACAATCACTACAACCAAAGTCAGCTTGACCAGTCGTCATCATGCCACAGCCCAAGTCAAAGTGATGACGAGGAACTTATTCTGGATGACGAGGATGAAGAAATGATGGAAGATTGTGGTGATGACTCTTCGGACACAAACTCCATGATGATGATGAATAATAACAATATTAAACGATTAGCTGGGGATTCAAACTCCAATTCCACGGGTTCAACGGGATCCATGTTTGTTGGGAATGGTGGGGGTATTGGAAGTGGTGGTGTTGGCGGTGGCGGCGGTGGATCTGCCCCCGTGAAGAAAAGAAAGCGAAGAATTCTCTTTACAAAGACGCAAACGTACGAGTTGGAACGACGATTTCGACAACAAAGATATTTGTCTGCGCCAGAACGGGAGCATCTCGCTTCAATTATTAGGTACGTGCTTACGTGTTACATGATCACTAATTTACGCACGATTGGTTGGAGAATGACGCAGTTGTAAGATTTGGCGAGAGTTTCTTTTTACTTCGTAACACTCTTTCAAAATTTGTACACATTAAAAAAATACTTGCAAACGCAAAAAAGATCGCCAACTTATTGAAGCTTATCTGTGTATTCGCAGGTTAACCCCAACTCAAGTTAAGATATGGTTTCAGGTATGATTGCATATTTTTGATTTACTAGTGAATGGATTGATCCTAACAATCCGTTTTCTTATTTCAGAACCATCGCTATAAGACAAAAAGGTGAATACTGTAAATATTATATCTATAAGAGATGACCTTCTTTGAAAACTAGATAATAAATGAAAGATTGTGCTGAAGGTTTATTTTGTTTTGAATTTATAGCAGAGCTCAGCGAGAAACTCGTGGAGGAGGTCAAATGAACGGAGGACATTCCATGCTGGATTCTCTGGGCCCTGGTTCTCACATGCCCCCCAGACGAGTTGCTGTCCCTGTGCTGGTGCGCGACGGAAAGCCCTGCGGAGGGGGTGGAGGTTCTGGAAATGGGGGCTCAGGCCCAGCCAGTGGTGGTGGTGGCGGTGGTGGGAATAGTGGGTCCGTAAGTAGCAAAATCTCATCCCTTCTTGACACCCTTGGACCTCATCTTCCCCATTTTGATTTTCACCACCCACCTCTCAACCTCCCGCACCACCCTGGACTCCTCCCCCCTGGTTTATTGGGACACCCCTTGGGACCTGGGGCACATTCGCACTCGCACTACTTGCCACCGAGGTGGTGGTAGGCGAAAATTAGTCAGCTCCTAACAAGCAGTGCAGTTAGATAACTTATCTTTCCGTTGCAAATCTAATCCCCATGAAACGCATGCAGAGCGGAAAGCGTCAGTATTATTAATTATTAATCATCGTTTCTTGGATGCCCAAAGGAAATGGATCCACTCATTGTAACTTAATTTGTAACATATTTTAGTAATTACATTTCTAGAGTAGATTTTTAAATTAAAGTAAACTAAACTATTGATATTTTTCGTGATTTTCTGAAACATTCCACATATCACAAGTAGTGTTTAGAAATGTAAAAAAATGCCAGTTGTGTAGTCCTTAATAAATAATTAATGTTGATAGAATAAAATAAAGATGGTTGATGCAAGTCAAGTGTTTCCCTACTTTTCTTACTTATTTGTAGGATTGTGTCAAAAGAAGTAGAAGAATTAATTGTTTCTTATTGGACAAATCAGTTTCAATTTTCATTCAACCTCATTTTAAGTTATCAAAGGTATAAATATGTACGAGAATCCTCTACTGTTGCATTAATAAATGCCACGAGAAAGAACCCACTTTGAGGGATAAGTTTAAGCAATGGAATATCGCCGCAAAAAATAATTTGTAGCAACTACTTGTTATGCAAATCATGTACAAGGCTTTAAAAAAGACTAAAGGCCATGTTGCTTACTTAGGGAGCAAACTGGTTCAATCTCAAACTAACTCGCGTTTCTCTGTGTATACATCTGTGTACCTGCAGCCATTACATGGGGAGGGATGGAATGGATCTCTCCAAAATCTTAAAAAATTATTGAATCGCTTCGAGAAACATAACTTTGCATGCCAATTGACGATACTTCTTACAGTTTGTTGGCCAAGGATCGGACGAATAATTTAATCCAACTTTTCTTGTCATTCATGTTCCACGAAAATATAATTTTCCTGTTTTTGTGTTACTCGTGTTCCACTTTATAATGGACGAAAGTCGGTAAAATTTTCAAACGAAATTTCACAAGGATTCTAAACTTGAATGTATTTTCTGTAGGCGTGCAATTTCTAAAAATTCAGCATTGTTGTCCTCCTGAGGCCGTATTAAAACTTTTATCTTGTAGTGCCCCAAGTGGCTTCCAAACTGTCTTAATGCATAAGTTGGTCCTAGGATTAGTTGTCTATCTAAAACTAGCCATCTCTTATTCTTATCATCACCATGCATTATTATGCATTTCGTTTTGTTTTTGTGTGCATGGCTGCTAAATTGGAGCGAGCATGTCATGACGCTTCGCATCTTATCGTGACTGTGACGTTTACCTCGGACAGTTGATGTGCGATGATCCAGATCAATGTAATTATCATTTCGCCTCCGTCATTAGATTATGAACGGGCTCAGTCTCTAATTAACAGTTTGCTCCAACGCCCATCAACATGGACGAGTCCTGCACATGTGGAACTTGAGCTTAAAATAAGGGATGAAGAAGCAACCCTCAAGTTAAAACTCAACGCGTCCATTCCACGGAAAGATGCTTTTTCACCTTTCGCTCCTCATTTCAGAGAACGGCCAGAAAGGTTAAGTGCTCCTCAGCCTTCCACCCATTCAGTGTTGGGCGCAGCAAGAGGCAATATGTAGGAACTACACGCAGGTTTTTAAAAATTTATTAATGACGGGAATTATCCACATAATTGCACCTCAGAGTATCAAAGTGTGTGTTAAAGTTATTTGGCTGAGTAGTTTGAAACTACCGTGAGTGAGGAGGCTTATCTCGAATAATAATCATTGTAATTTTCATATCGTAAGAATTCATTGAATTGTATTATTGGATTTGGAAGATGAAATGAGAACACAAGTCGCCTCGTTGGAACTTATAGTCACTCATCATTATCATCATCATCATCGTAATCACCATTCAACAAGACGTACTAAGAATCGGGAAATGATCATCAATATATAAGGACACGATGTTGGCAGCAAAAACTCGCAATTTTTTGTCCAGACCAGAAGAAGTCAACTCTTCTAAATGCAACATCTGAGGTGATGCGATAAATACTGTTAACCTGAAGAGTCTGGGCATGCAAGCAAAGTCACAAAAATGTGCGATGCCATTCTCACGAGAGATGGGAATTGTCGATGAGTGTGGTAGTTTTTAATAATAGTAATTACTCGAAAAACTCGATCTTCCTTTCGCTTCACAAATTGCAACCAATTGAATCAAATTGGCAATTCTATTTAATTTAATCAATGCTGTTTAGCATCTGTAGCTACTCGATGGAATATTGCTAACCATATTTTGATGTTTTGGTTATCACGACCATAATAAGAGCCCACCGTCGTGGTGGAAGTTGCATGCCATTGCTCCATCAATCCCCACGACATTAGTGTCATGATCATGATGACGACACACAAGTTCATCAGCATCAATAACAAATATCCATGCGAATGAAAATTGAAAACATAAAAATCAGTAAAGGGATCAGGTTCCTAAATATCTGTATTTAAGGAATAGTATAATGAGGAGGTTTTTTCCATTTTTATTTGCATATTTTCATTAATGGTGACGATGATTCATTAATTTAGAACTAAATCAGTTAACCAAAAATATCACAAGGAATCAATACTCTGTACATTGGTATATATTCAGCAGCGATGGTGCATGGTGAGTCGAGTAGCATGATTATCGCCGATTATCTTTTGACTTGTATATTGTAAAGTGAAACCAAAAATTTATCACGAATCTTGACACGAACAACAACAACGCAACGCTCCAAAATTCTTGGATCAAGATTAAATTTGAGATCGAGCAAGATTCATGTATGATGAAGGTTGATCGTGTTACAATGAATTGGCGTTGGTGTTGAATTGTTGAATTCAGGTGTAAGTTCATGTTCCCTAATAAACACCACTTGGTTCAAGAAGGAGTAAAATCAGATATGCAGTTATAATTCGAGCTTCGGCATATCCATACCACATACACATTTTTATATTAGTATCCAAAAGAAGTACTAAAACTGTGTGATTTCGTTTACATGTTACTTCCATATTCTTGAAATGAGTGGATTTCAATCAGTTTGCATAATTACAGACAAAAAGAAATAACAAAACTGATCTATTTTACTCCAGATTGCGTCAACTGATACAATTTCGAGAAGAAACATGATGAGATAAACTTTTCATAAACTTTCACTGCACATTTACTTTTACATATGCATCTCTCGAGGAAACACGCATGAAGAAGTTCCACTTCTACAGAGGTGAATCGTATGCGTAGTGTACTACAATTGGCTGCAGGCCTTCGTGAAGTTGTTGGCCTGGCGATGCTACCATTTTAAATAATTACTAATCACTTGACACATGTCAATCAATTTCATTGGAGTTTATGCGACCACTCCTAACTTGATTTTTTAACCGTTCTTCCCTTGAATAATGGGGAGTCAAACATAATTAGCGCTGAACTAAGGATCACTCCACATTTTTGGGGTTGCAGCCGTTTCCATCCATGTAATTTCGATTGGCATGGTTCAACTCGACCAATCCATGCACATACCAACACACCAAATTATTATCCGTCCGTCTCAAGAGGCTCCTCTTCTTGAGAATTAATAACAAAGATTCCTCTCCACAAAAACGCATTGAATGAACCATTTTATTCACAAGTGGATAACATGGGATACATATCTACGTATTATGACTCCATTGTTTTTGACGATGTTTATACATTTTCATAACTATATTTATTACTAAGCTCGATATATTTAAAACATATGAAATGAAATGCTATATATAAGCTCGTTATGTACATAATTGAGAATTTTCTTGACACATCGACATGGATGGACTAATGCATACGTATGCACATGCATATGCTATTAATATCATGCCTATATATTTCTCGCTAACTTGTCAACCTCACCAACGGTAATGATTCTTAGTAATAAAATAATGTGACCATCTTCGCCATAATAATTTTTATTGGTTCATTTATTATTTTTACTAACTCTCTTTCGCTATGAAATATTTTCGAAAATTCAGTGCCAGTCAAACTTCATGTTTCACAGTTTTATCCTTGATCTTGGCATTCTCGTATCCAGTTGATGGCGATGGAACATTTCAATCTTACAACTCGAAAGAGAGGAAAAGATTTGAAGCTTCGTCAATTTCAAATATTCGGCATTTAAATGAAATTGAGGACGATACGGAAGAAGTAAAAGTGTCAACAGCTCGTAATAATTTCCATACTACAAAATCTGGACCTTATTTTCCAAACTGGCCGAGTTTAGATTCTAGATTACTTCCAAAATGGTATGATGAGAGCAAAATCGGGATATTTATTCACTGGGGAGTATTCTCAGCTCTGGGATTTAATGGTGCGTGGTTCTGGGAATGCTGGAGAGAAGGTCACAAAGATTGCGTAGACTTTGCAAAGAAGAATTTCAAACCAAATTTTACCTATCAAGAAATTGCTCCAGAATTTACTGCAGAATTTTTCAATTCCTCCGATTGGGCTGATCTTTTCAGGAGATCGGGCGCTCGATATGTCGTACTAACAACAAAGCACCACGAAGGGTTTACCTTGTGGCCATCCAAGACGGCCTTTGGCTGGAATGCCAACGACGTAGGACCTCACAGAGACCTTGTCGGTTAGTAAAAGAAAGTCAATAGAATTTGCATTCAGTGTCATAGTACATCATATTTACATATGTACATTCCATGAGCAGGAGAACTATCACGTGCAATTCGGAACCATTCTTCCCTACGTTTTGGAGTGTACCATTCCTTGTACGAGTGGTACAATCCTCTGTACCTCGATGATAAACAGAATAATTTCAAAACGAATCAATTTGTGAGATTCAAGACTATGCCTGAGCTGTATGAACTGGTAACATGCAGAATTAACGAATTAGGCTGCATATGCGTACATGCACACTGCTGTTTCAATTTCACTTTTCGAAGGTGGAGACTTATCAGCCCGACGTGGTGTGGTCAGACGGGGATTGGGAAGCTCCTGACACGTATTGGAACTCGACAGAGTTTTTGGCATGGTTATACAACGACAGCCCCGTTAAAGAAACCGTAGTGACAAATGACAGATGGGGGTTAGGCACAATGTGCAAACACGGTGGTTTCAACACTTGTGCAGATCGCTACAACCCGGGTGAGGAATACGCTACGACAATGTAAATATTTGACACCAGAAATTGTTTCAGAGTCATAATTTCATGCATTCAGGCGTGCTTCAACCAAAAAAGTGGGAAAATTGCATGACTTTGGACAAATATGCGTGGTCATTTCGAAAAAACACAAATTTCGAGGATTATCTAACTCCAGAAGAGTTGATAACTACAATAGGTATTTATTTATTTATTTACATATTTACATAGTTTAAAATATTTAGTTGTTTTAAAATTTGAATAGTTGAGACTGTTTCATGCGGAGGTAAATAAATTGATACATTCATTTATTTCAGTCGTTTAGTTTATTAGTACGTATCAAAATGATTTGCAGGCAACATTCTTGTAAACGTGGGTCCCACCAAAGAAGGAATGATTGCTCCAATTCAACAAGAACGGTTGTTGCAAATGGGAGAGTGGTTGGGTCTGCATGGAGAAGCCATTTACTCCACAGTGCCGTGGACATTCCAGAATGACACCGCTACTGCAAATGTTTGGTATGGAGTTTTTCAAATGCATAATGCATATTCATACTACAGACAGGGCACAATTTTCGCGTAATATTTTGCACAGGTACACGGCAAACCCGCACATGTCTCGGGTATACGCCATTATGACAAAATGGCCTGAAAATTGCGAGAGGACGATTATCCTTGGAGCTGTGGATGGAAAAAGGGTTTCAGTAGTAACAATGTTGGGTGGTTATAAGGATCACCTTAAATTTGAAGATTTAGGAGATAAATCCGGAGTCCGTGTCGAATTACCGGCCCCTGATGAAATTAAGTCAAAATGGGCTTGGGTAATTGTGTTGCAAATGGTGTAATACTTATAATTTAATGAATTATTCTGAAAAATTACCGTCTTCAAAGCCAACCAGGACATTATTTTTACCAAACTCAGAATCTCACGGGTTCTGAGTTTAATCTAAGGATTTTCACTTGCCTTCGTTTGCTCTTCAAAGTTATGTAAGAACCAGCGGAAAAAATATAGCCCAGCAGAATTGTATTTTTTGAAATAGTTCATTCTGTAAAAATAGAGCTTGCCAATGACAGTTACATAAATGTAGTTTAAATAAAATACTTGGCGTGGGTATTGTTATTTAAGTACATAAACTCGTTTGTTATGGATAACAGGTTGCATGTGCTGAGTCAATACGCACGAAATTGAGTTAAAAAGTTTTCTATTGAACATATTTACATAAACATTTCTCAAGCACTTGAACGCTGCATTTTAATGTTATGTACATTACAGTTTCACCTGTATGGAAACTTTTATGGTAATGATGAGTACGACAGAATTGGCGATTTGACGTTATTTATATGTTCACCTTATGTAGCCACTCCTTGTCGTAATCATTCCAAATACACGACATTTCCAGCCAATATACGACATGTCAAGAGCTGCATTGTGCTTGTGTACACATAAATCTCTCGTTACAACCATGGCGCTGTGGCCTTTCCTCTTCAAAGTGTTTGAATTTTGTACAATTCAATTAATTCAACAATATTCTAATAGTTCAGTGCTCAAATCCACTGAGATCATGATGGACTTGGCAGAAATTGACGAGTTTGCACAGGTTAATAGTGGCTTGACAATATCATCAATTGGCAACAACGCTCTTGGTGGCTCTCATGGTCTTAGTCGATATTCCGACTCTTGTTTGACAAAGTTAATTGTTCTTCTGAACTTTAATGATGCACTTAAATCCTTGGCAAAAGCTGAAAATCTCAAAGAGAATCCTCGTTACGTGCTTCTTTTACTGAGGATGGAATCTCTGAATCACTCCACGACACCCATCAACGTTGAAGCTTTCATGAGAATACAAACAGAAAGCGTTTATTTCATTGCGAATTTGGAAATTAATATTACCTTGTCAAATACAACGTTTTCATTAGAAATCCACCAAGTTTGTTTTTATTGTGATCCATTTTTACTGAAGGTGCAACAGCCGTATAGCTCAATCCGTCTCAACCTTCCTCATAGTAATAAATGGAATCTAAGAAAAATGATAATTGATTCTCCAGGATTTCCATTTGTTTACCATTTTCTTCATCCTCCACATGAATGTCACCATCTTGGTGACAAGTTTAAAGGAGAAGAACGTTTTTGTACGATTTTAACCATTAGTCAACACATGAACTTTACGCCACAGGAAACGCAGGGAAAATCTCAATTTGGTTGGAAAATTCATAGTGCCCAGTTCACCTCTCTCCTCAATAATAAACGAGAAAACGAACAGTTTTCTTGGTTGGCCAATGGACAAATAGTGGAGCCATTTACGTTTCTCATCGTCATGACCGTGGACAATTTTAATCTCGCCTCGGTCGACGAAATTACTAAACCATTCGACATCTCCACATGGACTTTGTTTTGCAGCTGCGTCCTCATACTTTCGCTCCTCTTCAATCTGCTCGTAGTTGCAAACAAGAAATCATCATTTGACGCCGAAATTTTTTTTGTAATTTTTGGCAGCGTTCTGGAGCAAAGTCCTTCAGTTTTCATGACCAAAGCGAGCACCAATACCAACGCCGTCAGGTTGATTGTGATTGCGTGGCTTCTCATGTGCGTTGTGATGAGTGGAGGATTCAAGGGCACGTTTTTCTCCTTTATGACGAAACAATCTACTCCCAAAGTTCCGACAACTTTTCAGGATTTGATGGCAACGTCAGAATTTTCAGGGGTGGCCGTCGATTTTACTTTCAAGCAGGATTACAAAAGTTACACATTTGTTCTGGACGATGTAGTTTTAGAGTATAAATTGGCCACGAGAAATGTGTCCACCACAATTAATAACAATACGGCTGGCTTGGAATTTTTAAAAAAGACGCAATTGTATCAAAAACTTTTACAATCCACGACGTTTCTTGGAGGGCTCAGCTACAGTAAAATACGTGCCATTCACGAATTGAGGCTGCAAATTCCTAAAAATTTTACTAAGGCTTCTACCCCCTTCTCAATCCCCAAGAACTTTGCATTCATTAGCACTCCGTCCGGGATTAGTCACTTTACGAAAGTGATGGATGGTTATCATCACCACGCTTATCCTCCAAGAAGTTTGATCTTCACACCAAACCTCGAAAATCTACTCATGTACCGCACCATGTTTGTAGTTTCGAGGTCATTCTTCTCGCAGCAGTTTACCAAGACATTCGAGGCCTTGGCGGAGTCAGGAATCAGACGCGTGTGGGAAAAGTATCGGAAGGTGACCTACAGTAATTGGGACCGCTCCTTACTCGCCTGCTACTTGCAGCACAGCCACCTCATTTTCCGCTACGTGGCTGCTAGTGCGCCGGAGGTGGTGGCAACTTGCGCCAAGTACTTTGTCCCCAAGACGAGGAACGAGGCGATTCGAGCGGCGGAGGATGTGCTGGGAGGAGAAGAAAGTCGAGGAGAGAAACAACACCCACTAAAAGTTGACAACTTTGTCCTCGTCTTGAAAATCTTTGCAGTCGGCCTTAGCATGGCTGGTGCCGTTTTTATCCTGGAAGTTGTTCGCTATTATCAAAAACGCCTCAACTCGAGTACGAGACTGGAATACATTTCATGATTAATTTATCATCAAACCTTAAACAAAGAGACGAAGACATGTTTCTATTTTAATAATTGTATTCTTGCAATTTTTTGTAAACAAGAACCGATGTATAAAATTCGTCATCCCATGAAATAAAATTCGTACAAAATACAAATATGATAAAAATAGGGTAATTATTGCTTTTAGAAGCCAGTATCTCTGAAATACATAAATAAATTATATCTGAATTTCGTATGTGCAGCTTACTTCTAACTTTATACTTTACCAATTTTATACCCTAACTAGCTATTTATTTTATCTTCAATAATTATTGTTGCGTGGTTGTCCAGTTTCCCTCCATTTCCACATTCATCAAGAATTTGTTTCATATAACGTCGACGTAAATTCAGAGTTCTTCACGCAAGAATCCCTGTTGAGATATTGGAAATCGTCGATTTCTGGTGGCTCACTTTAGTGCCACGCAGTTCTGGGCGTTCATGCTCTTCAAGGGATATTATTTCCTGTGCGTACTATAATATATTTTTGGCTTTACATATTAGACCCATAATGTGGAAAATACTTGATCCTTAATTTTATTAAAAACTTTCTTAGGCAAAACGGAATCTCCAGTATTGATTCAGGAGCCTAATCCACATGGTAGTGTTACTGAAAGGAGGATTTGTGAAAAATCACGGCCCTTGTATCGTTTGATTGGTTCTGGTCCAACATTCAGACAATGCCAGAGTGGCCAGACAAGAGCGACGAAAAATTCGACTTTTAAAGTAGAAGTACCTGGATAATCTATGTGTTCCTTGTATTATTGTTGCAAAATGTTCCTAAAGTTGACAACGTGAAAAAGCTGGTACCAGGAGAATACCACTTGAAAAGCTGTCCTTCGTTTTTTGCGATACTGTTATACGGAGCTTTGAGGCCAAGAAAGCATCAATACTGATTACTGGAGAAAATGAATCTCATCTGTATATCTGCCCTTGTTTGTTGTAACCAAATATTATGTTAATTTATTTATAATTCAAGCCTAATTCTTATTCTATATAGTTTTCATTGACTTTCCACATTTTCACCACATTCAAAACGAACAAATTCAACAATTTCGACAGAATTTTGAATAAGAAACTCTCGGACAGTGAAGCCAGGATCGAGAAGGAATTCTTGGTTGAGAAGAATTCTCTCATCGTCAACTTCTGGCTCACTTCTGGTTGGCATTGAGGAGAGGACATCTAACTCGTCAACTACATCTTGATCCTCTGCAGGACTGGGTGGTGATGTCAATTTCTGAGGTTCTTCAACGGGTTTCCTTTTTGGAGGGGGTTCGTCCATAGACCCAATTTCTAGAGGATTCATTCCTGTTCACGAAACAAACTCATTATGCTTCATTTTCCATACAAATTGCAAGTCAATGAAATATCTGCTCACCTACAACGTGTTGGCAAAGCTGTCTCCCGATTTCTGCCACTCTTGCAGAATTTTTTGCTACATCTGGCTTCAGTACTTTATACGCAACAACAGCTCCAAACTTTCCAAACTGAACAAGTCTTTGCTTCTCGGCTTCTGGAGATGCTGGGTGGGTATATCCAGACAGCACTATGGATTCTCCAGCTTGTAAGGAAAGTCCTCTTCTTGGTCGGATATTTTCACCAATGTCGCCGATTGTCAGTGCGATCTCGTCTTTTATTAAGTGCTGTTCTTGTCTTTCTCCACGGATGGGAATATTGCATAGTTCATCGTGATTTAGAGGATGCTACATAACATAATGGTACAGAATGCAAGAATTAACTTGCTGGCGTTGCACTTTGTATAGTTAAAAACAAGAAACAAGGTCATATTTGTCCTACCTTAAAGATGTTGGATGAAGAATTATTATTAGCTTCTTGAGATACCACAAAACAAGCTTGTGTCACTTTCTGTACCAAAGCTTGAAATTTTTTATTCCTTGCAACGAAATCCGTTTCGCAATTCATCTCCAACATGACCGCATTCTGTGGGGACGCCAAGATTGAGATTAAACCCTGCGCTGTCGCTCTACCCTGAAGTTTTGAAGCTTTCTCCCATCCATGAGTTTGAGCTTCTGCTCTCAGCCATTTCTCTGCCTGAAAGAGTACAATTTTCGTGCTGTCAAATTAAATTACAACTAAAAAGCTATTACTCTTCAGTAATTGTAAATTGTCCTCCCCTTACCGCTTTGAGATCATTATTATGCTTCTCCAGAGCTTCTTTACATTTTGAAAAGGAGTACCCCGTACTTTTCCTTAGTTTTGCTAAACCACTCTTTTCCACCGACAAAGGGGATGCTGCTGATGCTGCCATTCTTGAAGTGCCGTGAAATTGACGACAACATTTGCTCCCACGTCCACCAAATAAAAGCCTGCTTTGTGGCGTAATGATGGAAGATATTATTGACGATGACAGCAACATCGGACTTCGACTCATCTTCACTGTCCACTTGTCCTAATATCCGTACACAAAATTCATACAATGAATGATAAATGTCAACTTCTAAAGACTTACAGGAAATATGTGACCGGTTTTTCCCCGATATTGGATGTGGTTGCATCACACGCACATGTGAGACGAGGTTGGGCATAGCAGAGTGAGAATTGAAGGATTTTGGCGGAGATGAGCGAGTCGCCAATCGTATGTTGTACACGTCGGATGCGTCTCACTTCGTCCCTTCCAATGCGGATTCAAACTCATTTTGCCCATTTCTTCATCACGATTCGTCATCATCAGCCTGAGCTCGCTGCGAATAACGAAAGCCACCAAAACAATTACGTTTTCCTTACTTTACCAGCAGCAACGCACCACCTGTGGATTTTGTAATTTTTCAACTATTATTATGCGATCTCACTATTAGTTTGGTTAGTTTTTGCCCATATTTTGTGACTTTCTTACGGAACAGTGAGTATAATAAGCGTCCAGTGGTTGCAGTTCCACAAGTCTTTGTCTCTGCAGTATTTATTATTGTAGGGACTAGGGAGTTTGAAAATGTTGCGACAAATTGTTTGATGTTAGGATTATTTAAGGTTAAAAATAATTAATAAACTGTCACCCATTTAGTCAGTTTCGTTAGCCGAGTTATGTTACTGAGAGCCGATGTGAGTAAAATGAAGCATTGATCTCGAAGCTTCTCTGTTCCAATCCTTACCTTATACAGTCGTAGGCTTCTCTTCCTTACGATATGAACTACGGACGTGCTCTTTTGTACGGACTCGTGTTCACCACTTTGATATCCAGCTCTGCCTCGACGAGAGAGGAGGAGAAGAGAGCCGTCGTTGATAAGCAACCGCAAGAACAAGGTCAACAACAACAACAACAGGGAAGAACTGGAGTGGACCTCAACAGTCATAAAGTCGGACAGGAAGACGAGAAACCAATGCCAAAAGTACGAATTGTAACAGATGCATCCGGCGGGGACGATAAAATAGACAACAGCAAAAGTAGCAAACCCTTCAAACAGCTACCATCATGTAATAGTCAACAACACAAGAAGCAGATACCCGATAGTAAACAACAAGGTATATTAAAATATAATGTTCATTAATATTTATTTATGGGTTAACAATATGTGCACTTCTTATTACACAGAGGAAGTAAATTATGGTGGGGTGGACTCTCTCGAGGACAGAGAAACTAACGATCGTCCACTCATCGCTACCGGTAGTGCAGGGACAAGCAATAACTTATCCTCAGCTCGCCATTTCCTAGTCAGCACTTTAGATGGCAAATTGACATTGTTGGATCAAACTGGGAAGGAAGTGTGGTCCCTTTACACTGGAGAATTATTCTCCTCTACAATTTCGTCACTTCAGGTAGTACATATGACGCAATATGCATAATGTGGTCACCAACCACCACGGACGCTACTTTATACTTTATCTATTAGATAATTCATCCCGATTATTTTGTGCTGATTGTAGTTGAGCGAGAATGGAAAATGGGTCAATTTGATTCCATCCCTCACTGGGGGTCTTTACAAGTACGACGAAGAAAGCCTTCTGCCCATGCCCATGAATGTTGACACTCTGCTCCACAAATCATTCAAGCTTTCCAACGACGTCGTCATCAATGGTGGGAAGGAGCTCCGAACTTTGGGCATTGACTTGAAAACTGGGAGGCTTCGTTATGATTGTGGTATGGCTGGATGCGTCAACCATCAATCCAATGAGTTGGAAGAGGCAGGTGCGGAGGAACCTGTGACCTTGGTTGTAAAGAAGCAATTGCAGACGGTTCGAGCTGTTGATACCCAGAGTGGGACGGAAAAATGGAACTTTAGCGTTGGCACGAACGAAATGGGACTCACTGGTGTTGTAGATGGCTGCATGTCCGAGGAAGACGACGGAGATCATTCCATCCCACGTGGAGCTCTTGGTTTTGTAAAGGTCTGCTTGAATTAATTTAATTAGTTTATCTTGTTCTTTTATCAGTTCTTTCGTTGAAGAAGTACTAATTGAATTCCAATTTAATAATGTTCAGGTTGTGATACCCGAAGGCAGACTTTTAAGTGCAGACCCTTTAAGTAAAACAGTTTGGGACAAGAAATTTACAAGTCCCATAGCTCAAGCTTGGGTTGTAGAACAGGGGCGTCTTACATATGTGGACCCCGTCCAAAACACTCCACTAAAAGAAGGATCCCTCGCAATCTATGTGGGCAGGCACAATCATCAGTTTTATGTCCAAGAAAGTAGAGCAGTTTCTCAAAAGTTGGAAAAACTGATGGGTTACCCCATGGCGGCCGCGTTGGATGTAAATAAACCTCTCAAAATTTCTTGGAAGCCATCCTACAGTTAGTCTTTAAGATCTTTTAATTTAAGCTGTTTCACATGTAAATTTAATTTATAATTTACTTATTTAGTGATCAGTGAAGACTTGTCCGACTCGGAAGATAGTGGTGATGATGATACGGGAACAGCTTTGACCACGCTCAATGGAATTCGTCCCACAATGCGTCCATTTTATGTGTTGGAACACGATGAGATTAGCAGTGACAGTTTGGAGTTTGTCGACGCGTCTACCACCACGCCAACTCCACCCAGAAAGGACCATGCAACTACCACCGATTCTTCAGATGATGATGAAGAGAAATTGGAAGGAGATTCAATTTTCGACAGATTTGACTTTGGAGGGGAAGATGGTCCAATTACCGTTATCAATCAAGTTTTTATCGCGTCTTTGTGGGTGTGGTGGAAAGAAGTGCTTGGCATCAGCCTGCTGACGGCTGTTTTACTAAATATCATTCTGATGAGACCACTGATGCGTGCAGTACGAGTGCAGACCATCCGGGATATAATTAGATACCTTCGAGAGTTTGTGAACAAAGATCAGGTACACAATCTTATTCGTTTATTTTGTCCAGAACATATTTGTTCTTCAGGTTAACTCTGCAATGGATTTGAACGGATTTTAATTTATTAATTGCCTAGCAGGAGGGGCAATTGGTGCCTTCTCCAAATCCAGAGTTGCTTCCACTCATGGGCTCGTCAGACTCTCCCATTTCAATGGAATCCATCATATCTCGACCCAGGACTATTTCAGACTCATTTACCAGTAGTTATGGTGGTGGGGGTGGGGTAGAATTTCCAGAGAAAGAGATTCCATATTTATCCCAATACTTGAGAGAGTTTGAACCTGTCCAGTGTCTCGGAAAAGGAGGGTTCGGAGTTGTGTACGAGGCAAAAAAGAAAATCGATGACAGGAACTATGCCGTCAAAAGAATTTCTCTTCCTAATCGGTAAGAAACCAAAAGCATTAACAATTAAGAACTTTGTATGATCTGCTATATAAGATATTTATTAAATCCGATGATTTGTATTTGTAGAGAAGAGGCTCGTGTGCGTGTTATGCGTGAAGTTAAAGCTCTCGCTCAATTAGATCATAGGCACATTGTTCGGTAAGAGTTTGTTACATGATAAATTGTGTAGTAGCCTAAACTATCATTATTATACGTTGGTTATAGATATTTCAATGCTTGGATCGAGCATCCACCAAATGGCTGGTTGGAAAAAAACGATCCGCTTTGGACAAATTGGTACATGATCAATTCATTTATTTTAGTATTAGATAAAATTAAATAAAGACAATCATAATTTCTGTAATCTAGTAACATTGGGTCAATGTCTCCCACTGCGGACGAACCTGTTTCAGATTTTCCAGTCAGTACTGGTGGTGGTGATAATTTAACACCTCATGGAGATAGACATGGTAGACGTCGTAGGTGCGCATTGAAACGAGATTTTGATGTGAGCGCCCCCCTTGTCGAAGAAGACTCGTTTATCGTGTTTGATGAAAACGTGGAAATTTCATCCAAGCAAGAGTTCCCTGAAATGAGTGAGGGATACGCTGAAGGACCGTTCCTTGAAATGCATTCACTCAAGCACGAGGGCGACACAACGATTGATATTAGCAGCGATTTGTCGACAAGTCATGGCGCTGGCGGGTTCTTTTGGAAAAAGCCTGACCATAACTCTGTCTCTTGGAATGAAATGTCGTCAATGGAATTTAGCAAACTAGACTCATTTTCTCGTCTAACAGTGTCCAAGAGTCGGGTACGGCAGAAAATATGCTTGTTTACTCGAGTAAATTCTTATTGCATTACATATATCCTTATGTGCTATCAATTCTTTGTGTCAGGTTGTGTTTGAATCAGAAGTTGGTGCTTGTGGTGATAATGCTGCTGCTCTTACTGATAATGACGACGTTGAAGTGGGTGAAGAAGCTCAAGAAATTGAAAGTGTTAGCGTTATGTACCTTTACATTCAACAAGAATTGTGTCAAAAGCGTACTTTGAGAGAATGGTTGCGAACAGAAACCACTAGAGAGCTCAGAACAGTTGTGAATTTTTTTAGTCAAATTGTTGCCGCTGTAGAGTATGTGCATTCGAAAAAATTGATCCACAGGTACAAATCTAGATATTTAAATGTAATCCATTCTACCACTAGAAGTAACCAATATTTATCATTTCTGCAGAGATTTGAAACCAAACAACATATTTCTATCTGGGAATTCTGAGGGAGAAGAGCATATCTTGAAAATTGGAGATTTCGGTCTGGCTACCACTGTGTTGGCGGACGTAAATCAAGGAATTTCGGAGGACAATGCGACAAAACATGGGGACAAGAATCATCCGGCAAATAATCTGACTGGCCAAGTGGGGACACAACTCTACATGAGTCCAGAACAGGTGAGTCAAATACTTGATACTTAATCATGTTGCATTGATTAGCCCTGTGGATAATTTTTATCTAGTTCAAAAGAAAACCATACGACTACAAAGTAGATATTTATTCTCTTGGACTTATATTTTTCGAACTAATCGTTCCATTTCATACCGAAATGGAGAGACATGATGTCCTCTACAAATTGAGAAAAGTCCAAATTCCTTCCTACTTCGAAGACTCGTACCCACAAGAGGTATTTAAATGTACTTTGAATTGTCCGTAAAAATTACAAGTAAAAATAATAATATTGTCATAAAATTTTATCCTCTCAGCATTCCTTGATCCTGCAAATGATCTCACACAATCCCAACCAACGTCCCGACGCTACATCAATCACCCAGTGGGTGAAAAATCATCTCAGAGAGGTCGAATCTTTTGACCTAGGAGGAGATGATGGAGCTGCAGACAAAGCTACCACGCATCGGTCTAACTCTTCCCCAGCAAATATTTCCTTATCTCGAAGTGGTTCCCTTAACTCTCCACAACCACCACCTTCTCCCAACGATTCTCAAATTCGGAATGATAACCTTTTCCTAAGAAAGCCTGGAGGGAGCGATGGAGACCAGCAACGCCAACGGTTTACAAAGTCACACTCGTTTACATCGCTCTAATGTGATACATATAAGCTATTCTATTATTTTTCGACTGTACTTATACACCAAATGTGAAAGATGACGGTTTAATATTTAATTTGTTACGAATAATGCCTTATAATAATAACATAAAGTCGGACTGCATGGTAGGCATATAAGCAATACAACAAACAGGCATCTTTTTTTCTGGCCTAGTTGTTTCCTCAAAAGTGAACTCCAGATTTGTGATATAAAAATAACTTAATAAGATAGCAAGTAGCATGCAAAACAAGCAGTATTTTTACGCGTTTCGCGATGTATGCAGCAGGTATTTCCTTACGCATTTACGAAATGTTATTGATAGTATGTAATTATTCCAATACGTTATATAAGTCATATTATTGAATCTTTTGTATTGTGATCGTATAGGTTTATGATCGTTCGTTCTGATTGTTTTTACGCATGACATTCCATTTTCATAATCATCGTGATTTATTTACATGTTCGCAATAAGGAAATATGTGATTTTGTAATAAAATATGATAAGTACATGTATTCACCCGTATTGAATTTTGATGCATCTTTTTTGTAAGAATTGGGTCTTTAGATAGATTTCATTTGGTAAAATTGTTTAGAATTTGTTAGTGTCCGACTTTGACCAAGCCAAAGAACGATTTTTCCGGCTTGTAAATAGAGAACCTATCAACTCCCAAATTTTTTATGACGATTCTGTCCCCACGTTGAAGCTCGGTAAGTCCTGCCGTGAAACATGAGTTGGACCCGTTCTGGGTGGTGCACTGTAAAAGTGGGGAGTCGTTCACGTCCACTACAAAACTGTTCTGCTGCTGCTCATCGTGATAATGAATCTGCAAGATAACATTATGGTGCCTGCATATTAGTACATAGTTCCAAGCAGCAGTAATTACATTGGCCATATGAAGCGGCTACCTGAGCGTAAATGTGAAAAATGCCTCCCTTCTGCACTGTCACGACGCCATCCTTGGAATCGAGAAGGAAATTTCCAGAATTCATCCATGATGCCGGTTTCCAAATTTGAAAAATCCCATTCGAATTTCGAAGACGTGGGTTGTCGCTGGACGTAAAGTTGGACACGTCCGCGACGAAATGACCCGCGACTGTTGACGTGGTCGTTTGCTTAGTGTCCATGTGGTCATTGTCCCTGCGATTGTAACGAATCACACGAGCCGATACTTGATCTGGTCCGTGACCCACACGCTGCACGGGAGGAATGTAAGTTTGGCCGGAAGTGGGGGCTGCCCTCGTTTGAACTGCTGCCTGCTGCGAGTAGTCAATTGGAGGTGACTGGTAGCCAACCTCTTCACTCTTTGGTGGGAGACGCTCGTACATTTCATGAACTCCCGAAGGACGCACATATCCCCCTTGACGTCCCTTCGTGAAGTACGTCTCGTCCTGCTCGTTCCGCACGATATGTTGGGATGGGCGGAGTGGATTGGCTTCACGTTTTTCACGGCGTGGTGGTTCCTTGGTCTGAAGGAAACGGATAAAAATCGAGGAAAAGTTTAAATAAATGGTATGCATTTAGTAGAATGGGCTCTCAACTCTTATGCAATCCATGAATAATAACAGTTGGCAGCCTTGATCTTGACATTATCATGGATTTTTTTAGATGCTGCATGTCTTATTCATCGCAGTCAATGTCAAGGTCGAAACGAAGGAGTTAAGTATGTGAAATTGAAGATGGATAAATACGCATTCTATGTTTCGCATCTCGTCTGGTCGTATTTTTCCAATGACCATGACTTTAACTGCACTAAATATGCAACCCTGATTTAGACAAGAAATAATTCTGCCTGAAATTACCTCTGAAACTGGATTGTCCATAAACTTGATTTCACCACCCATCAAATCGGAAACCTTGACTTGAAGGCCAAGCGCCTCCTTCAGGATGGATTCCGTCTCCAAAATCTCTAGCCGAGCTTCCAGTCGATTGATCTTGCTCTCGTATCGGACGGCGGACAGGGTCACCAGGAGGAGAAGTGAAGTCATGGCAAGAGCCCTGAGGATCGACCAACTACCGTCATCCCTGTGTCCCATGACGGGAGCGATGAGGACTTCCCTCATTTTTTCACCAGTCATAATAATCAATCTGTCGCAGAAGAACTTGAGTATATTTTTTAAGAAAAGCTGAATATCTTTACTTGTTTCTTACCTGAGAATGCGCTAATAAAGGTCGTCCTTCACTCGTGGAAGAAATGAATGAACTGAATTTTCCAGAGAGATTGACCCTCCATTTATGAGCTCGGATGTTATGATGATGATGTCCATGTGCGAGTGCTGAATTGCTGTGGGGTGCGGGTGAGGTCAGAGGTCGACACATGCGATATGCCACTATGGATGGAATATTCACGTACAAAATGCTTGGATCAAGGTTAACCCAACTTTCAGAAGCATCGGACATGCATAATCTTAGTTATAAATAACTCGTCGTCTTTCAGTAGTGGATGCAGTAATGATAATCAGTTGTGGAAACCTATATATACATACGTATTGCTAGAATAGTGACCAATGTTTGATGAATTGCGTATTCACTTTGATTTGTACATGAATATGTAATGAAAATTACGACTCAAATATGATGAAAAATAGTCAACCCACTTTGAGGCATGTGACAATTAATTTTCATTACAAAAATAAATATGAGCAAATAAACGAAACGTAAATGTTTAGTGGTTAATTTGCAACAGGTGTGATGAGGTTTATTCAAGTATTTAAACTCGTTTGAGTCAAGAATAGAAGTATTTTAGATGTCGAAATCAACGGTCCAGCCGCTGATAATCACAGACAATAGCAGCGAAAACTACAGACAGAATGAGGTCAGGAAGGTCAGCTCTTAGTGTCCAATCTTGACGATGGTCTTGGCGGGGGAGGAGTCGATGAGGTAGTCGCTGGTCTGGACGAAGGTCTTGGTGGGTGCGGGCTCCTGGCCGAGGACGGGGAGGACTGGAGCAGGGAAGCTTTCACGGATGAGGATTGGGCGTGGCTCGTGGCGGAAGAAGGTCGGGGGGACGGCAGCAAAAACACGTGTTTCTGGCACCTCAACCAACTTCGGGAGTGTTGGGAGCATGGCACGGATCTCCTCGGGCATTGGGGGTGGCACTGGGAGATGATCTCTGAAAAATCAATTGATAAATTAGTTTTGATTTTTTAAAGCTTTGAAATTTTTTGGAAATTATGAGATTTTGATTATCGTCTTCTTACCCAGTTGGGCGGAATCCGAATTCATCGGCCACTGCATTAGTAAATAAAGTAATAATTTAATACCAAATCCTTCCGTTCTAAAAAATATCAAACTCAAATTAAAAGATAGAAACCAACCGTAGGTCAAAGAGATACGTTTTCCTTCCGGGCTGGTGTAACCGAAAGAACCAGTCTTGCTTGCGCCATTGCCGGATTCCACGAAAAGTGTTCCGTCCGCCCCCTCGGAACTGTCGAATTTAATGATACATCAGTAAAACCATTATAAGTGACGACTAGTGACGAGGCAGGTTGAGAAGTCTCAATCTACCTCCAACCAAAATGCAAATGTTCACTCACTGGAGGTTGTAGACTCCGGATGGGTGCATGTCGTGTCGCAGGGTCTTGATGGCCACGAAAGGCTCTCGGACGAGGAAGGAGTTGGCCGCGCAGGTGGCGAGGATGGCACTGAAGACGACAAACTGAAACACAATTTAAAATATAAATATCAAATTCAAACTCTAATGTTCTATTCGAGGTTTAAAATTTGGAAAATTTTCTCGTTTTTTTGGAAACTTACGAATTTCATTTTGATGTTGAGATTTGTTTGTGGGTGGATTGATAGTTGGTGGTGTTGAGGTGCAAATGATGCGAATGATGACTCCTTGCTGGAGTTTGGTCCTTTTATACGCAACCCCGTCCCTTCAAGGGATACGGCAACCCTTTCACTGCACAAAGGACATGTAACCTTCAACCTCCGCTCTTCTCTCAAGGCAGTAAAGTCAACGAAAACAAATTTGACAGGGCAACTGATTATGATGATGCCAATCACTCGTGTTTCTTGATCCCTTACAAGGTCGGCCTTTGCCCTCACAAACCCTTCGCATCTCAATGTCATTAACAGAGACTGGACGCTTGAGTCGACTGCATCATTTCTTTCGCCCTGCTGAGAAACAGACCCAATGTCCGTGAAAACGTGATCCCTGCGTATGCAACATGCAGTGGGCACATGATCAAAATTTATGACCTCAAAATAATATGTTCACTACACGCACTTATGCACATATTTTAAGGGTCGTAAATACACAATAAGAACAAGGACCACGGTAATGTATTCATGAAGCATAAACATATATGTATACTCGTACATGTAGTCACACGTGCATTTTGTACACATGCATTTCTTTTTCATCTAGTTGACATGTAAGTATGTAAGCAAAAAGCAAATAGTTTGTCAATATGGATTTTTATGTATCTTCCTTCTCCAGTCAGCGCTTGGGACGTTGGATTGAATTTTGCAGGATTGAAATCAAGATTCTATGTAAATTGCATTTCCATATTTGCTCATCCACTGGCTGCCACACTTTGCATGAAGCTAGACGGGATGTTGCCGGGAGTGATTTTGTCAAGGACAGAGGAAGGAGACTAATTCGGAATTAGGTTCAAGGTCGTCCAATCCCCGGTGACGGTCTATAGCACATTTCCAATAACTCATGCATGCGTTGTTGACAGTTCCGCCTCCAATCTTTTCTGATTCTACATACGCCGAATCAAGATGAAACTGCAATGTTCTTAAAAAATACGTGGTTTAAATTCCACACAATTTGATGCTGTTCTCTGGTAGGAAATCAGCATTATCGAGAATGATTTCATGTTAAGTTCATATTAACCTTCGTCGTAAGTAAGCGATTGCATAAGTTTATCGATTTCATCCAATCTGGACTTTCTCCCGGAACGCAAACTTTCTCATCTCATCTCCAGGCTGAAAACAGGTTGTTGTTGTTTCGCCACAAAGTTCATCATGAATTCGCTAATTTCCAAACTGAGGTCACTGTCGAGGAGGCGGAAATTGTCCCCAGAAGAGAAATCATTGTTGGCCAGGATTATGAGCAATCCTTTGGTACAAAAAAATACATACAAATTATAGTATTGTTTGTGTGTCATTACCATATCCAGTAAATCTTCCATTGCAGTTGGTCAGCCACATTCTTCGATTTTTGGACAATGCAACGCTGAAGACGGCTCGACTGGTGTGCAAGACCTGGGCGAAGGAGGGCGCCATTCAGATGAGTGGGGTCCGAATTCGTCTCCAACCTCCGTACGACATGCGGCTCTCGCAGGAGTTTTCCACATTTTTGGCCGAGTATCGCATCCCCCACACGCTCTTCCTCTCCTTCACGTCCGCAGCCTGGGCCTTCAACCAACGTTATGAGGATCCCTTAGGTCTTCACCTTCAGTTGAACCATTACTACGCACCAAGAACGGTAGGCGAGAACGAGAAACAGCTGGTCCACAACTACTTGAGATCGACATTCGCATGGGTGGCAGAGTTGCGGCTGGAAATCCATCTCAACAATCAGCAAGACGCCACGTTTCTGATGAAGCTACTCTCTAGGTTGACCTGCATGAAAAAGCTGTCGCTCGACTTTGTCAACTTTGGGGCGGACGGGTTGAAGGCAGTGACGTGTGAGAACCTGTTGCCCCCTTCGGTGCAAAGCATGGGACTCCGATGTCATGTGAGTACATAGTTGTACACGATTTGTATTTATGGGCGTAAATTATCACCAGACAGGTCTGAGAGTGAGTGTTTGTGATTTCTTTGTTAGCATGGGTCATCATCGTACTACTCAAAACTGACGTTTTCTGGATGCATGCAGTTCATGAAGGCGTGTTGTCGCTCGAACTTGGCCTGTCTTGACCTGATCGGGTGGCAGCAAGACCACTCGATCGAGGAGAAGGGCAAAATCCATTGGTTGGAGGCTCTCACCGTCCTCTGCAGAAATGACAAGCTTGCATTCCAAAGGTTGACCGGGTTGCGACAAACGATCCACTTCAAAACTGAAGTGCTCCACCTGCTCAGCCTCCAGCGACGTCTCACTCACCTCTACGCATTCTGCCATCAGTGGCCCTTCCACGGGGGAGTGAGCAGAATGAAGAACGTGGCCCCACTCATCACCAGGAACTCTGCCACCCTCCACGTTCTCGACTTGTACTGGTTCGTGGACAAAGCAATTGGCGAGTTCCATTCGAGCGTCACTTTGCCATTCCTTCCCCTCCTCAGCAGATTGATCTTCACGTGCGGGGCTCAGCTCAAGTGGGACGGGTGGACCATGGAAATGTTCGATGTGCTCGACATAAGGAACACACTTTTGGTAGTCATCGAATATGTATAATATGAAACTGATAAATCAGTATGGCCGTTACTGAAAACCGTTATTTGTTTGTATTTGTCATGTGCACAGGGTGGGCCGGAAAGAGTTGCCCTGCTTCTTCCCTCTCTGACGACCATTTGCATGTTTTTGTTCCGAGAAGATGGTTTGACAATTTGGAAATACTTGTTCCCGCAAACAAACCGGAAGGGGTTTCCACTCACCTTTCGTCAGATTCACTTTCTCGGCGTGTCTCTCGTTGCAGAATGCGACTCGTCTGAAATTCGGTGGTTTTATACCCTGTTCCCTTCACTCAAATTGTTTCGGCATGTCAAGAGAGAAGGCAACAACGCTTTTGCTGGATGTGAACATCGTTTAGAGCACGGGCACAGCTACAGCACGTCAAAATTGGGCTGTGCTTTGAGTCGGAAGGACCACTTGGACTATGCTTGGCGAATGGGGTATCAACTCCGGTGGACAAAGAATGACCCCTGCTTGTGGTACTAAAAAGTAGTTTCGATCTGGAGAAAACTTGATAATACGGCAAATTTTACCAATTTTACTCTGTCAGATCAGAATCACTAAAGAATGAACAAATTTACATGTACATGCATATTTACATGTTTCTACATATACGTACAATCTCATGTGAACGAATGAATGTGATATCATACAAGAATTATTATTAATATGGCAAGAATTATTATTTTTACATGTTTAGGATAATACAAACTCCCTGGAACGACGGTACAATGCACAACGTACAAAAATTATATCGTTATCTGACAATATAATTTAGGGTTATTTCTTACCGAGATTTCTCCTGGATTTCTGTCGAAACACAAATTTCTTATGTGTACTTTTGGTAAGACTTTTTACTCGAGGTTAAACAATCAAGGTGGGACAGAACTCGTGTCCACATTTAGATGAGATTTAGTTGAGATTGTACAGGTTTAATTACGTATGAAATGAAATCGAGTGCTTTTAAACCCTGAAAAGTGATGAATGTTGATATATACTTAAGAATCTTAAGTTAAGATGTACTATGAATGTGTTATGCAGGTGATGAATCATGATGGAACTTTTCTGTTGAAGTGTCCAGTGTAAAACGCTTTAATCAGATCTGAAGATATTTATAGTGTATTTTCGAACCAATGTCACTAATTCTCCATATCAGAGATGGGATTTACATGTCTCTATGTAAAATGCTAGTCAGTTACAAGTGCATCTCGTGCAGCAATTACAGTAGTCAGATAATGTGTGCTAAAAACCAATATGAAAATATGTAAGTATGCAAATAAGCTTGTGAATTATTTTATTTAGTACTATTCATCTACTTTTCAGTTCTGTAATAAATGTTATTGTGTCGGCGTTTTCCTTGTTGCAATATGTATAATCTCATGTTTCTGGTCTCACGACATTTTCCTCACAACAGTTTCCCTAAACAATCATGCACTAAAACAGTACAATTAAAAAAATTAAATGCTAAAAATTAAAGGCTAAAAATTAAAATGAACAGAATAAATAATTTATTATTATCGAGCACTAACATACATAAATTGCGACACTTTTAATTGCATTATCTACTTCGTTGTGGGTACAAATTAACGGCAAATTATTATATGTGTTCCCAACCCATGACGAGTTGGTACTAAATTATATTATATAGCACCACTCGTTTTCTCCATGCAGAATTTTTCCCACGGTGGTATCAGATCTTCATTAATATTTAATGGCTCTGGGTTCTGGCCTCCATATTTCTTTGGAATGGCTCGTTGTGGCAGATTGGTCCGCATCGCGATCTCCCATTCGAGTTTGGCGTCATTCCCAGCTCCGAAAATGTTTACCTTGGATAACGTATGCTGCGTGAAACAATGAGAAAGGAATTTCCAGCCCCACATGAACGCTAAGGGAGCTACAGTGATAAGTAGAGACCAAGAGGATTACATACTTATTATTACGCAATGGATATCATTTACATTTGAAGTACAATTTTTTCTCACTGTTGAATAAGAAGGCTTTGTGCAATAATTCAGGAAAATTCCTTTCGTACTCACTGAGCAAGCCCATCAAGGTGGTAAACCCTGTCCAATTATCAATGAGGATCACGGAACTTTCTGAATAATTCCCAATTCCGTATAATTGTGTGGAACGAACCTTTCCAGCACCTGGCTTCATAAAATACTTTGGAGAAGGTCAGCCCCTCAATGTCCACGAGGACAACAAATTGCTGGTGTTTCGTGAGGAGGAGGAGCTGGTGCAATTTGTCCATCATTTTTCCACAGTACTTTAGAATGTCGTCTGTCATGCCACGTTCCATTAAATCCCGGACAGATGGCCACAAACCGTAGGGTACCCATAGCACTGTTACATATTTAACAGATTATTAGAGCGTATTGTGCCTAGCCATAATTATAGGTGGTTAGGAGAAACTAAAGATTCACTAAAGACCTGGTCGCCCTTCATCGTCAAATCCAGTCAGATAAATGTCAAATTGGTAAATATCCAGGGGCACCGTCCACGTAAAATACTGGTTACACAAGGCATTTTTTCGCCATATAATGAACTATTGCACAGTAAGAAAGGTGAAATACAGTAGTGATTCATCTGGTTAGAGAGCTTGCTATTGTTAATTTACGAACCTTTCGCAACATGTCCTCTGCTTTTACCATATCAAGATCCCTTGCTATATTCAGGAAACAATGGAAAAAACCTCAATCATGATTCCCTGCAGAAAATTGCATGGTTTTGCCTCACCTCGGAGAAAACGCATCAGGACTCCATCCCCAAAATGTAGATCTTGAACTATGGGACGAAACTGTATGAACCATGCACTCGTGTTACAAACAATTTCAATTTTTGCACTGACTATTAAAAAGTGAACTAAACTAACCGTCTCGAGAGCTCGAAGTTCCGCATCACTCTTTGGAACAGCCATGACTAATTGAACGGCTAGGAGACGTGGGGGACATGTACTCTGACTTTCGTCTCTATTTTAGAAGTGAACTGTAATTCAGTCAGTGAACGTACTACATATTTATGTAAACACAGGAGAAGTTCACACTCAAAGTTCTCTACATTTTTAATATTTATGGCCAATTCTAAATGGCTAAATTATGTTATAAACAGGTATCATTACTGACCAGCGCGTGTGAACATATTTAGTACATTCACACGAATCTGCTGATCAGGCTGCTGATGACCAACCAGATGAATGGCATGATTAACCTCCATTATCACCATGAATTGCATACCCTGAAGCAAAATTTACGCACCTACAAGAAAACTCCTCGTTTATAGCCGGCGAGTAAGATGCAAGGACTGAGGATGAGACGAGATGGTCCTGATTGTTATTTATGTAAATAATATCTAAATGGGAGAGTCTGTTGCATTTTTAGTGCTTCTGAACCTCGACCTTACGATGGCGAAATTTGATGCAATTCATCCTGCGAAAGATCATTGGATTGAACATTTCATTTATGCTGATGTCAAAGCCTTTTTATACTTTTTATTAATTTCCTTGTTACTTCATCACATACCAAAAAAGAGTCAACATTGGCACCATTGACAAACGCATAATATGTATTGCACGATACACAATATACTCTTGGATAGCACTTGCAATATGTAAATTTATAGACAGCTACATATGTACATGTGGATTTTAAGTAAACGTGTTTTCGTATAAACTTATTGCTATGTAGGGAACCTATTTATTGCATTTTTATAGACAATTTGGTAAGTTATGTATGCAAACAAAATGACTCTGATTGTCACAGTCTTTGTTTTACAGATAGTTAAGTACTTGAACATCAATTTCAGGAAGGAATGCATACAAGGGTAATAAAAACTAGATAATTCGTACGTTGCATATTTGAATCATTCATTCAGTACAGTTTTTGCATTGTGAAAGGAACATGGGACACAAAGTAAATAATTTACTCGGTAGTTTTATGTATTGCTATTTGTAGTTGTAGATTGTCATTGTTTGCTTGCATATAAGTTTTACGCCAAATCATCCTCAACACTAGGATAATTAATTATTGCTGAATTCAGTGGTAGGTATCGAATATTATACGTATATTATGCATTATGGTTAAAATGGCAAAAATAGTAATATCCATCTGGAGTACGACCAAGTTGAACTAGAATTCCAAGGGACTATGTACACATGCGAACACAGGGAACGAAATGAATGTTACAGTTTGAAATTGGTCTATATTTTTGTGAAAGACTGCAGGAAGTCTTGTCCAAAGTGTGTGATGATGTAGTCGTGGTAGTACATCATTATGCAAAGTGGTTGTCCCAGGATTAAGGACGCCCACACCACAACATTTCCCCACCGCTTCCGTTCCCCGTTTTGACCTACCACAAATTTGCACAAGGCGGACAACGGGAGTTGAGCCATCATTCCGCCAAATGCCCAAATCTAGAAAAACAACAAACACAATATTATATATGCTTACCTCAAAAGTAACTATTACTCAAGAATTGATACCTTGTAGGTTCGTAGCGGGACAGACACGAGGTATTCGTGGAAAAAGGCTGAAATGAAGAACGTGGTCGAGACGGCAAAGAATTTGGAATTTGTCTGTTTAATGATTGGAATGTATAAATGTCGAACGGCCCAGCGATGCACGGGTGAATTCCACGTCCTCCAAAATGTGTCAATGTCTGGAGCATTCCACCAATCCTGCAGATATAATCCAGATAACAAATAAATAAGTAAATTGTCTATACCATACACACACCCACGCTAAAAAATCGAATCACTAACCTGGTAAAAGTCTCTGTCCGCAAATCTCAGCAATTCTCCAAGAATGTTTAGGTAACAATGGAAAAAGAGGTAAAACCAGATCAACCATATCAAATGGTTCGGAATCTAAGCATACAAAGCGAAATTAACAATGGGAAAAATTAACCCAATTAAATTTCCACCACGACCACCACTCACGGCAAGTTTGAGAAGGCGTTCCTGCGTCTTGATGACGTCCATATTGGAAAATGGCATGAGCGAATTTTTGACCGACGGAATAATCCATTGCTGGAATAGAGCTAGAACCAACTGCATCCCAAAGAACAGCTCCAACATTCGTCGCAACAGAAATCTTTTGCGGACTCGGTCTGTCCGTGGAAAATTGAGTTCGTAGCAGAGCGTTGGGACCATCACAAAATAGTACAAATCCTGCAACATATTATGGATACAAGTAAAAACTGCCAACAATCCAACTAAATAATGTAAAATCTTCCTCTGTCATATAATTTTATGACTGACGAAGGAATACCTTGATACTCAAATTTTCGGGGTACAGCGTCTCATTTGGATCGGCCTCCAACTGTTCGAATGGGTCACCTTTGCCAAATATTGTATTTTGATGCGCTCCCACCATGGATGGACTGGTTGATTGGCTTCCAGAGTTGCGTCGACGTCTCAAAGAATGATATGACCGACACCAGCCATTGACCTGCACGGTATATCAACGCATCAATAATTAGCTACCACTACCACTTAAATTTCCTCGCCAATGTGGAGAGATCTCCCAAGTAGTCCCAAGTACCTGACAGTACGACCACAACTTGAGGAAGAGAATGGAATAGGCGAAGCAGACGAAGGTGGCTCCAAAGAGGGAAAAGACCTCCGTGTTCCACGTGTTGAAGATGGCGATGGGCGTCAGAAGGAGGAGGAGCAGGTTCGTGACTTGAGCGGTCAGACCGTGTCTGGGAGACAGGTAGTGTCCAGCGAGGCCCTTTTCAATCAGGAGCGCCATCAGGATGTGCACATTTGCGTCTATTTGTAAAATAACACTTGTAGCCTCGTGTAAGTAATAAAGGTTGCAATTTAAGTTGAGCTTACAGAGGAGGAGGATGAGCGACATGGGAATGTAGTAGGTGGGTTGGTCCCCAATGAGGAAGTACACCCACTGGAATGGATCGATGCGGACCCCATATTTTATAATGTTCTCCAAAAAGAGACGCGATCCTCCGAGGAAAAGGAGGAGAAAGCCCCAGTTCACAAAGCCTTCAAAGTTTTTGAATCCGGAAGACCACGAAAATAGAGAATCTGCGGCTCGGTGAATTCTACATAAATGTACACATCAATTTTACGTATTAAATTGATTGACATCATTTTCATCAGATTTTTCATGCTCACAAAGTCAGATTGGCTTTGATACAACATTTGTTCTTTATCTAATCTGCGTACACACAAACAGTGGTCGTGCGTGTATTTGTGACAGTTTTTACACAAACATAGTTACTCCAGCAATCACAAGGTTTACGCTGTTCACTCTACAACCAACCACCAAATCTCCCTCAAAATGTACCGATTTAAAAGTACTCACGGTTTGTCCGGCCGCTTTCTCCTTTTGACTTCCCCACGGTGCTTGACATCGTCCAGCGTTGTGGTGGACTTGGCCCTTCGTAGTCTCGTCCCAGTATTGTCAAAGGAGGTCGAGGCCGTGGAAGACGTCTCGGAAATGTCGTCCCTACTGCTATTTCCGGCCGGCATTGTGTTATCACAACGAGAAGGAGTTTGCGCTATGCTTTCTCCACTCTCGGTTTTATTGCATTGCAACTTTCACTCGACTAACTCTCCACGGAGGACTTTAACGACTAAAATGACTCACGATTGGGAAACATTTTGTGGTTTGACATGCAAATAAGTGACAAATTCTACCAGTGAGGATAAAGTTCGGAGTCCAACTGATTTGGAATTGTAGGCATGTGCTCAATGTTTGGTTCGTAGTCGTGGTTTGGTGATGGACTGCTGTTTGGCTATTAAGCACATTATTCAATCCTCCTCCTCATTGAGAGCAGTGGATAATAACCTGAATAACGCAATGAATGTCGTGATGATATGATATCATGCCTGTACCAAGATGATGATTATTATTAACCATCTGCAGATAGGATGAAGTAGTGATAATGATAAGCATGCCGTCCACCCTCGCACTGAACTATACGACTGACTACATACACATCATTTACAACACGAAAGATTGTTTTTGTCAACTAAATTTCAATGGGAAGAATGAGGGAATTGAATTGATTCCACGGCCGATTATTCAATGGTTGATTATATAAATCTGATCTGATCGGCGGCCTTCAATCATGACACCAATAAGCATCCGCATGCAATAAGTGAATGTGGCATCTGCAGAAATTGGTGAATAATGAACTCGCTGTAACTTATAAATACATATGCACACCCAGTAATTCAGATGCGTATGCTCATAATTCATGATTCATCGTCATTTCATTTCTTTTCTTTGTATTGCATTCTTACTCGGGTCATTTTTAGTGTACGATTGTCCCAGAAGAAAGTCACCATTGAATCAGTCCTTACACATACATACATTCATATATTTGTACGTGTGTATGTACACTTGAACTGCAAGATGAGGCAGAATGAGACAACCTTTGCGTCACCTCGGTCGCCGTCCGAATGACACCCACTGGACTGGACTGGACTGGAGTCTTGGTGGACCTCGCATCCACGGACGAGGCGACGAGACCAAACTTCACGAGGGAAGCAAGAGGCGAGAGAGTTTCGAATGTTTTTTCGAGAATACGAGTTTGTAAAGTGGCGGGGCCCCCGACGCCGACCACGACTCGACACCTCAACCCTATCCATTTTGTACTCCTTTCTGCCACCATGGTTCTTCTGCTGCTATGGAGGAAACCACCACCGACCGAGATATACATATGCATATCCCCATATATCCCAATTCCAATGACTACCACCAAACTAAAGGAAACCAGCCAACCAGTCGGGAGAGTAAATACTAACAAAAAGTGTCATTTGATAATACAGGAATTAAAGGGCTCGAAGTAGTGTTTAATTGATCCTCAGGGCCCCTAGTGGTCAGTTAACTTGTGTGGAATGAGACCCGATCTTCTTCTGGAATATGTGAGTGCACAACTTTCTCCAGAGGACGATGAGGCCACTGCCTGAAATTCGGTAAAACTTACTTTGACATTTCGCACACATTTTTACTCCTAAAACAGTAGCATGGTAAATAAATGTCAGGATAAATTAGCGAATCGAGTATGAAAAAGGATGCCCTTGCAATCTCACTTTTAATTGGGAGTAATAGAAAAAGTTGTGAATAGACATTTTAGACAAATGGAGTTTATTTAAGTCGTGGATCGAATTCCTTATAGCTAAACTTCAACATGTAAACAAAATAATGGCAAAGATTTTGCAAAGAACATTCGAAAGTTGTGGTGTGATGGTCGTCAAAAGTCGAAAAAACTTGACTAACCCAATTTTGCTAAATATATAAAAAAGAACAACTGCAATTTGTGTGAGCTACATTTGAGCAAGAGTTTTGTTGTGATTGTTCCTTCATTGGTCTAATTGTCTCAAAATGTCCCCCAATTCGGTCAATTCTTTTTTTGCTGGCATATCTTTAGTTTTATTTTTATGTGAGCTAAATAGCGAGAAGGGCATCTCAAATTTCGATTTGAAAGATTTGTCCTGTAAAATCTTGATACTGATAATGCAAAGAAACATTGCAGCGGCGTCACAGAAATATTTTTGCATATTATTAAAATATCTGCATTTGTTTGATACATATGTAATTTTCTCGTTGCTTCTGTTGGACCGACCAACCAAATTGAATACAATTGTTTAGTTGTTTAGATTCATATTCGATTTGTTTTGGCTTATGACTCTTGGAAATTGCATATCGTCGTCGCAGTTCGTCCTACCACTTCGTATCCTGTAGTTTCGTTCTATTTATTTATATGATATTTCATCATGTATGTATGTATTTGCAATCCACTCCAAGTAACAACGGGGATTGTTCACTTACAATAGTGTATACGTAGTATAATAATATCTAATTCCATGGTGTGCACTTGCCCCAATACACTCATTAATATTCGTAATATTTACGACATTAACTTTAGACATGGTTTTCTCCAATATTTAACAAGTTTACTTTACGGGTGTGCGCATATTTACAGCGCTTTTGCGCCATGGTTGTAGCATAGTTTGCGAATGTTCCTCACTAAAAGTGAGAAAAGGAGTGCAAGCACGGGCAAAATTATTACCGAGAGCCGGGTTACCACTTACTTATCATACTGCAAATATGTGTGCACAACATACAAATGTGTATATGCAGTTGTAGCTAACTATTAGCATGAAGAGAGCAACAATTGTGACTCTGCAATCTAATACCTGCTGAACAAAGGGAGGTGCATCCAGTTTTATGTAAAAGCAGAAAGAACAAAACGATGTATGATGCATCCCATATATACAAATCTCAAGTCTTCTTGTAGAGCACAATTCTGCTCTGACTTTTCGTATGGAAAAGAAGCCAATGTCATGGATCCGCCGAGTTTCAAGCCTTCACTGGTCGAGTTTAATATAGTTTGGTTGGCTCATTTCGTGTAAGCATTTTCCATTGCTCACCCATCGCCATCCAAGCCGTTTGAAACGAATGCATGCATCATAACTCCAAAGTTTTAACAAATGTTTTTTTGGTAAAAAGAATTGCGTGGTGTATTCTCCTCTTTCAACCAGTCTCAACTCAACCAAACAGAAAAATCAGCTTCAATGCTGCTACCACCATCGTCGTGCATCCTTCCTTTCTTTCTTTACGCACCGTGTCATACGTAACGCAATTGGTTTAGCTGTGTGCAGTTCTTATTCACGCACTTATTGTACAATAAAAAGCAGCTACTCCACCACAGTTTAGTAGTCCATTGCCCTCCTTCAAATCTCAGGGACGCCACAACGCCAATGGGTACGCAACGCCATGGTGTAATGCATATGTGTGCATGCAAAAAAATAATAATTTCCTTCCCCCGGACACTATTTTATTACTAAAGGTGGACGAACTGAGCAGGTATCGATCAGTTTCCGCCAAGTCTGTTTTGGAGGAATTATATCTCCATCCATCTATCCATCCGGGCATCACACCGTCAAGTTAACCGTTACTACCCGGTTTTTCTCTCTGTTGTTGTTGGCTGGACCATGCATCCGTCGTGTCCGAGAGATTTGGTCCCAAATAAAGACCAAAGGAAACAAGGGCAGCAAATGTATGACTGTTATGCCTTCAAGGCTGTCTTACTGCGAGGCTTATGAGCTACGAAGAATAGTGTGTGGAGGGCTTCTATTGATTTTATTACCCTTCTCGCTCGCACTCTCCCTCCTTATTCACCTTCATCCTCCTGCGACACCCTCCATTTATCATGTCACTTTCAACGCCAACGAAATGACCCTTGCGTGAAATCCTTATGCGAATGAATGACGCTGCGGCCTTTAAGTTGCGTACGTTTTCTTAATTTTTCCATGACCTGAGATACATATTTGTTTCGCTAAAAGTGGTGAATCCGTGGCTCATGGTGGGGCGCAACTGGTGGTGTGCAGCCATGGAGTTGGAGATCAGTGTGTGACCCCTTGTTCGCATTCACTGTGCTACCAGGTTTGAAAGAGCAGCGTTTAAACGCTCGTTGGCATATTTACGACAAGTCTCACATGGCAGTTGAAGCTCTTTCTGTGTGTGCAAGTAAAATATGCATGCAAGCAGTTAAAGAAGCACATAAGCAAAAAAAGTTGGATACAAACAAGAATGTTTTACGTATGAAGCGAGTGACTGACTGACTGTATACCGTCAACCGTGATATTGCATTACAAGTTAGAGAGGTTGTGCGAGAGAGAGCTTAGCTCGGTAACAAAACAACCAATTCCATTACAGGGGATGGACGACGAGTGGCTTGGTATTGGTGGCACTATTACTAACGAGTAATAATTGTTATAAGTATTACTATATTCACAGCAAGATAACGAAGCAAATGTTAAATTATGTATAACAGTTAACCATACCACAACTGATAGGACATCTTGTCCGATTTCCTCTCGTTAGGAAACGCCAACCAACTGAGATTCTGCTGGACTAATATTCGTTATTTGACTACACGATTAAAGGAATAGGTAGCTATCTACAGTGTGATTTAGAATGTGATCCAGTCTGCGGAGATAAATGTGGAATAGGAGAAGAATAATCAGTGTAGGACCTGGTAATTGAGAAAGTGCTCTTGTTTCGTTAGTGTGCGAGTGAGTAGAATCGCACAATATGCAGTGGCGACAGTTTATTAGTCTGCTGACTGGACTTTTCGAGCAGACTGATTAGAGGAGGAAGGAGTATATGTTCTTGTGGACATGAAGATGACTAATTTGGTCTCTTTATTTCTAAATCTTCTCAATCACAATAGACCGTCAAACAACAATAATACCACCACGACAAGTAAGGCAAGCTTGAGCAACGGGGACCTGGAATTGGGGGGACTCTCACACTCTGGGAAACTTCTCTCGGTCAGCAACAATAATGCGGCAACATCCGGACCCGAAAGACCCCTCATCGTGACCAGGTAGGTTATTTACCTAGTTATTTAATTTTAATATATTTATTTAGCCATGATGAGGTGCTAAATTTTTTCTATTGTCTATTGTGGTAGATCCAAGACGGTGAAAGTACTGCGGTCTGGCCGGAGCAGAGCGTTGCATTCCTCGTCACCCTGGAAGAAGGACAAGGAGTCGAACCACCACCAACATCATGTCAACGGCTACGCAAAAAATCTCAAGAATCGAGCCCTCAACGGGATCAGCTCGTCGAAACACAGGAACAATAATCATCATCATGGAGCGTCGCGTGATACGACGGCGTCGTCGTCGTCATCACGGACACGGTCTCCAAACAAGAATTCTTCCACATCATCTCCAGGAAAAATCCGCTCCTCTGCGTATGCCAAGCATTACAAGAGTTATCGAAGAAACTCCTCCACTACTCGTCGGAATTTAATGCTGAGTCGCTCCCCATCCACGCCCCCACCACCGTCGTCGTCTTCCTCCCCGTCGTCGCCTCAAAGAAACCAAAGATCTCTCAAGTTCAAGTCCACAACCCCAAATTCTGGGAGGTTACGACTACGTCCGGGTGACCTTCATGGGACCACTCGGACGACGCAACAAGGGAGAAGGCCAGTGCAAAAGGTGAGGTGTTGACACCGTAATAAATTTGTTTGCCGTGATATTGTAAATATTCTAATATGTAATTTTGTAGGTGAATATCGAGAAAAGGAAGCCAAAGAATCGTCCAACGTCCCCACTAACGAATGGGGCGAGGTCACCCATCCAGTCCTCTTCCCACTCTTCCGTTATTCATCCCAACAGGTTGGCGAAATCGAGGTCCACGTCGGCGTCATCCTCCACTTGCTCCACACCTCTCTCATCCCCAAAATTTAGCAAGGACAAGGACAAGGACAAGGTGCAGAGAAGGTCCGCTTTGTGGGTGCTGAATTGTGAGGGTATGTAAAATTCACATTATTTGATTGGTGTCTAGTAATCAAAATTGCCGTGTGTTAACTGCATGTTTTTGTCTACATATAGCCGAAGAGTTCCTGTTTGGGGAGACTGCGGCAGATAAGCACGAGCTCGAGCTGCCACCTTCCTCTTCTGTGACTTCCTCCAGCCCACATGAGGGCGATTCGCCACCCCCGAAGAAGCGGTGAGTACACCAAATGCACAAACTTCTTTAGTTACTTAATAATTAATGACTTTTCCTGTGTCGAATATGTAGGCGCCGATGGAGAGAAACTGAGCTGAGTCATTTGCTGGAGACGAGTCCTTTCTTGGAGTCCAAACTGAGAAGTTCTTCCTCTTCAAACTCCACGTCCCCTGCAGATCAAGATTGTGGGAGTAGCAGCAGTGGACGTGAGTCACCTTACAAAAATGGACAACGTCTCGTCAATAATCATTCTTCACCATCGCCGAACAAGAAACGGGTCAATATTAAGCTCAAATTTGATCAAGAGCGACGACCGCAAAAGGTAATTATGCTAAATATTTCAACAACTAACGATTCACCGTTTTTCTCCATACCGGAGACTTAATAGATATATGTAACACTGATATTTCAGTACAAAAACGGAAACTCCTCATCCGCTGAACCATCACCACAAAAAGGGAGGAAAAATGGAAAAGTTGTCAAAAGTATGAAAACCTTTCGTCGACGATTTGAAGACATTTCAGAAGAAAAGTCGGCAGTGACGTCGGCGACAACAACAACACAAAATGTTGAAGAGTCTGAAGGTCTTCGCGACTTTGGTGCAAGTTCTTTCATCAATTTTAACTGTGAGCTTTTATCTCCACGCTCGAATAACTCGGTGGATAAGGCGTTACAACTTCGAGAAACGCTGGAGCAAGTCAAGTGGACGTATTCCTTTGAGGTAAATTTATTTATCCATGATAACGTGTGTTGAATTTGTGATAACGTTGATTTCTTGCAGACTCCATGTGTGGATGAGAGTTGGTATTCCACGTTCAACCGAAGAGCTGACTTTATCCTGTCCTACAAGTCTTTCCTCGTCCCACCAACCTTCTCCGGCCCACCCATCCTCCTCCCCTATCAGCTCGACAAGTCCCAACTCCTCCGCCGATCTCGAAAAAAGAAACTTGCAAAAAATTCGAGAAAGTCGCCCCGTTGTCACGCCTCCACGCTGGCAATCCTGTCCTCCACGGACACCCCACTCGTCGGTGCTGCCACTACTTGTTCTTCTTCAGAGTCTCCGCTGTCCTCACCGTCCAAACCTTCATCGTCGGAGCTCCACCATAATCATCATCCCCACAACCACAGACCATCACTCCCACCAATCTCCGCCCTCCACTCGGCTCCTTGTGATGCATCTCTGGAAGCTCTGTTAATCTCGACACATTCAACCGCACCCCAGCCCGTCCCACCACTCCTTTCGCCCTTCACCAAGTTCGTGTCTGAGAATTCAGTGCGGATTACCCGAAAACGAAACTCTTCCGCTCAGGACCCATATCTCCTCTACCAACGGACGCAACAACAGCAAAGTAGCAGTAGAGCTGGTGCTGTGTCCGCTGCTGCTCGGAGTCAAAGTCAGCAGGAAGACGTTCTCACGGCGCAGCAGTACTTGTGGGACTCGATTCAATTCCTCTCCGACCCTTATGTCGTGTCCATCTTGGCCGGTGACGATCCCATGGCACACCTCACGACGAGCACCACCAGCACCGCCGCCCAACCATATGCAAATGCAAACAACAACAACAGGTGTTCAAATAAGGTGTCATCAATTTCCACCAGGACGCGTCACGCTTCCTCAAAGTCGGTTGGTCGTGGTGGGCAACCAAATGTTCCACCACCAAAGGGAAGTCCTGCCAAGGGGAGTGGTGGCTCCACTAGTACAAATAATAACGGCATAAATGGGAAGAATGGGCTCGTGACGACTGTGCCGCATCCACTCCGGTCACCACCTCCACAAAATACGAGATCTTCTTCAAATAAGCCACCAATGTCACCCACGCTTTATCATTACAACCACAACAACACTAAATCTCCTGTCGTGGCCATGACGGATATCTTTAAAAAGCAGCACAACAAGAAATCCCGTGGGAGCCTGGTGATTGTAGGCGAGGATAAAGAAGAAGAACTACTCTTTGTGGGCGACGGCCTCCCAGCCCTCCCGTCCTGGTAACAGCACGTGCATGTCGGTACGAAATCCGGTGATGGTGTCGTTAGTGGGGCAGCTATGCCGCAGTGGTCTCAATTCTAGCCAAATCCATCGGGAAAAAACTTTGAAAGAAACTTTATGGTGTTCAGCAATTTGTTTCAGTAGATTTTAAATCATGCATTATATTTTAATGGTAAAGCTCTTTGTACATAAGTTACTTACGGTAAGGAATGTCGACTTTTAGTTGGGTTTCAAAAATTATTGTATTCAATACATGTTCACCTCCAGTCCAATCCTAACTAATTATTTACATGTATTAGGTAGGATGTTTTTTTTACATCGGTTGATTTTTTTTTAATTTTGACTCCCGTTGGCGTTGTTATCATTTTAAAGAAACAGTAATAATTTTGAGCAGATCTATCAACACATTATTCTAACATTGAGACGACATAATTTAATACCAAAGTATAATTATTTCCTCATCAACGTTAGGAGCCCCATTTTGGGCTAAAAATGAAAGAGTCGAGTCGATACACTTTAATCAGCGTTATTGCCAATGAATAATAAGGGACATCGATCAATTGACTGTATTAGCAAATTGACTGCTCAAAACATTTCTCTACATTTTGCAGGGATGGACAAAATACTTTGTCAAAATACAGTATTTTGAGCTCTGTTCTTCCCAGGGGTTAGATTTCCGGGGCTGTTACACCCACAAAAAGAGGAAAATCTACGTGAAGAAAACAACTGTCAAGTAAAAATACAGGTTTTTCTAAGAAATTAGCCTTTATCGCTGTCAAAACACATTTAATTTCGCGATTTTCAAAAAATAAAGTATTTTGACAGCGAAAAAAGTAAATTTCTGCATAAAACCTGTATTACTGTTGCCTTCTCCGGGTAGATAATCATCCTTTTGTGGGTGTAACAGCCCCGAAAAGCCAAATTTTGAGAAGAACAGAGCTTAATGTATTTTGACAAAGTATTTTGCTTATCCTTGCATTTTTGTTTACTCAACTAACATTAATTACGGCGTAGTTTTATTTATTGACGGATTTGGAAATAGGATGTGACTTCTTAATTAAAATTGTATTGTATTAGTTTTTTGATTGGCTGAATTAAATATGCTTTCCACTCTCCGTATTCAATGACAGGATTACATGCATCAATATTTTATCAGACGCAGATTTGTATTGCAACTTTTATTTATGCATTGCTTATATTTTGTAACTTATTATAAAAACTAGTTATAATTTTTTAAGGGAAATATTATGAATATTATTCAAGGGAACCGTGATGTTGGAACTGTGCTTTAATGCCAACTCTCTCGTATGTATTTTATTAAGGGTAGTGCAGTAAAGTATTTAAGAACCAAAATTAAGGGTATTGGAATCTATCGGGTGTAGGAAAAATAATATAAATTAGACTGGATATTATCAAAATAGGTAGTAAATTTGCTAACGAAATCTGTTTAATCATTCAGAAAGTACGAATTAGAATCAAAATTGTTACGTAATTCATAAATGACTAAAATCCAATAACTGGACTATCCTCGCTTTAACTAAAGTAAAAGGATCACTGGATGTATAATTAATGATACGTTTTTGTGGTCTGTTCTTTTCGTGTGGATATAAATAAAAAGAAAGGGTAACGTTTATAGCTATGTTCTTAAATGTTCGCAATATCCACGTTAAATCAGCCAGTCGTTATCGAATCCATTATTTTGACGCCCATTTTGTACCGTATCCCCGATTCTTACATGTCCTAAGGGAAGTTCCATCAGTGAACTAAGTAACAAAACCAATAGTTAAATTATATATTATGATAGCTCCAACTGTTTTTATATTGCATAAAATGTGGATATATGTATTGCGGTGGTATGGTATTCCCTTAACACTAAAGTTTTGTACACACTGCCATTTGTACCATGTATATACATACGTTTATATAGAAAATAAAAAAGTATTGGGTATCATCTCAAATAATCAATCACAGCAATGAACAAAATTTATTTTGTATTCTTTATTCGTCAACACATCTGCATAATTGTGAAAAATACTCATGGAATTGCGAAATTTGTATCTATTCTGTAGAACTCTACGAAGCAAAGAATTTGTTCCTTTATTGCACACAATAATCAGCTCGTAAGAATTTAAAATATGGCACATTGTCTTTTGCAGTAAAAGGTGGAAGGATTCAACATCCATACAGATAAGACTATGCATGCATACATAATACACATTGAGAATGTTGAGACGGAGTATATATAAAGAGTGAGTTAAAGAAAACACCCAGGATTGTCCAGGATCTCACACAGCTAAATACAAAACTTCAAGGTCACGTTGCTAATATTATGTCGAAAAGTTGGAAAATATTCTCATTACTCGTTGGAAGTGTTGCTATTTGGATTATCGTTTCTTTCGGTTTGTACTTACAAGTAAGAGAATTTAACTCTTATCTGCTCGTCTGATTCACTTTCTCACTATACAGGGTGGTCTTGGCCGGAAATCAGTTCCCCGATAACAGCCATCACCCCCGCTACTATTAGGAAATTGATAAGAAGCAATAAAATTGGCGAAAATGGGGAATATCTCCCATTTTACGGGTACACAGCAATCTCCATGGTGGAACATCCTCCCAGTTTCGGTCAACAGATTGAACACTTCATTCGATCCTCCAGCTTGCGTCAGTTCTTCGTCCCACTCCCACACGACACGTATCACATGACGATATTCAACGTCTACACGATTCAAGATCAAACAATTCCTCCGGTGGAGCGGTGGGTGAAGGAGGAAGGCGGCGTGATCCACAACAATTCCTGGCTTCCGGAGAACGTTCTTTACAAACAACATGTCCAAGCGACCAAGCTCCTCTCCGCCGTCCCTCCATCGTTTGGCGTCGAGAAAGTCGAGCTGAGGACTCCTGTCGACTACTCAGTTTTATCTGTACTCGTGACTGCTCTTCGGAGTGATTTTAAGGACGAGATAATGCAGCTGAGAGAGGAAATGAAGACAATTTATGAGCATAATGACACTGGATTGACCAGATTTCACATTACGTTAGCATATTCGTATAAGCCATTCCAAATTTCAGAGCAGGTTTCTCAGGACTTGAAGATATTGAATGACATGGTTCAAAAACTTGTGGAATTCCGACTGGTAAATCACGGAGTTTATTTCTATGATAGGATAACCAATTTTATTCTTTGGACGGATCGAAAGAAAAATTAATCCTCAAATGTTATTAAGTCATCTCTCGAATAAAACTTGAATAAAATGTCAAGTTTGTACAAATTAAAGCCATTCAGGTGGCGGAGACGTGCAAATGATTGACAGTTTCATAACGTTAATATTGGTTGCATTGGATCGGCTATTGTTAAAATTACATAGCATGCAGTCTCTGCACCCGAATGTTTAATATTCGGCGTGTCTATTTATTATTATCGAATTAATTGGGTGATTCAGGTGATTGATTGAGCCAAATTCCGAGATATCATTTACCTGTCATGTGAGAGAATAATATCTGGGAGTGTGTGTAGCACTTACGTCCTTTGCACGCCCATGTCGGCGTGTCCCAAGTTTTAATCTAAATCGTAAATAATTATACGTGCATATCATATATAGAAATGAGGATGAACACAATTAAAGGGGAACGAGATATGGATAGGAATTTATATTTGGAAACTCAATAAACTCACTGGATAAAACAAATCTTTATTTAATTCTGTCATAACTGTTGTTAAATTTCGGCATCAAGAAAATAATTATGTATTACATATTATTGTACATGGAATTGATATGATATTGTGGGCTGGAGGAATTAAAGTGCATGTACGTACAAAAGTGCGAATTATGTCATCCATCAAAATCACATAACAATAACAATGCCGAAACTTTCACGTTATCATATCTGAATTGTACATCAAACAATTAACACAAATCGGCATCAACAAATGTCAACCCTGGCATAAAATCGGGCCGCAACCGAGTCACCCTCTCCAGTGCATCTCTGTGCCTTTGAAAAACTGCAGCAGCATGGGAAAACTATTGTTGGCCGTCGTCCTTGTGACGTTGGGGACTGGAGCGATTGCCTGGCCGTATGGAGAGGTTAAGGTTAGAGGCGTTAATGTCGGCTCTTGGCTCCTTTTGGAAAAGTGGATTACTCCAAACGTCTTTGACGGTTCGTACATAATTTAGGAGACGAGAAATAGAATTTTTGGCTTTAAATTAAATTACATGTATCCAATTAAGGTTTGCCTGATTGGGTCAATGACGAGTATCAATTGTGCGAGTATCTGGGTTATGATGCCGCCCTGCAAAGGCTCCGTTCCCGTAAATACTTGAATAATTTTACAAATATGGAATGTAAATCCTAAACGGCGGAATTGTAATTGCAATATATATTTTTCGTCATCAGATTGGGAGACTTGGGTCGTCGAGGCTGATTTTGCAAGCTGGGCGGCGGCTGGCCTTAACCACGTACGTCTTCCGATTGGATATTGGGCCCTTGATATAAAGGCTGGCGAGCCTTGGGTTTCAGGGTGAGAATCTTCACAAGTTTTTATCGACTAACCAATTTAATTTTAACTGTGGAATTACAATACTTTTAGCTCGTGGGATTATGTTATCAAGGCTGCTGAATGGTGCAAAAAGTACAATTTGCAATTGATGGTTGATTTACACGGTGCACCAGGGAGCCAGGTTAGATATCCCATTTTTCCTTCATTAGCCATACTCGCAATTGAAGTTGTTAATTATATGTGCGCCCTATGAATTCGAAGAACGGAAACGATCATTCGGGCCATGCAGGAACTATCGGATTTTACTACAGCGACGAGAATCTGCAACGTGCTACCAATGTGCTTGGACGAATTGCACAATGGGCCAACGCCACAGAGTGGAGGCAAACGGTGTCCATTATCCAACTCCTCAACGAACCCGTGCTCTGGGACGACTACAACTACAGGCTTCAGCGACTCAAGGATTTCTACAGGATGGCGTATGACGAGGTGCGAAGGTACAACGACGTCGCCGTCGTCGCCGTTCACGATGCCTTCATTGATTTGAACAACTGGTAAGGCAACAATTTATTGGCCAACCATCTGCGAACGGAGAACATGATAAGGTTAATTTTGCAGGTACTATTTGCGCGACGATCCTCACTATTTCTGGGTCATGTTGGACACTCATCTTTACCAAGTTTTTGGCGATGGATGGGGTGACATGACTTGTGGACAGCATGCCAACCATCCCTGCTCGTATCATCAGAGATTGGCCGAGGCAAATCAAAAGTTGTGGACGGTTGTTGGCGAGTGGTCAGCAGCGACGCCTGGTCAATTGAATTGCCAAAATCAAGCCTTTTTCACCAGACAACAGCTCGCTGCTTACGAGGTTCGAGTTTAATAAAATCCAACAGTCGGTGTTCTAGGAGAAAACTTTGCATGAGTAAAATGCGAGGTTTTGGTAGAGCACCGACAGAGTACAAATTTGTCACGTTTTTTCTTAATAAGTTGACTTTGTAAATCCAACAGGTTGCAAGTGGATGGTGAGTAGATTCGACATCATTTGGTGGATGAGCTAACAATTGTTTTCCTTGCTCCTTATCTCCCGATTCATGACTAAATTGGTTCTAAATTTCTAGGTTTTTCTGGTCACATAATCACGCCCAAGGATGGCGAGAATGGAGTTTTAAGCACTCAATGGAATCGGGCTGGATAAATCCTTCGGGACCAAATTTGCCCCAATGCTAAATATGCATGCAAGAAATTGCATACTTTTTGCAAAAAAATAAATTATTCGTACAATACATTCGGTGCATTCGTAATAAAGTCACACTTTTATTCTTAATACCATTAATTCATGTCTAAAGTGGACAACAATTTAATGAACTAATTGACGAGTTAACTGTTCACTTTCATTGAATTCAACTAAATTTTCACATTGGCCACGGTGTCAAACTCTGCAACCGGCGTTTGCAATACTCTGCATGCAAACATATATTTATTCTCGTAAGCATATTCCACTCGTCGTCTCATGGGATGCATGCCATGCCACACTACTATTTATACATGCGAATACACGCCGTTTTTGTTAATGTCGAAAGTAGTCAAGTATGCAGTTGGCTACGTGGTCCACACTTAATTTCCATTCGTTATATAAGAAGAGTGCTGATGTTCGAGACTCAGGACTGAATCGGGTTCCGATCCCACCTTGGTTGACATACGTAATGGACGTATGCATGGAGAAATGTGGAGCGAGAGTGGCTAACAAAGGTCGTGCGTCGTGTTGCAGTAGTGTAGAAGAAACGTGAGGCAGAGCACGAGATACTCAACTTTTTACTACCATTATTCCAACTATCGATCCGTCCCCTGTTTATGCAGGATACAATTCTCATCGGAGAAAGTGTGCGAGCTCGACAGAAGTAAACACTGGTGGTGAGAAGAGTCTGCTTTCACTCCAGTGCCACACACACAACCATCCACTCAACGCAGCGGTAGTCAGCCAGCAACACGGACGATACGAGGCAACAGCCTGACCTAAATCGTGGCCTGGTTGGGTGTGGTTGCATATTGACCTTGAAGAGATGGCGAGTCCGGGAGCTATTGCATCTTCGCTGAAACACTACTGTTGGAACCCCCGAAAGTCGGATTTCTTCCCAAGTTTTGACGCAGAAATAGAGTTGGACCGAACTGTGATTAGACCCTTCAAACCCATTTCCGGACGACTCAAATTGGCAACTTCGAGACTCGTCAAATTTCATGGGGGTATTATTATTTTTTATCTCACACACTTTTAATATGTGTAAGCAGATAAATATGTATTACAACTGACGAGCAAAACTCTATGCAATCTTAACCTTCGCAGGGATCCGCGTCCAGCTCGACGCAAATGTGAGACTTCGCTTCCAATCCAAGGTGGATAATCGGATCAACATGAATTGGGCGATTTCGAGCATTCTCAAAGACGCCCCAGAAGCAGACGAGGGTAACTATGTCCTCTCCCCGGTGAGAGTCCAACTCCTTGGAAATGGTATGTTATTTCCTCTCGAACTTTCATTCCCCACCGTCGTCGTCATGTGGTCCAGTCTACTTTACGTATGCTCATGTTTCTCGTGCAGAGGACGACCCGGACCATTTCGACCAACCCTGCACTATGGAACCAGGCAGCTACACGTACCCTTTTTTACTCCACATGCCTGGAGATCCACTCCCAGCGCCATTCAGGTTCAATACTCACAAATTAGACTGCTCGTAAACTGAAAGATTGGACATATAAATAACTTTCATATAATTTCAGGTCGCAGCTGGGCTCTCTCCAATTCTACGTCACGGCCTACATGGGTTCGCCCCATTGCTATGTTCAAGTGGCCGAAAGGCTGGTGAATTTCGGTGGTTTTCTCGACCTCACACAAGATCCTAAAGCATCTCAGCCCCTGGAAACCACGTCTCACTTGCACGAATCCATCTTCTCGTGCAAACCCCTCGCCACTTTCACTCTCACCACGGAAAGGACTGGTTTCCACCCGGGGGAGCAGATCCCCTTCACCCTCAGCATCTCCAACCCCAAAGGCAAGGAGATCCAGAAGGTGAATGTCAGCCTGGTCAGAAAGTCCACTTACACGACGCAAGGAGCTGTCAAAACGACGAGCGTCGTGTTGGACAGTTTCGACGTGGACACGACCCAAAAGGAGGGTGCGGATGCAGTTAGTACCAACGCGGACCACGAGATTATGTACATGGGCGTCGTCACGGTTCCAAAGCCATGTGTCCCAAGCTACCATGGGAATCCAATTTATGCAGTGACCCATCTTTTGCAGGTGGGGCAGTATGCAATCCGCTTTCATCGCTTCCATCGTGTGCATTAACTAATAAATTTCTCTATTTCTCCAGTACGAGGTGAAAGTTGGGGGTCACCCAGCCCTGGGAAAAGGTCAGGCTGATATTTTGGTGGGGACAACGAAACCCTCGGCCGCCCTCCTTGTCAACCGGTGGACGAGTCGACGGGAGAGCAGTCCGCTCGTGAAGGGGGAGGAGAGTCCCATCGAACCCGTGAAAACTCGTCCACGTTCCCACTCGGTCATCGTGAGGAGCGGCCATCGTCCGGTCCTCAGTGGGCGCGTCTTCACCGACCTCCTCAACCCGCCCATCGCCAGCACTACGAGAACATTGAGCATGATGAGCATGCGGGACTTGGAGGAGGAGGAGGAAATCTCGTAAATCTGCAGAAAACTGGACAAATTTCCAAAATTGCTACAATTATAAACACAATGCGTGCTGCAAAAGGTGTGCCTATGATAATTTATGTCTTCAATTGTGGGGTTACCCTTTCTTTTGTTACTATTATTACACTGCGAATTAATGATTCTCAAGGTTGAAAAATTATGCCTCAAACTTTACGTACAATATATGTAAATATTCATGCTCATTCTAACAAAATTATACTTATATCGACTACACACTACAAATATGCATAATATTTCATGTGCATTCCATTAATGACAAATTCGCACATCGTTTCACGTCAACTTCATCACCACGAATAAATACTTCACTGCATCCTCGCAGGTTAAGAACGACTGCCAACTTTTTGGCCTACCCACTGAGCGACATGTAAAGACAGTTCTATCGACCATCATGTATACATGCATACATGCCCGATCTAAATACTAAAATAGAAATGTGTGCGATAAATCTATATCCACTTGTGAGATTGCGAGTAACTAACTAATATTTTTATGGATTCATTGTATATTTATTGCCCGACAAAATTATATTTCATTTCGCATGAGAGTTTGCTCCCGTGTCAATAAATAAAGTGCGGAATGTGCTTAAAATAACCTTGCGAAACGGCTTGGCTTATTTGTCACTACTTTTCTCAGAGTAAATAAGTGCTGTATCAACAAACGTTCAAGTAGCCAGTTACACACAAACGAATAAATGTGCATGACAGCCTGAAACGTTAATGAAGCAGATGCAGATCGAGCGACCTGCGGACATTTCCGATCCTTGGGACAACCAATTACTTATGCATCATATGTAATAATAGTCTGCAATTAAAGTGAGTATTTAAACAGGACCCTTGAACTGGCGATACAAGGTTGATTTATAGGACTCAACTAGACGTATGAATTTTCTGATCATGCGACTCTAAGAATACTTAGTCATCTGATCCCGAGGTATTTAATTTCCTCAAGGCTAAGTAATTACGTCTAATTTTAATGAGACCACCAGACGGAAAGAAAACCTGCCAACTGCAAGAAGATCAAATTAAGCATTTTAAATGAAGTCAGAGTTGGACAGTATTTTGAATCGAATTCGAGAAAAATAATTAAATGAGTCAAACTCATTCAAGACGATGTTTACAACTAAACAGGATGGATTACATTACATGCAGCGGAGTACCAAAAAACCTTACGTAATATGTATCATGCATTATTCTCCCAGAAACGGGGTAGGATTACAAACGAAAGGGTTTAAAATCCTACGTACGAAAGTATACTGAAACATGTTCCGTGTCTTTTGTGTGTTCTTCTCCGTGCTAAATTTAACGTTTTGGAACACTTTTTGCGAGAGTCAGAAGAGTTAAGTGGATGAATAAGCCAGACGCCGAAGGAGAGAGTTAACCCCGAAATACAGCAGATATACCTGGCCGAGTCACACTCATATTACCATTTGATTTCTGCTTTTCTCTTGCATCATAACAAGTAACATACAGAATAAGTAATCCTAAGGAATCGCTCGTTATCGGACATCAGCGCCATGAAAACGGGGGACACGGAAAGTGGGGAAAGTCCTCCTGCTCAGAAGACGAAGGCCACCATTGCTGACCTCAAAGCGATCTGTGGCAAAGCACAAGTCCCGACCTGGGACTACACGATCATATTGGATGGACTAATTCTGGGTGGAGTGTGCGTGTCGCCCTATTTAGATAAATTATATTAATGCAGTTATTCACATTGTTTGTTCGCTGTAAATTAATCCGAATATTACTTTCAGAACGACAGTGAAGCAGACCAAAGTACTGAAATCGTTGGGAGTGAGTCACATCTTAAATGCGGCGTACGATGCAACCGGAAAAGGCAATTTCATCTACGTTCAGACCAACGAGGAATACTTTCAGGTTCCGAATAAATAAATAAATTCTGGATTGTTAACAAAATTCTAAATTAGTAACAAAATTCAGAAATTCAGAAATTATTAATGAAGGTTCGAAAGTTCGACGTGGTCTACAAGGGGATCCGAGCTCCTGATACAATGCGATTTAAAATTATGAAGCATTTTGACGAAGCTATTGAATTTATTCACAATGGGATCAGTTCTGGAGGTAACAAAATAAATCACAAAAATGACGTAAGCATGCTTGATCGTGCAAATGGCCTGTGTGCATTGCAGGAATTGTTTACGTCCACTGTTACATGGGAATTAGCCGATCTGCAATGTTCGTCCTCGTGTATCTCATGACGAAACAGAACATGAGCGCCGTGGAGGCTGTCAAGTTTGTTCGGTAACAAATAGATACACACAAATATGCAAATTGCTCTAAAAGTAGTGGACTTCAACTGTGGAAATGGTAATTAATGAAATGTAACTTATTATAGGAGCAAGCGCGAAATCGCACCTAACGAAGGCTTTTTACAACAATTGTTGGACTGGGAGGACACGTTGGAGGAGCGACGTAAAAACGTCTCGAAAGCTTCTACGTCGGAGTCAAATAACGCTGACGGGGAGACGCCTGGATGAAAGACGTAACCTAATTTTTTGTCATTATCTGTGATCTCATGATTTGTAACATCGCCATCCATCCACTCGCCTAAGAATTAATATAAAAACTTATTGCTAGTCTACTTTGTTCGCAAATATTAATAAAAAACTTGTATTACGCACAAGATGTCAAATTGACGAGGCATATTTATTCCGAACGAGTCTGACTGCGTTAATAGGAATTCCTCTTGAATTGCAAATAAGAAATACAGTACAAAAAAAGTATTTATGCAATAAAAAATTAAATGTGTCCATCACAAGACTCTCAAAATTACAACACGTCGTGGTCCAGCAAGCAAATAAGGAAATCGAAGGTTCATTATTCATGAATTGAGTGAGTTTTCGATAGAGGAAAGTTTTGAGTTTATTATTTATTTAATTATTAACAATAATAATTATTATTTAAGTGGGCTGTTAGTACGGATAACTGACAATCTGTGTGAGCAACTATCAATTAAAATACACGAATTCTCGTCCTACGCCAATTATTTTAATCGTTCTCCAAGGTGTGCCTTGTAATCTGCATTTCGTTAAAACTATGACCCTATTAACTATCAAAGCCATTGCTAACCACATATAAATTCGATTATGTGTGTACTGTCGGCTGACAAAATTGAGTTGCGGAAAAATTTGAACAGACGGCAAATTTTACTCTTAAAAATCAATTAAAGTCGGGCAGATTATGTAATGAATCAATACGCAATATTTATCAATTAATACGCTCTGGATCCGGCGACTCTGTTTCTGAAGTACTCAAAGTGGGTTTCCTTGTCCACTTTCGGATACGCTGGGTGCCAATCTTTCTTCTCTGGAACCAACGGAATGCAATTGGATTCTCCGTCCGGTTGCACAAAGAATCCGATGCTCTGACGAACCGTTTTCGCCTGTGACTTCAAGAGACGCACGCGATGACCCTGCATTTTAAGACGTTATGTAAACATGGACAAACAGGCATTAAATTTAAATGGGCGCTACCGTGGCGGGGAAATGGCCTCCCGACCACATTTCCAACATGAGTCCTGCGTTGAGGACGATGGAGTTTTCGATGGGTGGGACTGGAATCCAGTCTCCGTTCGTCTTCTTGGCCTCCAACCCTCCCACCGAATCTTGCACGAGGAAGGTGACGGTGCCCCAGTCGTTGTGTTCGTTCAGTCGCATGGCATCCTCCGTAATCTCATCCACTTCGCTCGAGTTCAAAGCCATGTAGTAGTTGGTGCGGATGTCGTTATGGGACTTGATGTTGAGGTCGTCCAGGGCCCTGTGTCGTTGGAGGAAGAATTCGGGGTCTTCCAGCTTCAAGTAGTGGCCGAAGCAGAGGAACAGTTTCTTGCAGAGCGTGACGAGCGAGAGACGGAAATCGTCCACAGATTTTTTCATTCCAGGAACTTCGGAGGGATAGTTGGCCTCACTCAGCATTTCCTTCCCCCAGCTGTCCCACGCCTCTTTATAGTCGTGTCCTGATTTGTTCGTTGTTCCGACTGTTTCATTCAATCTAGGAATAAACAATCAATATGACACAGTGTCAACAAAATTTCAGCCTAAATTTGAATTCATACTGTTCATCTTCTGCAGGCGTGTATCCATTAAAATTTTCAACAGCATCAGGCTTACGATACTTCATCTTTACATCTTTCGGGAGTTCAAAGAAATTTCGAGATTCGCGTAGCACAACATCAATCTGCGGATAATGTTTAGATCTCAGCAACGTTTTGAACGATGGGCTCATTTCGTATCACACTTACAATTGAGTGGTGAACGCCATGATTCGTGAGATAAACGAAGCCGATACTGCTCATCCCATCGCCCAGTTGTTTCGCAAATTCTTCAAATCCGTCAGAATCGCTAACTCCATCATACGACCCAGAAATTTTGGAACAATCTAAAATGGGAATTTCAGACTTCATGGTTATCAACAGGGTGGATATATGATATCGTAATGCTTGGGCAGCTAGTAACTAACTGATAATTTTCAAGGTAAGTTCAAAGTCTTATTCGATAAACTCGTTCTTGATATGCATGCACCTTTTTTGCATTCTACGTGTACCCATAAATATAAAACTGTTGCAATATCCATGCATCTACAATGTATGTAGATTCTACATACATATTTGTGTGTGTGCATATATTTGTATTTGTATATAGCACTATGACATTTGCATACCAATGCTACTCGTTTTTTACTACGTTTACTTTTATATTATCATTTAGATTAGCATCCCAACCCGACTTTAAGATTAAATTGCGCTAGCATGATCGCATAAAAACTGGTTAGGTGAGAAATTAATTACTCAGAAACGCTTCACAATTTTTTTCAGTCGGAATATTCATCCCTTCAACTTGACAGTTTTACCTTAGGACCCGATGAATATTTGCATAAATACATATGAATCAGAAGATGCAACATTTGGGTACATAATAAGGACTGTAATTCGCTGGAATTGCTTTTCTTATCACATTAACTCCATCAATCAATCAACTAATGGAGAGTTGATATAATGTCAGCATGGAATACATAAATTAGACGCAGTTGCAACTATTTTCCTGTTTGTAAACTTGGGCGTTTTGTTACCAAACCGATTTTATAATTGCAAAAGCTACTTCCACACAGCAAAGATAAGATGCGAGTACAGTGGGAAAAATTGTTTACAAGTGCAAAGAATGTGAACAATGACAAAGAACATAAGATATATTTTATTGGATGTGAAATTTTATATACTTATTTTAACATTCGGTTTCGGAAAATACATGTTGGGAAAGAAAATGTCCGCATAAAATTAAATAAATATTTCTGGCTATATAGTTTAGATCATCATGATGTCTGCACAGGTTAAAATCTACAACGTTGAGCTTTTCTCAACCCCAAATTCAAAATTCACCAAGTACAATTCTAAAGCTTTCCAGTATTTCCATATATTTTCGAAATACTCGTACTCCATCCTCATGTGTCCGTACAAGGTCGAAGTTCGTGATTCCGGAATATTCGTAAAATCTAATTTCTTTCAAAAGGTTAACTTTAGCCATCATTTCAGATACCGCACAACTCATCTAAAATGTCTCTTCTTAATCACTGGCAGGCACTCTGCTGTATTTTTCAACTGGTCACACTAATGGTGTCCTTGTCGCATATGTGGACAGTTATTGGGCATCGTCGCAAAAAGCTCTCGGACGAACCTCTCTTGTGGTTTTGCATGGTCGCGGAAGTGACGCCCATCATTAATTTCTTGTTAATGATTCATTTCATCTGGTTCAAACAGCACGGGATTGTCTTTCTCTGCAAGTCGACATTCAACATGGCAGCTCCACCGCTGCTCTTGGACACTGTGGTATAAATATACCATGCTTATCATGACTTATCATATTCCTCCCATGGATCTGACGACGAGTTGCTTTTTAGGAGCAGCTGAAAATGTGGGTGTACTTGACCTTCACCACTCTGCTTGCCTTGTCTTATGACATTTACTACTTGACGCTGGGCATTGCCCGAGGAAATTTTTCGCTTACTCTGATTGCGATTGACCTGAACCAGCAGAGTATCCCATTCTGGAACAGTGCGTGGTTATTGTTGACCACCAATTCTCTCCCGTACGGAGTCGGAGTTGCATTAAATATGCTGAAATTCGCACTGGCCTGCCTGATATTGATCTATCAACGGATCTTTCTAATCTATGCACTTTTCCATGTCTCACTAATGACCTGCTACATTGTCAAACAAATCGGGAATGAAATTATAAACCTCCTGAGGGATCATCCCACTCTGCCAATCAGCAACGTATGAGAGTCATAATAATTCCCTTGCTTATCTCCGACTGGGGCGGGGATGAGACATGTCCTGAATACTTTACAGGTGATGGACGTGTACAAGCGGCTGTACGCCCTGATGCGTGATATAAACCAGGCCGTGTCCTCCTTGGTGTTTGGGACCGTTCTCAACGCCCTGGTTCACTTTAGCAAGCTGCTGCTCATTATTCTCGACTCGGATGTGTTCATGGCGCAAGTGGCAACTTTCATCGAGTCTGCCTGGGTGTTCCTGCTCCTGGTGTGCGCTGCAGAGGGGGAAGAAAATGTAGGTCAAAAATACACGTGCGCAGATGGTCATCCAAAATAGTTGGTCCCACTTGTTGGTCGTCCTTATAATATGAAATGTGCTTGTTTCTAGATTCGCGTGTTTCAAACCTATCTTCTCAACAATGCTGAGCGATATGAGAAAAATGTTAGTACCGTGGTGGCATTAGAAAATGCAACGTCCAAACCCCTTGGGCTCAAAGCCTTGAGGTTCACAATAACCCACGGATTAATTGTCACCGTAAAGATTGCAAACTTTTTGATTAATAATAGAATTAATAGAAATATGTTTAATTGCGATTTCATCTGACTTCCAGGTATTCAGTACTTCCTTGACCTACTTTATAATTATGCTGCAACTAATGTCGTCATCTTCTACAATGAAATCATGCTGAGTCGTAATTATAAAACTTGGTAAAATGGTGAACAAGTGAAACTATTTTAAATAAAGTTAATCGAATTTCCTACAACTTCATCCTTCAAAAGATAAAAACAAGACACACGACTTTCTTATTAAGGATTCGAATGTCTTTACTAGGTCACTGAGGTCAACGCATTGCAATTTCATACAATTTCATGTCCAACATGGGAACCTAAATCCCGCCATGAAAGTCTGGCAGCCAGCAGAAAATATATCTTCTCCGGTTTTGCTAAAGTTGTTCAAGTTTGCAGTTGGGAAGTTGAATTTGAAATCGTCGTATTTTAATTTTGCCATCCAAGTTATAAATTTAATTAACTGATAAAATGCAAAGCGCAAAAGAAATTGAAGCCATGCAGAACAAATTTCATGCAGAGTTGGAAAAGTTTAAGATTGCTCAAAAAAGTAAGTAATTTGCAAAATTTCGGCGTGCTAAACTCCCAAACTGCCAACTGGTAGGTGGTATAATTTATTAATTTATTCCAAACTCATGTTTTCTTTGGTAGAGAGCGAGAAATTGGTTCGTTTAAACAGTCAACTGGAAACACAACTTCATGAGAATGAGATGGTGAAGGAAGAGCTCGGATTTTGCAAGGAGGACGCTCGTGTGTTCAAGTTGGTGGGGGACGTCTTGGTCCCCCAGTCACTGACCGAGGCTAGATCCAACGTCGTCAGAAGAATCGAATACATTCAAAATGAATCGTAAGTTTGTACTATATATAAACAATATGTTACCGTCTAGTATTAATTCCTTCTTTCTTACATTTAGAAAACGAAATACAGAACTAATAAATACCAACAAGACAGAGTTGGTGGGACTCAGGGACAGTGTCACCGCTTTGGAACAAGAACTGCAGAAGACGCAGCAAGCATCAAAAGTGCAGTGACCATAAGTATGGAAACCTTATTGTCCCTATTTCGAATCCTCGTATTAAGAAAGCTAACCTATAACTTAATTAAGTAATTTTCCACCAGACTTATGCAACAACATCACTTTCACGCTATTTGATATTTAAATGTTTATTGCGCTGTTTATCACTAAGCTTTTCTTTTTGTTAAGCTAAATACTACCGACGCCATGTGGAGGCAGTATGTACTCAGCTACAAATTATAATAAAACATTAACGAACTATATGTATCTTGTTTCATTCTTTATTGGAGCACCAGCCATTTTGGCATTTGGTTTTAGATCTTGACGACAATTAAAATATTTAGCAAAAGTAGTACTACTCGTTATATTACTGAGGTCTGTAAATTAAATAAATAATAGTAGAATGACATTTAGGTTTCAACCCACATCGAAATACAAATACGACAACTTTCTTGAGCACAAACTCATATAGTCCGCATTGCAATAATTCAATTTTAACTACCCCATAAACATTGAGAACAATACGACTTTGGTCTATAATTATAGACTGATTAACACTCGAGAGATATTTTTTAAATCTTCAAATTATAATTAAATAATCATAATAATGGATAATTTATGCTAAATAATAACAGCTTCATGAACATGTATTAGTGTGGGGCGAATAATGCCACAATCACAATAATATGTACCGATATGATTCTCATTATAAGAGTCGACAAAGCGAAGTCTGTGGTGCCCGAAATTAATTAATTAATATGAAGTAAAAGAATTGATCAAGCATCAACGTTATAGGCGATTAATTGTGGGCAGAAATATAAACAATTTTATAAATAAGTTAGTGCAAATTATCAATACAACTATAAATTATTAACAACTTTGGAATGGTTAGTTTGCGCGAGTATATATATTGACCGCAAGAACCAGGTCTGTCAATCAACGACAGAATTACTACAGTACTTGACTACAATAAGGCAAAATATTTTAAATAAAGTTACACATGAGAACCGTGGGTGTGTGAAGTCATAATATTACTGTAGCATTATATTTTATAGTCTATTTGGTAAAAGAGTGTGTACAAGAATATATCTCTGGACTTGTTAAATATTTATGAAAGCATGCACCAACAATTAACACGTAGCAGTAGTAGTAGTATTTAGTAGTAAAAAGCTTTTCAGTCAGTATCCTCTTCTTCAATACTTTGCAACAATTTTGCAGCGTAGCTCTCAGCATCATCTTCATTTTCATGACTGGTCGTCATCGTCCTCTGATTTGGTTTGCATTTTCTTTGTTACTGGACTTGACGAGATTTGTCTGTCAGTCTGTGGGACCAATTGTTTTTCTGGCATCCCTTCAGATGACGACGGGGTTACGGGGGATAGTGGAATGAAGAGGTGGAAATGTTGGGTGGCAGAGGGCTACAGGGCTTGAGCGAATGAGCAGAACATGGTGAGAAGGGCGATGGCGAGGGCGATCCAAGAAATGACCTGTACCACTCTCTTGCGGGGTTCCCACTTATTGGTGAAATACGCTCTGGCCATGGCATCCACGATGTGATAACCTGTGGGGCACAGATTTATTTTAATGATTAGTTTTAATATGTATCTCGCAAAATGAATTTAAAAAATTGTGTAATCACCATCGAGTCCGTAAATAGGAAGCATATTCACAACAGCGAGACCAGCTGACAAACCCGCAGTTAGAAGTAACATGGTCTCCAGTTTTTCTGGCAGTTTTGAAAATCCAGAAAATCCGAAAAAGTTGGAGAGGAACCAGGACCGTGGGACGTACTCACTATTTCTCATCCCGTTATACAAATCCATAACATTTCCAACAAAGAGCACGGGCGTTTTCACGGCTTGTTGTCGACGCTGGATTTGTACGATGCGGAATCTTTTGAGGTTACGAACCATACGAGGAAGGAAGCAGTGGTGAGACTCGTTCACCACTTTACTTGCGTCCTCACCCCCCGTGGTGACCTCAGAACCTGCCGCAGCACTGTCTGAGGAGGCGGCGTCGGCTAGGTTGGACTCGTGCGGAATGTGGCCTTGATACTCCAAGCAGGAATATTTAGGGCTGTGACACCGTCCTTCCCATCCCACAAAGACTGTACTCGTCTCCTCCCCCTCTTCAGAAGTATGGTCGCTTAGGTCTGGTAGCGGAGACGCCTCGGCCACCACTGGTTGTGCCGGAAGGCAGTAACTAGTTCTATTGTGGTCAGGTTTTTCTGGAACGAGGGCTATTTCCTTCTGACCTCCCGAGTCATCTTCTTTTCCAGTAGCGTTTGGATTGGAAGCAACTTTGGAGTTGGGAATGGGAAGTGGATTGTCGGCGTCCATTTGTAGAAAACACAGATGCGTGGGGGAGTCATCTGCATTGGACCCACAACAACCTGCGCAACAAAAAGTACTTGATTAATATTCGATAAGCATATTTATTATTATTTATTACTACACGAATGACGGTTACCTTCAGTGTTGTTTGAGAATCTCATAAGTACATCATCACTAACACAGTATCCTACTGGGTCTACGCAGGATTGTGGAGTAATAATTAATTATTAGCAAAGTGCAAAAATGGTAGGTGTATTACAAAATATATATTGTATTTGCCTGATTGCCATATTTTCTCTAAACACGTATACCACGTGTCCAAGTCTTTGACAGGACAATTTTCTATGCCTATTATCACGTCTCCAACATCAAGTCCACCAGGGCCTAGCCAGAAGAAAAATGTTAGCTTGTGATGGCATAATCCATGATGCTAATTAATGACATATTTATACCTCCGATGCCAGAGCTAGGCCAGACACCTGTTACGGTGAGTCCTGTGCCCATGGAGTGCGTGGGAAATAACAAAGCTGGCAACATTTTTGGTACAACGATGTACGTGATGATTGCCAGGTAGAGGTTCATCCATACGCCCGCAGTAAGAATATCCAACTGCTTCCGGATGGGGGTTTCTCTCAACTGCGTGGAATTGAGTTCCACATGAGCAGCTGGGATCTGATTTGGAAAAAAATAAGCCATAGAAATATAAACATATTACAGCCCACGTTGTGCGCCATATGTGCATTACCAGTGGGCCAAAAATGGACACTCCCACCGACTGGATCGGAACTTTGTGAGCCGCCGAGGCAATGGCGTGACCAAGCTCGTGAATGACGACCGAGATGAGGATGGCGATGAGGTAGTACGGGAGATGGGTGATTGGGAGATTCCACCCTGGCAGGATTGGTTGAATAGCCAAGTACGTTGGGTTACCATTGCCCTCTTCGAAATCACCCGAATCTTGCTGCTGTACCCCCACGTCCGCGTCTGGATATGGGCTCAACTGCTCATGGTGCAACTCTAGCGGTTGTTGTTGCTCCAAAATAGACGCTGGAGTGACAGCAGCCGCAACTGCAACCTAAATCATAGAACAAGAATCAATCATTTAACTCTACAATCAAAAGTATTACGAATTTGAAATAAAGGACTCACGATGGAGGGGAAGAAGGCGTAAAAGATGGTTCTCAGAAAGAGGAACAGTGTAAAAGGAAATCCCAAAATTATCGTGGCGTACGTTCCTGCTCTGAACCACACCCTCAAGTATTTCCGTATGGGATGTATCCCTATGGAGTTGATTGGTCCGTTCAGCTTCCTCGTGTCAATCCGAAGAATCTGTCAAGTCAGGACTTATGTAACTCATTCTCATGAAAGTAAAACTACTTAATTGGCATTAATGTCAAATAGGTTCACTTTTCTCATGCATCCCTTGCTCTCCATATTAAAGGACCAACTTACCCATTCCTTCCGAAGGGCGTAGACGGCACAGTGGAAAATTACTGTGAATCCAACCACCGTTCTCCAGTCCATGGTCATCGTGTTTTAGTCCGACGTGGTCGTCTGCTGAGGTGTGGATGGTGGATCTACTCCCACTTTCACCAACACCCGCAGGGTAGACTAACAACCTAGCGACTGACTGGATTAGAGTAGATCCCCTGCTAAGTAACCCATCCTACTAAATATGTTGGTGTGGTTTATTGTCGACTGGAGAAATTTCTGAGGTGATTGCCTCGTGAGATTGATGGAAAATTGTTCAATCCAACAGTGACAAGAAGCAGCCTGTCAAAAGAGAGAAAGAACAATGCAATTTGGAATAATTACCAACAACCAGTGCAGTTATAGCTCTCTACTCTACTTCTGAGAAACGAGTCTCTCAACAAAATATTTATTCAATCCAGAGTCAACATCACAACAGTCACAGAATGACTTTGTTCATCCGGCTAATGGGGTCTTGTTGTTGGAACAGCTTAAACCTCATCAACAGCGGTAAACTAAATGCCTAATGGGGACGTAGAAAATAACAAGAAGTGAGTAAAAGTACCAGTCCGTTCTGTGCAGATTTTCCTCTTAAATGGTCCTTAATGAGTTTTTGGGTAGAGTTGAGGATGAGGCATTCCGAGTTTCACGATTTCCTCGTTCCGACGTTGACCAATCCATTCTGAAAATGGTGAAAGTTTTACTTTTGGCTTCACTTTTATGAATAATAACTCCTAACTCTTGCACAAATCAAATAAATAATCAAATTCTAGTAAAACTATTCACTTTATTTGAGTCATTTTTATGTGTTGAACACAAAATCTATATAGAATCTGGTTTTGAGAAGTATGTTTTTTATTATTTCAGAATAAGTGAATGAGTTGTGATTTTTTGAGATTGTTGCAACCATGAATCTGTTTCATGACAGATGTCCACACAAAACTCGCAAACTGAATAATTCATCAACCACCCTCCAGCACACCCACATCAAACACATTATACGGAGGACAAATGCATCAGTAGAACCACGACGCACATAGTGCACACAGGTTATTTAACTACTTATGTATAAAGCTGGGTAGTTCTTTTGGCTTGTTCAATGTGCATGCTGTTAAGGAAGATAATTATTTATTGCCACCGGCACGGCCTTCACTAATTCATACGCTCCTCACCTCCCATGCATGATCGGATCAAAGCCCCTCGATTCGAGCACTTTTACTATTGTTTATTGTGAACCAACATTGATACATTTATTCATTGTGTTCGTCACTCTAAACTGTGGTACGAACATCGCTATGCACGTAATGTGCGAGCCAAGTAATACAATGCGATACTAAATTATCAAAAATGTCGTTCATAGAATGCCATAAAGTGTTATGGAATTGAATAATTCTTACTCCTGCTATAACTCCAATAACGATTTCACTGTTTTAAACCCCATGCAAAAGGCAGCAGCAAATAATGAAAAATAGAAATAGACTCTCTCTTTATGTGTAAATAAATCACGAGCGACATACATAAAAAGTGTGTAAAGTAGAGCCGTGGTGTGCTGTTCATAAATAAAATAATATTAGAAACGCACAACAACCCAAAACTACAAGCGTATGTATGCATAAAATGAACCGATTTTGTCAATTCGACCAATTGTGTGCAAATAACGATAAAGTTTTTTTTCTAGAAGAATATGTTGTTATAATATTTTTGAGACCTTCCGGAGAGACAATAATTGCCTTCAATCAGGAAGAGATATTTTATGCCGGCCGGCTAATGATGCTTCGATCTTCCATTAAACCAGGCCATGCAGACTATAATGTACAGACAATATTTATACTGAGCCTGGGCAAACAATGTACATATGGACGTGATTATTGACTCAGGAGGTACTGAATATTGCACTGCAATTTGTGTACATATCGTCGCCGTTCGTGCAAAAGTTAAGAGACCAGTCAGAAACATAAGTTGTAGGGTCCATATTTGGGAGATATGAGACTCCATTAAACTTGGTGTTACATTTTTCCTCCAATAACATTTGTTTCTGTCTGGTTTCGAAAGAGACAACTTTTGCACGAACAGCAACGATATGACAAAAACTTGCAACCTAATAATCACATCACATTGGACAATTTATTCCACAATTCCACCCACCGTACGTACGTACATATGCATGCACGAACTGTCAACTAATAAGGAAATGTATCTCATACACGGATGCACCAACCGTGAAAATTCGCTAATGACTTGACCGTCGCGTCGCTCTAGCTCGGCTGCAATTTCAATTAAGTCGTCTATTTAAATATTTGGGAAACTGTTACGACTCTTTAACTGCTCATTTCCAGAATATTTAAATGTATATTTGTTCACAAAGTTGAAGTTATGGGTCTGTTGAACTTTTCGCTTACATGTTAATTTGGTACGATAAAGTTTATGAGTTTGCTAAAAATCTGTACTCCACATACTGATCAGTGATTAGTGATCACAAATTAGTGTCAAATTAGATATTCTTATGTGAGATTTTATACGTATTTAGTATCTGTGTGCGATTGAGATAAATATGTAACTTACATGAAGTTCTTTAATATGGGGCGGAGGAGTTATATACTTTATTTTAATGTTTAATTTCGGCACAAGTAAAATGACTTTCTCTCTATTTATATAATTTATAAATTACCAATAAAACCTCAAAGTTGCGCTCTAATTTAATCAATTTGGTTATTAGGTGATGACTGGGGAATGAGATTTTTTGTAATCATTTGTACATACGCACATAGTGCACACCTAAGTCGGTTAAAATTGATAAGGTACTACTACACACTACTGACTGACATATCTTATCTATGGTCACGTTACCTGGAATTGTTGCGAGTTATATTAGCATGCTGCACTCTTTCCCATATTTCCAGTTATACGTGAAATGCGATAAGTATATCCATAGATAGAGGATTTAGTTAAATGACGGTACAGAATGTGCAGAGATTCTAATATTTGCAATACTGATTAATTTTCTTTCAATTAGAAACGGATGGCGGAGCGAGCAGACTAAATACCCGTGAGAAAGGTCCATACGGTGGAAAACTATTTATTTGTACAATCTGTCAAAAAGTGCTTTCCTTTCCGAGACTTGCACGATATGGTTATGAGGATGGCGAGGAGTTATTGAACTGCTGCAATATTGCACTCCTTCCTTCACTCGCCGGCATGCCAAACTACTCGCGAACGAACTTATGTGTGTTCTCTATTAAGCTGCGGGAGAAAGCGACTTACTTTCACTCGTGCTGAGCGGCGGAGCACTTTAACTTGTTCTTATCCGCTCGCGTATTCAGACCCTCGTGCAAAGTATTTTTCCCCTGCTGCTGTTCTTCTCCTCCTGCTGGAGTTTAAAGACTTGGTGTATTAAACAAGCGTTCAAACTGCGCCGCGATCCCCTCTCCGTTCATTGAATCCTCTCTCCGAGGGTGTAGCCGTCGAGCTCACTTCTTCTCACGCTTAACCCTTTGAGCACCAGCCAAAGCTACGGCACTCAAAGTTTTTTACACCACCACAGATAGAATAGAGAAGAGGAAAGGCGATGAGCACCAAAATGTGGATACAAACCAGCATTACCAATGGTGAGAGCAACCAAACAACTTTTTTAACGCAGGAGATCATCCACCCAACTTGGCGAGAGTTGAGTTTGTCTTCTCATTATATAAGCCGAGCTCTCAGCCAGGAACGGCTTTGAAGTCACAAAAAGGTTTAATGAACATTCGCCATCGAATTCCTAAATATTCCTTGGACTTGGACAAGTTGGTTTCCTTCTTCCCTTTCATGCAATTGTCTAGCGTATGCAATCCTATACATACTTACGTGCAAATCTTGGTCTATTGTCCAGGTCAAACACATCATTATCATGCAGCAAGCACGTAAAGGCTTTGCAACCACCGGACACCACGACGAGTTTCTATTAGGGAAATATTGCTGCCGGCGGATTGGATAGAAGCCCGTAGTCGTTGGGAGTAGTACTCGTTTCTCTGCCACATTCGCAACAATGCTTCATTTCAAAAAGTCATTGTACAGAACTGCTCTGCTGAATGAGCGGAGAAGACGACGACAGACCGTCCCCGAGCTGTCGACGTTAGCAGCAAAGAAATCATGGTACAATAAACAACTCGTAAAACAGGGAGCAGAATGGATCTCGAGAAACATTTAAAGAAAGACATCATCTTCTCATCCACGAGAAGATTGACAGTCATTGCTCCTCTTCTTTGCCGTGCTTGATCATGATAATCTGGTGAGAGTGCATGGTGGTGAGATTTGGGCTTGTTTTTAAAGGTTGCGTGAAGAAGAAATGTCAAATTTAGCAGGATAAGACATTATTACGCGATAGTTCGAGTTCCCCGAGTTTATCAGTGGGAAAAATGATGATCTATTTTTCATGTTTTCCAATGACAGAAGCAAGAAGAGATACTGCTAATGCAAAATGCAGATAGATTAGTGGAGCTAAAATAAATAAAATAATCACAGTTTCGTGGAAGCATGTGCCCACTTGGATTGATACGAGGGATGAATGGAGAGAACCCTCAGAGTCAAGACGAGAGAGGATGCAGAGGATTTCCTTCTGATTGGAATACTGGGTGGAATTTCTTCTTACAATTCATTCATTCACTATAAATATTATCTTCTTGCATAATGTTCCATTATATGAACGTTTGCATAAATAAATATCACCAAGAAAGAGAGCGTCTCATTCTGGTCCAGCCGTGAGCTATGTACATGATATTTATGTAATGAGGCCTACACATGTACTACATACTATGGTATTAACTCAGAAATGCTCATTTATTTTTCATTGATGACTGAATGAATGATTGCTTCAAATCTACCGTAACCCGTAATTTTTTCCCAAAGCAATTTATTAATTCAAGAATATAAATATTAAAGTCTAATAAATTAATGCGGCCTAATTATAATGAAAACCAGTCTCATGTTTTCTATTTATATATGTACACAAAAATTCACCTTCTCGTGCGTCATTATGGAGGAGCGAAATCATGGGAGGGGTTTTAGGGAGGACCTTCTCATGAAGGGGCACTCGTAGTAGCCTTGACCTGGGGCAGGGTGCTGGGCAGGCTTAAGAATAATTCTGACGCCGAATTCGTCCAACTCCGTGGGTGGTTGAGTGGTGGGGGGCAGAGTGGGCCCAGTGGCTTGAGGCAGGAAGGATGAACCCCCCTCAGCTTTGCTGTTCCCCATTCCGAACCAATTCCAAAACCAGCGGCCACTGTAATGATTATTATGAGGTTCACCTGCTCCTCCTCCTGCGTTTGTACTTGGCGATGGCATTGCCGGGTTGGTAACGGTCCCAGGAGCTTTGTTACCTCCCCTAAACAACTCCCCAGTGGTTGCCGTGTTGGGTTTCTAGAAACGAAAACGGTTTAAGGAAACTAATTATAAGTGTACAGTTTAGTTGTGAAAACGGATCATTTACGTGAGCGAGGCGTTGAGGGATGATGTAGAGTTTGGGGTGAACCTCCCTCTGCTTTTTCTCGATATCCCGAATGATGGAGGATATGTCGTTCAGAAAAGGCATGTTTGGTGGGAGCGTGGGCTGTGGGGTTGGTGAAAGTGGTGTGGTGACCACCACGGTGCTGCTGGGTGTGCTGGGCTCAGTTGACGTCGTTGGCACTGCAGTTGTCGTCACATCTGGCAGGGACGTGTCGCGTTTGACCCCGTTGGTGTTGAGCATGCTCCCTGCAATGGAGTGATGCAATTATGTATGCATGCTGATTGTATGCAGTTATTTAGTCTATTTCACTTACTGTGGAGTTCGTCGATGTACCTTTGAAAGGAGGGGGGTACCTTTGGTCGTGGGGTGGGTGTTGTTGGAGTGCCAAGTAGTGGATCAGGTTGTGGTGCAGGTGGTGGGGATGAGCTATCCACGTGTGTAATGTTATCCGTCGTGTGGGGAGATGACGGGGGAATTTCGACCGAGGGTTCGGTAAATATGACGCCGTCGTTTGGAACGAAATTGTCCCCATTCGTCGTCTCAAGTTCCTCACCTGCACTAACAGAATTTAGGAGCAGCAGAGAGAGGCCAATGCGAAGGAGGATCCTGAGTGTGTCAAATTTCCCCATGACGGCTGAAAAATGATATCGGTCTGGTTTGTGAGATGAAGAAGGCGAAGGTGTCACAATGAGACTGAGACTGGCTCAAGGTGAGACAGGGACTTAAGTACACGGGGTCAAGGAATTGGACCACCGTTACCTTTCCTTCTGCTGGAAGGACGGGAATCCAGGAAGTGTGAAAGGAAGTCAAGGCTCGGTGAGATTGTTAGTGAATGGTCGTCTCCCTTATTGAACTCACTCTTTATGGGTGACATGGTGGACTCCTTGCCCTTTCAGGAATCCTGCAAGTTCAGGGTCACCCAGTCCGACCCTATTTCTGCCTCCATCTTCATCTTTAGATTTGCTCTGTTATTGCTATTATTGCTTCTATTTTTATTATTTCATGGATTTTCAACCGCGTGGAGCCGGATTTGTCGAAGATGCGATGACAGAGGCGATAAAGAACTTATTTTTGTACATTTATGTGTATGCGCACATACCTTCCTCGCAGGGATTAGGATTTCATGGGAAAAGCGTCATAATAGGAATGCAACCTAAAAAGTCTTCTGTGAAAAGCCTCCGATTGCGATCACTCATTCTCACCGACAGCAAACAACTGTGCACCTCTGTGAATGCCATGTGTCCATTCCAAAATGAATTATTGCCATCAATTGTAATCATCCCAGTGATCAACGACCTCACTTTAAGTCAGACCAACTGAATCTGAGCGGACTGGATCTACCTGTTTCATAGGAATTATACACGATAAAATGCGTGCAGCAACTTTCCTACCGTTGATCTGAGTCACTTTCTTCGTAAAAGAGCAGGTCGTCAGGAAAACGGGGCGAGTAGACGACCTTGACTCTCCCTTTATTTCGATTGACTAATTAAATGGTTTGATTTATTCGTTGGGGCACTACATAATTAATTTAAATGGTTTCACAACTAGTATCCTCATTCACGTTCAAAAAATTCAGAAGTGAGCGTCACTTTTTTACATACACAAATTTCATATTGTTCTATAATTACACAAAATCAAAATTGCTATTACATTCTAAATTACTCTGCTACTACAATGCAAATCATGTTATTGTTCATCCGTCTGTGTTTCACAACGATATAAAAATTATAACACATAAAACAAGAAATTAGTTTTCTTGGTGTCTGAATCCGACGGGTCTATGCTAAATGAAGTTGCTTGATGTAGAGTTCCAAACCACTCCAGTTGTGCGAGTAGTCGATGACGAGCTGACCCTGCTTGTCCACGCCAAATCTGGTGGGTGTGGTGGGCGGCGGGGTCACGGTGCATATGTCACGACGGAGTCTCATGTAATACGGCGAGTTGGCCCTCCAACTGTCTTGGCCCCGTGTCGAAAGGGGGTCTGGATGACCCAGAGTTCTATCAATCCTAACAAAAGTAGAAATGTACGGGTGACTCGTCAAAATGATAACATTGTTATAGTTCAAGAACCTCTTTTGGAGTGAGTGAGAGTGAAAATCAAAAGTTCCACTGCCTTTGGTAGACCCAGATTCCGAGCAGACCATGCAACTTTCAGGACTCCTCAAATCATCCGAGCGATCATCTGAAAATAGTAAGAAAATCCATTTTATAATTCTCTATTGCTCATTACATATAGTCATTTGTGATGGATGGCGAAATCATGTCGGAATTTTACGGCTATTTATCAGTTCATTGGAAGTCAGTAGCCGCTTTTTTGCATTTGTTCAAGTACTCCCACGATTACAGATACTATGCCAAGAATAATGCGTACAAATACATTTCGTGGAGTGGATTGCACCTCTTAAAGTCTGCCGTTAGTACAATTTATGCTACTTATTCGTCTGTTTTAATCACATAGAGCCGACTAAATCTTGCACAACTGCGAGTAAGTAAATGGAAATTTATTTGCTTTAATGTTTGCAGAAAGCTACAAATAAAAACCTTGCTTTCATCACATACGTAATTACTTTAGGTATTCGTTAAAGCTCATAAAATGGTACGAAATGGTGGTTAGTATTTGTTTATATGGTTTGTTTGGATTAACGGATTTAGAGCTTCCTCGCATTGAGTGCTTCTTGAGGAAGAGAATCTCATCCTTTTATTAGGAGATAATTTAATAAGGCTGCTCTGCATTGTGCGCATGCATGCTAATTCCCAAACCAATAATTATGCACCGTAATATACCAACGAAATGTACATATACTGTTGCTGAATCCTTTTTTCTGCAACAGTCGACTGCAGTCCAACAATTGTAAAAATCTGTGTTAGAAAACTTTGGTTTTGTGTGTGGTGATGGATGCGTATTTATTTGCACTTTTCGCAAATGCAACCACCGTCCAAGACGTTGTGGGCACAAACAGTGAACTTGGTCGTTACTGGGTGGATCTGTATTATTGCGTGTATTATTGAATTGCTGATCTCTGAACCATAAATTAAAAAGGGTTATCTGTGCAAGGAAACTCGACTACTTATCCAAACACGCATTCACTCATTGGAAATTACTGGGATGTACATGTGTACTTACATGAAAGCTGCACGTGAGGAGTGATACATATTCGTTGTGCGTTGTTACATTACTTACATGCACCCGTAAAAACGCTAAAGTTGAGAAAATTGTAATCTGAGGCTGAATGAACTTTTACAAAATGCATAACAATGGTTATTAAGTTTTTTAACGAAAAATAGCCAGAGTCCTCCGTAGTACCAAAAAGTGGAGGCTATTTAAATAATAATGCAGCACATATGAAAATGAGTTCTTCCCCATCATCCACCTTTCGTCCTTATCGTAATGAGTAAGGTGCGTATAATTTGCACTCGTAAAATAGTTTGTCTCCTTCACGAAACTCCATTGTTGGATTAAATCGAAGCATTGCAATTTCCCCTAATTTTTGTAGCAATTCCATCGTTGACATTGAGTTGACGAGCATTGTAGTCTCTTTTTTTTACACCCAACCAGCAACGCCGGCCAAGGCGATAATGGCAATAAGTTGAGTGGGATTTTAGAGCGAGAGTTTTAGGCGTAAAAAATAATTATTTATTTAAATTAAAGCATAGTAAATAAGTGGCGAGCAGGACTTCCTCCACTTGAGTCACCATAACCAGAAGACCACAATAATTAAACAGACGGCAACAGCATGACGAAATGTGAATGGGTTTTAATCGAAGAACGGTGATAAAACCAAAATCCAACGCCAAAGAACAGTAGTATTAAGCGTAATGAAGCATTGCACGCTATGCCACCGTCTCACGGAAATTAAGTAATTGTGCACCAAATGAATGGATTGTTATTTTATTATGCAATCACAAACTATCAACTGTCACTTTCTAATAGGTTATTGCATTGAGGAATCACGATCCAATAATCATGGACTCGTGTGCCTACTTAATCTCACTGCATTTACAGCAAGCATGACCACCAAGCCAGCTAAAAATATTGGTGCAAGGGCAAACATCTTAGACCCGACCGAGATCTAATAAACCATCCAATTGTGCAAATCATGATTTTTGATGACCATTTTGACAGACTTACGTCTCTGATCCAGTCTGGAGCAACAAGAGGACGTCGTCATCGTGGTCATCGCCGCCATGTCGTTGTACTGGCTGTCCTCGTCATCGCCCGACACGGAGGTTGAGGAAGGGCTGCTCGACGACAATGTCCCCAATGACCCTCGTCCAGAAAAATGCGTGGCCGTTCCTCCTCGTCTCGAAGCTGGAGGTGGTTGTCTCTGTCTCATCAAGGAAAATGGGTGCTGAGACGGTAGGACCTTGGTGGCTGACGAGATGCTGTGGTCCGTTTCATCCTCACGGTCGCTAATACCGCTGTCCTGCTTCTTTCGCACATCGTTCCCAATGGTGAGCACGTCAAGGAGATAACAATCGTCCAGATTGCGATTGGGATCTACGAGAGATCGTAACTGATCCATTTCCGGAGGTATTTCAACCTCATCCTTCTTCTTCTTCTTCGTGGTGTAATTACTGGCCAGTAGGTGAGCATCCTCTTCATTATCCTGCTCCACTCGAGTGTGAAACTGCAGTTGTTGGCGGTACTGGTAGTGGCGACCAGTGGTCGGTAAGTTGAGGTGGTGACTTACAGGCTCATACTGGTCATGCCATGGAGAGAATGAAGAGGACTGCGAGACTTCCTCTTCGTCTCCCGGGGACAGTTCCCCCTCTGGGAAGGAGTACTCCTCCAGATGCTGGGATCCAGACTTTTTTCGGATGTAGCGAAGATTTTCCAGGTCCCACGAGTCCAGTCGGGAATCGTCGTAGTGACATTCGAAAAAACTTGGAGTTTGAAATTCTTGCTGGCTCGTCATGCTTGTCGAAAAGCTTGTTATTATTATCGCAGCCACATGATGACAGAAATATTTGTGTATGCAAAATTAAAATTACGACGATTGTGATGTCACGCAACTAGAAAAATATAGAATTTATGTAAATGTGGTTTCGTCCCTTGGCTGACCAATGTGCAACTGTGGATCGTTTCTCAACAAATGTTCGATAAGAGCTATAAAAAAGTACGTTGACGTGATTACTAATAATTACTCACCAAGACGTGCTATTACTTCTACACGCGTCTATTACTCAACATCGCACTTTCTCAACAGAATTAGTTGGACTGTTGGACAAGTGTGGTGGCACTAGTACTTGATGAATGACGATTATTAAATTCGTATTACAGAAGAAAGCTCTGTCCTTGCCACTAGTTGCCACATTTGGTGATGACAAGCAAAGTGCACTACCGACGACCACTAATAAATGAAACCGTAAATGAAGATACTAAGATAAATGAATATACTAAAGTAGTCGTCGCGTCGGCAGTATATTTTATATCGCTCCCAGTCGGTTGCGTTGTGGTGACTGAATTAATTCTCTGCACTTACGCTTTGTTTTCCTAAGTGGTGATGATAACAGAGCAGCGTTTGCATTATTGTTGCCATTTTTTAAACCACCACTGACTGTGGATCTTTTTCATTGATGATACAATTCACTATCGCTCTCCTCTCCTGTTTGTAACCAGACCGTTTAAACGGTATCCATCTCTTCTGCTGCTGTTCTGATTTAGATCTTTTTTTCTTCTTCTTCTTCTTGGTCTGCATCTGGTGAGATGAGATGATCTGAAAGAAAGGGAATTTATCATTGGTTCTGCTTTGATTGACTGCACATCTTCTTCTTCTCTTTCATTTCTTGGGGATTTACTTAGTTGGCAAACTCATGCGTTAAGAAAGGAATAAATCTCACATCAAATTCCAAATCCTTTCTCACACACACAACATTATTGCAAAGTGTGAAACCCTTTGAATGTTTGATATTTATTGATGGTTGGTTGGATGAGTGTACTCGTAGCACTGCTTGTCCACGAAAGGAGAGAGAGAGTTTGACATGACATCAACCTGATGATGAGCACTTATGCACATATTTAAACGTCGTTATTGTTTGCAAAGCACAGCCCAATTTTTCCGTGAAGTTCCTTTTTATATCATTTTTAAGGACAGCAGGTGACACGCACTACTTCACCGGATTTATTGGGACCTTCTCGATAAACTTGTTACGTATAATCCTATGTAACGACTCAATATAATTTGTTGTCTATTTGGATTTCACTTAAAAACTTTTAAAAAACTTGGAAAAACATAGTCAAAAATAGTCATTTTTAATTCGAGCAACGTTTTCTAGAAGGGAAAATTAACCGAGAAGGAGGTGGGACTTGAAGATATGAAAACCCTACTTTACTTTGTCTCATCTTGGTGCTTCTCAGAAACACCTTTGCTGCGTCTATGTACTACATATTCAGCACTCTCCACTCTCTACACAGCTTATATGCACACTTATGGCACCCACATTGCATAAGTGAAGAATTTGAAATGTATAGAAGTGGAAATTAATTCAAGTTGGGTTATCCGAGATTTATAAAGTCTGCAAGGAAAAAATAGGACGAAAATTAATATTGATAATGAGGCTCTTGATATTCCATGAGAATATGTATTCACGATTCTGCGAAGACGTGGCACATGGCTGATCATAAATCGTTCATAATTCATCAATTGAATCCGTGCATTCTATTTTCGGATAGGAATTATAAGCTTCACTTTATGTACATATATCGTTTTACTTTCGTATGTACGATTGGATTTTTGACGATGTACAGTGAGAAGGTTGTGGTGTGTGCTGCTGTGCAAAACGAAATGAACTGAACAAAGGACGAGTTGACGTTGGTTCTGACTCATAAAGCTGAGTCAACTTGTAACTGGAATGAAATGGTGCATATTTTTATTATTATTTTGGCTACATTGGGTACCCCTCCACTTCATTGCCTCCGTAGTTGTAGACGCAAGAAGAAAAGCAAGACTTGTCTATTACCATCATATTACGATCCACACTCGTTTGTGAAACGCTTTCATATTTCCTTTGTGTCCTGTTAGTGCGTGGATTTAAGTCGACTGGAACCTGTATCTGGAGAAAACGATGTACACAGTTCACGTTATCATCCAACAATTTCGCTCTTCGTGTGGGTGATAACACGAACCGCTTGTCCTGGCTAATCTATTAACTCGTCCGTTCAATGCCTTCCGGTTCACAAGCATCATCCTCAATTCGGCGTTCCACAAAGTGTAGAAAATTGACCGTCTCGTTCGTGATGCTCTTCTTCGTGGCGTCCTTTCTCCTACTGCTCGTCTGGAGTGTGGCCTCAAACCTCCTCTCCCCAACGGAAGGAGGAGGTGTTCAGAGTTCCCAAGTCTCCCTGGACCAGATTTTGGAACGTTTACAAGAGAAAATCGAGAGGCTGGAGAACAAGGCGAGTCTGTAATTGCCAATAGGGTCAAATTGTTATCCAATATTTACGTTCTAAAATATGCAGTTGAACTTGGCTGAAGAAATGATTCAAGAAATCCACGAGGACTCTGAATTCTATAATGTAAGTGCATACAACTTATTTTTCCATGCTGCTGAGACATGAGCATCAGCTTCCTCCATGCAGCGACACCAGTCCCCAACGGTGGAGCATGGCTTGATCGAACTGCGAGTGGCGGATTGGAACGCGTCTCTGCAGAATGGACTTGAAGACGCCATCAGTCGGTTCGAGGCCGGGGAGAGTTTGGGTCCCCACTTCCGGTCCACTTGGAGTCTCTACTTGACCTCGACACGTTTGTCGACGGGGGACGTCCTCAACGTGCACCTTGCTTTGGACAAGTGGGCCAAGCAGCATGTCTGGGCAGGGTTCAAGGTCCGTCTGTATCGTGGGGATGGTCAGCTCTTCCTCTCCCGTAATAACTAATTAGACGAACCCCTGCATTTTCCTTATATACGGAGACTGCCTATTAACGTATATTTTTATGCAGGGAGCCACCCCGTAACTGATGTTCTCACAAACTTGGAGGAGTCTGACAGTGGTGAGACGTGGGCAGAGATATCGATACCAAATCTGATGCCCTTGAGTAGCGTCCCCCAACTGCTAAACCGTAATGGGTCACTCCGGCTCACAGCCGAACTGGGACTGATTGGACATGGTCACAGGGTGTACAGACCGGTAAGTTAAGTAGCTACTCTGTAATCCCTGTTTGATTAGTTGTCTCATTGCATGAAACTTTCATGAAATAAATTATTCTTGAATGTCCGCAGAAAATTGGGTCAGCGCCTCAAAGTGACACTCAAACGGTAGTGTTTACAGTGGCGAGCAATAGCATCTCGACGTCCAATGACAGTACAAACAAGGGCAGCAACACCACCACTACCTTTTCCAACTTCCAGTTAAGTCATCCATGGGGAGGAGTGAGCTCGTGGGGTGCGAAAGTGCAGAAGAGCAGCGGCGAGGACATTTCGTTTTCGCTCATTTTGAGTCAAATTCAGGATGATGCGGTGGAGTGGGACGAGCTTTTTGCTGCATTTACCGTCAGTGTGTCTGGAGCAAGTTCAGGTGCACCATATTTAATTTTTACTCCTGGTACAATAATATTGTCGTCATTGTGCAATTAAGTCATCTTTTGGATTACAACAGGAGTGGGATCTGCTCCGTTGCACAACTTCATGGCCGAGCCGGAAGCAACGCTGGTCAACTTCGCGACAAGTCCAAATAAAAATACTACAAACGCCAAGGATGATCTTTTGGAGTTCAGAGTTGGCGTCACCGTGTTCAATCGCAATGCAAGATTTGGTGTCAATTTTCGATAAGGAGCAGGACCCTCATAAGTGGCATAATATGCAATAAATACATGACTTCATAATGTGTACACATATTTTAATGCTTGAAATGTACAAAACGGGGATGACTGTTGTCCATCATGATTCAGCATAATGAATAAATTCATACGAGTCAATCAAATAAAAAATATAAATAAATAAATAAATAACTAATATGGATCACAGAGTTAGAGCATTTGATTCAGGTCGTTGAGTGAGGTTGAGAATTATGGGTCACGGGAAAGGTCGCCTACTCGGCCTGTTTGTTGATGAGGGATGGACAGTGCCAAAGTACGCCCTTCGCAGCCTCGTAAATCCATCGGTTCTTGTCGATGAGCCCGGAGGCAGCGGACTTGGGTGTGTCCTCCCCGCTCTGCACGTTCTCCTTGTTTCCAGTCTCCTCCAAGTAACGTTTGAAGGACTCGATGACACCCATAAACATCGGCTCCTCGTTTATCGCATGCAGAAACCAGAGGAAGGGCTCGTTGAAGTCGTAAAAATCGACGGTGGGAGTTGCAGACTCGCCTTTCTTGACCGTTTTATCCGCTTCTGGGCTGGAGCTGTTGGTCGTGGATTGTTCCGTGCTGCTGAGCGTGATGGAGCCCAAATCACTTCGCTCCTCGGCCGAAGAGGCGTCGTCACTGGACGGCACGGTGGTGGACTCGTCGACCTCTTCTGTACTAACGACCGTGCTGGTCTCGGGATCGTCGTCATGCAAATCGTCTTTGGGAGTGGTATACTCCTCGAGAAGGGTTTCTGGGGCCATGTCGTCCCTCTGACGCGTGTTCCAGCTGTTGAGATCCTTCTCGTTGTTCAGCGTCACCCCTGAGTAGGATTTAGATACACGAGTAATTAATAAATTGCCATGAGCAGTTGTATGCCAACAGCTCTCGTACCTGTGACGGAAGCAATGGAAAACGTCTCCTTCGCGATGCGGATGTGGTTCGTTTGCACAATGGGGTTGAGAGAGTAGCGAGACGTAGTGGTTTCTCCCCCGGGAGTCGTCGCTTCATGGACGCAGAACGAGTTGGTCACTCCTCGCTGGAAAATGTAGCAATTATTTTAGCTCCACGATTATCAAAGAGAAGAAGTTTCTGCAACAATAAGTGATGTTTACGAGCTCACCTTCACCAACATGTCAAAGTGCTGGCTGTTGGTGGTGAAGCTAGCTTTTGGGACATGAACTCGCATCTGTTTCACACCCCAGCCAGGGAAACTTTCGTCGAATATTTGAGTGAGGGCGGTGGGGTTGAGCATCAGCTGCAAGATGGTCACGGCCCCTTTCGGCTTCAGAAACACCACGCTTCCAGTACCACTCTGCACACAAACAAACAAACGCTTAGCATTCATCAGCCCCAAAAAAGAGTTACCAAGAACCAGCTAATGTGGATGATATTGATATGAACCTTAAAGAGAGCAGCGACTGCGATGAAGGCGTCGTTTTCGTAATAGGGCATGAGTCCCTCCACCTCCATGTACGACACGTGGGTCGAGTCTGTGAACTTGTCCAGCGAGGCAGAGTCCTTCCAAGGGAAGGCCCATTGGTTCTCGTAGTGGAGAGAGTTGACATACGCCGCCGTCGTGAATGGGTAAATCGTCCTCCCGTACAATCCTCCACGAGGGATGAACTCGGAAATGGCTCCCCCAGTCGCCGCCGCGATGTCCTTGTTCATTCCTGTCCACGTGTCCTTGTAACCAGCTCGGAAATCGGCTGGCTTGAACTCTGTGCCCAAAATGCGAAGCGCTGTGGTCGGCAGTTTCTCATCCGGTGTGTAAATCTTACTCGTCACGGAAAAGTTGGCCTGAAATATTTACATATATTGCGATTCACTACTATTATTTAATATTGCTACCAAATTTTTGGGACTCACAATTTTAAGCGTATTGATCATGGATGAGAACATGATGGCGATTTTGTTCTTTGGGAACTCTAGAACTCCGTCGAAGCCCTCCGTTCCCAGAGGCCAGACGCCTTCGTTCAGATTTGCCAAGGTGTACTGGACGCCTATGGGGAAGACAAATTCGACCCCTTGGGCGAGATACATGGCTCTGGCTGAGCGAGTCTGAGCGAGAACTTCTTCCGGTGGCCATGCCCCTTCAACGTGGTCGTAGTACTCTTCCGGCTCTGCCACGACCACATAGTCTGGCGCAAGGGGGACTTGGACCACGGAGGCAGCAGCAGCGCCACCAACTTCTTCCTGTCCCGAGGGTTCCTCCGACGCTGTGACTATGACGCCCACCAGAACGCTGAGGATTATGATCTTGGGAAACTTCAAAATCGGTTTCATTGTATTGTACCCTATTTTTCGTATTATATGCAAATCAGGAGAGGAAATAGGACGGAAAGGGAAATGAAAGACTCAGAGAGATGAATCGACTCTCTGACTTGCAGCTTGGCCTGACCCGCACTGAGGAGGACGTTTGTATTAGCGAGGAGAGAGACGAGGCTGCAGTGTCACTTTCTTCCGACCAAACCAAGTCTCTGCTGCATCTTTGAATTCTACAAATCTCATTTCATCTCATTTTGGTTTTCATTTCACTCCCTGGCACCATAACCAGGCCAGATCTGCAGAAGAAGGCGAAATGCAACAACGTGCACATAAAACACAACGAGTTTTAACAAGTTTTAAACGAAACTGAGTTTTGGGGGCAGCAGTCACTAATTAATGGAGACTGCAGCTCTATTGACATGAATGTACCTTACTCCCCAGTCATTGTTGGCAACAACAAAGACACGACAAGAAAGGACGAAGGAAAAAGCTAAACAAGTGAATGTTGCATAACTGGTTTGCTATCGGGAATTTGAGGTTGCCATCAAATCCGAGCTTTAACTTTGACAGCTTAATCTCAATCTCAGCCTCGTAAGTAACCTACATTTTGGTTGCAATTCTACGAAAAAAATGCTTCCCCAAAAAATGTGTATTATTATGTTTTTACATATGTGCATCACTTAAACTACTGCTAATAAACCACCAAATTGACCATCTTTATATATTTACGTATGTATTTACATATGCCCATCGTCCCGCTGGCCGTTACGTGCTTATTTGAAAAATGTGTAATTGTGTACTTTTCACCGTTTTCTCGTGAATGCATGAAAGACGCTCTCATCTGTTTATACATCCGTTACTCTACTAATATTTGCACTTACTAGGTGGCCCACTGAAACTGTAAGTGAAATGAAACCCTGTGGCTTCAACAGTTTTTATGTTACGAATTTCGAGTTAATTTTAACCGAAAGCCAGTTAATTTCTGAGTAGAAAACAATTTTTAGTTTTCGAAATTTCCTCCCCTGCCATTAATGCAGCGCTGAGGAAACCGCCTGCAGTTCTCCGCTGAAGCACGCACTAATTCCTGGGCAAAGTGTTCCATTCCGTGGTCAAAAATTTTTTTCCGATCTCTACACTTCTACGAGGCTTAGAACACACATTTGCCCCTAACTTTGACCATTTTTCATAATCCGGAGATTCAAATCCAGAAAGTAGAATTACCATTTCCGAGAGGAGGAAAAGTTCGGAATTTTGTTTTTTACCCACGCTTGGGTCATTTTTTGCACTATAAGCTGATTCCTAGTCCTACTGCAAGGTCCAGTCGACTTCAATGAATTGGATCTCACTTAGGGGATGTACCGCGGACTCGAAAACGTATTTTAAGAAATTTGATCCCCCCACCTTCCCCCCATTTTCAACAAAATGTAGAGAAATTGCCCCAATTAGGTCCCACCTGCCAAAATCATCACAAAGCTTGGATAATGTGGCTTTCTGACCTTCTGTCTATATTGGGGGATGTCTCTGACAGATTTGGCGTAGATAAGGCCAACTCGCTTGTTAAAATATTTTTCCTATGTGAAAATCTCCTCATCTGTAAATAGAATCCTCGTCACTTTTTCTGAGCGTACCGCTTGAAGTCACTCCTGGGTTTCTTTAATCTGGTTTCCCTTTGGGGGATGGTCGGCATGTGGCAAGTACCACATTTCAAAGTCCTAAGTCTAAGGTTCAATTTAAGCACTCATTGAATAATCTGCTTCTACACTGGCAGCTGTGAGGTTGGTTTCCGTTGGAATTTCGTGAATTTCTTCGGATTCCATCCTTCAGCGCCTTCATGATGGGTGTGGTCCTTGTAGGATTTCAAAAATTTTTTCTTCGACTGTTGTTAGTCCACCCCGTCCCCATGAACGTCTTTATAGTCTGTTGGGCTAAATTATACGGCTCGTTCGATTCCTGCCACACTTTTAAAATTCGCCATTTCTCTCCCCATTTTTGTAATGAAAAATTTTCGCCGCCCGCTTCCATTCAACATTTTCCATGCGAATTTGCATTGCAAATAGTAAAAAACTGATTTATGGTACTTATGCAAAATCGCACGGGGAATCCAATGCAATCATCAGATTTTCATTATCTCTGTCGGTTTCGAAGAAAACAGCCACTTACAGTTACAGTGGGCCCAGTAAGTAGAACATTGTTCACATGCATACTTGCGTATAAACCAAAATATGTATGTACGGATGTCAGGAGAGTAATTATTTGAGTGGTCAACTTGTGGTCAACGACTCATTTATTGATTCATGTATCATTTTTATTAGCGTATGCAGTCATCCTTTCAGGATAAAATGGGGTCTGCCTGGAACACGTAATATTTAACAATGAGTGTTCAAATGTTTACCCATCATTTCTTGGTGATGAATTACTTTCGGTGCAACTTTACGCACCACCGTAAGTTACACGGAAAAGCCGTCTCGAGTAAATTTGATATAACATTAACGACTGTTATCCCATGAACTAGTTAACTGCCAGTTTTTGATCCATGCATATATTTGCTCCAGGTAAATATTATATTACATACACAACGCTTCTCTGTGAAAATGAGGTATAAAACGATGTGAGAGGGCGGATGATAAGTATGAGAGAGATAATGGCGATTGAGGCTGTATATAACCCACAATCTCAACAACTCTCATTGTCCATTTTTTCATGACACGGGAAAAATGTGCAGGTCGAATGAATTACAGAATCAGTGTTCAAACAGCAATACGACAAACTTATGTAGCCGTTGGTGTGAAAATTCTTGGTAGCTGCGAAATTATTACGTACATAACCATGAGCACGTGTCATTGGTGTTAACCGCTCCTGTCAGAAACGGTCATTTGCAGTGGAAATAGAAAAGTTATATTGGAAACATAGTTTACAAATTATCCCTTAAAAATGAGATTTCAAATCTATTTTGGTCTGGTCGCTCTTTTCGTGCTAGGATGTGGAGTAGGAGATGCCGAGGGGGAAAATTTCGGTGAGTTTTACAACTTATTCATATTTGCACGCCCTGGCTGCACAAATTTCCAACTAAAATATTTCCATTTCCAGATTTTTTTTCAGTGACATTTATGTAGAAAGTGTATTAGATAGAAGAAATTGTTATTTTTTCGGAATTGACATTGAAAATTTAAATTAGTGTGAACACGTATGCAGTAAAATCATATTTGTAAAATACTTAGAAAAAACTGCAAATGGAGATAAGTCATGTGCCTGTACTGCAGTTATCCAACGAGATCAATAGCGGCGGCCTTTGTTCCTTCGGGTTCAATAGGTGTTTCATGAATTTGATAACGTATGCTAATTCTCATTTTTTTATCTGAATGAATAAAACTCGGCTTCAAATTAAATCAGCCATGTGCACCACTCATGAGCAGTAATTACTTTATTTACGTGTGTAGTGTCGTGTACTTATGTCAGCATTAGCTTATCATATCACGTTATCACCCACGTCCGTGTGCTTAATGTTCTCTTGTCAATTGATTGAGGGCAAATGTTTTATCGGAATAAACACAATTCTGCGAATACATGTTTGTCAGACAGGGCACGACCTCGATCCGCCATTGGCAAACCGACGCGAGCGGATAATGCCATGATAAATACGGTGATAAATACGAAACCCATTGTTCTAGGCGATTCCAGTTGACTCGCCTGATCATAAATTTATACGATGCAGGGCGAGGGGAAGAGGGTAGATGTCAGTTAAGCCACTTATCAATTATCATAAAAAAGAGCCATATACTAATTGCTATGCATTTTCCTCACTACTTGACTTTTGGTGCGCAGTAACTACATAATTGTAATAGATCTCAATGTTAAGTAAATGACAAAATGTTGGAAAATCTGGAGTGCCTTCGAATGAATGGCTTACGCCTGGCTGATTAAATATTACCACAAAACAATAATATGCATATTTCTTGTCGTGTATTTTAGAGTTCCACCTTTCCAATGCCATGCTAATTACGAGCCTCCGCCTTTTCGAACAAACCTCGGACTCATTTTACGTCTTCAGAGCAAAGAATGGCTCCATCATTCTCAAGGCTGATTCTGGCTTTGGGATTATGGCCGTCGTCCAAGAGATGAATTTGCAAGATATTATAAATCCCATCGGATGTCTCGACTCCATCAAGGTGCACTTTTATCATTTTTTATCGCTTATACACATTTCGCAGCAGATACACAACTCTTCTCTGGAGTTTTGTATCTTCAACTTGCATCGAAACACGTGGGTGACCTAATTTTGAACTGTGCAGATGTCTCAAGTGGAGGGGTCCTCTGAAACGAAGAGCATTTGCGGCAACGTGGAGCTCACTCCTGACTCGTCCATCCTGACCCCACGTCCTAGTTACGTGGATAAGTCGGGTTTTCTGGAGCTGGACTACGTGCTGACGGAAAAGAATCGTATCTCCCCTCTCGACAGGAACATTACCAACTTCAACGTGAGCTTCACCCCATTCACCAAGTGTCCCGAGGAAGATTACCCCTTTGGAAATGGTCTCCTCCGCCCCTGCTCCATGCTCGACACCTTCTCGTGCATTTCGGCTGATTTCTTCTGTGATGGCGTCATCAACTGCGGGTTCCCTCACGAGCTTGGACTGGATGAGCAGGATTGCGATGTGAAAGACGTTCCCGCAATCCACCTCGTGCAGCCAGAAGATCTTGACCAAAGTGCAGAAGGAGGCGAGCTTTTACAACTCCCCAACAAATTGCCCTATGATCCCTACATCACTCTGGAGGATGAGGACGACACGGCCAGATTAAAGCAGCAACGCCAACTCAGTTTCCTCATTTGGAAGTATAGCAACACTGCCAACACGGGCCTGTTTGTCGTCATCGTCATGTTTGTGCTTATCCTGGTGAAGACGCAGGGCGGCAGGAGGACTGGACCAAGAGGTGGGGGCAGAGGACTGCTAGTAGCAAGAGCCACGCATCACGCCCTCCCTACGTCGATAGAGGACAAGAGTGGCGTCTCTTCGACGACTGACTCTTCAGTTTACTACGATGCGGAGACGGACCCTGCGCCCACGTACGAGGACTGTCTGCTGGACGACTCCTCAAGACCCGTCTACACCGCGTAAGTAGAATTACTTATTACTCGAACCTCGTCTAATCATATTTAGCAAAATGAAAATGACATGCTCTATTTTTTACGTTCACCAGGTTATCCGTGGAACATGAACGACCCCCGTCCTACGAAGAGGTCAGGGTTCACCGTGGCTGGAGTACAAATTTTAGCAAACGGGAAAGGAGTAGTAGCAGTTTGTACCTTCTTTAATCCATTTTGATCTCAACAACGCGTGCAAAGAAGTGATGCAAATGTGTAAACGAACAGAGTGACAATTTTTTATGAGTAGTTTTACACTCGTGCTGTGTTCAAATGTGTGGGTGGGTTGACAATGTTGAGTGTACAAGTATGGTACCCATCTTTGATGGTAGCTGTGTTTAGGTTATTCCATAAATTTGTGATAATTTTACTTTATGCCCTTGTTTAATTTAATTTATGAAACTGGAAATAAAGCTATTTTTAGATTTTCTTATTTAATCTGCCGAATTGGTGGGGAATAGACGAGAACAGTGTTAATTATTGTGTATGAGCTTGATGATCATTATAAGTGATGCCTGTCAATCAACGGGAGAATATGAGCGCACAAAAGTCTACAGCATCTCCAAATGGCGATTTTTTTCTTTCAGGATATAAGTACGACTCAAATCTTTTCTCGTTTCGATCATCGGTGTCTGTTTCAGTTGCCAAACGGAGTGGAATGCGCATGTTATTTTGGAATGATTCGTATTGAAAGATGGGAGAACGTTGTTAATGATCTCGAATGCATAATTATGAGCTTCTGGGATTTGTTTGTGTGTATAGACTTTGGTCCTCGTATTTCCGGCCCAGAATCATCAGTTTCACTTTCGAGCGAAACGGGAAAAACTATCCTGAATACATAAACGAGTGATGATTCTCTTGAGCATTTATATTGCTGGGCATCTTTTCAACATCTATTTAATCAATGAAGGGGTCAGGCGACACAAGTTTTCTCCTCGTTCTTGTGATAATATTAGCCAGCCAAGCTCCGCAGGAAGTGGTCCCCTTGATCAGCAAAAAGTACATGAGTAAGTGGTGCTGTCCACGGTGTGACTGCCAAACAATTCTTGTTGGTGGCAGCAGTATTAGGTTTTTTTTTAAAATTGCAGCATTCTACATCCCAGAATACACGAGGCGCTACATTTACCTGGAGGGGAAGTTCAGCTACTCTGTCCAACTGGTCCTGGCCAAGGGTGACCCATGGGCGACGAGTTCAATCAATGTGAGCATGCAAGCTGAGCCCATCGAGTTTATCATCAAAGCCCCAGAGTACGCCTACTACGGCATCATGGCCATTGTCCAAAGTCTCAATTTTCGAACAAACCCACTCTCACCAGATGGATGCAGGGACTACATTCAGGTTCCTTACAGCTAAGCAGATAGCTTTTTTTAAGTACTGATAACTGTAGCTGAATTAGGAGATGCGTATGTCTTTAGTTCTTTGCGGAAGGGAAGAAGGGGTCTTCAGCCCCATCGCCCAAACTGTGTGGGAGACTTCCCCGTGGGGACCGAGATCCAAACCCACAAGGTCTCCACCAGCGAACCTACTTCACTCCTCGAGGGAGCATCAAGCTCAAAGTCCATGTCGACTCAGCCTCGTCTCGTGAAGAATATGCCGAGCTGAACACAATTGGGGCCGAAATTGTCTTCACGGGATACACGTGTAAGTACGTACAGTGGTGTATGTAGATATTTGTGTAGAACAATCATGTATGCACAATTTCCGAGAACAAAGTATAGTGCTAACAGAGTCAATTTCCCAAAGCCTGTCCGGGGAAGGAGGTCGGTGGACTTCAGACATTGCGACCATGCTCCTTAATGGGAGAATCTCCAGCGTGCATTCCAGCATCCCTCTTCTGTGACGGCAAAATCGACTGTGGATTTTCCCCCGAGTTTGGGATTGACGAGGAAGGTTGCTACTATCCTTATGTTTACGCGGGGGTGGGGATCCTGCTCCTGCTTCTCGTCCTCGTCGTCATCTACGGTTTCGTCCACTGGGTCAGAGTGAAGGCCAAGCAGGGCGCGGCGGCGGCGGGGGGTGGAACCCGTTATTCACAAGATGAGGGTGGAGCAGATCCAGGAATGTGTGGGGCCGTGGAAAGTGTGGACATGGACTCGTCAATGGCAGCATTTTAATCGTTTGTTGTAATTGAAGAGATGCGTATTTACTGCAACCGTATACGTACTTCTCACTCGTTGTCTTGTAATTTCCAATACAACTTAGGTTGTGCGTACAAATTATTTACAAACACAAAATTTTCTGTCAACTGAATTACAAATTTTAAAAAGAAATAAGGTTTTTCTCCCTGGATTATGAACTTGAGTTATGTATGAAAAATAAGTTAACAATTAAATGCAACAATAGCAAAAAATAATTGAAGAGACTCATTTGAATTTACACCGGAAATATTTTTAAGGTATTTGCATAGTGCATCAAAAAACCAGGTTAAAGATCATTGATCTCCTGAGCCATAGGCCCATAATGTTGAATTATTTACTGTGCAAATAACCCATTCATTCATTCATTTGTATTTATTTGCGAAATCACACCCTGTTGAATAATAATACTAATGTTTGTTTGAACTCAATAATAACAACAAAAGGATGAAATGGACATTGGGTATGTACTCTAAACAATAAATAATATTGATTTAACAGGTGGTGGTTGCTTCACTGGTTCCTTTATCACTTTTTCTTTGACTTCCCTTTTGATTTAGATGACGCCGCTGGAGCCGCAGCCGCCTTGGGGTCAACACCTTGTTTAACACTCAGGTCTGATTTTAGCTTGAGTAGTTTCTCTATTTCTGGTTGTAATGCGGCTTTATCTGCTTTGGCCGCTTTCAAATCTCGAACTACGCCCCCCTGTGAAGAAAGTAACAGAACGATGCTGAGTGTCAGTCATTATGCTGCAAGGACCATGTGTAAACGGGGCCAATGTGTATATACCTGTAAGGCAATTGCTGCTTCCAAAGCGGCAATTTCTTCAGGCTGTAAATACGTGATGATAAAATGGATAATAAACACATAGTATGCATCACAGATGATTATTTAGAATGTGGACATCTTACAGATCCAGGGACTCCATTTGATTCCGGTTTTAAAGGTGAGTCCGCAGGTGCAGCCTTTGCGGTCCCTTTTTTTGGGGAAGCTTCAACTGGCTGCTGCTGCCCAACGTACTTTTTCCGAAGGCCGGCAATAAAGTCAGCATCCAATTTTTGGAAGAGTGGAGAAACCTGAGAAAAAAATAATTTTTTCATTGAATCATTTAAATTTGAGATTAGTTAATTAATTATCTTGTCGTCGCTCACTCACCTTTCCCAATTCATGTCCGACACTCAGGAATGGAACGAGTTGTTTCGAAAATATGGGTTTTGGAACGTTCAGTTGTTCTCTAATTTGGCGACTTACACCAGGAAGGAATGGTTCCATAAGTGTCATAAGAAGGAATACGATTTGAGCCCCTAAACCGCATATGGTTCCACATCTCTCCAGACTGGGGAAACAGATGAATTATTATAGCATTGTCACAGTCGATTATTTCTTGACGCATAAAAGAATAAAATAAATATAAATTGTCCTCCTACTCTTGGTCATTCTTGTTGAGAGTCCATGGTTGTTGTGTTTGGAAATAGACGTTGCCAATTCTGGACACTGCCAATATTTTACGAAGTCCATCCTTCAACTTGCACGTTTCTAGAAAATTCACATACTCGGAGACTTCTTTATTGATTTCTGCAACAACGCGGAAGTCGTCGTCATTTAAATTCATGGGTGGAATTTTACTGTTAAAAAACTTGGCTAAAAATGTCAAAGATCTGAAATACAAAACCAATCAAGATTTATATAGTTAAATTTTGCACATCAAACATTTAAAAAATAGCAGAAATAATTAACTGGTCATCGCACCTATTAATAAAATTGCCCAGATTATTCAGCAGTTCGCTGTTATTTTTTAGCATAAAGTCATCCCATGAAAAGGCCGAATCTTGATTCTCAGGTCGAACAAAGATCAAATAAAATCTCCAAATGTCGGCTGGTATTCCTGCAAAAAAAAATCATCACAACAAGAGAGCTGCAGTTAGTTAGTTTCATGGTGCACAAGTCAATCAGCCAAAAATCCTGTCAATTCATTCAAGTTCATGAAATTGGAATGCTGCAAAATCAGTCCATTAGTTGAAAATGGAGGTGAATCCGCATCAACATTTGACTCGACTGGAGGTTATGCTTCATCCGAGGACAAGAGCAGTGGAGCAAGTGGGTCAGAATAAGTATACATTGGCCTGAACAAAGGAGAGGAAGGTAGCCATTCCGTGAAATGTGGAGCAAAACATTTCCAACAGGTTGGCTTTACTATTATTCAACAACTTGCTCATATTAAGTGGGCGTTGTGTGACTGTTGTGAGATATGGATCCATTCAGTCCATGTTTTCGACATAGGAAAATGTCGTTTCTCAACTTTTGGGTGGTTCAGTTCACTCCTCCAGAAAAGATCCCTCCGTTGTGCGGAACGTGATGGAGCGTGGATGCATAATGTACATGAAGATGTGGTGACATTGAAAGTGGACTCGTCTCTGCAGCCTTGTTGCTGGTTATGTGCTCGTTGGAGAGAGATGAGCTGGCTGAACCTCAACCTAGTGAGGAGTGAGCATGGTGGGACGAGAGAGAGGGAAAGGGTTGAGGTGGTTGGAAATGAGCCCAAGGTCAGTGCACAGGGTTTTCACGGCCAGAGTCAAGGCTTTCTCTCTCAATCTGGGTCACACTCGTCCACGAAACCAAGAGCAAGGACGCTGCTAGCCTACATTCTCCCAGCGATGACCCACATTCTCCACACTCGAAGCGAGGGATGGGTGGGATGGGTGGTGGGATCAGCCATGGCCCCACGCAACAACTATAACCACCAGTTCCTTCCTCCTCAGTCTTTCCTCCCTGCCACCACAACTATTGGCATATTCCTCTTCGTCGTTGTCGACAAATAAACTCTTCCACCAAAGGAGTTAACTGATAGCAATGCTTCCTTCAACCCGAATCAGACCACATTATCAACTCTGTTCTATGTATGAATTGTGCGAATGCCACCACCTAAATGTATACGCAAATTCAAAGAGCGATACAATTTTCTCGGGTGGCAGTAGGATTCAATGACTAATAGCATACAGACTTTCATATTTTATCGTCATCATGACACTGCCACTTGTACATACATAATACGAGTCAGTGACACACTAGACACAAATTAGAGTTGCATTCTAATTTCTAATTGTGTGTGAGCCTAACTTTCCTCCTGTTGATCTCTTCTTCCTCATGCTCATACATTTATTTGTACACACGTGGTGACCTTCGCTTCCCAATTTAGCTCGTCTCGTCGTCCCCGTCACAATAATCAATAAATTTGGTTCTTCTGACAATCTGACCCTCACCCAACTCATGCTTGTCCTACCTTACCTCCACTGCTCCTCTCGACTCACTCTGTATTAATGATCTCAGACCTACCTGACCTACTGACTATGCTGATGCCATTGGTGAGCATGAAAGTAAAACTTGGACTCACCCGTTTGTATCGCATCATTTCCAAAGACTCCCACGCCTCGACTCTTGGAGAACTTGCCGTCCTCGTAGTTGAGATACTCGGTTGCCATGATGTGGCGAACGAGGGTCCAGGGATCCTTCGTTCCGCGTAGAGAAGCTGGGAACAGGATGGAATGGAATGGAACGTTGTCCTTGGCCATGAATTGATAGTACTCAATGTCAATCTCGGGGTCCGGGTTCATCCACCATGCCTTCCAATAGTCCTTCGTATAACACTTGGTCATGCTGATGTAGCCGATTGGCGCATCAAACCACACGTAAAACACCTGCATTCATTCAGATAGCGACTCTATAAATTATCAATTGTGTAAATTTTGTTTAGGAGATGTATACGACATCCATATGCATCATACCTTATCTTTATACTTTTCAATCGGAACAGGTGTTCCCCATTTCAAGTCTCGAGTGATGCAACGTTCCTTGAGACCTTCACGTATCCAGCTCTTGGCTATATGCCTTGCATTCGAAGTCCATTCCTCACTAGAACGGTTCAACCATTCTTCAAGACCAACTTTCTCTTCTAATTTCGGCAAATCTAAGAATACCTAAAATTCGTAAATTGATACATGTACAAAGAAATCAACTGTAATAATTATTGTTTCAATTAATAAGATTTTTAATTACTTGATCACTATTTTTTGTGGTGACATCTTTCGACCCACAAACTTTGCACCGAGGATTCTTCAGCTCAATAGAATTTGTGAGTCTCCCACACTTGTCGCATTGATCGCCACGAGCATCCTCATAGGCACAAGCGGGACAAGTTCCTTCGACGAAACGGTCAGATAAGAATCGCTTGCATGGATTGCAGAAAAGTTGTTGGACAACCATTTCCTTCAGAAATCCATTGTTCCATAATTTCAGAAAGATTTCTTGTCCAACTCTAAATCAAGAACAGCCCAGGGAACATTGAATATTCAGAATATTCACCAACGACAAATTATAAATTGTAAGACCAATTACTCAGTTTGTTCCTTGGTCGTCGTCCTTCCAAAGTAGTCAAAGGAGATGTCAAACCAGTCATAGATTTCTTTGTGTAATTTGTGATACTTGTCACAAATTTGCTGCGGTGTTAAATTTTCTTCTAAGGCTTTGGTCTCAGTTGCAGTTCCATACTCGTCAGTTCCACATATATAAAGCGTGTTACGACCACGGATTCGACAATATCTGCCCATTATCATCCATAAAAATTATATAGTAATAAATAATTCTCAAAAATCAAAAGCAAGAAAATATTAATTAATTACAATAATACCTAGCGAAAACATCAGCGGACAATACGCATCCTATTATTGTTCCCAAGTGGGGAACATTGTTAACATAAGGAAGAGCAGATGTAATGAAATAATTTTTCTGTCCAGCCAGTGGCAAGCTGTGTGAGATATTTTTATATTAATATGTTAATTGCTTTCATCTACACCACAAACAATGATTCCTACATACATTCGACCGGCTCGCTTCGACTTGACAGCGCTAGTTGGGGTGGGTCTAACCCAAGATTCTCGAGCCAGTTGAATTTCCTCTGACGATACAGCTGTCGAGGTAGCATCACCACCCGGGAGATCGTCCAGTTTCTACGATATTTTTCGTCAAAATTAATCAAACATTGAAAAATATGCATCAACAATTACATTTCATTTTAACGAACCAATTTTTCCATCTTAATCTTTTCGCCATACAAGGAAATGGACGCAGTAGGATTACAAACTAGAATTTGTTTTGCAGCTTCTCTTCCGGAAACTGGTTGGAGAAGATTTACTGCTGCCTACAGAAAATTTTAACAAATGCGTCAATTAAACCAACAAATTTTATGGGGCCTAAATAATAACATTACCTTAGTCAAATCTGCTGACTCTACGAGAATGTACCACTTCAGTAACAAAGGACACTTTTTGGTAATTTTATCATTTGCCGAGAATAATGGATAAAGAGTTGCCCACACAATAGCATCTTCAATATCTGGCTTAACCTGGAATATATAATTTAAAAATTATAGCACGAAGATTATTAGCAGCCAATCATCTAATATCATAATTTTAGTTGTGAATTGCATATATCTACATACATTTCCAGAAAAGAAGCTTTCCCCTTTCAATCTTCGTTCCAGCTCGACCAATACATTTAGCAATTCTTTCCCCACGCCAAAATCAGTGTCTGCCTTTTCCAACAAGTAGGAAAGAACAAGAGGCTGTCAAAAAGCAATATTATATTAGCATAATCTTTGATATGAAGGTAAAGTAACGCGAGTCACTTACAAAGAGTGAATGTGCTTCAAAATTGAGAAGATTTAAAAGGTTTGCACTGGGATGAGGAATGCCTGCCAACTCGAGTAAGTAGGTCACCATCACATTTGTGTCAAACAGTTTTGTCTTTTCATTCGCCACAAGAACGGGAAGACGTGGACGTTGCTTTCCATCAGGTGAAACTAAAATATAATAATCACCACCATCAGGCTTATAAATATAAACAATTAACAGAAGCATAATTTTAATATCCCATGGACTCACTCACCACTCACACTTTCCAAAGCGACCTTAAATCCATACAAAGATGCAGCGATAAGAGGTTTCAGCGACGCCGGGTTTCCCGTGTTCGTGATGATTTTAATGGTCTGGTTTTGATGGTCCATGGCAGAATTTTGAAATCCTAGGCTGTGAATGAAGGAATAATATGCTATTCGTCGTTAAATATTATGTATTTCTTTAAAATGATGCAAAATTTAGAGGTATTTCACACACCCTTTTCGCGAATTTCAAAAACGTTGTGTGATGTATGCAAGCTGTTGAAGTATAAAATGTGGCCCAATGCAAATTGAATATTTGAGATTGCCCCAGTGATGGGGCAACACAATTATGGGTCTCATGTATTTCGTTGTCTCATCTTTTCTCATTTTTGCTATTTGGCATTCGAGTCGATTAAATCGCCAGAAATGGATGGAGCCAGTAGATTTATTTCGTAAGAATTTAGCGTCCGAATCAGCCAAATTTTTCCAGGTCGAAATTTGCATAAGGCTGGTGCGGCGTTGATGGCGATGATGAGGAGACGAAGGTATTTATAAAAGGAAAAGTCATCATCTTTTGTCATCCGAGAGACGGATTTCCAAATGTCAGCATTACTGCTAAAACCTCATCCCAATCTCATTAGGCTCGTCGTGATGGCCTCGTCTCATCCTCAGAATTTCCGACCGGCTACATTTTATAGTAGGTTAGTAATATTTGTGGTAAATAAATGTAGGTTATCTTATCTATTGCATTATTAGAGCACCAGGGATGGAAGGAAAATGGGGTTTGGCTGGATGAAAATTCTACTGCTTCTGCTGATGACATTTAGTATATTGTTTGCTAAAATAACAGCACAGCACATATTTTGCATGCTTTTCTTATAGGAATCCTTGCATTGCCCCGTTGTTACTTTACTGCAACATACATATTACATACTCGTCGTGAATTCGGTGATATAAGGATGATCATATCAGCGTGATAATAATATAGGAGAGAGCATTATTCCCTTTTTCCCCATCATCGTACAAATTCTGTCTGCCTGTGATGGTGCTGAATACTGCTGAACACGATCCATCCATAAAATAGTAGCCGACTAGCCACAGTAGATTATTGGTAAATTGGGTAAAATAGGTTTATAAAAGGTCGCTCATCATCATGCTCCTCTACTCGTCATTATCATTTTATTATCCACCAAACCCAATTTACTAAAACACATAATAATACTGCAAAAAAGCTCTCTGAAGGTGGAAGGGTTGGTCTTCTTCTTGCCGATTACACATACTATTCTGCCAACATTTTTTATGCTTAAATAAACACATTACAATTCACAAAAACATTGAGGTCCACAATGAATTGCAAATTGACTAAAAGTGTGTGCGAATGAGCAGTGAAGTGGAATAAAAAGTGCACGTATTCTCGTTCTTAAGAACATGGAGTTGGACAAAACGTTATCAACAAGTTCGATAAGAAGATTTCCTGCTGGAAGAGGATACGCGTGGTGGCGGTGAAGGCGTTGGTTCAGTGAGCAGCAAGGGGTCATTGCGGCCTAAAGTGAGTGAGGTTATTTGGTCGACGACACGGGCCTCTCTCTCGCTATCATCCCTTGCCAAAGATGCAAATCAATATTAAATACTTGCCAATTAAAGCACATTACTTTTTCTACTGGGGAGGTAACGTCTTTTTTTGCGTATACCCCGTTTTGTACATCTTAATAACTCAAAAATAATGATAATGTGAATATTAGGTGTGGCATCGATATGGAGCTTCATTGCTGTTTTTGGGAAGCAGATGGGAATTTCAGAGGTGGGGGTGGGTCTGATATTCACGGTAGCCCCCGTCGCAGGTAAAATTAGCAACCATTACGTTAGTAGTATAGTTTGATTAAATTCCTGACTAATCAATCTCAGGTCTCATCGCAAAGCCCGTGTTTGGTGCCGTGGCAGATCGTTTCAAAAAGAAAAAGATGATTTTCCTTTTTTTCCTCCTTCTGAATCTCATGGCTTTTCTTAGTGTGGCCTTCCTTCCTCAAGTAAGTTGGTTATTCCTTAATTCTTTATTCTTTGATTTTTAATTTGATTTAAATTTATTTAGAACCTTCCCGTGCACCCCGTCCAACTTGACTGTGCAATGGGAATGAGTTCCATTCGACAATGTGGGAGGTAAGTTAACCCTTTAAGGAGTAAGATTAACTACAAGAAAATTCATTAATTCGGGGACGTTATGAATATGTTGTGGTCGTGGTGTGGTGTGATTGACAGTGTTCTTCTCCTTAGGTTGAACCCCCATTGTGCAGAATCCGTCATTAAGTCTTTCAAAAAAGAATGTGTGAGTACATATTAGATCAACCGACAGTAGTATTTTTACGGCCGTGTTTGCTAAAAATAAAACATTATTACAGGTCGACGAGCGACGAAGGAAAGAACGTCTCAATACGACTTCTGCTGGGACGGATAGCCACATCAGATCTGCCAGATCTTCCCTGGATAGTAGTGACCAGTGTGTCGAGTCTTGTCGAGGTTACTGTGAAATTCATGGAATTGAAGATGGAATTCGGTTTTGTCATTCACTGTTTCCCCACAATCAGCCGGAAATATGCCGAATAATGAGTTCTCCTCCCCAGATTCAAAACAATTCCATGTTGATAAGGGCACGTGACACTGGGGAACATTATGACAAGGAAGACGACGACGATGAAGAGTCGGAGATTGATGGGAGTCGAACTGAGCGCAGCATTCCACGTCCCTCAGGACCTCACATTATTGATTTTGATGTTAAACTCAAAATCGATGAAGTACTGATGATAGATGATCCTTGGGGTGGAAGGGAGGAGTCTCCAGCCGCACCGGGAAAGTGTTTGTATATACCCATCAAGGAAGTTTCATTCTACAAGGATTCCGACCCTCTAGTGTTTCGTGGTCTTTCATGTCACAAACAGTTTCTCCTCCAAAATTGCTACATTGACTGTCCAAACAATACCGCTCTCAACCGACAGCTCGAGTCTATCCAAGAGGAGGAGGAACTACTCGACGCTATGAATTTCTGGATGTACGGGTCTCTCGTGGTCATTGCATGGATTGCCATGTCTGTCGTTGAGTCACTGGCGGATGCCATGTGCTTTCAAACTTTGGGTGAGTAGTGGTGTTAATTATGCACATGGATACTTGTATTTAATTGTGCTCATTTGTTATTGGGGGACAGCTGACGAAAGTGGCAAGTATGGCCGACAACGCCTTTGGGGGACCATTGGCTGGGGGTTAGTCATTGCGTGCTCTAAAGAATAAATAAACGATGAGGCATGCGTAAAAAATTTTACGATTATAAATCTGGTTTGTTTTGTATAGGATATTCCAACTCGTGGCTGGATACTTAATCGACACATCTAGTCAGGGGAAGTTGTTGAAAGACTACGTATGTTTTATATATTTTTTTTTACAAAAAATGCAGTTTTGAGAAATGAATCGAGAGCTGATGTTTGTTTTGTTTATAAATTTATTAAAGACCCCGTCATTCTATATAACTGCGGGATTGCTCACTATCGACCTCATCGTAAGAATGAATAATTTGGATCATTCTAAAAATTATATCTTAACAATTAATTTACTATTTTATTTTACATTTGTTTAAGGTTGCGTACAAGTGGAGCGTAAGTATTTTAAGTTTGAATTGTTGCAGTTCATTTCTTGATCGGACCGAGTGTTAACTCATAATTGTTCTCTGTTGTTCATTTAGGTACGAGAGGTTGAGAAAACTAAGTCATTACGTCGTGATCTGTGTTCAGTTTTAAGCAACTTGAGAATCGTTGTCTTTATTGTTGCCTGCGTCATCATTGGGATGTGCACAGGTACGAAATAGTACGAATTCTCATAGTTGATTTATAACTACATTTTAAATTACAATAACATACTATACTCACAGGACTCTTGTGGAACTTTCTCTTCTGGTAAATTGTCAATAAATAATTTTTGATAATGATAACTCTTAAATTGACTATAAATATACACAACTCATGTTCCTTTACATATGGCTTCAGGTATGTTGAACTATTGTCAGAAAAACAACAGCTGCAAGCTTCGTGTGAGTCCCATCATAGGATCAAACTACTACAAGGTCTCATAGGTGCGATTCAGTGCCTCGGAGAGTTGCCATTCTTCTTCATTTCTGGTAAATTTGCGATTTAGCGTATGAAATGTTAATCATCTTTTTGGAAGTAGAAATAATTTGTGTAGCTGAGCACTTATAAATACTCTTTGAATTGAAGGTTGGGTAATTCAAAAGCTGGGTCATGTCCACTGTATTACTCTCGTTTTGGGAGCATTTGGGATCCGGTTCATAATTTACAGTTTTCTCGTGAATCCCTGGACAATCTTGCCAGTGGAACTTTTGCAAGGTCTCACGTACGGCGTATTTTATTCAACAATGGTCTCTTATGCACACAAAATAAGTCCAGTTGGGACGTCTGCAACTGTGATTGGTGTAATTCAGGCTGCATTCTTGGGAATTGGTAGGCATTCATCCATAATAAATTAGCTCATCTTAATTGAATCATTATTATACAGACAATCGCTTTTATGTTTTTTGAAAAATAATTTAATATCTTATTGTGGTTGTCTGTATAGGAGTGGCATCAGGAAGTCTTGTCGGTGGGCTAATCTTTCACAAATACAGCGGAGGAACGGCTTTCCGGGTTTTTGGCGTCGGCTGTCTCATATTCTGTGCCATTCACGCAACGTATGTTTTCTATTCTATTAAATTTGAACTTTTAAGAATACTAATAGAAACCACCCGACTGCATAGGATCATGTGCATCCTCAATAAAAAGTCAAACTACGGATTCCCCTCAGGTAATCAGACTGCTCTCACATTGTCTGTGTTCACTTCAGTATTGGTTGTGTAGGTGTTTTGTTTACCATGGTAGATCGCACCGAGCCCGAAGGTCAGGAAATGTTCAAAATTTCCAGCTCCACGCAAGACGTGGCAGACAGCGACGAGGGGCCCTGACGTAAAAGAGAAACTGCGGTTTAAAACAACTTGACAAGTCATGCAGGACACAACCGCAGTTCACATCACAGATTTACATCGACAGTCCTCAGCATTTATTTGTGGCATCCCTCACTCATCCAATCGAATCTGACTTAATGAGCAAGCCCTGCGAAGAAAACCAGCCAACTTGAACTCAAACAAGCAATCTGTCACACAGAGACTATTACTAACATGTAATTATGTTTGAGTGCATTACTGTTATTATTGTTATTATGATTATGATTATTATTATTATTATGAACACACATAATTAGTAGGAAGAGCGCATTATATTGACATATCTACTGCTTATTATTATGATGATATACTATATGACGAGCCATTGTAGCAGCAGCAACGCATAATATTTGTATCTGTTTAGCTTTTTGAATGCTTTAAGAAACGCATGTTGCTTGCAAATAGTAATCAATCGTGCCGTACTACAAAACAAACTATTGAAAAGAGTGCTGTTTACTAATTTGTTAGGAAGCAGTATTTTTTTAGCACGCAGGCATGTGGTTGATGTGAATGAAGAACAATTTCTTCTGACGCCTCATTTATTTGATTAGCTACTTTTTTACCTTTCTGTGATAACTTTTGTCATATGTAACTTGAATCGAGAGCTGCTTTATTATTTGTTAAATATTACATAGATAGATATTCGTCGTCGCGATGTAGATTTATGTACGTGTCATCTAGTTATAGATAAACTTCGTTGTTTTACATTTTATATGAGATGAAAATCAAGTAAAATACAATAATGATGATGTCAATTAATAAAAATCTACACAGCTTTGTGATAAAATTATAATAAAAATAAAACAGTTTCGTAAACGGGTTTTTCAAATAGTGTCGCCTCTTCTCCATTTTTTCCATATCATTTGTTCTGATGTGTATTTGTAAAAAAGTACTTTGTATTAGTAATAACAGCAAGACAGCATTTTGCACTACTTTTCATGCATGGTGTGAGTACAAAGGCATCTCCGATAGAACCCGGGTTTTGCTACATGCGTAGTGCGTGGGGTTTGTCAAAAGGTATCGATCCTACTTGCCATCGCATAACAGATCCGGAAACTATCCCGATCATTTTCATTCGGAAGAAAAAATCTGTGAATATTCTTTCACCAAATCTGACAAAGGTATACAAACCAGAATATTTCTCACTGGTTTTAACTGTTTTTCTAATTTGGTCATGCACTCCCTCTGGGCTCTCGCCATCCTCCTCTTGGCAAAGGTGACGTCGGCGGGATCACCGTCGCAAAAGTCGGCACCGTCGTCACTTGGGAAGTCGCGATCACTGGGACCCTGTCAGTCCTGCCGTCTTTTGATTTCATCCTTTGAAAATGTTGGTCAAATTTTTTAAAAAAATCGAGTAGAAGTAGAAATGGTTTTTATGCTCCATTTTACTTGAACTTAAACAATTGGTTTATTTCCCAGGGTCTGGAACGCACTGCCACTTTGCCCATAACCTCAGTTCCGATAGGTGCTGACATTATCTCCCCATTATCCTCGTCAGAGCCCAATGCTAGCGGTAGCAACCAACCATCGCCCGTAAAGGAGCACATTTCCGATGACACGAGATTTGAGGAGATTATGAAATTGCTGTGCTCCGATGTCAAAGGAGGGAAGGAACAGGTACATAAATGCTTATCTAGAAATACTGTATAATACTTGCCAATTAACTCTGGCTCTCATCGTGTCCAGTGTGCAGAATTGGTGGTAGCACACTCCAACTTGTTACAAGAATGGATGCAGCTGGAAACGCCTTGGCGTCCAGACCTCTACACTTGGTTTTGCATCGACAAACTTCACCTTTGCTGCCCAACCAATCACTTTGGCCCACATTGCACTCCCTGTGCTGGTTATCCCAATGACATTTGCTCAGGACATGGAAAATGCAAGGGGAACGGTACGCGGAAGGGTAACGGGGTAAAATTTATAAAACAAATCACAAAGCTAGAATTTGTTCGGTTATAATTATAAAATTCTCCTACATTTTTAACTATTTTTAACTACAGGCCTGTTTGTGTGACCGTGGGTATGTGGGATCCGTTTGTAACTCTTGTGCAAAATTGCACTATGAAGCGTACCGGGACAAAACGAAGCTAATCTGCTCGCCATGTCATAAATCTTGTGCGGGAGGGTGCTCTGGAGCTGGGACGAAACGTATAAATAAGCAGTCATTTTGCTTTTTGGTAAGGTTGAAGCACAGCAAATTGATAAACCACGATATGTTCTTTTACAGATTGCGATGCATGCAATGAGGGTTGGGAGACGGACGACGAGAGAGGATGTCTGGACAGTAAGGAAATTTATAGTTTTATAAATTTATATTTTTAGTAAAACAAGTATTGAATGAAAATTAATTTTCTTTATTTAAGATAATTAATTAAAATTAAGATACAATACTTTTTGTGCAGTCAATGAGTGTCTGATGTTGGAAAAATCCTGTGGGAAGAACGATTTTTGTGTGAATACGGAAGGATCCTACTCATGTTTCGGTAAGTTAAAATTAAATGAGACACGCTGAGCAGGGATTAGATTGGATTGTCAATTTGGGTAATTTTTTAATAGACTGTGATCGGTCTTGCGACGGATGTTACGGAGATGGTATGTAATCGTTATAATTTAACATAGCACTGATACATATTTGTAATAATGGAGCTGCATTGTGATTTCTTAGGGCCCGATATGTGCGATAAATGTGCAACAGGCTACACACTAATTGACAAGCTTTGCATCGGTATGTAGCTAACAAGATGTTAAACATTTATGAAATTTATGAAATATAATTGATGCGTAAATAATGTCTATTTCAGACAATTCTGCCCGGTTTCGTGACACGAAAGTGGACATTGCCAGATATCTGACATATTTCGGATTATGTGTATCGACTTGCATAATTTTTCAGAAAAATATGACGATTGCTAGCATAATTGGCATAGCTGTGGGGATGTACATTGCACTCTCAGAGTATTTGCTGAGTGAAGAATCCTAACCCCAAAACTAGTCTACACTAAATTTAAATTACTTGTTGTTCATGAATTTATTCCAATAATGTCACGTTTTCAATACTTTTGTACACCATGTAGCAATTACTTATGTGTTAGATATGTGAGGGGACATGATTCCTTTTGGGGCCTGGTGGTTGTGTTTCGCGATCGGATAACTCAAATTCAGTTGGAGCCCGAATAATTGTAAAAACGCCATCCGAAGAAAAAATGTTTGCAAAATATACTTATCATTTCATGGGGACGATGAAAGATGAGTAACGAAAAATCACTACAATAAAATCGTAAGTAATGTAAGTAAATGGCAGACCATACGTATGTATGTACATATGCAAACCACAAACTGTGAAGATTGCACGTGCAATATCATGTTTAACTAGATTTGTAGATACAAGTATAAGCAAAAAAAAATACTTGAGATCTTTTAGCGATGTCTAGTTATATATTTCAAAATTTTGATTAAACAATTCAGTTCACTACTTTTTTGGCGGAACAAAATATTTTCCCTTCAAAAACGGTATTTTCACGACTTCAACAGCCACCAGCTTGTTTCTCACTTTGACATTGACCTTGGTCCCAGGTTTGAAGTAGTCCCCCGTCACATAACCCATAGCAATATTTAGTGGAGCCATGCTTGGCCCGGGACACCCGCTCGTCACCTCCCCAATCTTCTCCCCAGCCAACGATTGAATCTCCATGTGAGAGCGAGGAGGAGGTCCATCAGGCGTCCTTAGCCCCACTCGTCGACGACCCACCTTGCTCCCATCTTTTACCTGCTCCATGATAATGGACGCCCCAGGAAAGTCCTGTCTCGCTCGTCGTTGCTTCCCTGTGACGATGTCATAATATTCACACTATCACCCTTTCTAAAGTAGCATGGGCTATTTAAGAAATCAGATTTAGTTTAATCTATATACCGATGAGCCAGGTCAGAGCTGCCTCCACGGGCGTCGTGCTTTCATCCATGTCATTTCCATACAAACAAAGGCCTGCTTCCAGTCTGAGCGAGTCCCTGGCTCCCAATCCTGCCAGTTGAACGTTGCCTACCTTTGACGCCAAGAGGGCATTGACAACATGAACTATTTTTTCGGAGGGGACTGAAATTTCGACGCCATCTTCGCCTGTGTAGCCACATCGCGTGATCCTGCATCCAGCCACCCCGGCAACTTCTCCTATGCTGGTGTTCATAAAGTATAACTTGGAGAGGTCGATGCTGACGAGGGGTTGGAGTGCTTTTGCGGCAGAGGGTCCCTGTACGGCAATCAGCGAGAGGTCATCCCTCAACACGAGCTTGACGTCCTTCCCTCGCCCTTGAAACTCTTTCTCCGCCGCCTGCATGAGGGGAATGTCCTTGTCTCGACAGCCAGCGTTAGAGACGACGTACAAATGACCCTACGAAAAAAGTCTTACAATGTCGTATGACCATCTATTTTTTCATTTTAGAAAGTGAGGTGATATGCATGCGTACCTCTTTCGCATTGCTCACTATGAGATCATCAATGATCCCTCCATTCTCTTTTTTGGTGAAGAGGGTGAGTGAACCCTGACCTGCGGGGAGAGTCCCAATGTCCCCAGTGACCAAACTCTCCATGAACTCGATCCTGTCCTTCCCATGCACTTCGGATTGCAACATGTGTGAAACCTAAGTCATGACATTATTCAATTGAACTTAAATAGTTAAAAATACTACATAGTGACCACTTGCATCGAAAATGGAGGAGTGGAGCCTGGTGTGGAGATGGGACTGGGTGATGGAGAGAGGTGTGTAATGTACGGGCATCAGATACCCCGCAAAGGGGACCATTTTACCCTGTTGCGCAACATGAAAGTCGTACAACGCCGTCTTTTTGGGGGGCTGAGAAGAACTGGAGCACTGACGACGTAGAGAACATATCGATCTTTTCACGGTTTCGTGAATAGGTGACCCCACCCACAGACACGGCTTTATTTTCAACATTTCACACAATTTCTATAAAAATGTCAAGAAATGTAGACGTTGTAAATAATCTATGTAGGTATTGGAAATTGTATACGTGAGATGAGAAGGAGGTTCTCTCTCTAATCTAATCCAACATCAGCATCGTTAATTCGTTCGTAGTCAAACAACTTGTTGTAACTACACTGCCATCCATTATAGGAAAGTATGGTAAACTGGAGGAGAGAGAGTTGAGATCATTTATTAGTCTTAGGAAAATAAGATAAGTGAGTTTGGTTGGTTATGCATTATTGATGGCTAATCCAACCTTTGATCTCATCAACTCTGAAATCATCGATATGCTCAATTTAAACATTATTCCATAAAATAACATTACCATCTTTACCATTCATGATCATATGACCAAGCGGTAAAAATAATATTTCACAACACACAATGTAACAAGTAGTTACAATTTTTTATTCAGATTCAACACAATTTACAGGATTTTGGACAATATTTTCCCATGAATTTTGGGTTTTTACTGCATTCGTCTCTGGAGGCCCAATACATGCAATATTTTTCCTTGTCATCACATTCCATGTTGGGATGTGGTTCGGGAGCACCGACTGCATATGCATGAGAAGAAAATTGCTCATCAGAATTATTATTTAATATTAACACTTTTGACGTGGATATGTACCAGAGCCACCAGCACCACCATTGGTTTTACAGGTACGGCAGGATTTGGAGCAGTAGGACTTCATATATTCCGAACTTCTGGTACAGTCGCCACGTTTCGCCCAAACGCCACAATATTGGTTGAGGTCCTCACAAGGCTTGTCTGGAGGTTATTATTTGCACATTATTATTGTTACATGCAGATAATTGTACAACTATTACCGCATTGTTTGCAAGATTTTTTGCAGTTGACCAGCATCCAGGCACTGTTGTTGACACATTCTCCTTTCGAGGCGGCCCAGTATGCACAGTGCTTGTGATTGTCTTCGCAAGCTGGTTTCATCAATTTCATTAGCAATTATAATTTATTGCAGTTTATTGATCGTACCTGTTATTGGCTTGGGAGTTGGAGGTGGGGTGCTCGTAGGCTTGACATTGTCGCACTGATACAATCGGTTGATCTTCAATATGTCAATCTGGAGGCAAATTGAGACAAGTGTTTATCTTATTCAATGTAAGCTTATTGTTTTATGTATCTTATTCAATACAATTGTATCTTAATAATCTGTACCTTGGAAAAGTTGTCGCGTTGTCCGATTTTCTTGTTTGGGTCCTTGGGAAGAATGGTGGCACTTCGCCTGTCCTTGGAGAACGCGTATGAGCCGTAGTGCATCACGCTGGACAAGTCGTAGGGTGCACTCAGGTTTTGAATGTAGTTCCACGTGTACTTTCGAAAGTTGAATTCCATTCCTAGAAATTCAGATAGAATAACTAATTATGTATCGCAATAAGTGTAATAGGTTATAGTGAAAAATTAGCAATTGGAGGGTTACCTGATTGGATATTTTGGAAGTAAACGTTGACATGATCATCCCGATCAAAGCGACTTTGTTCGTGCCAAAACCCAACGGCGTGCATGAGCTCATGGATTGCAATTCCGGTGTAGACGCAGCCTTGGCCGAGTGTCACGGGCTGAGCACCTCCAGCTCGACCTACCAAACTCGAGCAGCCGTTGCCCTTTGTGATGTGGATGTAATCTGTTTCACTCGTTCGGGGCTTGAATTTGATGCAAGTGTTAGCATGGTACTCGGAAATGGCTTTAGCAATCACGCTCCTCTCCACAGCATCTGTAAGAAATAGTTTTACGGTGTTAAAATTGGCAATATATAATTCCCCAGTAACGTTTTTGGTGTACTAAATTGCGAAGAAATAAAGTAAGGGACGACTCCTGCAGGCCATTTTTGCTTCTCGTAAATAATTCCATTTCTGTTTCCGTAATCCTCAGAAGATTCGTTTCCCAGATTCCTCATCGTAGTGCTGAGAATGATGTCGCCCTCGAACAGTCCAGCAAGCTCGATGGGGTCCGAGTTAAACTGATCGTTGGGAGGAGAGCTTTGCCCTACGCAATAAACCAGTCACTTTGTACTATAAATATTACCTTTAGGGCTGATTGGCTTACCAACACTTTCCGCATTTTGATAGTCGATGGGAGTCAAAGGTTCACCTGGAACGTGGGCTTGCTCGTCAAACAAGGCAGACTCACTTGTGTCCAAGGGATCGCTGTGGCACTGAGCCCAGTGGGCGAGGCCAACGATGTAGAGAACTTGCCAGAAACGCCAAATGTCCATGTTTGAGATGTACCAAAGCTCTGGATCAGGTCGGGTCGTGGTGGGGAAATGGTGCGAAGAAGTGTGACTCCAAGACTTTCCTGGGCGAGTTTATATATGTTGAGATGACTCAATTCATAAAGTGGAGCTTTATTCATCAATTGTCTTTACGGTGACGTTGTTGAGCGAAATCCAATGAAATTATAACGATTATGATGTAAGGTGTCATTGTTATCACTATTATTGAGTCAACGAAATTTGGGACTCAAATCTTTGCTTATCCAATTTGAGCATTCACTAGAAGATGATATCTTTTGTTTCCAACAAGTTTGTGGCCTAGACCTTCATCAAACATTTCATAATAGTGAAAATATAATAACTTCAATGCACATCACAGCGTTTACTCATCGCATCCCAGAACTGAATCTGCTTATTGAGTGTGACCTTGATCTTGATTTTATTATGCTCTTCACCAATTAACCAACTATTGCGAATACCAAGTAAATCTTGTTTCCCAAATAATGAAACAAACAATGAAATTAATTATAGAAAGAAAACTTCCACAAGGTGGGCGGAACTGTGGAACTTTTCTGAAGGATAATGCTGGATTTATGTATTTATGTGTTATATGAATTGCGAATCAATCAGTTTGTCAAACAATAATATAATTCACTAATTTATTACAAAGACTATTAATTATCCATTAAATATAAAAATTCCAGAAGGGTCGTCAATGTCAAGTACAGTTTGTTGTTTCAACACCCTTTGGGGACAAAGAGTAATTTTGTTAATACACCAAAGTACTCCAAAGTTTAATATAATTTTAGATAGTTCAACTTACTCTTTACATGCGGCGTTAAATCCGTAGCTTCCACAAATTATGGCTTTAGATTCACCATCTTTGGTGGACGCGGAGGGTATACAGTCTTGTATACACTGTTCAAATAATTTGATTGAAACTCGCCCAGTCCACTCTTCCGACGACAGCTCGACAGGTTTGGATATCACAGGATAAAAATGAAACCAAGACGATGGTGATTCATTTTCTTTGGCGAGGTCTTGCCATTCCTTAGCCCATATCACATCTTCAAAAGTCTCGTTAAAAAATAGTAGCACCACGTGTTTAATAGGGATCGACGCTCGTCTATGGTACAAATACTGAATAATTCGGACGAATGGGGTGATCCCTGATCCACCAGCTAGCAAACATAGCGTGTTACTGATATTATGTAGAAAAAATGTGTCAAAATTTCCACGAGGAAATCCAATTTCCACATCTATCTCTGACTCCTTTTCTATCTCTTGCTCTTTGGTTTTTGACAATAAATTTTCCAACAATGAAGTGAACTGCCCATCTGGATAAATTTTGATAATGAAATGCAACTCTTGCGTGTTTGTTTGTAAAGCTGATTCCTCTACTTCAACGTTTGGTTGAGTGATTGTCAAACTTACTGGCGTGAAAGGCCGTGTCACATTTTCTGGTAATTAAAAGAAAGCAACATTTAAATTTAAATAAATGTCGTCTCTACCCAAGGAATATCAGGAGTTATTACGTGTTAGTCGAATTTGAACGTGAAATCCAATCGGAACACCAATCGCAGCGGTATGAGTGACAGCAGTGAACATGTATGAATTCCGTGTCAACTTCTGTCGCTTGACCAGTTTTGCTGGGTACATGTCTTCAATGGAGGCTCGAGAGTCTACTAGTTGATGATGGTCCGATAGAGGTACGCCGAGTTTGAGCCATCGTTCTAAAAGTTTATTAATGGCTTGCGTTACAATAGTGGTAATATATTTGTGCGTATGTATAGTTCGTCAACAGCTTGTTACCTTGTTGTTGAGGTTTCTTTAATGTTATAAGTGCCCGTTTAAAATTATTTTCGTAGTTAATATTAATGTTGTCGTCGGTTAAAGCTTTGAGGAGGCGCAAATGTGTCATCCACACTTTTGGAGGTTTCACCATGACTTTGAGTATTAATCGTTCACGGTTCAATAGGCCAACTGTCCAGGATTCTTGTCGCACGTCGTTCCCATCCATGTGAGAGTCAATCTATCAGAAAAAATAATTATTTAATAATTATAATTGTAATAATATCCGATAATGATTCAAACGACTTTTGACTGCCTTTCACTTGCCTCAAGGAATACAAAATTGTCATCTTCTGAAAACTTTGTGGATGGAAGACAGGATAATGCAGTGCTTAGTGAACCTGGCTGTATTTTCCGTACAACTCGTAGCGTTGGCTCTTTCACCAAAAATCCGAGCAAATTTCCTCTTAAAATGCTTTCAAAGTTGACCCATCGATGAATCTATAAGGTGTACATTACCATTTAATTATTAATTATATCAATATTTATCATTCGTGATGATTCATGTAGTAATTTGAACTGACTTGATTGAAAAGGTTTGTGGCATCTTGACCTGCTCCTTTCATTAATTCTTCGACACCTCCGGGATGATAGTTTGTGTAGTCGGAAACGTCAAAAACTCTATCTGTAAGAAAATGGAACATATTTTTGTTAACACTGTAAATAATTATTCATTGTAGTATTGAAAACAATTCAATGTACCGTTGATTGCCATCCAAACATCGCCAAGAGTGTTGTGCGTTGCTAATTCGTCAAACCCGATTTTCCTTAATTTTGCAGAAGGTCCTTTGGCAGTCAATTCTTGTTGAATCTTCATCCATTCCACCATCGATTTTCCAGGATTCACCAGTAGTCGACTCTTCTTCACCGTATTTACTAAAGTATATAAAATTTACATGTTTATAAACTCTTCAAGATTACGTAGAATGCTTACTTAGTAAGTAATAAAACGCACAAGTGAGTAAACAATCTTACGTTTTGGAGGAGCCATCATTAGCGTCGAAGATGACAAATCTGCCCCCAAGAGTGATGACGATGAGGCCATGCTAGTTTTGGGTGGTTGGAATTCATATCGCCTAATTGGAAAAATTGTGGGTGTGATGCTCAGAGTGGGATTAATGGCTGGCGGAACAGTAGAGATCGTCGCCAAATTCCCAGTTTTCGGTCCATTGTCGTCTTGAGTCACGTTCACTATGACTATCGGCTGGTCATCAGAAGTCGCCATGACTGACTTTGACCGTATATCAAATCATAAGCCCTACTAAAGTTGGGTGTTGGGTGACCAAACCCTAAGCTTTAGTTTTAAGGTACTGAAATTGGACAAGGAGAAATTTGCAGTTACTAAACTCTACAGACACCAAATTGTATTAATGCGCAGATCACTTACCCCGTAGGAAAGTACATCAACAAACATAAAATAAGCACTCGAGCGAGGGTGAAAGTTGTTGTAGAATGAATTTACTTTCTCCAAATCATTAACGTGCTCCTTCTTCCCGGATTACAAATGTGCTGAGTTCTCGTTGGCTGCCTTGTCGTCGTGCATTGGGCAACGTTCCTTTTTCCTCATGCAAATTCGTGGCATTCTGACCAAATGTCTATTAATTACATGGTATGTACAACAAGATCCACCACAACAGCAGCACAGTATGCGTTTATTAATTATCGATATTGTTGTGGGTGTGTATTGGATTTTGAATATCTTGCATATATCAATTTCAGAGGCAAATAATAATGACGGCTGGAAAGGAGGCGCACAAAATAACTGGTATTCGCCTGAAGTTAATAACCCCTGGACCTCATCCGCCAATAATACCCCACTCGGTGAAAATAGACTTGCTAAAATTCAAGCAGCCTTTGGAGTTAATGCCTCACCTCATCCATCTCCTCCTCCTTCTATGCAAGGGCAGCAAAAATTTCGACCAATGATGAAGCAAAAGAAACAACATATGCGTATGCTCAGCTAAAATTACAATTGATAATTGCTTCTTTATTATTTATTTAAACTTGTGATAATTTAATTTTCAATCAGCCGCAGCCACGACGGATTATGGGTATTATAACGCACAACAACAAACCAGAGGAGCTACAAATGCCGCCGGCTACTGGTCATCAAATGATAATGGTTCAAAGGACAATTCTGGTCTTGATTTTACTCTGGAGTCTACCCAGCCTTATTCTGCCTATTTGTCAATGCTGCTTCTGTAGAATATTCTTCTGGTGATAACTCCATGTCTGACATGGGTACGTACGCACACTTGTATAATGAGGTCGAATATATAATACCATGTACCAACAAAAATATGCAGAGACTGCGAGACGGAAAACCTTGCCCGTCTGGATTAGGGAAGGATTGGAGAAAATGGAGCGTCAAAAAAAGAGGAAAGAAGAAGAGGCTCGACTAGCCGAAGAAAAAGAAGAACAAAGGAAACGTTTACTTGAACAGCAAGAAGCCAACGCAGCAGTTGAGGAATCTGCATCGGAACCAAACAACTCTAAATGGAACGAGTCTGAATCTCTGCCTAACGATGAAGATTCCGCTGCCGACGACGAAGGCGAAAACGACGACGACAACCACAATGAAGCCGGTTACCATAATAAGCGGAACAATAATGTCAAGAAGGAACAACCAACGTTGGCAAGTGTGCTGAAAAACTTACCTCCAGACGAGCGAGAAGATGCTATTGCAAGTTTTCACAATTTTCTTTTTACATATTCTATTTTACACATTATATTTCAACTTGATTCACTTCAAATGGCTCAACATAATAACAATACAGGTTGTTTTTATTTTGTTTTATGAAATCTTAGATGTACGCTATTCGCCGAGTTAGCACATCCGTATTGGTTACCGTGACCAATGCGATGATCCTTGATGCCGCGACAACTGCTTATAATCGAGCTAAAAGTCGTAAGAAAGGTAGAAAAATCACAGTATTAGTCAATCTTATTCAAAGAATAATGGTGGTGAGTTGGAGTTAGAACTTTAATTTAATGGGATAATTCAATGTTTGAGAAAACAGGCAAATTATAAGACTTGTAATACAACATGACTGTGATATTATCTGTTATATACTCACCGAGATCTCTATCTAGGCTATATTTTTATTAGAAAAGATATGCACAAAAAATATTTGAACTAAATTGAATAAGAAAAAAAACTTTTACATTCACATATTTCTTCTAAGTTTGTATAAGTGTCATTTTGTTCATGAATGAAGTGACTTCTTCCACCATTCAAATCCAGAAGACGAGTGCCCTCGCGTCAATTGCTGGGGGATTTGGTAAGATTTGTTTTCAATCAGCTTTCGCAAATGGGTTGAATTAGTACACAGCCCGTTTCCACCTTATATTTCTGCCAATAATAAGAAAACAACTTATATTACTGGCATTTCCTCCTTGTGCTTGTCAGTGTTTAGCCTTGACATATAAATCGGTCACTTGTTAATGATAAATACTGAAAATAATACTGGGCCTCGGTGGATATGGATCAGACTCGGAGGAATCTAACGCATCTAGCAAATCTAATAAAGGATCTGCTGATGAGGAGGAGGATGACAGAAATAGTGCCGACTCTGATGAGGAACTTTTGGTAATTAAAATTAACTAATATTTAAGTTATCATATTTTAAATAACTTTGCATTTTGTAGGCTCAAATTGAAAGGAAGAAAAGGAATTGGGAGTTACAAAAGTTGGAGTTGAACCATCACTCACGCTCAAGATCTTCGTCTGTTGTTGATACTGAGGAAAGTTCTGGCTGGTTTCAAAATTGAAATAAAACTTCTTTGTTCAACTCTATTGCTTGGATCGTGTGACCACGGCGTCATGACTCATGTTATGCATCGATATAGTGGTCATCCTCAGGTGCTACATATGAATCAATTGGTATCTACTTCATGTTAGTTGCTTATGCACTTTCACCTGGTTATCTCATCCTTCTCTTCTAGTCAAGAAAATATTTTAAACTTCCTATTGTCAGCTACCAAGCTTATGTCGTCATCATGTAAATTAATGTAAAAGATTGATAAGTGGTCAACAATTCGATAACTTTTAGTGCCTTAGGAAAATTGAATCTTCATCTTGACAAAGGGTGAAAGTAGGTATGCATATGCAAAAGTTTGCATAAAAAGTCCTAAGCATTCCTATCATAGATTCTCTTGTACACAATGCCTCGTAACACCATAGTTAAATTGGAGACTCGATCAAAACGGATGAAGAGGAGCGCTCTGACAGAGAAAATAATAACTATCACAGAACCCGAGACACAATTTGAGGCTGGATGAAAAGAAGGCCTGTGTCCTATATGTGGCGTGCAAGTTCGCTACTTTCTATAGGACACAGTCGCCACCACTCAGGAGGGGAGCTTGCGAGGTTGATAATAACAGATCCTGATGCCCTTTGGATATGTGGTAGGGTCCTATGAGTGTACTAAAACCCTGAAGTGGTTTGACTCCATAGCCACATTTGCGCCCGCCACACCCACTCAAAAATGCCCAAAAAACGCTTTCACTCCAGGTTTCACTCATTCAAATCCACGCCAAAAATCCAATTTTACTCGGATTTTGAAATTTCTTTCACCAATACACTCCCAGATAGTTGCTTTCTTCAATCCAATGTCAAACTCAATTTTGATGATGATTATTTCGCAGGCATAATTTGCGTTGTGGATTACTACAACAATGCTCATTCAGAATTTTAAATTTTAAAAATACTAATCATTTCAGGCACTGGCCTGAACTTATCCCCCTTACTCTATTAACAAAGAGCTCTCGTCGCTTCATCCTTATACATCCATGCTTGTACAGGACGGAAGTGTTCATAACCAGTAATAATTAATAATACACAAGACTTTCATGAATCATGAATCGATAAGGTTTGAGCAGGTATTGCATGGATGAATCATCATTTTTCTTTGTTTCTTATTTGAAAACAGATCGAACGCAAACAAATGTTGGTCAAATGGCTTGCAAAACTGAGGATGAGAACAACATGTCACTTTAATTGTCCTGCATACATATGTAGTTTTACATATAAACTCGCGAATAAGGAAGGCGGATGTTTTCTCCCGCTATGCGGTTTTTGTTGACGAATCGGGAGAGGGTGGAGTCGCCGAGACCACCCTTGGAAAATATATCAAGGAGTTGTTGCCCGACGTTGTCAGTCGTCGAACAACTGGAGCAGATGCCCATACATTTTATGAAGGCATGCGGTGGGTCGACTCACCACCATCTGGGGAGGCAGTTCCACACGATTGGGGGGAAGTCTTAAGTCGACTCAAAATGACCACACCCACACTGCGACGAGTTCCAAAAGGGGCGAGAATGGAAGTTGCTCGTGCCCTAACGAAGGTTTTGGAGGAGGTGACCACAACCAAAACCGAAGAATCATGGGGCAAACTATTTCTATTCCCTTACGTAAGCCTTCCCGTTCCCCAGAAGACCGACAAGGTCAAGAATTTGACGACGTGGGTCAAGTCAGGAGTTGCCCGGTGGTTGTTGGAGCAGGCAGCCCCACCGCCACGACTCCCACGACCTCCCGCCAAGCCCCCTCGAGAGATGGAAAATGTGACAAAGAAAGTGGAGGCGAAACTGGCGGATGGTGATATCCGGGGGGCAATTAGACTTGCCTGTTCCGACGACACGATAGCCCCAAGGAGCCAAGAGACAGTTGATGCGCTTTTCAGTGAGCATCCGCCACACCCGGAACCAACCGCATATCCCGAACCACTAAATAATTCGGAACCACCAACGGTTGACCCTATAGAAATCACCACCGCGATATCAAGCTTTCCGCCTGGGTCAGCGGGGGGCCTTGATTCCCTTCGCCCGCAAATTTTGAAAGACCTTGTCGCCACTGGGCAGGGGGAAGTGGGGGGAAAATTACTTGAGGCTATCGTAAATTTTATAAATGTTGTTCTCAGCGGGAATGTTCCAGTCCCTTTCTGTCCGATTTTCTACGGAGCTTCCCTCACCGCTCTAAAGAAGAAAACTGGCGGGATTCGGCCCGTTGCGGTTGGAAATGTATGGCGCCGCCTTTCCGCTAAAATCGCACTGAAAAGAATGTCCCTCGACCTTGTGGAGTACCTAGCACCCCATCAACTGGGGGTGGGGATAAGGGGGGGTGCCGAAGCGGCGGCACATGCGGCCCGCATCTATTGGGGACACGCCCATACGACATCTAAAGTCTTTTTGAAAGTCGACTTTAACAACGCCTTCAACGAGATTCGGCGGGATACAATTCTCTACATTATTCATGAAAGGTTCCCCTCAATGTTCAGTTTTTTATCGCAGGCTTATTCTTTTCCGTCTCAATTATACTATGGCGACACTCCCATCTCCTCCCGCCGCGGGGCCCAACAAGGGGACCCGTTAGGTCCCGCCCTTTTTGCGCTCGTCGTTCAACCCATCATCCTCGCCGTCGAAACGGAGCTAAACCTGTGGTATTTGGACGATGCCACTATAGCGGACACCCCAGAAAAAGTGTTAGTCGCGCTGGACACCATTATCCGCATGGGCGAGGAAGTTGGTCTTCGCCTGAACACCGCCAAGTGTGAAGTGGGTGTGCTAGGGGCGGACGAACATTCCCGCCTTGAAATTTTGGAGCGTTTTCGTCGGGCAGCACCGGGAATACAGGAGATTTCCCCCGAAGCCGCCGTACTCCTGGGTGCTCCTCTCACCGGCGAGTCGATCGAGGCTGTACTGGGGGCGAAGGCCGAACAATTAGCTACACTTGGGGCCCGACTTCTTCACCTCTCCTCCCACTCCGCCTTTTTCCTTCTTCGAGCTTCGGTCTCTACACCGCGTCTCATTTACTTTTTGCGGTGTGCCCCCACTTGGCGGAGATTTGACTCCCTCACCCTCTACGACGCCAAACTTAAGGAGTCCATGGAGGGGATTCTCAACTGTTTCCTTTCCCCGCAATCTTGGCTTCAGTCCTCCCTTCCGGTCAGTGAAGGTGGCCTGGGGGTCAGGCGTGCTGTAGACGTGGCGATTCCGTGTTTCCTAGCGTCCGCCTACAGCGCCCTGCCCCTCGTTGAGCGCCTACTTCCGCCATACCTACATGGCACCGACACCGCACAGCAGGAAGGAGAAGAGAGGTGGAACCCCATGGGACCGGCGGAACTCCCCCCGCTCGAAGTTAGGGGTATTCAGGCCGCATGGGAGAAGCCTCAACAGGAGGCCGCCATCAAGCACCTCAAGAATAGTGCACCTACACCGGAGGATAAAGCCCGACTCCTTGCTATGGGACAGCCACATGTGGGGGCGTGACTAAATGTCATCCCGTCGCCACAACTTGGGACGCTTCTCCCCAACGAGACGTTCCGAGTCGCTTGCGCGCTTCGCCTTGGATGCGACGCGTGCCACTCTCATAAATGCCCATGTGGAGCGGAGGTCACAACAAAAGGCTATCATGGCCTAAAGTGTAAGAGGAGCGCGGGTCGTTATTCGCGACACACCGCGGCAAATGACGTTATTTGGAGAGCGCTCCGATCTGCTGGAGCCCCAGCTATCAAAGAGCCACCAGGTTGTTCTCGACAAGACGGGAAGAGGCCGGACGGCCTAACGTTAGTCCCATGGGCGAGAGGGAGGCCCTTGGTTTGGGACTTTACATGTTCGGACACCTTCGCACCATCTTACCTCCCTCAAACCTGCGTTCATCCTGGTGCGGCAGCCGAAAGAGCGGAGGACGCCAAGATTAAGAAATATGAATTCCTTCAGGACAGATTCCTCTTTGTTCCTGTAGCCATTGAAACGATAGGAGTGTGGGGCAAAGAGGGCCTGTCCCTTATCAAGGAAATCGGATCAAGGATCACGATCGTTACGGAGGAGAGGAGGGCAACATCATTTCTCCTCCAGAGGATGAGTATTGCAGTGCAGCGTGGAAATGTGGCTGCTATTTTGGGATCTCTTCCAGCCGGACGAGAGTTGGATGAGATTTTTTACCTTTAGGACAACTACAATTAAAAGAGTTTTTTTAATATTCAGATAGGGACACTTATGTACGGCGCTGGTCGTTTAGCTTTTTCGAAATACATATATGTAAAATGATTTCATGGATATGTGCAAAAATGCAATAAAGTGTTAAGTTGTGCGAAAGAGACTTACATATAAAACTCCTTTTCCAATCCAATTGTACAGTATTCTCAGGGAGAAAGTGTATCCAAGAAAGTAGGCGATATATTGAATTTTTCCACGTATGCTTACCTTATGTTTACGACGCTATTTCTTAAAACAAAAGATCACAATCCCAAGCATGCAATCCCCCCAGTAAATTTTCGTATGTCCACTAAACAAACCCGTAAAACCGTGACAAAAGGTATAGCTAATACTGACTAACTTTCCCTCAGATATGTTCATACCTTGTATTATACTACATTGGTTACAAAGGAAAACTGTGTATTGCATACGCAAATTTAGTAAAGGGGTGCCCCATAGCAATAAAGCTGTCCATGTATCTTGGATCATCACGCCGATCGAATTCCATTCCAATTAAAAGAGGAAGTATTTAAGAAAGTACAGAAATTTGCCACGTATTCTTAGCTTATTTTTGTTATACATATGGATTTCTTAGAACAAAGGACCACAATCCCAAGCGTGCCATCCATATCCAGTAAATGTTCATATGTACTTGCACCATGCAACCCCGTACATAAAACCCCATGAATGTAAATACTATAGTATTTACATTCATGTAAAACCCTGACAAAAGGTTCGTTCCGGGGTTGGATGGAGGATTGGAATCCTTCCCCTGGATAGCCCGACCAATTTCAC